GGCGCTAAGGAGAGTGCGACGCTGCAACGACGGTAGTGCGCTGTGCGCCTGGTGCGACGTTGACCACAGGATAGGATAGGGAAGGGTAGGGTAGGGTATGGGAAGTCTGGTGTTGGGAGCTTTCTGGTTAGGGGGGAGCCTACCTTGACCTGTCGTTTATTTGATCAGCGACAGATTCGTTCCTTTTCGCGATAAACGGCGTATACGATGACCACATACGAAGTAGTTAGTGGTAGCATAGAGAAGAATTGGCCATCCAGAACCAGTACTAGTAGCTTACAAAAACCCCAGATGCCGAACCTGAAGCAAGATCATGACCCGATCCTCCACAAGAGCACCATTAAGGCAACATAACCAACCAAGCTCAGCACAACCAGCAAGCCCACACTATTCCCACTAGTCCGGAACCTCCTCTTCTTGACCATGACTGTCCCCGTCCTCCTCAACCGCCCAACAGCCCCAGGCCCGGGCCGTGTCTTTCTTCTGATCGCCCTGCCTCTCATCTCTATGCCACCATGATCCGCCTCCGCCTCCCCCTCCGTCTCCGCCTCTGTGTTCTCATCAGCACTAGTACTGGCGCTCTCCTCCTCCCAGCTGTCAAAGAACTGCCTGTTGCCCTCGTAGCGGCGGTAGACGGCCACTAGCAGCACGGCGGCGCCATAGCAAGCCAGAAGAGCGCCGATGGCGTAGAACTCGGACGTGAAGATCTTGAGAATCACCAGCGCGAGCGAGAACTGCGACAGCGCCGTCCGCATGTACGCCCCCTCGAACGTGCGCTGGGCCGCGCGGATCTCTACTAGTCTGTTGAAGTTTGGTTTATTATTTTATCATTGCTATTATTATCCAGGGGTTGATTTCGCGCGGTACTAGTTTTATTGGGCGGGTGGACTTTTAGGGGGAACGAGCGTCGAGGCTAAGGTGAATGAACCACGTCCTGTGAATGGGCTTGAAGGGAACAGGCTGCGCAAGGTAAACCAAGGATTATTGAAGGTGCCAAAAGACAGTATTGGCAGGTAAAAGGGGGTGGGTTGTGATACATCTCGGGGAACCGGTGAGTGGTGAGACGGGTCTTCGGCCCGTCACCGCCGCCCGTCGGCCAGCTTCTTGGGGCAGAGAGGAATATTGTAGGCATGTCCGCGGCGCTGACAGGCTTTTGCCATGGCGCCCGGCAGATTGAAAAGGACCGATATAGTCTTGTCACTGACGCAGGAATGAGAGGAACAATGCATGAAAAGGGGGAGTGAGAGGATGAAAATGGGGGGCCGGGTAAACTGGTTGGCCGGTTGGTTTGAAGATATGCGTGACACAAGGAAGTATAACAAGAACCATACTCACTCCTGACTTGTCAATATCACGGACCGGGCACGGTGCATGCGCAGATGAAGCCTGTCTTCTGGATGCGGCTGGAGAGCCTGTGTGGTACGTAGTGAGACAGGATTAGAATGGCATTTAGAAGGATGTGTCAGTCATGACAGATGTGCCGTTTGCCCGTGGCCGCAACATAGAAGCAGCAGCAAGGACAGCAGCAAGGACAGCAGCAGCGGACTAGCAAACTAGCAAAGGGAGCGCACCTCGAGAATGGATGTCATCGCGATAGCTGATTGATCATTTGATGACTCGATGGGGGGGAGGGGGTAGCAGAAGGTGTGAAACAGAACCAAGGAAAAAGTTTGATACTGAACAAACCAACTTGTTGGCGGTCAGACGGCAATCAAATGAGATTTGTCAAGTTTTGCTGTGATGAAACACCTGGAGAGCTGGAAGCGCTCCAGATGTAATCAGACCATGAAGTATGGAGTAAGATCGATGTGAGAACAGAATACGGATAGATGATGCCAACCTACAGTAGGACAATCCTAACCTGTAACACTGTATTGTATTGTACAGAGTATCAAGTTGTACGGTAATTATAGCAATCTCCGTACAGTACGTTACGGCTTCTTCGGTGGCCCGTGCAACTTAACCCCAACTGTGCTTCTGCAAGGGTCATCCCCACAGCGGCAGCAATCAGCCTTGTCGATTGAAGCTTTCGTGGCCGCTTCCACCATCAGCCGCGTGGAGCTTGTGCACGACACTAACTACACGACATAGCAACCAAAAAGATCAACCTCTCAGACCTCTCAGAACACATCAGAAGCATAGCGACCGAGCCGCCCGCCCAATTTCTATCTTAAAAGCATCGGCATACAAAAAAAATGGCGCCTAAGCAAAGAACCACCCCTGCAACGCCCTCCTCGACGGCCGCCGTCCCAGCAGCAGCAGGGCAACCGGCCCCGCAAGCGGCAGCCGTGACACCGACGACAACACTATCTTCTCCCAAGTCCTCCAAGGCTCACACCGCCGCCACCGTCCCGACCTGGGACAAGATCGTCGCCAACGTCGCGCAGCACTACCTCGACACGACGCCGCAGCGGACCAAGCTGCTGGACGGCTTCATGGCGTTCCTGGTTGTGGTGGGTGGGCTGCAGTTCTTGTACTGCATTCTGGCGGGGAACTATGTTCGTTTCCCCCACCCCCCCCCATCTATCCCTTTTCTGAACGAAAAATGGTGGAGCTGACCTACGGACGACCAGCCCTTCAATGCCTTCTTGTCCGGGTTCTCTGCGACGGTGGGGCAATTTGTCTTGACAGGTGCGTCTAGATCAGGAGCAAAAAAACGGGCAGGGGATGAGAGTGGTTTAAATGCTGATGAATAGTTCTGTTGGGCTGCAGCGTCGCTCAGGATCCAGACGACCGAGGCAAACAAGAAGGACTTTCCCGAGGTGTCGCCCGAACGGTACGTGTTTTCCAGGGGGTTTGGAACAGGGGTTGATGAGCTTTTGCTGATATTATCCGTCTCTTATCCAGGGCATTTGCGGACTATGTCGTTTGCAGTTTGATCTTGCACTTTTTCTGCGTCAATTTCATCAACTAGCCGGGCTGGGACCGCATGGCGTCGTCGCCGATAGAGAGTTAGGCGGTGGGCGGTGGAGGTTGCCTTATATCTCATCTTCGGCACTGTATATATGATATGGTTGGAGTTTGATTGTTCATTAGGGCTTGCTTCTATACGGACATCATTCTCCCCCTTCTGTTTCCCTTGGCGGCACGCTCCCTGTCCGAGGTGGCCCCCCCTTTGGCGGTCCCGTCTTCGGCGGAGGCGGCAACGGCGAGTTTGTCCTACTGGGCGCATTATCTAGTTCCCTGCTCTTCTTCTCCTGTTCCTTGAAGTAATCGTCCATGAGGTTCGGCCCAGCATGATGGTGCCGTTCCTTCTTTTTGCCCCTTGGCGGCGCCTGTGTACCCACCATCTGTGCAGGCACCAGTATATCCGCCAACGGAGAGGTTGGGGATGTCGCATCGGCGGCTGGGATAAAACTGGTGGGCGACGCACCCTCGGGTACTGCAACAAACTGCCCCTGAGTGGCAGCCGCAGAGTCACCGTCGAACATGGTCTCCCCCGGCGCATGGACCGGTTCACTGAGCGGCGCCGGGAGCCGATGCAGAGCCCCATAGCCAAGCACGCAACCCAGCGCTCCCTCGCCGCCCCAGTCCCGGCTAGGCTGGATGGTCACCTCCCGCGTGACGTTGTACTCGTTGTTGTAGACATAGAGGCGCAACGGGCGGCCAATATGATCCTCGACCAGCTCGCTCAGGCCGCCCTCGCCGTGTAGCACGCCCTCTGGGGTGCCCAGAATGTAGTCGCTGTAGGGGAGCAGCCCAGATACATCGGCAGGTGAGTTGGGCGGCACGTCGAGCACATGCCAGATGTTGGAAACGACCGAGAGCGGGGTCCATTGCAGTGTGAGGCCGAGCGACGCCGTCTCGGCGGGGACGGGGATGCGCAGGGCTCTAGTTCGCTGGCCCTGTTGATTCGCGTCTTGTCAGAGCTTATTCAAGCTATGAGTATGGGGGCACACGGGGTACGCACCTTTGCGCTCCAAAGCCCTAGCAGGACGGTGCTGCCAGCGCAGTTGCGCACCTCTTGGGCAAATAACCTCGGGTCCGAATCATCCTATGCGGTAACGGAGTTAGCACATGTATGCAAATGTAAAAAAGTCTCAGGCCGCCAGACTGCCTACAATCATGCGCCCATTGATGCCGACAACAAAATCAAACCATGGCTCAATGGCCAGCTGCAGATTGGTGTTGCGCAGCACTTGGAAGCCAAAACCGCCGTGGTTTTCCTTGGGTGCCGACGGGGCGTCACCGTCAAGCCGGGATATGAATCGGTTGAGAGCGTTGAACATGTTGTGTTGGGCCTCGGTATCTATTCGTATCTGGATTACTGTCTGTTGGTGTTTCTGTCAGGACAATCTGGAAGCAGCTGAGGTGAGCTATCGGGCGGCTGTCGCATCACTGGCATGTGCCTAACGAATCCAAAGCCAGGGTTGCCGCTGCATATGAGTTGCTGAGGTGGGTTGGCATGCAAGTATCGGGTTGCCAAAGCAGTTAGCCCTGTCTCAAGTCTCAGCCATGTGTTGTAGTGAAGTGGATCCTGCTGGTGGCCTGCAAGGTACCCGGCTCGCCAGGCTGCGCCAGCCTCCAGGCAGCCTCGCCTTGGCGGTCCAAAAGTTTCAAGTTTCAACAGCTTCACGTTCACTCCTCGTGGTCTTCTTCGAATATTAATTCATAAAATTTCACTCACCAAGCTCGGAAAGATAATCAATACTTACAGGACAGAGATATCTGGGCTCGTCACACCTCACTGTATAATCGCAGAAATGAAACTCGAGCCTGTCCAAGATCAACTGCCTCTCACTGATGAGTGTCACCATTACGATGACATTAACGATGTTCCAAAGGATCTTCAGAAGTAAGGCCCCCTTCTCCCACAACTCATGGTATGAAACGCATGTGTATATTTCCCTGCTGACCAAACGCATCCAGGTACTGGCACCAGCGCTACTCCATCTTCGAATTCTATGACTACGGCATCCATCTCACAGACGATGCCTGGTTCGGCGTGACCCCGGAGCCCGTGGCCAAGTAAGTTAATTGTTCCCTAAGCTGTATGTATGCCAACCCGTAATGCTCACCTGACCAACCCTCCGCTCTCTCAGCAAGATAGCCAAGGACATCCGCTGGCACCGCCTATCCACCCCACCAAAGGATACCATCATCGACCTGTTCGCGGGCGCCGGCGGCAACACCATCGCCTTTGCCCTTTCAGAGAAGTGGTCGCGCGTCATCGCCATTGAGAAGGACGCCGCGACGCTCGCCTGCGCACAGCACAACGCGGCCGTGTACGGCGTCGCCGAGGCTATCACCTGGGTTCACGGCGACAGCCTCGAGTATCTAGCGCGACTCAAGGACTCAAAGTCACAGACGACGACGAAGAAAAAGAAGAAGGACCAAGACTTAGACCCCGCTCTGCAGGTGGACATGGAAGCCACTGTTCTGTTCGCTTCTCCCCCCTGGGGCGGGGTGAGCTACCGCGGGCACGATATTTTTGACCTCAGCACCATGGAACCGTACAACATCAAGACGCTCCACGATGCGTGCCAGCCAATGGAACACGCCCTGTATCTCCCGCGGACGAGCGACCTTCGGCAGATCGCTGAGCTGGCGCCAGCCGGGGAGAAGATCGAGGTGGTGCAGTACTGCATGGAGGGCGCCAGTAAAGCCATGGTGGCCTATATAGCCGGCCAGCCAATACAAAATGGAAACAGCAAGCCATACTCGTGAAGGCCAGGGGTGCGGCAAACCTAAGCAAGCAAGACGCTTTATTCTATCAACCCTCCCAATATCCCGCCATCTACAACGCCCTGACAATAGTCCTCTCGTCAAACACGTCCTTCACCAAGCCAGCCACGCACGCCTCCCAGTCCATCGGCGCCATCGCATACGTGGACTCAAACGCGTAGATGCTCAGCTGGCCAAAGAAGGGCCTGAGCACCTTGGCCACGAGCTCATCCTTTCTTTCCAACCCAACCTCGTCGTTGATGCCCCCGGGCCGGCCCAGTAGCGGCCGTCTGTCCCCGTCAACAGCCACAGCCGACGCGGCCGCGGTGCTCCCAATTCCTCCGTCGGCGGCTCCGATTACCCCCAGCTCCTCACAGACCTCGTCCACCAGCGCCACCGGCTGGTACCCGCCGCCAGGCCTGTACACGGCATCGATGGTATCCGTCACAAACAGCCACTCGTGCAGCTGGAAATCGTCAGGCGCCACGCACACCAGCAAATCCAACAACTTGCAAGCCTGCAAGACGGCCGCGTTGCCGTAGGTATCCGCCGGCGGGCTGTGGTCTGGCGCGACCACGGACGCAATGGCGGCGTGCAGCTCGGCGTTGACGACGGGCCACAAGGGCGCGAGGTGCACGACGCCCGTGGTGAGCACCAGCGCCCGCAGGACCATGTAGACCTCGGCGCGCGTGGTGCTCGAGGGTGACGACGTGGCCGTAGCGCCGAGCAGCTCCGTCAGCCGGTCCAGCACGGCCGGCAGGTCGGCCACGAAGGCGTCGCGCCCGCACGCCACCATGAGCGCCGCCACGCGCCGCAGCGTCAGCTGCGTGCGGCGGTCCGCCTCGAGCCGCGCCGACGTGGCGCCCACGCCAAACACGATCCCCGCCGTCGTCGGCGGCGTGAGCCGCGACAGCAGCTCTGGCATGCGCTCCTTGTCCGCCACCGTCCATTGTTTAAGGAGCGGTAGCCAGCCGCGGTGGACTAGCTGCAGGGAGGACCCGAAGAAGCGGGGGTCGTTGAAGGCGTCCGAGATGTCTTTTTTCCAAGACTTCTGGTTGTTGGGCAGGCGCGAGAGTTCCTGGAGGAGGGCAAGGGTGCTGGCCGAGACGGTTTCGGGGAAGGATTTGGAGCGTAGGGTTGGGCCAATGACATTGGTGGATATAGCTGTTGCTGCCGTGAGGATTCGGTCGTTTTCGACAAGAACTTTGGGCAGGTTCGGCACGATAGCGGAGAGGATGCCCACTACGTCGTCGGCGCGCTCGCCGGGAAGTTTGAGGGCCGGAGTTTGTTGGGGCCGGCTTACCTCGCCCGGCCGCCTCTCAGAGGAGACGTCGAAACTAGTCGGGCGCGTGGTGAAGATGGCCGTGAGGAGGCGTAGGAACAAGTCCTGGGACTAGGTATTAGCTCACTGCCAGCGCTTACAGGTAGTGGAAACGAGGGAGTCATACCGCCAGCTCTCGCCGCATCTTCCGCTGCTCCCCAAAATTCGTATTATCCACCTTCTCGCCTAGGATGGCGGCGAACTCGAGCAAGCTCGGCAATGTCTGCCGGTGCGGGAATGGGTTGCCCAACAGATCCTTCAGGAACGCGGTGCAGTCCTGCCATATCTCATCCATAGCATCATCTTCCAACGACCGAGCGTAGTCAACCAAGAAAATGACAACGTCAGTGTCCTGCAGCTCAATTGTCAACGTGGACCGTCTCGACGGGTCGAGTGCGCCGGGGCTGGTGCGGCTGTAGATGGCGTTGAACAGCGCCGGGATGGTGTGCTTCGGGCGCGAGCCGTCCAGAGCGGGCAGCAGGTTGAACACCTCGGCCGCCTTGGAGGGGTCGCCGCTGTGGAGAGCGTCCCGCCATATCCCTATCACCGTTTCGAGGCACTCCAGGGTCTCCGCGGCAAAGAGGTGCTCCAGCAGCCTTCTCGCCCGGTTCCTCATACGTAGCGACGTGTAGTTGAGCGATGCCGCAGACGTGACGTCCTGCAGAGTCGCATCGTTCCCCTGGCCCCAAGACCAGATGGTGAAGCAGATGCGGACAGCATCCTGGAAGGCGAGCAAAACGGTAAGTCTGTCGTTTGCCGTGGCGCTCCGCGCTTGCGGCGCATCCGAGGAGAACACGCCGGACACCATGTTACCGAAGAAACCCTGAGGTTGATCGGGGCTCTTGATAGCCTGGGCTCTGGCCTCTTCAGTCAGCAGCCTGTCGTGCCCGTATGCCAAAACCTGCTCAAGGCCATTTAATAAGGAGATGAGAGTGGTTTCTGGCCCAGCAGCGCCGCTGGACGGCGTCTGGGCAGTGTCTCTGAACAGATGCTGGAGGTTCTTGAACGTACTGCCAATTTGGCTGCAGAGAGTCTCCACGAGTGGAATGAGGACCTGGAAGACCGAATCGGCGTACAGAGGTAAACATTCGGCAAGGAACCCGACCCAGCTGTCCAGAATCGGCCGGCTGCTTGGCGAGCTGAGTCCGGCGAGGATGCACTTGAGCAATGCCTGGGGCGGTGGTTTAAGAGCACCCGGTCTCTCCCCAGTTAGGGAGGCCCGGGAGCCCCTTGCCGGATCCATGCTTGCGGCACGCTTCTCATTGCCTGGGGAGGTTGGGGGTTCTAAAGGGACCAATTCGCGGAGTTTGAGAGCGGCATAGACAACGTCGAGAAGCAAAACTTGTACATAGGGATCAGGCCCCTCAAGACTCTGCGACAGTTTCTCGATCAAGGTATTCTCAAGATGCAGTTTCGACAGCACCTGAGCAAAAGGATTTAGGAGAATCTGATGCAGCACAGTTAAAGCGGAGCGGTGGAGCTGGGTCGCCCTCGTTTCTGATCCTATTTCACCCGGGACCTTATCGTGAGCAAGGCACCGAAGGCAGACATGGAGGAAGAACTCCTGTAGTGTAAGGTCGCCATCGACACCAGCTTGGCTTGTCAGAATAAACAGAGTCCAAGGTGACAACGGAGCAAGAACCTACTGATATGGGAGAGCTGCGGATGGAAAGCAGCCGACAGGATATTCCTCTTCGCCAGGACTGCCCAAGCTGCTTCGGGTGCCCAGCGGAACACGCTCAAGAGGGAGCGGAGGTAATACAAGGCCATGTCGAGGTCGTCATCCTCTGTAAAGGGCATCGGTGCCGATTGAGAGGCTGGCTGACGTCTTAAGAAGGGCAGGTCTGCGAATTTCGTGACAAGGATAGCGAATAACCTGAGCACTGGCGGTCAGAGAGTTACGTGGAATGCAGTTAATTCACTCACTTGTCCATCGTGGGGAGGCCATTCAACCAAGCTTTAGCTGTCAAGAACAGCTGTGTCCTCTCATCGGCGAGGGAATCCAGCATCAAGAACAGAGGCCTGGTCAACATGACCGCGTAGTGGTCTATTCCGGAGATGCGAGGAGGGGCCTTGGCATCACCGTTAACGGCCTTGCCGCCCCTGCGTTCTGTTCCGGAAGGATGGTCCTGCAAGCTGTGTGACCAAAGCACACAGAAACTCCGGCCTGGATCCGCGGGTCGCTGGGCGAATGTGCCAACCGTGTCGTGCTCCAGCATCAGAGAACAGATGGCGGCCTCAATGTCCCTGTTTTCAGGTGTAAGAGCGCTCTGAAGCAGCCAGAGACTGCGAACAACTTCTACATGATATTTCGGCTCTGATGCTGATAGGAAGGACCAAGCGTGCCGTACTAGGGGCACTACAAGGTCGGAAAGTTCAGCCGCCGCTATCCTGTTTGTTGAATGCAAGTGCGATGAGATCGAGACGGCTGATGAGTATGTGGTAAACGAGATTGGCGAGCCCAAGGATAGACAATCGTGAAGCGCGGCGAGAAGCTTGCCTGTGTCAAGCGGTGAGGTTTCAGGGGTCTTTGAGAGTAGACGGATGAGAAGCTGGCTCCTGACAGCCATCTCTGTACCGGATGGTCTCCGGCTTAGGGAGTCGCAGTTGAGGGTACATGACTTTTGCAAAAGAAGTTCGGCAAGTTTCTGTGGCGTGAAGGGAGGCGAGGCTGCTTCAAGGTTGCCTTGATCGGTGACATAGAAAGCCCTGATCCTCTTGAGCAGTTCTGGAGTGGATGGCGTGGTCGAAATCGTGGATCCGCCGGCAGATCTGGATTTACCTGCCGAGACGGACGAAAAGGCCCGTTCCGGCACAAGTTCGAGTAAGGTTAGTGCAATGTTCAGAGACGACTCCGACAAGGAAGCGCCAAGCGAGGTTCGAAAGTCTTCCCTTTCGTTCCCCTCTTTAGCCTCCTCCATCATACATAGAATAGATAAGACTGTGAGAGGAGCGTGAATTGTAATCATCTCCTCCTCCCGGACGTTGAAATGTGTCAGGATGAATTTGACAAGGTCGAATTTTGTGTTCCGCTCAGAAGGTGAGGAATCCCCAGGACTGATGGCTTGGGCCATCAGAGTCAATATTTCACTGTATATCAACCCACTCTCAACGCCATCGAAGAATACACTGGCACTCCGCAAGACCTCGCTGAAGTCTGCTTTGCTCGCGGCCCTGGACTTGAAGTTTCTCACGCTATCGACAATGGGAAGGAACAGTTTAGGGACAACGAGGCCGCCAACTTCCCACCTGTCCATTAAGGACAGACATATTCGATAAGGCCGTGCTCGGTCGGCCGGATTGCTTCCGACATCGGTTCTAATCATAGCAAGCAGAGCTCGCGTCAGCGGTTGCAGACCAAACTCTTCGAAATAGCCGGTCCGAGAGGATAAGAAACCGTGGCTGTGGTCCGCTGTAGAAGTAGGGGATTCTAAACCAGCCTCTCCTTCAGCAGATGCCGCTGGCTCAGGGCCAAGCAACCATGCCCACAACCGCCTATTGAGGCTCATGTCTCGCCGTACCGTGACGCCGACCGCCGCCCTCAGAAGCAGCTCCAAATCACCGGCCTTAGCTTCCTTTTGTAATACGGTTGAATGCAGCGGAAGATGGGTGACTAGCAAGTCCAAGTACCCGCGCTGAATGAGCAGCTGCTCGTCAGCAAGACCAGCGGCGAAGCAACGTATCAGCAGGCCTGGTTCCGGAGAAGTGACCATCCGAGCCAGCTTAGCAGATACCTCCCCATTGGCGCTGTTTCGTGTATCGAGGCCCTTGGCTGGCTCAGGATGCAAGGTATGATCTAATTGCGGGAGACAACGCAGAAGGTAAGCTAGGGCACCAGTCCTTCGGCTGTGGCCGGTGATGGAGGCCAAGAAGAAGCATTGCCAGAAAAAGTCATCGCCGGATGAGTGGACGTCCGTGATATCCTCAGAGCCGGGAGGCCGAATTGCGGCTTTGAAACGCTCCATAAGCTTGAGTGTCCGCTCGAAATCCTCGCTCGTCTCCTCCTCCAATCCGGGCAACAGAGCTAGCACGACAGATCTCAGTGCCGGTCGTAAGGAACGCGGATCAAGGTCCACAAAGTAGCGTTCGAGGAGGGCGAGGAACGGTCCGCGAACCGCGAGCGAGGCAAAGGACAAGACCGAGGCAAGGCCGGGGAAGTACAAAGGCAGATCTCTTGACAAGCCTTCCTTTCCTATGACAGAGAAGACATAGCTGTAGACTTCGAGGGCCTTTTGGTGAACGCCCGACGGTAGAGATGGGTTTAGACATTGCGACAATCGTTTTGCGATGGTTGCCTTAGCCGGGATGGTAGAGATGGACGACGGCCGGGCCTGCAGCGCCTGTTGTTGTGGACAAAGGTAGAGTGTCAGAAACGAACCATGCCGCGCAATCCAAGACGTCTGTAGGAGACCCGCACCTTGAGCAGACGGTTAAGGAACGAGATGTAATCGGCCCATTCCTGCAGGGTCGTGTCAAACAGCAACAAAGCTCTCTCGACGCCGTTTGCATATTTACGGTAGTGCTTGTCCTTTGGCGGCGCATCCTCTACGGCAGCATCCAGTGTTAGCTGCGCAGTTATACAACACATTACTACTGTCCTAAGCCAGCATACCGCTTCCCAGCTGATTCCTCCATTGCCGCGGCTCGGGCGACTCGTGACCAGAGCTCTCGGGAGAGGCAGAGCGGCGGCCAGGCTCAAGCGCCATGACAAAAGAGGATTCGTCCCGGTATTTCGTTGTCGTCCCAGTGCATTGCCAACTCGAAATTTAGCTGTCGGAATGCTCGCCCTGTGTTTGATGTCCGAAGGGAGCCCGTGGTTGGAAAAGAGCTGTGGGCTGCTTTTTGTTGCGTGTTCAATTCCCCCATGAAAGTTGGCCTTTGGAGCAGTTCGGCAGCCCAGAGGATCATCCCCTCCTGTTGGATTGCGAATGCACCCCGGGCCACGCCCACCGCTAAGGCAACTAATCTTTGCGCCCGGTGATTGGTCGCTAAGCCCTAGCTGGACCCCTGTCTACAGGAGAATCAGCAAGGCTGAGAGTTCGAGCCTGCCTTATCTTATCGGGCACTGAGCGGGCCCAAGGTACGACGTAACCTCGAATTGTCGTCATCCACGGCTTGCTCATCCCTAACCAGCACCTAAATATGGAACAGTGCCGCCGTGAAGAATCAGAACATAAACCCTGATTCTGTTTCTGTCTATAACCCACCTCGAACAATGCGCGAGCCGAGAAATAAGCTGGCGCGTGTACAATGGCTCAGGAAGAAGCCGAAGGCAACAATGGCCCAACCTCACCCCCATCACCGCCTCCACCACCTCTGCCGCCCCGCCGAAAGCCCTCAATGGAAGGTTCCATTCAGGTAGCACCTGCTCAGTCTAAGCCAACAACAGCTGTCTCGTCCATTGATATCTCGACCCTCTCATTTCCTGATGGATCACGAGGCACCTTCTCTACGAACACAACGAGAGCCGTTTCATCCCCTGTTGGGAGTGGATATGCAACACCAAGTCGGAACGGCACGGCTGCCAGCGACCTCGCCGACGCCATGAGCGTCATGAGTTTTGCGCCTACTTTGCGACCCCCCGGCGATCTCGCGAGCCTTGTTGCGGGAGAGCTTAATAGGAAAAGCCGTGCTTGGAACTTCCTCCGGTCGCAGTCCGAAACCGTCCAGCCGTTCGAGAGTATTGAGCTGGGCGCTCCTGGTAATCTCGCCGGCTTTGAACGCGAGTTTGACGAGATCCCAGACGACACGACGGATGATGCCAGGCTCGCTATCTGGAAATCCAAGATGAAGCATTACATGATCCTTTCGTCTGCCGGGAAGCCCATCTACAGCCGTCATGGCGACCTGAGCCTCGTCAACTCGTATATGGGCGTGGTGCAGACCATAATCTCGTTCTACGAAGGTGCGAAGAACCCCCTGTTAGGCTTCACCGCCGGCAACGCAAGATTTGTTATTGCCATCGAGGGGCCTCTTTATTTCGTAGCCATCAGCAAGCTGGGCGAAAGCGACGCCCAGCTCAGGAGCCAGCTTGAAGCCCTGTACATGCAGATATTGTCTACCTTGACCCTCCCCACACTCAAAAACATATTTGTACACCGTCCCTCAACTGATCTCAGGAAACCCCTGGAGGGTACCGAATCTCTCCTGTCTTCTCTGGCCGACAGCTTCACTAAGGGTTCCCCATCCACGCTTCTCGGCGCGCTCGAATGTCTGAGGTTGAGAAAATCCCAGCGTCACTCAATAAATAATATTTTCCTCAAGAGTCGCAGCGAGAAGTTACTTTATGGACTTATAGTTGCTGGCGGAAAGCTAGTCAGCGTTATCCGGCCACGGAAGCACTCGCTCCATCCGAGCGATCTCCAGCTAATCTTCAACATGCTCTTCGAGTCAGGCGGCATCAAGTCTGGGGGAGGTGAGAGCTGGATTCCCCTTTGCCTCCCGGCCTTCAACAACCGTGGCTACCTTTACATGTACGTTAGCTTCTTTGACGGCAAGCAAGAACTGCCCCCTACCGCGGAATCAGCCGAGCCAGCCGAGCCAGCCAAAGAGCCTCCACTACCAACCGAAGATATCAACAAGGTCGCCGCGACCACCGGGGATAGCAATCGAGCTGAAGAGGAGATTGCCATCATTCTGATATCCCCCGACAAAGAGTCGTTCTATGATCTCAAAGAAATGCGCGACAGGCTCGCCGCCCAGCTGACCAAAACCGGAAGCCTCGCCCTCATCCGCACCGCCGCCCGCCAGGCGCGACCCAAGATCCAATCCATCACCCCGGGCGCCGAGATAAGCCACTTTCTCTACAAATCGCGCGCAAACGTGCAGTTTTGCATGTCCTCCCTCGAACCCGCCTTTTCCAGTCCATCCGCATCTCCATCTCCGTCCCTGTCCCAGGGGCATAAACAACTGGCAACGGCAGAGAAGATGGTCGCCCGACGCAGGTTGATGTCTGTCTATCACGAACTTCACGCCTCCATGCACTCAAAGCATTCGCATCTCAAAGTTCTCCATGCCGTCGGCGAGGATGCGGCCAGTTTAGCGTGGATAACGCCGGTGTTTGAGTTCTACTGCGTCGCCGGACCGAATGTCTCGCGCGTGGCCATGACTCAGGGGGCGAATCGCGTGGTTCAATGGGCTAAGAAGGAGGAGGAGCGGCTGTTTATCATTGGTGGCGGTGTTTTTTGAGTATCACTTGTTTGGTTTGTTGGTGATCTGATGAATGATGGCAATGATACTTAGATGATGAGTGATGATCTTGGATATGGAGTAGGGGTGTCGGAAAGCAGTGAGCACTTGGGTGCTTGAGGCATGCTATCGTGGCTGAGTGACAAGGGGAAGTGCTAGTCAGAACGGACAGTAGGTGATGAGAATAATATATATCTGTCGCTCAAGTCCTTCTGGGAGCATTCCCTACGGTGACGTGTGTCTCATCACCTCACAACAGGATCTGGGCAATTTGGAAGCCATCAAGTTCATGAGTGGGATTTCTCCTAGCGATCCCCTAGACATGCCAAGAGACCGCCATGCCAAATAAGTATCGTAGCTATAGCTATCCACCCTCACCACCTCAATGAGAGCCGCTTGTAGTTATAGGAGATCGAGCACCAGAATGCAAAAAGGACCTCGATACCAAATGGAGCGCCCCACCCGTCAACCCGCATTCATTTGGCTGATAAGGATTGAGCGCGGCGAGAACAGATATTTCGGAGCGTACGGACCAATTCGTGCTGATAATCGTGGAAAGGCACAGGTTGCCTGTGAACACCGGGTAATAACGAATGGCGGGATGAGACGCAGCGTACGGACCGTTAAGCCCCTTGGGCTTGCTCCGGGGCGGTGGACGGCTTCCGATGGCCCACTAGTCAAAGTTACACCGCCCGAGTCGAGAAACGGACCCCTGGGAGCGGCTGGGACTCGCATATGTGGCCTTTTTACGCTTGCATGAAAGCTCCCTCAAAGAGGTATGTATCTTTGCAGGAGGAAGAGGTCATGAATGAGCTCCGTTAAGTACACAGCATATAGGATGCACAAAACGCATAATGGAACCCCTTTCCTGCTCTTGGAAGGGAAGCACTTACACTATACATATGGTCAGTTGGTTCAGAACTTAAGCATGGTAACAATTCCTATGTTCGAATTGAAGCTTTGGCGGAGGTAAGGGCAGCAAGCCGTTGGATACAGAATCGCAGACCCGAATTGCGGGGAGAGGTGGACGCAGGGTTCAGAGTGGGGTTAGCTAAAATCTTGGCGTAACGTACAGTACCACTGTACAGTTCAACCCTTGTTTGTTTGTTAGCGCAAGACTCTGACAGGGGTCCTGTCCAGAAACTAGAGAAAATGCTTCTCAGCAGCCAGAACGGTTGACTCAATGCAAGAAAAAAGAGTATCTAGCATTATTCAAGGAGACTATTTTCTTCAGGGCATTTTCTCTGTAAGAAAATTGGCCGTTTTGCTGTTCAGATTGAAATCTTAGGGCTGACCCTGGTGTTGAAGTCAGGCGCTAACCAAACAAGGGAGGGACTGTACAATACGCGTGATACATAGAGATGTATCCGTAATCGCGTTGTAGATTACGGAGTACAAATGAACCTCTCGAGACAAATCACACTACGAGATGTTGGTAAAGCGATCTGGAATCTAAGGGGAAAACTTGCCACGGCCTGTGGATCTTGCCACAATGGAGAGGACATCCGACTAGCCCAGAAACGAGCATGAATAATCGTGTCCATGTCTGGACCCAATCTGTACTGAGAAATCCCTAACGTGCGTGCTGGAACTTCGTACGAGGGAGATCGGCCTGAAAACGAACCGGGCTTCTAGCACTGCTTACCCCACCTCTACCCCCTTCAGTGAGCGTGGTTGGTGGCCAAGACCGGCTTAGGAAGCTGAGCTGCGGAAAAGACACCTGTTCTCTCGCGGCTGAAGGATCCAATTCTGCTTTACCGCTGGCGCCTCCTTTATACAAGTAAACCTTCATCCCTATCGATTCTTGGGATCTTCTCGTTAAACCTCCCAACTTCACTTTCGATAAAGGGACCTGTCTGCATACCTGCTGGGTATTGCTTGGAATTCAATTCTTTCGGTCTTCCAATTCCTTGTCCCTGTCCTTTTCTGCCTTTGAATAGCCCAGAGTAGGTGCCTCTTGTGCCACCGTTGCAGAACCTTCCCTCCCCATGCCCCCCTCCCCACGCCCGCCCTCTCTCCCTGGACAGATCTCGTCTCGTGCATAGAATTCTATCCGCACTCTCTTCCTCAGATTGGCGTTGAGCTCACTCGTTCTTCAGAAGGAATCAGGGAATCCAAAATGCACGCGGTCCAGAAGTTCGCGCTCGGCTTGCTCGCCGCAGCAGCCGTGGCCACGGCGTCCGACGTCGTTCAGTTGAAGAAGGACACTTTCGACGACTTCGTCAAGTCCAACGACCTTGTTCTTGCTGAGTGTAAGTACTTGATGCTTCGAATTGTCAACCAACGCCTGCATACTGACGGAATTCCGTTGCCAGTCTTCGCACCCTGGTGCGGCCACTGCAAGGCCCTCGCCCCTGAGTACGAGGAGGCGGCGACATCACTGAAGGAGAAGAACATCAAGCTTGCCAAGGTAGACTGCACAGAAGAGACAGACCTCTGCCAACAACATGGCGTGGAGGGCTACCCCACTCTCAAGGTCTTCCGCGGCCTGGACAATGTGTCCCCCTACAAAGGCCAGCGCAAGGCTGCTGCGTAAGTTTGCATGCCAGTCAGCAGTTCAGACCGTGATGCTAACGAGCCCGCAGCATCACTTCCTACATGATCAAGCAGTCCCTGCCTGCCGTGTCGGACGTCACGAAGGATACCCTGGAGGAGTTCAAGAAGGCAGACAAGGTTGTCCTCGTAGCATACGTCGATGCCTCTGACAAGGCATCGACCGAGGTCTTCACCAAGGTAGCTGAGAAGCTCCGCGACCAATACCCATTCGGTGCGAGCACCGATGCCGCCCTTGCCGAGGCCGAGGGCGTCAAGGCGCCTGCCGTCGTTCTTTACAAGGACTTTGACGAGGGCAAGGCTGTCTTCAGCGAGAAGTTCGGCGCCGAGGCGATTGAGAAGTTCGCCAAGACGGCTGCCACCCCTCTCATCGGCGAGGTTGGCCCTGAGACCTACTCTGACTACATGGCCGCCGGTATCCCTCTTGCCTACATCTTCGCCGAGACCGCCGAGGAGCGCAAGGAGCTGAGCGACAAGCTCAAGCCCGTCGCCGAGGCTCACCGCGGCGTTATCAACTTCGGCACCATTGATGCCAAGGCCTATGGTGCCCACGCCGGCAACCTGAACCTCAAGACGGACAAGTTCCCCGCCTTTGCCATCCAGGAAGTTGAGAAGAACCAGAAGTTCCCCTTTGACCAGGACAAGGAGATCACCTACGAGGCCATCAAGGCCTACGTTGAGGACTTCGTCGCCGGCAAGATTGAGCCCAGCATCAAGTCTGAGCCCATCCCGGAGAAGCAGGAAGGCCCCGTCACCGTTGTCGTTGCCAAGAGCTACAACGACATTGTCCTGGACGACACCAAGGATGTCCTGATTGAGTTCTACGCCCCGTGGTGCGGTCACTGCAAGGCCCTTGCTCCCAAGTACGAGGAGCTTGGTGCGCTGTATGCCAAGAGCGAGTTCAAAGACAAGGTTGTCATTGCCAAGGTTGACGCTACTGCCAACGACGTCCCCGATGAGATCCAGGGCTTTCCCACCATCAAGCTGTACCCTGCCGGCGCCAAGGACAAGCCCGTCACGTACTCTGGCTCGCGCACTGTTGAGGACCTGGTCAAGTTCGTTGCCGAGAACGGCAAGTACAAGGCTTCCGTGTCCCAGGAGGCCGAGGAGTCGAGCAGCTCTAGCGAGTCTGCTACCGAGTCCGCTACCGCGTCCGCCTCATCGACCACCACCGAGGCTGCCAAGGAGACTGACCATGATGAGCTCTAAGGGAGGGAAGGGCATTTTTCTTGTATCTTAGATTGCTTTTGGGTTTTTATTTCATTAGGGACCACGGGCACGGGACTGAGATTCCGACATCTCTGGGATTGGGAGTAACTAAAATACCTTTGTGCATCGGTCTAATGAATGACGGAGTCAATTGAAGGATTTCTCTCTGTACCCGAGTCGCTCCTCGTCGTGTCCCGCCTGCCTGGCCGGAGACCGCAAAGGGTCCTTGAATTCTGCCACGACTGTCCGCTCGAAACGCTCGATGTGGGGACTCCGCCTTGATTGGTTCAATTCCCATGGGGCCAGATTTACCGTAGTCAACCCTTGTCTGTGTTAGGGTCAGGGACGAGCCAAGATCGAACTCACTCCCGCGCATTGCATGCTTCCACTTCCAACCCGCTCCCACCGCTGCTGACCCGACCTCAGCCTTGGGTCGTATTACTGCTGGCCCCTATTCATTTACATACAAAAATTTTAGAACTCTTACTTGTTCTTTCCCTTCTCCCTTCCAATCTCCAAGTCCTCCTCCCGACCCAGCAGTCAGCAGCAAAGTCACAGCCTAGCGCATTGGAACCAATGGCCTCGAGAATACTATCGTACGGGGCGGCTCGCGCTCTTGCCCCTGCACGCACCACGGCGCGCGCTTTCACCACGTCGGCGGCCCGTCTGGATGCGGTAGCCGCGGGCGCGGCGCCACCCCTTCCGGCAAGACGACCTGTTGGTGCGCTGAGGGGAGGGTAAGTCGTCGTTCTTTCGCTTGCCTTTTTCCATGATGCGCGCGGGAATAAAATACTAACTGGACATCATCACACAGGCTCTTTGGCTTCTTCTTCGGCAGCACCCTCGCCGGCGGCGCCGTCTATTACTACGCCATCCAGGAGTACAAGGCCTCGAACGAGCTGCTGACTGAGGACATTTACGTGCGTGTTTGCATTTGAGCGCATCATGCGATTCGCTCCTTCTTTTTGCCTGCCTAGACATTTCTCTCACCCACCTGCCTACACGACCGGCCAGCGCTGAGTGTTTCCTTTTGATGTCTTGATTTTGGGGGAAGATAAAAATACAAACAAGACAGGGATAGACTAGTGGCGTTCTCAGCGTAATTATTCCATACCCCCTTTGGCCTCGCCCAGCCCGACTCAGCAGTATGCTTTTGCTTTCGTCGGGCTTGGGGAAGCTATTTACTCACTTGCACAGACTGCAGTCGCTTTGGGGACGAGAGGGCTGACCGGTTGTGATGCTAGGCTCTGCAAAACGCGGTAGATCGGTTGAGCAACTACGTCGGCACACTAGAAGAGAAGATGGAGGCGTTGGAGAGGAAGAAGAAATGAGTTATGACTTTTGAGACGGCACTGCAACTATGGGAAATGGCGTGAGAATGGGAGGATTAATACATACGGCGCTAACTGGTCATTTGTGTCTGCATTTGCTTGCAAAAAGGGGCTGGCTGTTTTCAGGTGTGTAATATCCCCGTCGGGCGTTGTTGAGCCGTTTCCTTTTGAGCACATATTACATATTCACCAAGAGACCGCTTCTTTTCCACTACATATACGTACAGCAATGTCTGGCCTGTGTCAATGCTATTTACTAGGGAAGGTGCATCCTGTGCGCCGATGTTATGGATTGCTGCGTCGTTTAATACTAGGGACACTTTACAGATTGGTCGCCCATGGACATCTTCCTAGAGGAACGGACCTGCGTCATCGAGGCGCTATAAAACCATCCCCGCAACGTCTCCTTAGGCGGGCCGCGGGGCTATGCTAGGCCGGTCCTTCGGTTAGTTAGTGTAAAATTGCGAATCAACCACGCTTCAACCCCCACCCAACTGAATCTACTTAACAACACCATGAACAACTTTGGTGTCATCGAGATCGCCAGCACTACAACGAAGAGCACGCCGGGATGGGCCTATGTGCCGGACACAGGGCCAACGTTGCCCGCCGCGCTGCAGCCCACAAACCGGAAGCGGGCCGCACGAAATCAGCCCGCCCTCAGTCTGTCTGATCTCTCAGCGCGCGAGGAGACGAGAATTCGAAAAGAGCTCGAAGCCCTTGATCGCGATAATCCCAGGGATTTAAGCATCCCGATTCCTCCGAAGCCAGGGGGCAGCGGCAGAGGTACGCGCGCTTCAATTCAGCAGCAACCATACGTGGAAGCTCACCATGCATTGTCCAGCCCAGAACAAGCACACGTCAAACGTGCGCAAGATCCTGCAGTCGCAAAAGACATTCGCCAACCACCTCGATGACTATCAGGCCATGCTCGCGCTGGCCGAGACTAACCCCGCCGCAGCAGCCGCCATGAACGCTGCGCTGGCGAAGCCATCCACCCCCACAACGGCTACCGCGAAGAGCGCCTCTCCCGCACCGACCCAGTCCCCCTCGGCAGCCGGCGGGAGCAAGCGCTCAGCAGCAGCCGCGAAAAGGGCAGCGGCAAAGGAGAAGCAGGAGCAGGAGAAGGAGCGGAAGCGGCCAGCGAAGCAGCAGCCTCCCAAACCTGACCCTTCCCCAAGCACACAGGACTCACCGGCCCCGCCTGCACAGCCGCCCGTACAGAACGATGGAGCCACCGCCGCCGACGTAGAAATGCCCGACGCACCCCCGGCCACCGGCACCAATACCTCGACGACAACAACAACAACAACACCCCCAGCGACAGCCCCGCAACCGCAACCGCAACCGCAAACCTACCCGCGCGAATCCCTCATCCTTCCGCCGTACCAGAAACCCCCGCCGCGCCCGCACACGGGCGACAACGACCCGCTGCTCGTGTCGTACGTGCCGCCGTTCCCAACCGACGACGAGCTGCGGGCGCTCATGACGGCGCCGCCGCTGAGCTACCTCGAGGCGCGCGCCAAATGGGGAGACGGCGGCGGCGAGGAGGCCCGGTACCCGCCCAGAACGTTCTGCGCCGTGTGCGGCTACTGGGGCAGGGTCAAGTGCATGCGCTGCGGCACGCGCTGTTGTGCGTTGGACTGCCTTACGCTGCATGGTGAGGAGTGTGTGGGGAGATTTGGTGGGTGAGCGGTTGGTTTAGGGGGTGTATTTATGGATGTGGATTGCGGAAATGGGTTGGGACGAGGGAAGTGTGGGATATACAAGGGACGCTTGTTGTTGGGGGAACATCAGGTTGATACCCTTTTCTTTTGGCGAGAAGTATGCTGTTTCCATGGGATACGTGTTCCCGTTGCCATGCAGGCAATCTTTCTAACGGCGCTACCTTTGTCCTGTCGTTGTATCTAACATCTAGGTTAGACTTTCCCGAGTCCCGCTGACCTGGCGCTGTGTTCTCCTCTTAGGCCGTGTGTTCTCTTCCGGCCGGCCATCTCCTGGAAACCGCTCGGCGTCTCCACCCGTGCCAGCACTACAACCCCCCGGACCATCAGTGTCGGCAACTGAGCCAGTCCAACCACGCACATCGTTCCCTCTACTCCAGCCATCCTTCCACCCGAACCTTCCCGTCATGGTAGGTTCAAGTTCATACACCCATTAACGTAAAACCCACGTTCCCCCTGCTCGCCCCGCCGCGACACGTCCCGGACATGCTCCCCGTCGGACACGAATCCCTGGCGGCGCGCACGCACTGGACCCACTGCTCCTTGGTTATGTTGATGGTGGCCCCGGGTTCCATGGCCCGCAGGGTGAACCGCGCCGTGCCGGACTGGCCAAACGTCTCGGTCGGCGCACCGCGACACCTCGTTACCGACGCTCCCGCAATGCCGCCGCATATTGTCAGGGACGCGGCGGATTCGTCGTGCGAGATGATGTGTCTTATGATTTGTTGGTGTTAATACTACTTTCGACATTGGGCATGTTGAGGGGTGGGATGGATTTACGTTGAAGGGTCGAGACAAAGGACATCGGATACGGCGTGCGGGTTCAAGGGGTTTTGCGCCAGCATGTTGAGCACCTCGTAGTAGGATTGTGGAACAATCACTCGGGGGAAGCTGGTGTACTTCTCGTACCAGCGCGGGGCGGCCAGACAGAACGACGGGATGAGGGTGAGGAGGAGGAGGAGTAGCCGAGTCATCATTTTGAAGGTTTGGATAGTTAACGGTTGACTGTTGAGATGAAAATACAACAGTGGAACGAAGAGAATGGGTTAAAACGGGACCTCAAGTCCCTGGACCGTTGAGAAACGAGGTTTTGATGCTAAAGGAGTCGATCACAGATCGTGGAGAAAGGAAGGGAACAGTGATGCCAGCATCTGGTCACCGTGAGGAAACGGTGTTGATGTTCTGTCTGGGGACTCAACCAGCAGTGTTATAAAGAGAAGAAAAAACCAAAGTCGAGAAGAAACACTGGAGTCACACGTTTCTGTACATGTTGACAACGGCTCGCCCTTTCCTTCCCCCTGGATCCTTGCCAAGCACGCGTCGATCGGCAGGCAACGTCAGTGCACTAACGATAACCGGATCGTCGCCCGGGATATGCTCCATTCTGCCTCCTCAGCAAAACAGGTTGACTTACGAATCACTTTGGGACAAGGGTGCATCAGCAGCCGGATTTGCAGAATCGCAGAACCGCATGCTGTGGGCTGGCTGGGGGTGTCAGTCAACGCTCCTCATGTTGATCAATCCCCCGCAGACGACTACGACCGTACGACGCCGCTTCGGTGAGGTGGGGGCGCCTCGGTGCTGACGAAAGGGGAACCTGGGAAAGGTGAAACACGATTCAGGGGAGACGATGGCCAACTGTGATTGGCCAATTCATGTAAAACATGTACACCTCCTCCAGGGTTTGTTTTCGAACAGCTCAGGGTGTTCAGCCAGGGTGGTGCGCAAGCCAAGGCACCTAGATCCTACAGTTATTCAGGGGCCAAAGGCCGTGAGCTTAGCAGTTTACTGTAGCGGGTCATGCCCGACTGGGGTAGGAAGTGGTCTGCTAAGCAGAATGACATGAGAGAGTCACTTCCTATGGAAATTGCTAGAAGGGGCTGTAGCTGGCTTGGCCCGTGCGAAGCCCAGCTACAGCCCTGGCGGCACCCTGGCTGAACACCCCGGGCTGTTCGAAAACAAACCCTGGAGGAGGTGTACAAGGCCCTTGCAAATGCCATGGTTTGCTGTCCTGGTTGCAGCAAAACCGCTCGAGGGGCTTTTGGTAAGGTGGTTGGTCACAGAAACAAGGGAAAGCCTTGGGGACAGGCAGCTCTTCGTCAATGGTTGGTTGTGCGTTTCACAAGAGCGGGCGTGTATCCTCCGAGGGCACCCTCACAGCGAGGAGGTGGAGACCAAAATGCTGCAGAAGCTCCAGAGCCAGTGGTTCCTCGCTGTGGGAACATTCAAATATCAAAACCGAACGTCGATCGTCGAGGACACTATAGCCGATGCTTTAGCGAGCAAACTGTTCACCCATTCACCCAACAAGATCTTGGGTTATCAATGAGAAATACGGAGTAACAGCCCCGTCTTCCTCACAAGTCCCGGGCATATTCATCGCCGTGTGGCATACACATACTCTAACGATATCAGGATCACCGAATTGACCACAGAATCTGCCCGAAGTTGCGGAACCGGAATCCCACAACGCGACCTGGTGTTACCTCCGTTGTCCGCATATACCACAAATGCCACAGTCTCCAGCATTTCGATAGCCGCTGTCTTGACATGCCGTGCTCCTGCACACCCATGCGTCGGGTATTTTGTCCGGGTCAAGGACGTTGGCGCACATGGCGCAAGTAGCCGCAGGCGGCTCATTAACAACCGAACATACAGGGCAGGATTGCGGGACCTCAGAGCTGGTCCGCGGAGGAGGCGGACCATTTGATATCGGTGGCTTCGGATTCGCCGTCTTGCCGTCGGAGAGCTTTTCTTGCTTGTTTGCCGTGCTGTTCGGTGTACTAGGCGCTTTGCTGCGATTGAACTCGAAAATCTGGCCTGGCGGCTTAGCAGAGGGCTTGTGTGACCCAAAACTCTGTAGCTCGCGTAGCTCCTGCTGAGCGTCTTGATCCTCGAGGTCCTCGTCTTCGCAAACTCTGACCATCCCCCTGCCTTTGGAGTCCAGAAGCTTCTTCCCGTCCAGGTCGACGGCATCCGGTTCGGATTTGGTGTCCTCCTCATAGTCATCCCCGCTCTCGGTTTCGGATCCCTCATCCTCTTCAACAGTCTCCTCCTTTTTCTGCTGTTCGAATCGAGCCAAGGCGGCGGCCGCCCTTAGCTCCCGGCCTCGCGCGCTTGACGCTACTCGTGGTTTGGCTGCCACCTTGCGGCCCTTTTCCAGTTTCCTCTTTACCTCGGCATCTTCGCCCAGCGTGACGCCGTTTGCTCCAAACTTCTTGAGGATCCGGCGCTCTTTCTGTTCCTTGTAGGTGAGCGTTTTCTTGGCCTTCCGTTTTCTGCCTCGGGATCGGTATGTCCCGCCGCAAAGATGTTCTGGCAGCACTTCGCCGGCTGTGATTGTATTCTTTTCGAATTCACCGGTAGCGAGGAGAGCGCCACGCCCCCAGAGACTCTCGCCAGTGAAGCCTTTGGCCCACAGCTGCCTCATTTGCTCTGCGTATTGATTCCGTACCGCCCAAAACGCCCGAGAGTGATTCATTTGCTTGCAATGGGCCAGCCTCACCATCGTGTTAGCTAAAAGCACGGGACGATCTGCTAGTGAGGATGCACAAACTCATGCATCATGACCATCTGCACATAGTTGAAGGGTAGCCAGTGGCCCGAGCCGCGCGCTTTGAGCACCAGCTGGATGACCTCGCCAGCGTTGAAATTCCGGCCGACAAACTCGGCATTCGGCTCGTATTCCTCGAGCGACATGACCGTGAGATGATGTTCCCGCATGATTGGCACTGCATCGAACGGGTTACATGGTCAACATCTCCCGAGAATTTCCCACAAGCAGCGTTGCAAGACTTACGACATTGCGCTGCAATTCTCTCCAGGAAATCTCGTGCTATCTCCTCGTCCGGGCCTTTGAGCGGCTTGATGAAGACGATGCGGTCATTCGGCTGCGAACGTTTGGCGTTGAGTCGCTCAAATCCCAGTGGCATGACTGTTTGGTGAGAATAGTGTTGGTATCTCGTTTACAGCTCAGACCTGAGCAAACTGAAGATTAACATTGATGGCTTTCTGATGGGAGAACTGAAAGTGAAGGAGGGACCTAGACGACATCACGCGACTGGGATGGAACGCGATTCGCTCAACGCCAGGTCACGTGGCACTCTTAAAATTGCTAGCGGAATGATAAGTTGATAACAAGGACCTGCAGTCTTGGACAAGGAGAACGAAGACAATCAAGGCAATCGAGGCAATCAAGTCAGTCAAGTCCATCAACTCAATCAAGTCAATCAAACAGAGAGCAAATTTCAAAACGCCTAGGCAAACCAAGTTTTAGTCAACCACGCCTGTGGTCAAACCAAGCTAAGCGACACTGAGGAGAAGGTAGAGAGAGCGACCGTAGGCACCACTGAACCATTTCATGGCACGTACGGAGTGATATTCCATGATATTTTTTAGGCATAGTCCGGTCAGAGCTTGCAGGTACTGTATGAACATAGGTATCAGACAGCAAACGCATCTACCTCCTCCGAGCTCCACTACCAACACCAGCACCGGCGCCGTGCCCGGACTCGCCCCTGTCGGCAAGCGAAACCACCTCCCCGATGCCCGCCGCCTCCTGCTCGTCCTCGAGCGCCGTAATCTCCTCGCGGCAGTCCCACCACTTCTCCTCGCTGAGCTCAAACGCCTTGGCCTTGATCTCCTTGACGGTAAGCGACTCGGGCTGGATGCCCTTCCACCGGAGCCTGGTCATGAGGATCTCCTGCCACTCGTTGGACGTGCGCTGGAAGAAATCGCGGCGGGATTCGAATGGCTGTTGTCGATTTGTCAGCACCACACAAGGAGGTAAGTTAAGGGTAGGAACAATGGAAAAGCTCACCCTCGGGTGCGGTAACCCGTCGTCGACCGGTGCTGCAGCAGACTCGGTTTCCTCCTCCTCCTTTGCCGGAGCAGGTGATATCGCAGTGTCAGCAGTATCAACATTAGAGACTTCATCAGCTCCCTGCTGCTTCTTCCTCCTCTTGCTCGGTGTAAATGGCTGCTCCTTGGACTCGTCATCTGCCATCTCCACATCGCCTTCCTCGTCGTACTCATCGTCCTCGTAGTCCTCCTCGTCTTCCTCTTCGTCTTCATCCTCATCGTCAGATGCCTGTAGTTCTCGTCAGCCAGGCTCATACCGCTCCGCCCAACAGGGGAGAAAACACTCACAATCCAGTCCTCCACCGGCCGGCTAAACACCTCCTTGCACCCATCCAGCTTGCCCAGGTCAATCGCGTACATGTCGTCAAACGTAAACTCGCGATCGCCCTTCTCAAACGTGCCGCCATAGATGTACAACACATCGTCCTGCACCGCCAGGAGGGCATTGAACCTCGGATGCGGAAGCTCCATGCTCACGGGCATGTCCCTGACCACCTTGCCGCCGTTGTCCTCCTTCTCCTCCCCCTTATTATTGACCCCCGAATCCGCATCCACCTCCATACCATCCACCTCATCCACCGAAACACCCGCCCGCAAAGCAGCCAACTGCCTCAACAACTCCTCTTCATTCGCCTGCGCCCTCGCCCTGCGGCCACCCACAGGACCCCTCTCCCCCCCTTTCCCACCCCCGGCCTTCCCAGCCCTAGGCTTCCTCAGCACCAGCGGGAAGAAGCGATTCCTCTCGACATTCCACGCGAACAGCGTGTTGAAGAACTCGCTCTCAATCCCTTCCTCGCTCTCCTGCACATCATGGACCCCGCCAAACAGGATGCCGCGGCCCTTGTGAAACGCCATGGTGGCGCCCGCGCGGGGCGGATTGGGCGCGTTGGCAGGCTTCTTGCGGCGCTCCCAGCGCACCGTGGGCGGCGTGCCGGAGGGCGCGTCGGCCGGCGGCGGCGTGATGCGCAGGAAGAAGCAGTCCGTGTGGATCAGCGGGCGCAGCACGTTCCTTTGTCCTCCCCCGCCTCCACCCGATGCGGCTTGCGGGCGAGAGGAGTTCTTGTTCGTCGGGGCGGTGGTCTTGACGCGCGAGTAGCCGCCGTACAGAACGGCGCCTTGCTCGTGCGGGAGGAGGGTAAAAGAAGAGCGGGCGTCGGGCTTGAGCTGCGCGGGCGGCAGGACGGGGCTGTGCCAGACAAAGTTGGTCGTGTCGTATATCCACAGATCGGCCAGGTACTTTGTCTGGTTGGCCGTGTCCTGGAAGCCGCCAAAGAGGATGATGTAGTTCTTGAAGTAGGTCATGCGGTGGCCGCTCCGGGCCGGCGGGGTCTTGCCCTTGGGCTCGAGGCGGGTCCATTCTCGCGTGGTGGGGTCCAGCTTCCAGAAGTCGTTGTAGTGGTAGAAGGTGCCCTGCTTGGGCGAGCTGAACTCGCCGCCAAAGAGGTAGACGGCGTTGGCCTGGTTGCCCCCCCGTGTCCAGGCATGCCCGCTGCGCGGGAGCGGGGCGTTGGGAGAGGTCACGCAGCGCCACTCATCGCGGTCGATGTAGTAGATCATTAGGTCGTTAAAGAAGGTAGCCAGTGAGCCGTTGAAGTACTCGCCGCCAAAGAGCAGCAGCTGGTTGCTGTTGGACGGGTTCGCCAGGAACGTGGCCGCCGACCTGGCCCGGGGCGGCCCATCGGCAACAGTCTCGGTAATCTTGAGGAACTGCTCCTGCTGCTTCTTATATTCCTCGAGCACGGCATCCAGATCCACATCCTCGACGTCGCTGCCTTCCATCTTGGATGCCTTTACTTTCGCCTTCTTCTCGGCCTTTTTCTCCTGCTTCTGCTTCTTCTCAGCCAGCTTGGCCTTTTTGGACTCGCTTTTGGCCTTTTTGTCCTTTGCCATCTTGATCGGTGGGACTGATTGCTGGAAAAAGGGGTGAGAAGTTGTGAATGCAGCTTTGGGTTTGGGTGTGTAAGGCTGCAGACAAGAACAGTGCGGAGAAAGCTGCACAGCGGTGCCAGTGCTTGGAAGAGTTGCCTGAACTTTGAGAGGAAGGTCCACTCCACCAGCTTCGAGAATATAGCAAGAGAATTCATTGAGTCGGACAGGAGACAAAATGTTCAAATTCAAGTTCGACACATCACTCCAAAATGTTGTCAAAACGGCTACAAAATCCCATAGCGAAGGTCGTCTCACATTCAGTTGTTCGTCGTAGCCAAGTACTAGTACTGTACCTAGTACATACAGCTCTATAATTGAGCGTCTGCCGCGTTGATTTGACATCGCGGATGCTGCGACACCAGCTACTGTACTTTCAAGGATTCTGTACTCCCCGGCCTGCCGTGTCTACCTATAGGTGGTATGCTCTCTGGCCACTCAATTCCGTTGATGCTGGAGATCCTCACAATGCTGTTAGATGTCTTGCCCCTCGTCGTCCGCTCTCGGCTTACGAACTATATCCGTTCTTCTTCAGCCAAGTGGCCACATCCTCCCGATCACGCTCAACCCATGTGATCTTGGAGCGAATGGCGTCCAGGCTCTGCGCCAGCGATTGGTCAAACCCATTGGTGCTCTTGCCCTCGAAGAACTTCTCGACTCTAGCGAGCTGCTCTTTCTTGGTGTAGCTTGACGTGAAGATGGTGACCATACTCCCCAGCATTGACAGCGCCGGCGGCAGCTTTTTGACGAGCTCTCCCCAGTTCTCCGTCATCCACGTGAACAAGGCCTCGATACCCTCAGGGTGGCTGCGCAAGCCCGTGGCCGGCATGTAAATGTCCTGGTCCTTGACCTCGCCGCTAAAGAGCAGGCCCAGAGTCTGCTTGATGAGTTCTGGGTCTTTGGCCCGACCCAAGCAGCGCAGGGCCGTGTTGCGTTCATCACTGTTGGTCGAGGTACGGTAAAAGTTCAGTACTTTCTCGTACTGTGTGCCTGGGTCAGCACTGAAATAACCACCGGCAGGAAGGGGGAAAAATGCATACCTCCTCCTTGCCACCATACTTTAGAGCCATGCTGAAGACGCTGCCCCTGATATTGGGATGGATTGCCGACCTGTCCCCTGCCATGTACTTTTTGAACATCTCCTTGGCGGCGTCGATGATGGTCTTGTCTCCACTCAGACCGGCACTCCCAAACATCATGGCCTTGAATTGCTGCTCAATGTGGCCATCCTTGTCTGAGAACTGCCAGCCCAGCTGGTGCGCCTTGGCGCTAACAAGATCCCGCAAGAAATCCTCCAAACCGTCGCGGATGGATTTCTCCTCGAATATCCAGGCGCTCTGCACCGCCGCAACGCGGGCAATAATCTCATTCCAGACAACGAACTCGGTTTCCGAGCCAAATCCCTTGAGAAGGCTCAAGACTCCAGATGTGCTCTGGTAGCCAGAGGTAGCAAGGGCGCCCGCGTCGGCAATCATGCCGGCCCGATCCTCAACGCTAAGTAGGCCTTGCGTGGCCGCATCGCCCAGCTTTTTCAGCCGCTCTGGAGAATAGGCAGTGCGGTACAGGCCCGTGTGGTTTGCATTCAGCTTGAAAAACTCGGTACTCGGCACCTTGAATTCCCCTTCACGCTTGTCCAGCGTCTGCGTCTCGTCAATGCCGTCCTTGGTGCGGAGGCCGAGGAAAACGGGGTATAGAACTTGATCCTCCTCAGGCTTTGTGTCACCAGTGCGCAGAAACCGATTCTGCTTGAGATGGATCGTATTGTCTTCCTTCTCCGTCACGGTAACTACCGGGAAACCAATGTGCTTGGTCCACACTTGCATGACCTCATCCACCTTCTTGCCGCTGGCTTCCGCAAGAGATGCCCACAGATCCCCGGTTTGGGTGTTTCCGTAGGCATGCTTCTTGAGGTACTTCCTGACACCTTCAAGGAATGTCTCTTCTCCGAGGTAGGTCGAAATCATGCGGAGGACGCAGGAGCCCTTTGAGTATGAGATGGCGTCAAATATCTGGTTGATCTCGTCTGCCCGCTTCACAGGAACCTCAATCGGATGGCTGCTTCGGAGAGAGTCCAGGGCTAGGGCACGTTGAAGGTTATCAACGACATACGACTCCCACACCTTCCATTCAGGATAAAAGATGTTGCACGAATACCACGAAGCCCACGTAGCGAATCCCTCATTGAGCCATAGACCATCCCACCAGTCCATGGTGACGAGGTTACCAAACCACTGGTGGGCCAGCTCGTGCTGCACGACTTCGGCGACGCGCTCCTTGGTCGCTGCGCCGCTGACATTTTCATCCAGCAACAGATCGACGACACGGTACGTAACGAGACCCCAGTTCTCCATGGCACCTTGAGCGAAATCGGGAATCGCAATCTGATCCATTTTCGGAAGAGGAAACTCGATGCCAAATACCTTTTCGTAGAATGCCAGTGTCTTGGCAGCCAGGTTCAGGGAGAAGCGGCCATGCTCAATGTTTTGGCCCGGTGGCGCGTAGACGCGGACAGGCACACGGAAGTCATTGGTCTCAATGTAGTTGAGCTCCCCGACGACGAAAGCCACCAGGTAGGTGGACATGAGCGGGGACTTGTTGAAGGTGACGGCCTTCTTGGTGCTGCCAGTCTGCTCAGACAGGACCTCGGTCTCGCCCGCAACGTCCATGTTGCTCAGGCAAGTCAAGTTCTTGTCGGCAACAAGAGTGACTGTGAACTCGGCCTTCAGGGCGGGCTCATCGAAGCAGGGAAAGGCGCGGCGCGCATCGGTCGGCTCCATCTGGGTAACCGCCATGATACCTTCACTACCGTCGGGGTTCTTATAAGTTGACCGATAGAAGCCGGCCATCTTATCGTTGAGCTGGCCAGTGAACTTGATCTCGAGTTGTGCCTTGCTCCCCTTGGTGAGAGCATTGTCAAATTCGAGAGTGGTGACCTGTGCCTTCTCATCATATGAGAGGGCAGGGGAGGAGCTGCAGCCGCGGCACTGTGAGCTTGACTGATCGGGAGAATGTGCCACGAGCAAAAGGGAGAAAGAGACATTAGCTAACTACCTGATGGTCTGCCCGCCCGAGGTGATCTTGGCGAAATGGACATCGAGCTCGAGGGTGTGCAGCGCGATGGACTTGGAGTCCTCGGTCACGTCGAGGTCAATCACAACAGTGCCGTCGAAATTCAGTTTCTTGAAGTTCGGTTCCAGCGTAACGTGGTAGTGCTTGGGGATGACATTGGTGGGGAGCAGCTCCCGGCCCTGCACGTTAACCCCACCCCCCGTTTCGGCCATTGCCTGCGTTCTGCACATGTTGTGTCTTCGGTAGGAGCAATAACGGACCGGCGTGCTGGTAAGGCGCAGTGTTCGTGAGGGAGTGATGGGTCGATGTTGAGTCGAGCTTGTCGCGATTGCAGAGGAGAAACGTCTCCTGATCGAGTGACTGCGGGGTGATTCGGCATTAGCATCAGCATCCGCTCAGACCCCTGGTCTCCTCCCCTTTGATCCTCTGGAGCGGGTAGCGGGTCGCGCGGTCTTTGTTAAGGCCCTGGGGTGCGGCATACCGTGATGCAAAATCCTGCGCCGTCGTTTGGGCGCGCAAATGTAGTGCTGCTCCTGCTCGTGTGAGAGGTTTCTGAGCTCCACGACAGGCTGGCCTCACAGCGAGGCAGGAGCGGAACATGATGAAGGAAAGTAAGAATTATGAACGACCGGACAACAATCTCATGTGTACCACTGTACAGTGGGCCCAACTATCGTACATACACTCACACTTACGTACAGCACCCGTCAGATGGGCTTCATGCAGAATTCCAAGTTGACGGATCTGCCCGGCAGAAACCGCTGGCACCAAACAAGCGACCGCACAAGCCACCTGTGAAAATCTAGCCGTTCAAGGATGGCCAAACCTATCCCTGTCTTACTGTGTAAGTCTAGGTATCCCACTTACCGTTATTGGCAGGCGGTCAGAGGGCCGCTTCCAGGTTCTTGCCCTCGATGATTGTGTGCCGGACAATCTCTGCCAGGACAAAGAAATCGCAGGGCTGGTTGCTATTGTTGTTTTGAGAAGTGACACACACTTTAGATTTAGACTGCTCAATCCCTTTGATTTGGGAAAAGGCTACTCGGTCCGGAGTTCCTGGTCGTGGCAGTGCCTCGACCGTGTCGTTGATGGAATGGCAGAAACGTGGTGAGGCTGGAACCAGTTAGGACGGGATAGGTGGTTTACAGCATCTCAGTGCGCGGTGAACCATTGACACAGATAGGTACCGGTAGATGTCACCTTTTCGAACGATCCGAGACCCGTAAGGCACGATACCTACCTAGGGCGAAACTGAGTTGCAACTAATACTTATAGGGATGGACTGAAAGAATGCGCGGTGTCCCCCATCATACTCGATGTTCGGGGTAAGGTTACAGTAACTTACAATAACAGCACTGAGCTTATTTCAATCCACAATGACACTCCGCAGCGGGGTAACTTGAGCTACACAAAGCAGACTGAGGGGCAGAAACTGACCTCAACGACGCAACCCCAACAAGGCAGAGCTCTAACTTGATCGATGTTGGGTTTTTGTCTTTTGAATAAGTCAAAAACATATGAGTACCTGCCCAGGATAGACGAATGTGATTCTACGTTCCAATCAGGAGGAAACAGTTCGGATTTCTATGTTGTCGGTGAGCTCCGAGAACGGATTCAAACGCCCGGAGTCCTTTCGGTCTCACAAAAATCGGCCGTCTTGGACTTCCACTGGCAAGCTGCAGGCTATTAATGGTTGGGTAGAAGAGCAGGGGTCGCCAAGATGTAGATGCTACCCGATAGAAGCTCCTTCCTCCGATCGACGGCGTAACTGAGACATGGTATTGCCCTGCAGGTCCTAACACGATCAGTGTCCCGGAACCTTGCGTGGCATGTCACCCCACCGAACGCAAATCCTGCCCCTCCCAAGCTGCCCCTCCCTCAACCTCGTCTTTGCTCAACTGGAAGATTCTCCCTCAGCCAAGGAGTCATCCCAATCTCTCCTCCTCCGACTCAACTTCTCCGTACCACAACATTGAAAGAAAACTTCCCGACCCCATCCGCCACGTCCAATCTCAGGTAAGTCCGCATCAGAAACGTTCCCTTGCTTCTCGCTTGTTACCCTCTGCCTTCCTTGCCAACCTTCCTACCTGAGTTGGCCAGAACGACTTTGGATGGAGATTTCTGGCAAACGGATAGTCGTGCGGGATATTCTTTAAACTCCTCGGATCAGCATCACAATTGAGTGAATTTCGTCTGCGAAGCTGGATTGATCCCTCAATTGAAATCACGTCCTGCTTTTCTTTCTCTCCCTCACCCCAAATCGTGCTGCCCTTCCAGCCGCTCAAGTTCTGTGCCAGCTCATTCTTGACCGCTCTTACCGCAAACTGCTTCAGAGGTTTCGACTGACATTCAACCGGCAGAACCGATCACAATGACCATCTCCAAGATCCACGCCCGCTATGTGTACGACTCTCGCGGCAACCCCACCGTCGAGGTCGACGTTGTGACCGAGACTGGCCTCCACCGCGCCATTGTTCCCTCGGGTGCCTCCACCGGTTCGTCATACCGATAGCTTCCCTGCCCTCAAGCATATAATCTGACGATGCCGAGAAAACAGGTCAGCATGAAGCTTGCGAGCTCCGTGACGGCGACAAGTCCAAGTGGCTTGGCAAGGGCGTCCTCAAGGCCGTCCAAAACGTCAATGAGGTGATCGGGCCCGCGATCATCAAGGAGAACATCGACGTCAAGGACCAGACCAAGGTCGACAAGTTCCTGATTGACCTCGATGGCACTCCCAACAAGACCAAGCTTGGCGCCAACGCCATCCTCGGTGTGAGCTTGGCCATTGCCAAGGCAGGAGCTGCTGAGAAGGGCGTCCCTCTCTATGCGCACATCTCGGACCTTGCTGGCACCAAGAAGCCCTATGTCCTCCCGGTGCCTTTCATGAACGTCCTGAACGGAGGGTGAGTCTGAATTAGTGAGTTGGTATGTCGCTTGCCGCGCCTGCTAACGACGATGCTCTGTAGTTCCCATGCTGGTGGTCGCCTGGCATTCCAGGAGTTCATGATTGTCCCTTCATCGGCTCCTTCATTCTCCGAGGCCATGCGTCAGGGTGCTGAGGTATACCACAAGCTCAAGGCCCTGGCCAAGAAGAAGTACGGCCAGTCGGCCGGCAATGTCGGTGATGAGGGCGGTGTCGCTCCGGATATCCAGAGCCCGCAGGAGGCCCTCGACCTGATCACCGAGGCCATTGAGCAGGCGGGCTACACCGGCCAGGTCAAGATCGCCATGGACGTGGCCTCTAGCGAGTTCTACAAGGAGGACGCCAAGAAGTACGATCTCGACTTCAAGAACCCCGAGAGCGACCCGAGCAAGTGGCTCACGTACGAGGAGCTGGCCAGCCTGTACAGCGAGCTGTGCAAGAAGTACCCGATCGTCAGCATTGAGGATGCCTTCGCCGAGGACGATTGGGAGGCCTGGAGCTACTTCTACAAGACCCAGGACATCCAGCTTGTGGGCGACGACCTGACGGTCACCAATCCTCTCCGCATCAAGAAGGCCATTGAGCTCAAGGCGGCCAACGCGCTCCTGCTCAAGGTCAACCAGATTGGGACTCTCACCGAGTCGATTCAGGCCGCCAAGGACTCGTACGCCGACGGCTGGGGCGTCATGGTTTCGCACCGCTCCGGCGAGACGGAGGATGTCACCATCTCGGATGTGGTTGTCGGCATCCGCTCCGGCCAGATCAAGACTGGCGCTCCCTGCAGATCCGAGCGCCTTGCCAAGCTCAACCAGATCCTCCGCATTGAGGAGGAGCTTGGTGAGAACGCCATCTATGCGGGCGAGAACTTCCGCAAGGCTGTTGAATTGTAAAGCGGGAGCGTTTTAAAGACGTGGTCCGGGAAACCGGAACGCAGAAACCAGTTTTTCAGGGCCATCTGGTAGCCGGATGATTGGGGTTGTTCATTGGGCGGGTGAACGAAAAGGTGGCATGAGTTCTTAGAAACATGGAAATACCAAATATGCAATACAGGTCCTTGCTATATAAAGAAGAATGGGAACACACACTGGTTTCAGTCATTACTGGGAACGGAACGTAAGCGGAAGCCGATTCTTTGTACGCTGCAGGCAGCTTGATGTTGATGCCAGGTCGGGTGTTGGGCTTGGGCCAGACGTACAGATCCCCTTAACTGTGAAATGACACATTTTTAGCGTGACAGGGTTGGACCAATCGGGGCCTTTAACGGACGCTCTTGGCGTAGATCTCTACCTCTCAGTACACGGAGGCTTGGAGAGAGCAGAAGGTTCCAGCGCTGGAACACAACCCGCACGGTATCTCTGGGTATCTGTGGGAACGCTAAAAATGTGTCAATTCCACAGTTTAGGGGATAAACATCAAGGTACCTTCGTACTGTACCTCCTGGGTGCATGGTCCGCTCTCTGGTTATTGCGCTTGTCAGCCGTGCCAGTTGTCCAACAGTTGGCCGCCCCGGTTGCTCTAGTGACCGCACAATATTTGGGTAAACTTGGATAGAAACAGACAAGCGCAATTGCGGTGCGTCGGGTGTTGATTGTGATCGCGCATCCCTGGCCTCGACGACGGTTCATCTTACGCGTCTTCTCTTTTCCACGAAGGCTTTGATGTTACGCTTGCGAGTGCTCATCAGATTAGGTAGGTGAGACGGTCTGAAATAAACATCAACGGCGCTCTTGTCCGCATTTTGCGGCTCTCTTTTCACTACTTTTCTTGTCCCTCCTAAAAACAACCGCTTGCGTCATGGCGTCAGGCAACCTCATCGACTTCGATATCATCGAGGGCCACAAGGAAAACATTCAGGCCCTCCCAAGCGGCCGGTCTGCTAAGAAGCTTGCCGAGTTGTTCTCTCCGTCGCCTCTCCAGGCACGGTCATCCCCGGCGCCCTTGGGCAATAAGGACATCAATGACGAGACACGCGCCAGATTCGAGGCCGAACTTGCCGCCATTTCCGAATCGGACGACCCCCTTGACATCTACGATCGCTATGTGCGCTGGACACTGGACACATATCCCTCGGCGCAGGCCACACCGCAGTCCCAGCTGCACACGCTGCTTGAGCGCGCAACCAAGACCTTTGTCAGCTCGGCGCAGTACAAGAACGATCCACGATACCTGAAGATGTGGCTGCACTACATAAACTTCTTCTCAGACGCACCCCGCGAGACGTTTGTATTCCTGTCGCGGCATTCCATCGGCGAAACGCTCGCGCTATTCTACGAGGAGTACGCCGCTTGGCTGGAGGGCGCCGGCCGCTGGGCCCAGGCAGAAGAGGTTTACAAGCTGGGGATTGAGCGCGAGGCGCGTCCCGCAGCACGCTTGCTCCGCAAGTTCGGCGAGTTCGAGCAACGGCGGGCGCAGCAAGGCCAGGCCGATGGACCGTCGTCGCCAGCGCTGCCGGCGGCGCGCCCGGCCCTTGCAGCCAAGATTGATCCGTTTGCTGCTGCCGCTGCAGTGCGCGACCCCCAGGCCCCGCGACAAACCAGCGGACTCGGTGCGCAGTCGTCAAAGCCTGCGCGGTCCAAGCTCACCATCTTCTCCGATGCCGACCAGGGAGCGACGGCGCCGGCAATGTCGTCTAGGGGCGCAGGATCTAAGGGGTGGGAAAGTATTGGGTCTCTAGCCGACCGTAAGAAGGAGAACGCCATGGAACCTAAGCCGTGGGCGGGAGAGACACTGAAAGCGGGAGGGAAAAAGAGTAGTGGAGCGAAGCTGGCTGTGTTCAGAGATCCGGTATGTCCCAGTACTCTCTGTCCCTCCCCAGCACAACGAGATGTTGATTGATATAGGACTAATGTATGGCGGTCTGTTGTATTTGTATTTCAGTCATTGTCTCAGCAGCTCTCTCAATCACACATTCCTATCCACCATGCCAAAGTTCAAGTAACGGTAAACCCGAGCAACGGGAAACGGGAGCGCGTGTTTGTCGACCTGCGGGTCATTTACCCGACCCCCGAAGAGCCAGGTACCGAGTTGAGCTTCGAGGAGATATGGGCTGCTAACCGCGGATGGCTTGGTCGCGAGTGGGAGAATGAGATCCCAGAAGAGCCACCCTCATTCGCAGACGAAAATGCTGCTCCTGATGTGAATGCTTTAGCCAACGGACTCTCTGCAAAGCTGGGAATCTACCATGACGTTGTCAGGCTCGATGAGAATGGTGCCCCTATCTATGAAAGGGAGGCGAAGCCCAAAAAGAAGAAGGTGATTGAGGTTAATGCGACACAAATCAGTCAGTGAGCCCCCCTTGCATCCGTGAGCGATTCTAACAATGTGTCAGTCAAAGCGAAGCTGGACTCTCCTTCAGGCCCAAAGATGAAGAAGAAGAGGCGATCTATGGCTGAGCCTACCATGACGGTCCACACCAAGGCAGCGACTGAGGACATCTACGACATATTCAATGCGCCAATCAAGCCAGCTAATGAGGGAATTGACGCCAGTGACGATGAACGAGGTTACGAATCTGACGACTACACCAGCGGTGCCGAGAGTACCGTGACGACACAGAATTTTCCCGCAAGCGATGCAGCTGACGACAAAGATGAAACCGAGGCTGGTGTCGACGACGACGCTCTGGATGCGAGGAGCGTTACCAGTGAGTGGTCGGAATTCTCAATGTCAAAGCACGTCCCCGGTTTTGGTGGAGACGTTACGGAGAGGAACGACACTCGGGTGTCCGATCTGATTGATATCCACGAGCCTGGTGATGACGCCTCGGAAAAGACCGGCCCTCAGGATTATCAAGAGGATGAGGATGGCGAAGATCCGGATGAGCCTCCTAGGACGAGGACCATCTTCGTGCCAATTCCTCCAGAAGACTATGTCCCTACACGTCGGCCATACCGGGATCCCGTCGAGGCGGCTAACAACCGTCTCCCCTTTATGACCCCTATCACGGAGAGAACTGAAACTTCTTTGGACGTTACTCTGCACGGCAAGACGCCTTGTAGGAGCCATGACAGGGTACTTCCGCTCGAGGAGGAAGATGAGGTGGAGGAGGACAACATTGACCTTGGGCCACTTAGCAGTCCGGTGAGAGAGGTCGTCGAACAGGAGATGCCCAAGGATACAGTTCCTCAGCCACTGCTTCCGAAAGCGAAGCCCACCACGACAGCTAAACCATTTGCTACAAAGGTGCTGGGACCCAAGGGTCCCATTATCAAGGATGCTCAGTGCAATCCGGTGGACGACGGCATTCGGGCCGAAATTCTTGCCAAAATACACCCTCCGCTGAGCTCATACGAAGGCTTCTATGACCACCGAAACGAGAAGTCCGGGAAGGGGCCCGAGATCCGCAAGTTTGCGAAGGCCACTGCCAAGGGCAACAGGAGCAGCACTGACAAGACACTGAACCTTGCGCCTTGGGTTGTCCTCCAATTCCCAGACACGAAATCCAAGTACACCATCAAAAAAGAGCTTGGCGCAGGTGCTTTCGCGCCCGTATATCTTGTTGAAAGCTCACACCCAGACAATCATCACCCTTCGTCAGAAGAGGGCAACGACGAGAACGCGCCGGTAGCGCTCATGGGCCGCGGCGCCTTCGCGAGCGCGCACAACCATCGCAGCGAACGCGAGGCGCTCAAGATGGAGGACCCCCCGACGCCGTGGGAATTCTACATGATGCGGCTCGCGCACTCGCGGCTCGGCCCGCAGCACCGTGCGGCGGCCTCCATCTCGCCTGCGCTCGAGATGCACCTGTACCAAGACGAAGGCTTCCTCTTCCTGCCCTACCACCCGCACGGCACCCTGCTCGACGTGGTCAACCTCTTCCGCGGCGAGGCCTCGGGCGTCATGGACGAGCAGCTGGCCATGTTCCTCGCCATCGAGCTCCTGCGCACCGTCGAGGCGCTGCACGCAAAGCAGCTGCTGCACGGCGACATCAAGGCCGACAACTGCCTTTTGCGGCTGTCGGATCCCCTGGACATGAACATGAACAATAACGAGCAGCAGCAGCAGCAGCAACTCTCGGTCAAATGGCACCGGTCCGGCAGCGGCGGATGGTCCGCGCGGGGGATCACGCTCATCGATTTCGGGCGGGCGATTGACATGCGGGCGTTTGCGCCCCACACGCAGTTTGTGGCCGACTGGAAGACGTCGGCGCAGGACTGCGCCGAGATGCGCGAGGGCCGGCCCTGGACCTGGCAGATTGACTACCACGGCCTGGCGGGGACCTTGCATTGCTTGCTGTTTGGCAAGTACATTGAGACGGTGCGTTGCGATGCCGGCGGCCTGCCCGGGGCGGCCGGCAGGCGCTACAAGATCCGCGAGAGCCTCAAGAGGTACTGGCAGACCGATATCTGGGCTGAGTGCTTCGATCTGCTCCTCAACCCGGGCGCGCATGTTCAGGCTGAGGATGGTGGGAAGATGCCCGTTCTGAGGGGCATGCGGGCCGTTAGGGAGAAGATGGAGGCGTGGCTTGAGGGGAACTGCGAGAGGGGGGTTGGGCTAAGGGGGTTGATGGGCAAGGTGGAAGCTTGGGCGAGGGGGAGGAAGTGATCATGTTTTGTATTCATGCCTTTGTTTCGGTTGTGGATGCGGTTGTTTGGGGATTGTTGCCGATTATACGATATCCCGGGGATGGTGTTATGGCAATGCAGGGCTGGAGGCTGACTGGGTATCGTTATTACTTGTTTGTTGTGGCGAGATCTACTCGAGGTCTCAGTCTGTCTGCTGTCGCCGGCTTTTCGCCTATTCTTACAATTTCTGGTCTTCTTAGTACACAAAGGATAATACCCCCTTAACTCCGTACATGATACACATTATGAAGTTTACACAGTAGAGAAACTCTCCACTCAGTCGTTCTCGCTGCACGAGTCACAAGTGTCCTCGTCCTTCTTTTTCTTGCTCTTCTTTTTGCCCTTGGCTTCCTTCTTTGCGTCCTTTTCGGCCTTTTTATCCACCTGCTCCTGGATCTTTTGCCTCTCGGTAGCGCCCTTGGCTTGCAGCGCCTCCTCTTTCTCCCGGAACCCGTCGCTCTCAACGTCCATCCCTATGAGACTTTCGAGAAGCTTGATCTCGTCAGCCCAGATCTGCTTATTCTCGACTGTCTTGCCGTCAGGGCCCTTCTCGTCGATCGGCGTCTCGAGAACCATCGGCAGGCCCTGAAGGGCCTCGTGATTCATGATATTGTGGAAGGCACGCAGTCCGAGAAAGCCCGTGCCGATGTTGGCGTGCAGGTCTCGGTGCGAGCCAAACGGGGCCTTGCTGTCGTTGAGGTGCAGAGCTCGCAGGTATTCCGTGCCGACGACCCTGTCGAACTCGGCCATGGTCTCAGCGAAGGCCTCGGGCGAGCGGAGGTCGTAGCCCGCGGCAAAGGCGTGGCACGTGTCGAGGCACACCCCGACGCGGGACTTGTCGTCGACGAGCGCGATGATGTCTCGCAGGTCCTCGAAGCGCGAGCCGACCACGTTGCCGCTACCGCACATGTTCTCGAGCAAAGTCACGACCGACTCGGTGGCCTTGTGTGCCCTGTTGAGCTGCGCTGCAATGCGCGCGCAGGCCGATTCCATGCTGGCGCCGCCCGTGGAGCCCGGATGAAAGTTGTAAAGCGTGATCCCCAACGCTTCACACCGCTGCAGGTCGTCCAGGAAACTGTCGTAGGCCTGGGTAGCTTTCTCCGCGTCGGCTTGGGCGAGATTGACGAGGTATGACCCGTGCGGGAGGATGTGCTTGCGCGAGTCGTAGCTGTGCTGCTTCAACATGGCGTGGAACTGAGTCTTGCATTCGTCAGCGAGCGGCGGGCTTACCCATTTGCGCTGCGATTTGAGAAATAGGGCGAAGGCATTTGCCCCGATATTTGAGGCGTTCTGAATCGCGTTCTGTACACCCCCGGCGCCTGAAACGTGGGCCCCAATGTACATGGCCCTCTTGAGAGAGGTGATGGCTGTCCGGGCTGCTAGTGGCATGTTGTTTTCGGCGTCTTTTTTGGAGGCGGTTTTCCTCCTCTTGGCCGCGGGCTTCTTTGTCCCTTGAAGCTGGTCTCCCTCTTCTTCTCTTTCCTTGTCCTCGGTCGGGTCAATGGAGTCGAGGTCCTCGCCGTCGACGTGCGGTTCAGTATGGGTGGCTTTGCGTTTTGGATTCTTCCTTTCGTTTACTTCGGCTTTGGATGCATTGACGACAGCCTTGATGCCGTTAACAGCGGCGGAAACGCCTTTCTCTAGAATGTGGGATTTCGACTCCGTTGCCGACTTGGACTGCACCATCTGGCGAGATGACCGCCGGGCCATCGTGAGAGCACAATTGACCGACACAGGTTGGCCAGCCGTTGGTGTTGAAGACACGCTTTCGTTTGGCTGATAGAACCGAGTTCACGCGCAGTTGCCCAAATCCAATTACCCAAAGGAGAGTGTGTCGAAACGCGCCGCGACATCACGTGAATGATGGATCTTTCTTAAAGTGAGCTTCTGGAATTGACCTTCGGTGGTTGGTAATTATGGGGGTTAACAATCATGGTGTGTTACCCTCAAGATACGATACGTAAGGTACCTTACGCACTCGCGCAGCCTAGGCAACCATCCGAAGATTCAGGGTACTACCTCCGTATAAGAGCCAGGTACGAAATATACTACGTAACCAGTTTCCTGTCGACCGTTAGTAGTAAGCTATATTGTACAATACAGAAGTCCGTACAGTAAAGCTGTCTGTTACTGTATGGTACTCTACAAGAGTACACGTATCCGCGCCAGGGGCCCGCATAACCGTTCCACATTCCATGGCTCACCAAGTAGCACTCGGCTCTTTTCCTCGGTCCCATATGTCGCAGCACCCTGGCGTTGCAATTTTTCACGATTGGGATTGCTTTGAGCAGTGAGCACTGAGCAGTCAGCAAGTGCCAGGCGGCAGCTCCGCGCTAATGTCGAGTCGGGAAGGCTTTGTGTGGGAGGTGTGGGTACCATGCTATTTTTACACCAGAGCACCGGGTTAACATCTGCCAAGTGGGCGCGTCAAGTGGAGATGGAAGCAGAAGGGTCTCAGAGGGTGACGGCTTTCGAGAGCTGGAGCTGCAAAGTTTAGGGGTGTGACAGCTTTCCTACAATTCCCTCCACGCATGTGAAGTTATGATGAAGCTGACAATAAACTCAGCGTTACTGCGAGTCAACTTGCTCAGTAGGCCAAGATATAACGATGGATGTGGGTGTAGATCGCGGCGGTCAGTTTCCCACCAGATCTGACATCTTCGTTGAAAACGTATTGAAAACGTAATATACAGTATCACGGGAATTTAACGAAGTCAGACGGCCCAAATGCAAGCCACATTGAATATCCAGTCGATATTCGCACAACATCCCTCCGGATTGGGCATGAGAGTTTACAGCCTCGCAGGGCTCAAAGGGAAACACTTTGCTTCCATCTTGGCCTCATGTATTAGCTAGATCTCGACAGCTCGCATCTAGCCAAGTATCACATCCACTTGCTTGACGCTGCGTACAGCCGTACACTTGATCCAAGCATGGTGTTGGTGGCTTACAAAGCTTTGATCAACCCAGCATTCAGCCACTCCCACGCGCGTATAGGAATCTCCCATTCTGCATCCCTGCAGATTCTTGCATGCTGTGTCGACCAACAACTCGCCCCCTCCAAAAATCATCCGTAGACTTGCAGAGTGACTGCAGCCGGGCCTTTAGCCATCTGCCGTGATCGTATTCACTCAGCGCCAACGCCAACGCTGGCCTGTCGAAGACTCCGTTTCTGTGGCACGCCCGATCAGGTAACACTCGAACCCCCCGATGGCCAGCCACGACCCCCAACCATGATTATTATCCCCAACGATTGAATACCGTTCTTGCATCGAGCCTTGGTCTATGGGGATGGCGACCGCCGACGAGAGCATCGACGCGGAGGAAACCCGACGGTCCTCAATCGAGAAACAGCCCATCGTCGTGTCCGATGCCGAAATCGATGTCGCCGAAGACGAGCCGTCGGCCTTTGAGCGGCTTCCCGACGAGATTATTCAACAGTATGCTTTTCACGCTGTCCCCTTGCGTGTGTGATGATGGCTTGCGACGAGCTTGGTCTTGGTGTCTCGCCGCGCAGGCGGCTAATGATTTGAATAAACAGGATCCTCCAGGCCACGGATTCTAATGGCTTCGCGTCGCTAGCCCTGCTCAACACGAAATGGAGAAGCGTCGCGCAACAAGCGCATCTCTACGCCCACCACCTGGCCGGCTGTCCATCCTACGCTACGAGCCATAGTGGGCCTCCCCAGGTCGCCGGCGAGGATGACCTGCCCAAACTGCGTCGGCTCTTCGCCAGGGAGGTTAAGCGTAACCTTTTCGAGGCCTATCTCCGTCCTAGCCAGACTATCATCAAAATCATCTCGAACTCGATCAGCTCCTCGTCATGTCCCGGCGGCGAAGGCATCCAATTCAGTCCCTCACCGAAAGGCCACCACCTACTGGCTTACAACTCGTCCAGGATACACGTCATCGACGTTCGGGGGACCGAGGTCGTGGTAAAGAGAGAATTCAAGATTCTGCGCCGCCCTGCCGCGACTTGCATTAATGACGAAGGCACCATGCTTGCCGTCCTGCTGACCGAGATGGAAGTCGATGTCTACGATCTCACCCAGACACCGCCGAAGAGGACTCAGTCCTTGATTCTGGATCACAGCCCCCGTGCCATCGCTCTGTCTCCTTGCGGCAATGTCTTGGCCGCAGCGTACGAGGGAGGCATTGAAGTCTCCTCACTGAACCCGGGCGCCCTGGCGACTGAGAGGAGAGCAGTTAAATGCGACGGAGTCGACGCTCTCACCTTCTCGTTCGACGGAACCCAGATTCTAGGCACGACGGTGCATTCATCGCAGCCAAACACTGTCATACTAACTGCCCCCTACTATGACCCAGCCAGTCACATGGCCGATGAGGAGAACATCAGTGCGCTATGGACAACCTCGATACTTTTCCCAAACACGAGCCGCGACTGTAGTCACGCCGTGTTGATTCAGAACGCTAGGCACGAAGAAGCAAGCTGGACATTTACCTATGATCGATGCTTTGAGACCTTCCGGGCAGTGCGTGTTGACGACCTGCGGAACGGCACGACCTACTTTACTGGGCCGTTGCCACCGAGCTGCGACTCGCAAACCAGGCTGCTCCCATGCACGTTGCCCGCTGCATCGTACCATGGCGAACTCGTCTCTGCTGGCTTCCAGGGCAAGGAGATCTGGCTCTATGGGATACCGGAGGACCTAGACGCGGTGCCTGAGGCCACCGCAAATACCGCTACGGAAAATGGGCCCAACGCGGCCGGCCTGTTTCGCCGAAATAGCGGCCCTTCTTCCCGCTCGACTGCTAGGATACAAGACAGTAATGAATCAGCCAGGGTCCCGCAGTGGCAGATTTTATGTGACAAGCTACGAAACACGTTTGTGGGAGGCTACAAGGTTGGCGAACTGGAAGGAGTCAACCTGGTGAAGTTTGTCGCGGATTTTGCAGACTCATCCATGAGGGAGCGACTGATTATCGCTGCTCGTGGAGTGGTGCACAACATATGCGTGACTGATGATGAGGGTATTGATTTCGCTGACGGCGGCCGGATCACCATCATGGATTTTGACTATGGAGTCCGCAACGGTACTGTCAGGGAATGCACCATCGAAGTCGGGACAAAGGAGCCTGAGGTGCTGGAAGAGGAACACCGCGACCTGGCCACAGAGGTTGCCATCGTTCGTCGACGGACAGTTGCTCAGAAGAGGCAGAGCCGCGGCGCCGCTCTCATCCGCAGCACCACCAGCGCAGCCCGCCCTTCCCCGCCGCTGCCAAATCAATCGACCACGGGCACCGAAGACGATGACGACCCGCTTGTCCCTCGCCGGATCGGAGCGCTTCCTACTAGAAGAGCTGAGCTGGCTGCGGCAGAAACTGAGGAAACGGAAACCCAGTCCATCGAAGAGCAGGAAGCCCTGGATGCGCCCTATGTGCATACGAGCCCTCGCTCTGGGACAACACTCCGCCGAGCAGCGACTGCCGCTGCGAACACCCGACGGTTGCATCCGTCTGCAGCTGCAGGCCACATCGTATATCGAAGAGCAGACGGCCGCGCCGAGCATCCGCACGAGAGTGACGCGGACAATTGGGTCCCACCACCGCCCCCATACCAAAAGGAGGACCCCGGCGATCTGCCCTCGTTTCTCCGTCATGCCGCAATTCTTCCCCTCAGCCCTAGCGTGCAGCCTGTCCAGGACCAAAGCCCACCACAGCCGCCAGCAAAGCAACCGAATCGAAACTCGTCGGCAACCCTACATCAGCAGCCTCGTCGCACCCAAACACTGGGCGCCAATAGACACTCGTCTCCTATTCCTCCCGTTCCTCCTCTTCCATCGCTCTCCAGTCTGCCTCCTATCCCACCTGTCCCACCCCTTCCGCAGGGTGTAATCGGCTCTCCATTACCACAGATTCAGTACACGCCCCAGACTCCTTTACACCCATCTGGCCAGAGTGCTAGATCTCTCCATGGGGATGCCCCGCGACCTCCATCCAGGAATTCCCGGTATCTTGAAGGGGACAACATTTACGATGTTTCACCGCCCGACTCACCTGCCATGCGCCCCGTAGGACAGCATACCTCTCGTGATCCGAGCGATGGACGGACTGTGAGCAACTCGGCGACGCCTCCCGAAATACCCTCGGTGGCGCCTGCGCCGCCTCCAAAGGATGTGCCGCCCCAAACTGTCACCGGAACTCGGATGTCCACGGAGGGCAGGGCCCCAGCACCGCTCAATTTGCAAATACCATCCCAAGGAACAACTACCGGCATGCCGCCTGTGAGCAACGTGTTGCCCAACGGAGATGGGCCAATGCGCCCTATTTCTGTCTCGAGGACTTGGCCAATGCAGCCCACGGGAGCCATAATTAACCCTGGACCATCGGGGTATCCATATTCGGCACCCCCTGTCAACAGCAGCCAAGATTCAACTCAATCGTTTTCGCATGTCCCGGCTGCCGGACAGCTACCAAGCCTCGGCACGCGGCCGCTGTCGGGGAGCTTTCCGCTGCCCAGCATGCCAATTGACAGCCGCACGGGCTCCGAGCATGATTGGCGGCGGACCTCTTACCAACGCCCTGTGTCACAGCAAGCCCACTACTCCTTGCCCCGCCAGGCACAACCACCATATCAGTCATCCAGCTCCCGCAATACGATCCACGAGCCGCAACCCCGCCAGCCGCACGACGGGTCTCCTATGCCCCCGGGCGAGGAGATGCCACTCATCATCAGCACGCCAAAAGGCGTCTCAGGCGCTTTTGATCCTCCCGAGCGCCGCATCTCGGGCCGTCATGCAGACGCGCCCATTCTCGCGCCCGTGCCGCGCCACCCTCGCCCAAACACGCAAGCAGCCATCTTGCGTCCCGGCCCAGAACGTCCCGACCCAGGCCCGGCCGTTCTGGGGAGCTACCCGAACTTGAACGTGCCGCCCGTGCCGGCATCGGTAGCTTCGCCGGTAAGCAGCTTCAGCTTCACGCGTCGCGTGCCGAGCCTGAGCAGGAGGGCGAGCCGTGCGGAACGGAGCGCGGCCAAGAACGTGGCCGACGCCAAGAAGCGCGGCTGGAGCGGCAGGTCCACGAGAGGCAAGAGCAGACGGAAAAAGAAGGAGCAGCGCGATATGGATGCTGCCAGCAGCGCTGCCTGGACTGATGTCACTACGTACAGCACTGGTGCGAACGGGAATGCGAGTGCTTATTCGAGAGCGCCGTCTAGAATGGGGGCGTTCTTTGGGGCAGCGCAGGGCAATGGGCAGGGTCCTCAGCTTGGCGGGAGGGAGGTAAGGAGGGAGAGGGAGAAGAGGTGTGTGGTTATGTGATTTCGTTATTTCTCCTTTCGTTCCATTCCTCTATTTGGCTATCATTATGGATTGGGGTGGGTATTTTTACTCAGGATAGGGTTGATTTGTGGGCGGCTTGTTGGTGCTGGCATCATGCGTGGATTTTCTCTCTTGTGTATATCTCTATGTGATGGCGGCTCTCTGCTGATGATGTTATGCGTGGCGAGGCGGATTTTGTCCTCTCTTGCCCCCTTCTTTTGGATGGATCAGTTCTGTTGGTGGGTGGGATATAGTGAATTGCAGCGATAGTATGATACCAGAAGTACACCCTTGTGCAATCGGATAGTATAGGGTACACACGAAGCATATACAGTACAGAACAGAACAATACAGTCCGCTTGCCTCTTTTCAACCCTCCTCCCGTCTTCTCAACGTAGCGTTGGGTTTATGGTTCATGCGGTGCACTCCTTCTTCGATCCCTCGACTTCCTCAACAGTCTCTACATGGGCCCCTGGCGGAATACCCCCGGCGTCTTGTCCCGGGACGCGTTTCCCCGCAGACGCTGTCTCGTCGAGATGTTCTTGATGGTGGATCTCTGCTTTGAGGCTGCTTGGGATCGGCGGAGGAGGTGCTGTTGTTGTGTGGGCCGGGTCATCGTCGGCTGCGATGGGATTGCCGTGACTTGAGTTTGTAGCCATGGTTAATTTCTGGTATGATGATATCGATGTCTGATTTGTGTGTTACTTTTGGCTGGTTAAATATGGGATTTGGGAAGTTGGGACGATGGCTGTAGCTTCCGTTTGAAGGCGTCAAGGCCCTTGATGTATGATGTAACTATGCGTATGTAGCTTCTGCATGTGACGCAGCCGTTATGTAAGCTCCATTGGCAAGAACCACTGTCGCCGCGACGCGCCAAAAATGTTCTAGCGTTTCTTTAAATTAAGCTCGTCAATCTTCCACAGTCAAAGGTTAATTGACACATCTCATGCATCAACAGAACACCGCGTCACGATAGCGATGTTAGGTCGGCTCTATCTGCGACCCATGACAGCGCGAACCTCGTCTGCCGCTCGTTGTCTGCCGCGCTGCCATGGTCGCCAAAGTCGAGCCAAACTGCACTGCGTCACAGTCAATCTCAATCTGGATCAATTGCACATTCCGGGGCACGACCTAACGTTGAAGGTGGGGATTGTACTGCCAGAGAAGACATGAAATCCTGTGGCTGAATGGCCAGACTAAGCAGTGAAAGGGAACTTAGCGAGCCGCCATAGACTCGATCGCAAAAGCCAAGCCTCTTCGCCCGGCCGCCCGGCGAAGGCCTGAGAGCTATAATCCTGACGATGCCGCTGTTATCCTGGTCTCTCGTAGGCTGGCGTCGTGGCTAGAGGACAATGATTTCATAGCTCAGCTCATCAAAGTCGCCGGCCTTGACTTGAAATTCAGTACAGCAGAAGGCATCAGCATATTGAGCGCTGCTGTGGATGAGGTTCCGCGCTACGATAGCCGAATCAACTACTTCGCCTCAGCCGAGGGGTTGTCGGTTGTGTGCGGATCCAGCCGTGTCCTCCTTCCCAACCTGTGGGATAGTGATACCGAGCAGACTGAAGCGGTGGCCCAGCCATACCTTGAGTTTGAGCTGGCCCGGGAAAGGCAATCCGAGTGGCAGTCTCGAGTCACCGTACCCGTCGCCAACACCGTCTTCAGCAATGGCAAACCCCACGTTCTCCTTGCAAGCAGGTGGGAGGTCGACGGGGGAGAACACCTGCGCCTGTCGAGAAGGGTCGAGAAGAAGAGACAAACCATCCTCACCACACGCGTTGATATGCAGTATCACGGAAGCGGAACAAGAGTCCATGACTCCCTGCGCTGTCCGTTCGTGCCTGTGACCAAACCGCGGAAGATTGTCGCCGGTTTGGGAAACATTTTGCGCCAGATCGAGATCGACTCCGAGCCGGTCCCAGCGTCCAAGGAATTGGAGGCTGTCATTCCCGCCCTCGTCGACCTGCGTTCGAGGAGCTGGGAAGGCAATGTTACCGACTCTACGGCTGCTGACCGTCCAAGCGTCTGGGCGCTAGTCTTTCCCCGTCTCGGTGCCGGTCGTTTCGCCCCGAGAAGCGCCGAACCGCTTAGGCTGGAAGGATACACACCCTCACGCGAGTGGCACTACGCTCAACGAAATTCCACTCTCATACACAGCCTTATGCTGGGCGGCGGTTGCCAGCTCCGCAAGATACGTGAGTCTATTCATCATGCCCTCGGCTCGATTATCCCGGGAGTCTAACGACGAGATTAGTGAGCGGCGGCGGGGGTTGGGGCCCAAAGCAAGGTCTATTATCGTTGGACCCGCAGACAAGTTTGACGGCGCACGAGGACCAAGATCTGGAAAATTTCATTGCGTCCTTCGAGGGCGAGGACGGTGGGCCTGACATTTTCCTGCGCCCTGGGTCGTACGTGCAGTTTTTCGTCGAGCCCATTTCTCTTTCGTATTCGGGGCGTCTAGCGGATTTCCATCTGCCATGGTACACAACGCTCGCCCCAACCCTTGCCATTGGGACTTCCGGGGCGGCTCCTGAACACCCCTTAGATGGCCTGGCCCATGCATGGCCGGCTCTTTTCGGCGCCGTTTCCTCCAAAGGCATATACTTCACTCACGGGAAGAGATTTGGAGTTCCCCCCACCTTCGCTACCAAACTCGATGCGGCTCCTTCATATTATATAGCGTCAAAGACCATTCCGCCGGCTCCAGAGTAGAAGCCTGCCGCCCAAAAGCCTGCCGCCAAAAAGGCTGCTGCCCCTCAAAACAAGCAATCGGGTCACGAACCAGATTCAAGCGCATCAAGTCGGTCCACGCCCTTCCATCGTTTTGTGTCTTTCTAGACAGCTAGTTTACATATCTACGCCAATTTGCGAAGGCGGCAGGGTTAAAGATGATACTAAACTACACAGACTGGCAATCGCGAGGGTCGATTGCTGTTCGTACATAGTAACGAATTCTGACATATGGAGGGAATACCTATTCCCATTCCAGTCGAGCAGACTACTGGACGATGGCAGCCGCGTCGTTCTGCTTCTCCGATGTCGAAGCACATCACCGACACTTCCAAACGGCTCAATGAGTTTGAAAAACGCTGGGGGCGGGTGGTTCCAGGTGTTCGTTTCATGCCTGTGCCTGCCTTGTGTTAGATTAGCAAGAAAGCGACAAAGCAGTAAAAGTTGTCCCATGCAGCCTAGCCAGTCCATTTATAATACCACCCACAGCTATGCCTAGGGAACCTACTCAAAAGACAAGACCTTGGCAGATATCCCTCTATTCATAGCTCACCATCCCAAGATGCAGGTGAAACGGCCATCCCCAATCCATCACTCAATCATGTCAATATCGTCTTCAGCCCCTTGCTGCGGCTGTTGTTGAACGCCATTGGCGCCACCCGCAACGGCAGCAGGGCCGCTCCCAGCTTGCTGCTGCGCGTTCCCACCGTTTCCACCACCGCCAAAATAGTCCTCCATTTCGGCATCCAGCTCCTCCTGCGTCTTTTTCGGCCGTCCATCTCTACCAGTCCGCTCGCCCCTCTCTCCACGTCTCCCACCACCATTACCGCCGCCACCACCACCACCTTCCCGTCTAGCACCAGGCCTCCGTCCGCCTTCCCGCCGTCTACCGGGCAACGGACTGCGCGAGTCGCGGCCGCCAGCAGGCCTGTACCGATCACCACCTCCTCCTCTGCGGGCGGCGGCGGCATCCTCGTCGTCGTCGGAGCCGCGAGGCGAGCGTGATCTCCTCCGTAGCGAGTCGGGCACGGTGATGCGTTCGGCGAGGGGCCGGCCGGGGAGCACGGCGGTCTCGAAAGGGTTGCGGCGGGCACCGCCGGGCCCGGAGGGAAGCAGGGTCATGCGGATGGGCTGGCCGGCGGCGTTGGCGCCGTCGAATTCCTTGATGGCCTGCGCCGCGTCGCGGTGCGACTCATACGTCACAAAGGCGGTGCCCTCGGAGCGGCCCGCTCGGTCGTACTTCATGTCAACCTTAAGGACGGGGCCGATGCGGTTGAAGAGACCCTGTTTGTGTTGCAAGTCGGGGTTGGTTGGTAAGCTATATTCCGTCTGTGGTTCCAGGGGAAGGGAAAAGAAGTGATGCTTCTTACCTCCAGATCTTCCTGCGTCAGCTCGTAGTGGAGGTTGTCCACCCTGATCTTTGTGCCTCTGGAGTCGCTAGCAGAATCCGTCAATATGTGCTGCTGCTTTGGGAGAGGTGGTGGTATTTGCTCCTACCTAGCCAGCTCGGGTGAGTGTCGTCGTCTTGGAGCAGACCGGCGGCTGCCTGCGAGAGAGGAGTTAGCGAAAACAAGCTTGATTGATCAAACAGAGAGACGTCGGTCTAAACATACCATGGTCCTCGAACTTGTCATGGACCCACTCGCTGCAGAAACCGGTCAATGCCTTTGTCCCCTACGCGCCGCTGCGCAACGGTTTCGGTGTATACGCACGAGTCGAGATTTCGTGGTGCATCGTCTCTGAAGGACTGTCCCGCCAAAACAAAAGTCGGGAGCTGTTAGCCGGCAAAATTCAAGCGAGTAGTTACCTTCCCCAGGCGCGCGTATCTAATCCTTCCGGGACCGCATCGAAGCCGCCGCACCACCAGCGAGCTTGTGAAAATGGGGCTGCGTCGGACGGTGGACACTTTGAGAGGGGGGCGGCCGGAGAGGAGCGAGTGTCTGGAGGGAAGGAAGGAGGAGAGAGGGCTCATTTAACCTAGCAAAATTGTGCCCAACCACAAACTTGAGCAACTGCAACTCTTTGACCGATGGAATGGGTCGCTCGAGGGCAGGAGCACACGTACCTTTCTGACGCCGTCCCTGGGGTAGTCCGACCGATCGCGGCGACGGCTGTTATTGCGGTTTCGATTGCCACGAGACGACCCGCCGTTCTGCAGCCTCGCAAGTCAGTCGAATTTCTGATGCCATCCCTCGAATTGCTCCCCCTTCCTCGAAACAAAAGCGAAAAAGGAAAATGCCACGGACGTACCTGCTTGCGGTCGGCAAGTATTTCGTCAAGACTGCGGTCGAGTACACGATCCATGGTCTTCTGGTGACGGCTAGGATCAACGGTATGTTGGTAGAGACGATTGTTTAAGCGGCGTCTTGGTTTGAGAAAAGCTAACAGCTGTTTGTCTAGAATCGGAGTGGAGTGAGGCTGTGAGCGATGCGACTCAGTTAGTCAACCGGCGGGTCCGGCGGGTGCAGTATCAATTAATATGCGCTTATTGAGGTATTCTTATGCATTAAGGCCTCATCTCCAAGTCCCTGTCCTACCAAGACTCCAAGCATGACGTCTGCGCCGTCCACTTGAGATGGGATGCTCTGTAGCCTGTAAGTGTCTCTGATAATCACAATGGAATCACATATTCACATGTTGCTGCTGTGTTTCATGTCTACATCGCATTTTGGTAACCGCCCTGTCACTGGGTACACATGACACTGAGAAAAGCGCGCAAAGGCAATCGTGAAAAAGAGAAAACCAGCCTTCCTTGATAGGGTATGCAAGTGCTCGCACCATCCCCGATTAAGGTGCAGCACCGAACCTCCTATCTGCGCTTTTTGGGTGGACAACGACACCAGATGCCAGGCCCCCAAAGAAAAGGAAAAAAAGAAAACCGTGCACCCCAGCTAGTCTTCCTCCTTCTACCGATGACCGCGACGCAATGCTCCTCAGTATAGTGCGAGATGCCAATGCCAATGTGCGGTACGTGTCGAGGTTTGCTGTGAAAGAAAGGGAGCGTGAATCGAGACGAGAATGGCGTTCCTTTGTTCCGTTTAGATCAGGTCGGCCACATTCATGGGCATCTCCTCAATCTGGGTGCTGTAGAACTGTTCGATCTCGCGCATCATGCGCACATCCTCGGCAGTAACGAAGTTGATGGCGACGCCCTTACGACCGAACCGACCGCCACGACCAATGCGGTGGATGTAGTTCTCCCGGTTGGCGGGAAGGTCGTAGTTGATAACGAGGGAAACCTGTTGGACGTCGATGCCACGGGCGAGGAGATCGGTGGCAATCAGGACACGCGAGGAGCCTGACCGGAACTCCTTCATAATCAGGTCACGCTGAGCCTGGTCCATATCGCCGTGCATGGCAGAGACCGTAAAGTCACGGGCCGTGAGCTTATCAGTCAGCCAGTCGACCTTGCGGCGAGTGTTGCAGAAAATGACGGCCTGGGTAATGGTGACGGTCTCGTAGAGATCAGACAGAGTGTCGAGCTTCCACTCCTCCTTCTCGACAGCAATGTAAAATTGCTTGATACCCTCGAGGGTAAGCTCGTCCTTCTTGACCAGGATGCGGACAGGGTCGCGCATGAACTTGGTGGTGACCTCGAGCACATCCTGGGGCATTGTGGCGGAAAGAAGAACGACCTGGGTAGACTGCGGCAGCAGCTGGAAGATGTCGTAGATTTGCTCGGTGAAACCACGCTGTGAACTGTTAGTGTCAGACCCACAATTAACGTCCAAGAACAGCGCTCACCGAAAGCATCTCGTCGGCCTCATCAAGAACAAACATCTTCATGGCATCGGTCTTGAGGAAGCGGCGCTGAATCATATCCTGGACACGGCCGGGCGTGCCAACGACGACCTGGGGGCCATCCTGGAGGGCCTTCATGTCCTCACGAACGCTGGTGCCACCAATGCAAGCGTGGCACTCAACGTTCATGAAGTCGCCGATGGCGACAACGACCTTCTGAATCTGCTGAGCAAGCTCACGGGTCGGCGCAAGGATGAGAGCCTGGCACTGCTTGACGTTGGGGTCGATCTTCTGGAGAACCGAGATGGAGAAGGTCGCAGTCTTGCCCGTACCAGACTGGGCCTGGGCAATAACATCGTGTCCTGGGCGCTGTCAGCGCTGGCCAGCACATAGTACAACTGCGATTCTGCTTCTTCCTTACCCTTGATGACAGGCATAATAGCCCGCTGCTGGATTGCAGACGGGCGCTCGAAACCGTAAGCATAGATACCTGGAGAGTTGTTAGCCCGGGCCACAATCGCCACCACAGCTTGTTGCCCAGCAGGAGTGCTTACCGCGAAGCAGCTCAGACTTCAGGTTCATCTCGTCGAAAGAGTCGACGGTCTCATCGTAGTTAGACTCGATCTGTCCTGCAGTGTGAAGGGTGGTTAGCGACGACTACGAAACTCGATGCGCGGGGCCTGGCGATGTTTGGCGGGGATCGCAGCAGGTCGGCGCAGGTTCTGCGCAGGGCGCGCCTGCTGCGCAATGATGCGATTCCCTGAAAAAGAGATCTCGGGGGCAAAACATACCCTCGGGGACATCCTCGAGTCCCTTGTCGGTAGCCATGATTGCGATGTAGGTTTCGCAGATATTTCTAGATCCAAGCCCGGCTTAGATCTAGAAACGCAGTCGAAGATGGCGGGGCAACGAGAAAAAAATCCGCAGACGACCTGGCGCAGGCGCAGCGGAACGTCTCGAGAAAACTGGTTCACGCAAAGAAAATATAGATTCACGAGTTCCCAGTATGCTACTGAGAACGACTGAATCTACGAAGAAAATTGTGATATCTGGTGGTTGTTCTTTGACTTGAAGTGATCGAGGAGGGAAAGAGCCTGGGCTTCTGGGGGCAAGAGATTAAAAAAATCTTGGGAAGCGAGCAGAATTTACTATTGACGCCTTAGGCATTCATGACCCCTCCCAGCTTCAAGTTTTGGTGGGGTATTCACACAGTGAGGGTTGGCGTCTTCATTACGGTATTCGCACTATGTACTAAGTAAGATACAGAAGTTTCAGTGTGAAAACCTACACTCGATGTATATTTTCCCCCCTTTCTCTGATCGAGTCTACAACCACGGTGAAATACCATACGCAAATAATCAATCTCTCTCGAAGGCAAAAGCAATGTCCTGAACTAGGCCGAAGACTGGCAATATCTAAAGCAGTCAAAGGGGTAGTTCCGGTTTGAATCGCCCAGCAAGCTGCGTTCAGAGCCAACTTTCTGTCAGTGTCGCTCAGGAGGCTGATATAATTCGTCGGTTACGTGTGTAAGGCAACCGCGCCATGTTGGATTCGACCATGGCGGCGGTGCCGCTCAGTCACCCCCTGAGTCACATAGTGATTGACCATGGTGATGATGATCTTGACAAGGTCTCGTCCATCCCGCCACACCCACTCGGTATCAAGCCCCTCGGCAACAAGTATTTCTCCAATAGCGACGATGCCCGTGCATCTATAGGCACCTTTCAGGTGCTGCCCGATGAGGTGCTCATGCAGCTCCTTGAATTCATGGATGAACGGGCGTTGAGGCTGTTGGGCTACACATGTCGGTTTCTCTTTGCCTGCGCCAGGTCCGACGACCTTTGGAAGACAATCTTTCTAGAGTGAGTCAGGCCCTAACTGAACCCCAAACTCGGTTGGAGCACAACCGTATGTCGAAGCTGCCTAGCCAATGGTAGCAGCGGCCGAACAGTTCCTGTATAATCACAAGTCGAGTGCGAAATTCTCGTGCGAGACTGTATATCGGGGCTGGTTTGGGCATATCGGAGGTTTTGCATTGGCGCAGGGACCGTTGACTGCTGGCTCCGGCCGAATGGTGTGTGATGTCTGTTAAACCATGTGTTGACTGATGAACTGCAGGTCAGAACTTGGCCAAATATCCTCCTTCAAGTGGCGCGGATCATGGAGAGCAACGGTTCTGGGACTGTCCCCTGAACATAGTGTCCGGATAGACTGCGGCAACGTCTTCTCGGACGTGTTGCACCGCCCATTTGTCTGCAGTCATATCTCTTTGCAAGCCTATACCAAGAGCATCCCGGCAGCCAACCAAATTAAAAGGCTTCAAGACCTCTCGTACGACGAGTTTGCGGGGCATTGGAGCAGGAAGCCGTTCATCCTCACCAAATGCATCCAGCCATGGCCAGTGACGAGTCGTTGGAGCATAGATAGCCTGCTTGCTCAATATGCGGATGTTGTGTTTCGAGCAGAGGCTGTGGACTGGTCGTTCGCAACGTACTGCCAGTACATGCGTGACAACCAAGACGAGAGCCCTCTCTACCTCTTTGACCGGAAGTTCGCCGAGAAGATGTCGCTGGAGATTGGTAAAGGAGAGGGGACAGCGTACTGGAAGCCCGACTGTTTCGGACCGGATCTGTTTGAGCTTTTGGGAGCGGAGCGGCCGGCACACCGGTGGCTCATCATTGGACCCGAGCGCAGCGGATCTACCTTTCACAAGGACCCCAATGCGACGAGCGCCTGGAACGCTGTGATTCAGGGAGCCAAATACTGTGAGTAACCACCTGGACCCCTTTCCCTGACCCTTCGGGCCGTGCCCGGCAGCAAAGGTGTAACCGAGACGGCATTCTCGCTTTCGAATCCATCCGGCGCTCCAACCGGCAAACAGTGTTACTGACGGTCTCATAGGGATCATGTTCCCACCGCAGACGGCTGTCCCCGGGGTGTTTGTTTCCAAAGACAGCAGCGAGGTTACAAGCCCACTCAGCATTGCCGAATGGCTCCTAGAGTTCCACGCTGAGGCACGAAAACTGCCGGAATGCAGAGAAGGAATCTGCCATGCTGGCGAGATCCTCCACGTCCCGAGCGGTTGGTGGCATCTGGTGGTGAACTTGGAGGACGGGATTGCCCTGACACAGAACTTTGTGCCCGAATCTCACCTTGGTAGTGTCTTGTCTTTCCTGAAGGACAAGGCAGACCAGGTGTCTGGTTTCAAGAAGGACATCACGGACCCGTACAGCCTCTTCGTCGAGCGCCTGAGGCAGCAGCGCCCAGAGCTCCTTGAGGATGCGCTCAAGCAGTTGAAAGAGCGGAAGCGGCGGTGGGACACTGTTGTGGGCGATGACGGGGGCCAACCTCAAAAGAAGAGCACTGCTGGCTTTAGTTTTGGGTTTGCCTTCGGGGATGAAGACGACCAAGAGATACCATAGACCAACCTCGGCTGGGTTCATCAATGCTAAGAACGGAAACGCTGAGGTTCGGAAACAAACCATCTCACCTCTGAGTGAAACAACACAAAGAGGAATTTGCCCATCAAGTCCAACCTCTTTGATTGCACCATGCAAACGCTTCTTTATGGACTGGTAACCGCCTGACCAACCCCTTCCCATCGAGGTTTGGCAGAACAGTACTGAGGTACTGGCTTAGTGGTATTAGTACTAGGAGGTCACGCACCCAGTGGGTGAGATTCTGGCAAGTGCCAGCACTGTAGGTCAGTTATTAGCGTCTTTGCTTTCCGTAAGAAATCCTGTATCGTACCGTACTGTACTGTACTACCTACTTATCAATCACTCCTAGTCCAACTCACTAGGTCAGCTTCACCAACAAGTTCTACCTTTTGCTCCTATCTTTGGTGAGTGACTTGAGTCGGGCCCAATCAGCTTGCTCAAACCCCGCCATACAGCTACAGAAAGAAAGGCTGTTGCTGCGAATGCCACTATCGCCTGTATGCACCGCCCAGCTCTCCAGGGCTCTTACACAGTATAGCTCAACGGTTATGTGTACTGTACCCAGAAAGACCCCACGCTTTCCCTCTCTACTAGTAATTACCAGGTTCCCAAACTCTCCACCGAGCAGCAACAAGGCAGCACCGTGGCCCGGCACCAACCAATCTCTCCTGGCAGCTGCTCAGAGGTGCTCCAGACCGCTTTCCCGCCCCGTCCCCGCTGTCCTGATCTCAGCTGAGTCCGCAGCCTGTCTGGGCGTCTCCTGACAACTACCTTAAGGTTTTGAGTTTCGTTCTTAGCCGGGTTTCCTGCTTCTGTATTCTTCTCGATTCTCTCTTTGCGCAATCATTCCGCTCCCGACCTTCCTTGCCAGTACCACTGGTTTGTGATTCTGCTGCCCATTTCTCCATTTCCCGTTTCCGTTTCCCCTGAGACTCGTATCCGGCACCGGCATGACAATATGCTTTTAAACAAACGCGCATGCCTCGACCTCTACCTCGACGCCCTTTGAAGCTCGAATCTTGCCTCGCTCGTGATTTCCCCGTCGAGGCATCGGCTGCTGCCGTCGTTCCGACACTGGGCCTCACGTTCAAAGCTCGGGAGGCTCCGCTCGCCGCCCGATACAGTTACACTCTAGGCTCGCGCCTGCCCTAGATACCGTGCTTCTCACCCGCTACTCTCCGCTACGCTGTGCATCGTTTGTTGCTCTTTGGCTTCGCTTCACCGATCGCTCCGAGCGTCTTGCTTGACCGATTTCGGCCGGCTTCTTCGGCATACATAAACTAGTCCGAGTAATCTACCTTTACCTGTGCACGACCCCTCCCGCCGTACCCCTGACTGTCCGAACGCAATGGTTTCCGACGAGACGTACGAGATCTGCCTACCCGTCCTACAGGATCCGAACATTGAAGATGAGGACAAAACAGACAAGCTCGAGGAGCTGCTGAAAGAAAAGACAAATTTGAGTGGGCAAGCCTTGGAGAATGCTGTATTAGATGCATTATGGAGATATCGAGACGGAGGGGGGAGCGCAACCTCCCCACCACCGATACGGCAGACCATCCTGCGACGGCCCTCCCCGGCTTCCTGGCGGGGCTCCGGAACGCCTCTCTCGAGTTCGCCCCGGTTGGGCGTGAGTCCCCTTGCCCCGCCAGGTTTCGTGCCGCCCTTCGGTAGGGCTATGTCGTCCACCGCTTCCCCTTTCGGCTCGCCTCGCCCGTCACCCAGGTTGGCGTTCGCCGCCCCTGTGCCGCACAGCCCGAATCTCAACGCATACCAGTTTGCCAACGACGAACCGTCGCAAGAGGTGTTTGGTGACTATCAGTCTGAAAATGTTGACTGGCTCGTGAATGATGATGCTGTTAGCGTGACATCTTCTGTTGGCGGATCGAGCGGGTTGAACGTTAGCGCTCCGGAATTCGTGTCGACGCAGCAGGCTGACATGACGCCCTACGACATGCTGCGATCTATCCTGGGACAGAGCAAGTCAGACGAGGAGATCAGCGCTGCTTTGGCTATGCATGGGTACGACCTTGGTGCCACTGTGGCAGCCATCATGGACAACCAAGTGCAGGACAACCTCGCATTGGCCGCCCAGGCTGAGGAAGCGCGGATAGTGGTCGGAAGAGCAATGACCCCTGATGGACGCCCGGCAACCCCGGCAGATCAACAAAAGAGTAGTATCATCTGCAAGTTTTACCTGTCCACGGGACAGTGTTTGCGCGCCGACTGCCGATTCAGCCACGACTTGAGTAGTCACATTTGCAAGTGAGTGCTAGCCAGGGTGTCCAGGCAAAGGCACCTTCCGCTTCACTCATCACAGGCTGACATGACTCCAGGTATTGGGTTGCTGGCAACTGCCTCGCCGGCAGCACTTGCATCTTCTCACATGACCCAGCGCATCTTGTCAACAGGCTCCAGATCGACGGCTCCAGCACGCCGCCGACACAGCACGCATCTGTCAACCTGCAGGATTACAACAGCTTCCCAGCGCTCAAGCCGGGAACTCCGGAACAGCCGCCGGGCTTTGCTACAGGTTCCAACGTCCCTGCGGTCGGAATAACCCCTCCACCAGGATTCAAGTCCCATCACGGCTATACCGGAGACCGGCCTCGGTCTCGGCCAAGCAGCCGACATCAACAGAAAGAAAATACGCAAGCTGCCCCCTCGCCGGATGATGCAGACGCATTTCCGTCATTGGGTGCTGCTTCGGCTAAGCAGGGAAAGAGACATCACGGCAAGAGGGGCGGCCATGGTCACACCTCAAAGGAGAACTTTGTGCCCAATACCCTGGCCGACATTGTGAAGATGTCTCCGTCTCCGACTCCGGCTGCGCAGCAGAACCGCAGGGTTGCGCGCAACGGCAGCTCGACCAGCATTAGAAACGGCGAGAACAGCGCAGCCGCCCAGGCGATTCCCCAACCGAAACACATTCCATGGCTCGAAACGGGTGACAAAGCCAATAAAGCCTATCTCAAGGCGCGCCAGGAGGCCATCAAGCACGGTGGCCTCCGGAACAAGTTCCTGCAGAGGTACAGTGGCAAAATGGCTACTCATGGCGGGTGAGGAGGCAGTACTAACATGTTGCTCAAATAGTGCCGCTCAAGCATGGAACCGCAACGACGCACGCGCGGCCAAGGCGCTCAGTTTGCGCGGGCAGGGTGAGAACGAGCTGATGCGAAAGGCGCACCGTGAGGCGGCGCAGCTGCTGTACAAGGAACGCAACAAGGATAACGCTAGCTGCCCGGAAATCTACGTGGATTTGCACGGGCTTCATCCCGAGGAGGCAGTCGAATACCTCGAAGGCATCCTCATGGAGAATGTAAACGAGAGCAGGCCCATATACGCCATCACGGGCACCGGTCATCACAGCAAGAATGGCAAGGACAAGGTGGGCAAAGCGGTTCGGAACTTCCTCAACGAGTGGCGATATGCCTACCGCGAGTTTTCGGTGCCCGGTGACAGGAACAGCACGGGGGGGATTCTGGGCATCGACGCACGCAGCTGGGACCGGTCGCTTTCGCGGGACGGGTCGACGTTGACCAAGAAGGACGAGGACAAGGAGGAGGTCGACATCCTGTCACAGGGCGTCGAGATTGGCGAAGGGAAGGTGAAACTGCTGGTGAGGGACACGTCGGTCTCGAAGGAGCCGCCCAAGGGTCCGTCCGGGGCCAGGGGCAGGTGACGCGGACCGCTCAGTCCCTGCAGGGATTCGGGCGATCGCTGTGAGCAAGTCATGAATCGTAACTGCAGTTGGGGCAGAAGAAGGTAAAAGACGCTAATATGGACCCAAGTCTTTCGACTCCTCAGCCAGGAATGGAATACAGACAGCCATTGTGTTTATGGGCTGGCTTACAGATCACCACAGCGGTAACGTAGTGTACTGTGTAAGGTGCCGTGAGTGCCACCAGTGCTGAAACTTGCATGCCAAGACAATTTGATCCCAGCTCGTCGGAACGGCTGACCCCCGCCTTGCTGGCCAGACCCGACAGATCATGATGCACACTCGGTAGCTCTGCACAGTGCGTGCTTGTCGCAAATATACATAAGTACTCAGTAGTACGGAGCACTCGATGCTCCAATACGCTTTTACTAGACGTCATTGTCATGCCAGTACGTGTTCGTCTAGTGTATGGCATCTCATATGAAATCCAACAATTGCGGTCGCATTCCAGGTCGTTTCCCCTATATTTGGTTGGCCTGGGCTTCCTGTAACCGCCTGTGCCGCTTTGGTATGCTCCAAGTCCTCAAGATTCGGGGCTGAGCACGGGTTGCAGAACCCCTGGAAAGTGGCGCTGGCAAAGCTGACAACGCTCCAACGACTTTCCACCTTTCCCTCCTGTCCTTTCTATCCTCGACCTGAGCATCTCGAAACCAGCGCCAAGAACAATTGGCAATACACGTGCAGGACTTTGGAAACCTGCATGACGGAGACAATCGATATGCGGAGGTAGCACAAGTGACCTCCTCCGTTGAACCCTTGGGCGAGATACTGTTTGCGAACGCAGCTATTTGCATTTGCCCCTGCCTCGGACAAGCAGACGCGCACACACACACACGCACATACATACACAGAGACACAGGACAGGACAAGAAGGGTCTGAACCAACCAAAAAGTCTTCGCAAAAACAATCATGGCTTCCCTATCTGAAGACGAATCCCGACCGCCGCCTGGCAGCGGCAACATCAACACCATCGGCACGACGACAACCGACCCGGATTTCTCAGCCCCGTACCGTCCCCGGACATCCACATCCCGCCGCCTCTCGACGCAAGCCCGGCAGCATCCATACTCCTCCGAACCACCGTCCTCGTCGTCGTTCTCCTCCTTCCTCCGCGAACTCACCTCGACGCTGCTCTCGCTAACCCAAACATCCCTGCGGCTGTACCTGTCCCTGACACGGGTGCAGCGCGCGCTGGTGGTGCTCGCGGGCTGCGCGGCGGTCGTGACCGGGGTTCTGTTCCTGGTCTACTCGCACCGCATCTTCACGGCGTTAGCCCCGCTCGCCGCGGGCTGGCGCGCTACTCCGGGGGGTTGGTTGATCCTGTGGCTTGTGACGGTGGCGACGGCGTTCCCGCCGGCGATCGGCTATTCGACGTGCGTGACTGTTGCGGGGTTTGTGTATGGGTTCCCTTTGGGATGGCCCATTGTCGCTTCGGCGACTATAGTGGGGTCTACGGCGGCGTTTTTGGCGAGTCGTGGCTGGCTGAGGGGATACGTGCATTCTCTGGTGGGAAAGGACGCGAGGTTCGTTGCGCTGGGGCAGGTGCTCCGCCGGGATGGGGTCGGGGTTTTGGCTATGATACGGCTGTGTCCCCTGCCGTATAGCTTGAGTAATGGGTTTCTGGCGACCGTGGGCAGTATCCGGGTTGGGGGGTTTGCGTTGGCTACGGGGTTGGCGACGTACGTTTTGATATCTTCTTCTCTTTTGTTTCTGTAATAAGAGGGCTGGCTGACTGGAAGTGTTTTCGTTTTCACAGGCCTAAGCTTCTAGTCCACATCTTCATCGGCTCGCGGCTCGCCCTGCTCGCAGAGTCGGGCGACAAGATGTCCGCCGGCGACCGCGTCATTAACTACCTTAGCATGGCCCTTGGCGGGCTTCTGGGCTTTGGCGTCGGGCTGCTCATCTACAGGCGGACGATGGCGCGGGCAGCCGAGCTGATGCGTGAGGCCGAACTCGAGGAGGGCGGCGCCCTGCTAGACGCCGAGGGCATGGAAGCCGGTGGCGCCGAGACTGACTACGACGAGAACGACACGCTCGTGCACCCTGACGAACTCGACGCAGCGGCCATCATGGACGACGACGACATATCGCTGTGGGATACTGAGGGCGGCGACGGTTACAGGGACAGCTGGGATGAAGGGGCAGCCAAGAAAGGTACTGTGCTGAACGGCACCGGTATCGGGAACGGGCACGTGAACGGTGTAAAGAACTGAGAGTGCGCGTTATGTAGCATATTGCGCTGGCTCCATTCATTGTGGGCAATGGTTTGTTGTATAAGCTCTTGCATATGTTGCGGCGTTGGGGTTGAGGAAGCTGTTTTATTGTACAGCCATCTAGAATTGGAATTGGGATAGACAGCCGGGTTTTGAAGACGATATCATTTACAACCCTTCGAAATATCGAGCACGCTTCGGTAGGCCTAAGGTAAAATTCAGGGGTATCTTGAAATTGTTCCCCCAACTCCTTGCTTACAATGCTTTAAACCATGGAGAACAGATAATGACAACCAACGCCCAAGATGCCCAGCTATTCATCGGCCCTGAAAAGCCTGCATGAACTGAATTGCCTGGTCCATAGAATATCCGATAAAGACCGGGCCGGAGATATTGAACACGACCTGCGGACGCTCCCCCTTCTCTGCCGAAGGAGCAGCCATCTCAGGCAGGTTAACAAACGTCGGCTGCGGCGGGCTCGACGGCGGTGCATTATTCTTCGCGGGTGTGACCGGACGCTTGACAGGAGCATCCGCATCGCGGCCAGTTTCTCGCATGGCAGCGGCCGTGGAATTCATTTTTAGATGATCGAACGGGCATTTCCTCGCAGCCGTTGGTTCTTTGAAAGCAGTTTGAGGAGGATGGAGAGCCTCGACAGGCCTGGGTGGAGACGGCTCGCGCTGGTGGGTGGCATCGGAGTCATGACCGGCCTCAACTGGTACTGATATCCCCCAGGGCCGGCTGGGCGACTCTCCAACGCGAACATCCCTCATGGGACGGTCGAAGCGGCTTTCACGCTCGTCATCTATGGCGGTTTCGTCTTCCTGGCCCGGGTCACCGGCCATAACTTTCTGGGCCCAATCTTCTACTCTCTTGTTTGAGGCCCTATCCGCTTCCTCGTCATCCTCTTTAGTTGGCGGTAACATGGGGCGGTGCAGATGGCTCAAGTCCTTGACCATGTTCACGAGATTACCATACTTGGCATCGAGCTTTCTTATTTGCTCTTCGTTCCTTTGGTACCTCCTGACACAGACTTCATGGCTTCGAGGAATCTCATGCTTGTGCTTCTCAACGTAGCGGGCAATTTCTTCAGGCGAGTGTCTGTCAAGGAAACGGATCGGGCACTTGGAAGCTGCGGGTGCAGTCGCCGAACCCGACTCGTCGAGCATAGCAGCGCAAATAGGGTCACCAGACTTGTGCGGGGATGGATCAGCCGTTACGCCAGCCGGGCCCTGGGGGCTGTCGACCGGCTGATGTGTAAGGCCGCCGTCTTGATTCAGCTTGGCCGAGAATGGGCATGCCAGGTCGCCCGTTTTGCCTAGGACCGTGAAGTCCTGCTCGAGGACGGTCGGCGCCGAAGTTATCACCTCCATGCCTCTATCTGTAGTGAGCGCACCTGCACGCAGCTGTTGGGCGGCTTTGCGTCCTTCCCTTATGAGCAGCGCAACCCGATGTTGGCTGCTGCCGGTCTGGCCTCGTCTTGGCAAGGGAACCACTGAGGCGGCCGTCGCAAGAGGATATTGTAAATCCGGAGGAAGCTGGAGTTTTGCTAGCGTCTCAGACACGTCAGAGCCAGCAGGCGCATACTTGTCTGCTAGATACTGATACTAGGTGCCATTCTCGAATTAGCTTGCTTTCAAGGAAAACCCGGGTCAGTGAATTCGAAGTGGCAGGGACTAGTTAAATCAGAGGGTTGAAAATTCTTCATCTGCTGTTCGTCCATAGGAAGACAGCTCCAGATCTAGAGCTAAAAACCAGATCATCACACGAGATCCGAGGGCGGGGAATGCGAAGAGGCAAAAGCGGGAAAATGCTCGACATACCTGCTCGTGTGCATAGCGCAGCTTGTGCTCCAGAATGGTCTTGCGATCAATCAGTGACTGGACTTCATCCGACAAAGCAATGAAGGACTCAGTCAGAGTCTGAACGAGTTGCGTGTCATTCATATCACAGTCATCTAAACATGGGTAGAGAGCTCTCATTTGTAAGCTCCAAGCCCAGCGCCAAAGTTGGCGTGATGAAAACTTGGGGAGAACGAGGCTTTTGACCAAGGCTTGAGTGGGCCAGACCCACTGTTTCTTTGCAGACGTCAAGTTTGGCCGGTTCCGGTCCCGGACTTTCGGGCACTGTGCAGAGGGTTCAAGTTCCTGGAGGCTTCTAAGGTTGGCACTGCAAGACCCACCTCAGTCCGGACTTTAAGGCTGGGCTGTCAACATCTCTGAGACATCGTACGGAGTACACTGCACCTTCCTTCCTCTTCAACTGCAGCCCAATTGACTGTCCAATTACGGAGGTACATGTGCCACATTTCATGAATTGCCTTCCAGGCTACGAACCAGTAGCGTTACTGTGCGAGTTATTCAACAAATCACTTCGATTGACTCCCGACAGACATGCGCGGTGAGGTACCGTGCCCGGTGGGGTGTCGAGACTCAAGGGCGTGGTTGATGACTGCCCAGTACGGTATTCAGGCAGTGTCGAACGTCGTTCACTCGACCCTTGAGCAAGCCTCTAAGGTTGAGCTCTTTCCAAAACGGTTGAACGTGGCTCGCGTGCCCTGCTAGACTTGCTACCTTTAATGCAAGGAAGCTACGGGCTGCCCCGTTTGGAGTCTGCCTTCTCCATACATGTCCAAGGCCGTTTCCTTCCTCTGGCCTCTCATATACCTAACAACAGCCGTGAGCACCATGGGGACCTTCTTCAGGTCGTCATATGTAACTAGCCGCCGCAACTATTCGTCTTCTCCGCATAACATACCAATCAGTCAAGCGTCGATGCTCGATATGGATAAATGAGATCTACTGTTTTTTAGTCACCCTAGCAAACACAAGATATTACGATATCTTCAGGTCTTGTCCCGCCCTTGTCACCTGTGCAACCCGATAAAGATGTCCGCCGGTGTCGAAGACGATGCTAGCAGGATCTATCCTGCCTGTCTACTTCGGAGCGGCGAGTGGATCTCGATTTCCAGTCCCTGTAAGACACCATCCTCCGCCTATAGCTATGTGAATTCTGTCCACTCATCACTGATAGCGTCTACTCAGCAAGACTGGTTCCGTGCCACCTGGATGACTTTCCGTGTGCCCACCGATTACCGCAACCCAGCCGCCGGCTCGCTATTGCTTTTCGGTCGCAGTGTAGAAAAAATCGAGACGCGTCAAATCGGCACTGGCACTGGTCCGGCCAACGATACTAGTACTCAGAAGCCCTATCTCGTGTACCTTCGGGACTGGCCTGGCTTGAGCAGCCCTGATATATGGACCCACCCCCTGACTGCCGTTGCTTTGGACCGTGGCTACCAAGTGCTGTGTCTGGACTATCGGGGCACCGGACACTTCCAGCTCACTCCCGACCAGTTATTTGCCCTGGGTAATCCTCGCAGGCAGGCCAACCTTTTAAGACTGTTCCGCCCCGACCGCATCGTGCGGGACCTGGAGGCCGTTCGGCTATGCTTAACGGCTGAATTTGACGAGGACAACAAGGCTTGGTCCCTCTTCGGCCAGTCAAACGGAGCCCTTGTCGCAATCAGCTACCTCTCTTGGAAGCCAGAAGTTCTCCGAGAGGTCTTTCTAATGGGTGACTTCGGCGTCATCGGGCGCTCCGCCGACGAGGTGTATGCCGCTGCCGCCATGGATCTCTCATTCCGCAACGGTCTGTTCTACACGATGTACCCAGAGGATGTCCATCATATGAGGCGGATAGCCGAGCACATTGACAAGTCTGCAGACAGGGGTAGAATCCCGCTTCCCTCCAGGGGAAAGCTGACAGTACAGCTCTTTCTCAGTTTGGGTTTTGCATTCAGCCGTCCGGGAGGGTTTGAGAAAGTGCACGATTTGGTCCGAAGGCTGATCTCCGACCTGGACGGTTTTGATTGCCTGAGCATGCATTCTCTTTTCGCCTTTGAGTATGAGTTCATCAGCTTGTTTCCGAACCTCGTGTCCGCCCTCCTGCCCGAGGCCACCTACAACTACAGTAACGGCATGATATCCAACTGGGCAGCCCATCGCCGTCTGCTCACGATTCCAAACTATGGTTGGGTGCGAAATGCAAGCTTCTTTTTATGGTCATGGGGAAAAGACCAGCCGATTTACTTCTCGGGCGAGAAGATGGTTTTCCCGTTTCACCTCCACACTATTCCCAAGCTGAAACCCTTCTTGCAGGCGGCCGAGATACTAGCACTGAATTGGGACTGGGATGACCTTTATGACCTCGAACAGCTGAAGGGAAACCAGGTGCCCGTGTATGCGGCCAGATGCTGGGACGAAACCTACATGTCCTTCGGTCCCTCGAGGGAACCCCACAGAGACGACGAGGAGCTGCCAAACATTGGATGCCTTGTCGAATGTCACTGTCCGCCCGGCATGGAACTCGAAGATGTCATCAGACAGTTGTTCAAACTCCGTGATGCCAATGCCATGACGGATGCAGAAGCTGAGCACTGACAGAGGTTGGGAACAGACTAGAGACCAGACAAGACTTCCAGGTCAAAGCACTACCTACTTCCTGTATGCCACGATACATGTTGTAAAGATCATATATATCATTGGGAAATGGGGTGGACAGTCAAATCACCAGGAACAAGAGCGGAACCAGTTACAGCGTCAATATCCAGCGGAATGCTAAACCCAACCCAGATCAACTCTGTGAAGCGTGTATCATTATATATGAAGCCGATGAGAATGAACTACTGTCCAGAATGCTTCGTGAAACCATATCTCATGCCGCTCTCACGTCCGAGCCGAACAAGCAGTTTGTAGCAAGCTTCCAGGACTAGCTTTTCTAGGCATTATCCTTAGCTAGAACATTATAGACTCGGTAAAAGCAACCAAAACGAATACCAAGCAGCACATGGAAGCGACAGACAATGCACAAATGCCAGTTTGATTCGGATCCACCTAGTCAACCCTACTCATAACCCACTAGACGGACGGACCATCCCACATTGACTCATCCTCCCTGCCTCCCTCACCACCCTCTCGCAGCCCTGCCGCCTCCTGGAGGACCGCGGTACTGGCCATTCGGATACGGGACCCCGGCCAAGTGGGGCGGCATGCCTGGCGGGGGCATGGGAGGCGGGCCGGGCATGGGCTGGAGGCCAAAGTCGAGGTCGCCGGCCTGAGCAAGGTACCAGGGGCGGACCATGCTGGGGAGCTGGCGGCCGTAGGCGGCGGCGACCTCGTCCTCGCGGCGGGCGGCCATTTCGCGGAGCAGCAGGGGCGCGATTTCCGGGTTGCCCAGCCAAAAGTCGTTTGTCTGCTCGGGCGGGGCGCGGCGCCAGGGCTGGAGGAAGGCGACGCGCGCCGAGATCATGCGCAGCAGCGGGTCCGTCTCGGGCAGGCCGTCGTACAGCTTGCGGCAGAGGAACAGGACCTGCGGCACGGCCGCGTCGGCGCCGGCCGTCTCGAGCATGTCGACGGCGCACCGCGCAATCTCGCGCTTGAAGCCGTCCAAAAGGAACTTGTTGGCCAGGATGTACACGTCCAGGTTGAGCTCGTACGCCTGGAGCCAGGTGCGCAGGTCCTCCTCGGTCGAGAGCCGACCCAAATTGGGTTCCCACCCTGATGCTGGAGGCGGGGGCGCGTGCGGAGGGCTCATGGGCCTTCCTATTGGTGGCGGTGGTGGCGGTTGAATGGGAGGCTGGATGTGATTGCGTCGCCTGGGAGGGTGCCCCGGGCCACCGCGACGAGGTGGACGAGGAGGAAGAGGGTCTCGATCGAGGAGAACTGCGCCCGGGTGGTGGTGAGGGGGAGGGGGCATGGTCGGGGGGGCACGTGGTGCTCGGCAGGACCAGCAAGGCGGACCAGAAGCGGCTAGACATGTAGGGCAGACGCAGTTCGGTCGGTGCATGCCTGGATGTTTGCGGTTCACACGCTCCCACTGACGTTGCTGACGGCGATAGCGCCGCTCTCGCTGCCGCCGCGAGATGGCGCTTATATCGGAGGTGAAGGAGGCTGCCGAGTCCGAGTCTGACTCGCTGGCTGAGTCGGAGCCGGCGGGCCCCTTGCCTTTATCTTGATCGGGAACTGCCGCAGTGTCAAATCAGCAGAAGTTCTGGGCTCAAGGTGCAGGGAAGTAACATACCCAAGACGGAAGCAACGGGCTTGATGGGGTCATATCTACCCTCATACAAATACGCGACGAGAAAGTGGAAGATAGCGGGGTCCTCCTCTGGAAGGTCGATGGACTGGGTGTCAGATTCCCTAAACTCGCCGCAGAGAGCCTTTTCAAAATACTCGGACTTCAAAAGGATATGTTTGTGCACCTGCGGCCATGGTGAGTACCGCTGCAGTAGAGTAAAAAAAGACACATTTGCTATCTGCATACATAGAAGGTCTCGACACGGGGCGGCTCGCCTACGCGGAGGGGGATGATTGGGGAATTGTAACGTCTACATGCCAGGCATTAGCAACGATGGTGAATCAGGTAGAGCAGGCGGTGCAGGCCACGGAGAAATACCGGGCACGGTAGTTAAGCAACTTGGAAACAAAACTGCGGGCCGAGCCGCAATCCATGCCCGGGCAACACGCCAACGGCCCACGGAGCATGCGCCGCGGGTGGGGCCGATGCACGGCGGAGAGACGCAACTTACCCGTCGGCGGTGGACAGCCACAAATCCTCTCTCGGGTTGAGAGATTCTTTGCGTCTGGGACCTTCAGGCAACGAATCGAGCACGACGACGTCGGGGACGGTGGTGGATGGCTCCCGCATGACATCGTCCAGAGTCCGCTCCGTGTCTGCTCTCGGGCGGCTAGCACTTGAGCCCCCGCCGCTCCTCTGGCTCCCGCTGGCACTGCCGCTGCTGCTTCGCCCCGCACTCTCACTGCGTTCGGGGGCAGGGGCGGGGACGGGGGTGGCCGTACCCGACCCCTCTCTGCTTGTTTCCTCCGTCATTGCCCGTTGCTATGCGTTGCGGGGTGATGCGTCGGAAAATGCACACACACATACAACGATGTTCGTGCGAGGGACAACGACGGCGCAATGATAGATTATAGTCCCAGCCAACGAAGATGCGAAAAGGGAAGAACAGTGGAAAATCTCATGGCCTAGCGCTACCACGAACCAGTGTTGAGATCTGAAAAGCAACTCTGTCGTTGCAAAAGGCGGCAAAGCCACTCGCCTCCCGCTTGATGGGATTGGGCCAAATAAATCTAACGCAGAAGCGTCGCTACAGGGACTAGCTAGACCGAAACGGTTCCCGCGACGAGCGACGAAGGTGGTGCCAAGGCCTCGCGGTGTGGGAGTTGACCAGGCAGCCACAGGGCTGTCCTCTCAAATGATAGGCGGGACTGTCCTGTATCGATGGCCCACGCATTGTGAGATGGTTGCCCAAAGTCAAGTGTGGGAGTTAGTGGTGTGGTCGACGAGCCGCCTCTTTTTGTCGGCGCAGAAGAAGGCTCAACATGGTTGGCGCATGCGGGTGTTGCGGCTGCGGTGCCATCCAACAGAAACGTAGGAATGGAAGTGTGACGGGCCGGGAATTTGACGGGCAGGTGACAAGGTAGCGGTGCCTATAGCTTGACCCCTACGGACCGGCGCTCTGGCGAAATAAACGACGTCTCGTGAAGCTGGATTATCCTTTCCTGTTATATTAATTGGAGTAGCAGGGGAGGAACAAAGTAAGCACAACCTCACAGCAGCAGGTAATCACTGCATGTCGCGCAAGGGGCACGGTTGAGCCAAGCGGTGGAGGTTGCGATGGCCAGGTGTTGCGCTGCAGGGCGGTCTTGTCCCGCATGCTAGGCAATCTGCAAACCCCCTCTGGCACCCAAGTCTGCAAACCGACAATGACGACCCCCTCATCAGTTCCTCTTCGTGTGTTCTCCACCAGATGCTCTTGGGTCAATTGTGCCGAGCTTGCCCAATCGCATGTCATAGTCTGTACAGCTCTGCAGCATCATTGCAGTTCGATATTGTCGCAGGTTCGTGCATCGTTTTGTTCTGTGTATCCCAACTATCAGTTGTGAAATGATCTTTGTGATATCGAGCTTTGCGGGGTTCGCATGAATTGCGCTGCCTGGCAAATTACCCAGTCGGTAGAGGCCGAGTAAACCTCATAGAGGATCGTACGGAAGGCTGGCTACTCTTCCTCGAGGTCCTTTTGCATCTCGATCTCTGGAGGGCATACCGAGTTCAGCATCTGACAATAAAAGAAACGCCGGCTGCAGGGAATCTTACGCCATAATCTGTTCGCTGAATCCGCAATGATCTTTGCTTTTGCCAAGAGTTTGTCCTTGTACTTCTGCTCATCCCTCGCCTCTAGCCTCACCTTGTTTGGTTGCGCCTGCATCAGGATGGGGAGGAGCTCTTTCGGATCCGCGTTAGCAACCGCTGCTACTGTTTTATAACCGTTATCCCAGAAGATGCGCCTGTCAAGCGTCAGCTTTCGCCCTTAATCGTTGGCTGGCTACTTTGTGGCAGCTCCTTACGCAGTCCTGCTCTTGACGAACGTGATCTTAGCGAGAGCCAGAAGGTCTGCTCTAGCTCCAGCCTTGAGTCTGTCCGAGAAGTGATCAAGCACAGCAGCCATTGCACTCGTGGCGGTCAGTACTGCATTGTATCCAGCATGGAAGTTGGAGAGATTACACTTGCCCCCAACCCATCGTCTCGCAGAACTTGATCATCCCCGCAGCGAATCCCTGGCTGGATTGCGCCAAAGTCTGAACCGATCCGCGCGGCATATCATATTTCTGTGCGACATGGTGGATGGGCATCTCATTGCAAATGTCCCGCAGTTGCAGGGCAAGATAGAACCGATGATAGCGTCGGGCGATTTCTTTTTCCTCGGTCGTCGTTTCGCTCAGGACTCCCCCGTAAAGCCTAGGTTGTGTTCAGCTGAAATCACGCACCGGAGCTTTCCGGCCGCTTACATTCTGTTTACCGTGACAGGTTTGAGCCCGAGAAAGCTCATTACCCTGAGACTACTGTCATCAAGCTGCTGCATCTCGTTCCAAAACACTCGCCAGTTGATAGTGACGCCTCCTAGGTCACTGACTGGGGTGAAATTGTAGAGGACGTGCATCTCGCCATCCATTACGAATGCCTGCAAAGCTTTCTGAAGCTCGTTGTGAATGAAAGTGCCGTTTTCAGGGTCGAGCGAAGATGCGACGATGGCTTTGCCGAGACGTGTGGCGTGGAAGCCTCCGTAATCGTCAACGGTGATGAACTCCATCTTCTGAAGGTCATTGAGGCTCGCCTCGACGATTTTCTGGATCGAGCTAGGGTCAGCCCAGTAGGCTAACATGGTTCTGCTCATGTAGTTGTCAAGAGATTCCCGGCTCGTTGCCAGTCTGATGGCGATGATTTCTAGTAAAGCCCTGGAGTCATATTAGCGGGGGCCCTTGGGACCCAGAAGCAGATGGCAGGACCTTTGGATACGACGCTTGTCTGATATCAAGCAGCTCGAAATCTGGGGGAGTTCTGCGTGCATTAGGTCGACGACAGCCTCCAAGTCGTTCTTCCGGCAGCAGAGGTACGTCTCGCCCACTTCGTCCTTGCCCTTTCTTCCTGCTCTCCCGCGCATTTGGCGACTGCGTCAATGTCAGAGCGATGTAACTTGAAAATAGAAGGGTGGTGCAACTTGCAGCATGGCAGGACCGACGAGGTCACGGCCCATGCGGGCATTGTGAAGGATAACTCGTCTTGCAGGCACTTAGCGTGATGGTCACGTTAGCAAAAGGTCATCCCGGCCTTTGACAGCATCGAAACTCACGGTTGATGCCAGCAGCTAGAGAGCAAGTTGCTACGCAAACTTTGAGCACGCCAGAATCATACGCTCTTGCAACTAGCTCGCGCTCCTCGGTAGTAAGACCAGCCTTGAAAAGTTAACCTCTAATGCAAATGGAAAGCTCAGATCACCCTACATCTAGAACCAGTCTGTTAGAGCGGCATGGGAAGTTCAAGAGGGGACACGTACGATGGAAGGCTACGCCGGCCGGAATTGTCTGCTCCAGTACTGGATCTAACCCGGGATTCAGACTCCGGAGATCCCCGAGCAGGTCTAGTCTCTTCTCTTGGATGGCAAGGTCAACTTCTGCGAGTGCTGGCAATGCCCGACTTATCAGGGCTGCATCTGACTCGCAGCCGGCACGACTGCTTGAGAAGACGAGCACGCCGTAGCCGGCCCTAACAGTCTCGTTCGCCAGCGCAACAACGGCATTCAGCATTACGTCTTTTAGCTCCTTGTGCTCGGATGGCTGAATGATCCTCACAGGCTGCACCATTGATTGGCTCGGTTGGCTCCTCGAGTCGAGTTGCGTCACCGTCTTCAACAGACTGGCAGTGGTTCCTGCAGCGTATACCTTCCCGTCGTACACTAGATGTTCTTCGATCGGAACGGGTCGGTAATGGGTTTCGTAGGAATGGCCATGGAGCCAATTCTTCAAGAGCTCAATGTTCTTGCGTCTCCCATCAGCAGCTGAATCCAGCGAAAGTCAAAATACCGCCACATACCGTTAACGTTGCGCTCATCGCAATGATCTGGATAGGCTGATCAAGGCATAGTAACTTGGTGGCGAGAAGCTCTAGGAGATAGCCTCGATAGCCGTCGTCTATCATGTGGCACTCGTCCAGAACCACAGCCTGTAGCTTGGAAACCGAACACTCGTCTATGGCCGCATTTACCAAAGAGTTTGCCTGAAGCGGTCAGGTCTTGCCATCTCTTCGATTCTTGAGCGGCACTTACCTTCTCTATAGTGCAGACCGCGATGTCAAAATCAGCCCATGTAGCCCTGATTTTGCTCCCACCAAAGAAGCCGACAACTCGGATGGCGTCTCTGTCTGCCCGCTGGGCCCATAGCTTCTGTTGATCTTGTTGCTTCTGTTCGAGGGACTCGCGAGATATGCCATTGACGGCGTTGCGCAGCCAACGGACCTTTTCCTGAACAAGCGCAACATACGGAAGCACCAGGATTGCTTTAGCGTCACGGTCTCCGAGGACCCGTTTCAGCATGAGGACATCGGCGACAAGAGACTTGCCCCCGCCAGTAGGCGCGCTATAGACTAGGTTCTTCTCTCCTTGTAAGAGGCCTGGGCCAAGCAGGCACTGCCTTTGCCAAGGGTATATGCTCTTTATTCCCAAGGCAGCGAAGTTTGCTACGAGCTGACGAGGGAGTCCGTAGGCAGGGTGCGACAAGGACAGCAACGGATCAGCTGTTGAAGCAGGCGTGGCAGCGAACGCTTGTCTCTGCGAATACTCGGACAATAAACCCCTCCCAGCGAAACCGTCTGCGTACTCAATTCGGCTTGCCGTGAGCCTCGGAGGCCCCTTGGGGAGGTTGCCACCAAAACCTTGATGCTTCTTCCTTGAGGTCCCTACATCATTTTGATCGGTCACGGGGATCGAAACATCGCGAGCCCGTTTTTGGCCGGCAAGAGATGTGCCTCCGCCGGCGTAGATCTTTTGTTGCTCCTTCGCAGCTTGCAATGTTGTTGTGCGCCAGATGCCGAGTTTTGGATTCAGATGGTGTGCCATGATGGATGTACTGTACCGGGTATGGAATTCAATCTGTTTAGCGATCCAAGAAGCCAAAATTCAGCTGCAGGGCGGACTCAAGCCTTTGAAGGCGAATCTAGCGTGGTTAATAACAATGAGCAAGGCTGAAGCTTATTACCAGATTACAGGAAATCAACTCGTGGGTGATTCCATTCTTGGTGTTCCTTGGCCTCGGAAGGAACGTTAAGCGGACGGCCGCGTGTCTGCCCTCACGCGTCGTTCTTGCCGAGTGACATGGAATTCCGGCGGTTTGGGCGAAATACTTGCACCGCTAAGTTACCTGCAGCTCCTGCAGTCCGGGAGAGGCCCCACTTTTTGTGGGGCTAAAAAAGGCGGGTCGTAGACTCGATCTAGCCTCCCGAGCCTCCTTGATGGGTTGTTGCTATGTAGGTCCAAAATTTTCGGAGATTGCAGTCCCGGAAACTGGACGCCCCGCATCCTCTCACCCCACAATTGTTAGAGCAAATTCAACTTTGCAATTTTCAACTTCAAAACCACACTCAAAAATCATTCAAAACAAATGCATTTTCGCAACGTTTTCATCCATATATTCACTCTAACTCGAAGCCCTAACCCTGACCCTAATCCATAACCAGTAATCCTAGCCCCTAACCACTAACCCTAGCCCAGTATCTTGTGTGTGTCGCGTCGAGTGTGTACAATGAGAGTATAACAGTGGAAAGGTGGGTATATGTCCAGATCGGGATGAGTGGGGCGCCAAGATTTGGACCTCGATAGCAAAAGCCCTTGGTCGTCTGGTCGTTTGCTTCCTTCCAGGCCCGCCCAGGGTCAGACTCATCACTCACCACTCACCAGATGGGCATTGGCAGCCACAAGACTGAGCGCCTAAACATTTTTCAGCCACTCAACCCCCAAAGAAGGGAACCCCCAAAGAAGAACGGCTGGGAATGGTCAACTCCCGTCTCTGTGTACTGAAACTTTCGACGGCCTCTGTGTCGCACCCGCCTGAGAACGACGGGCTGGGTTCCAATGTCGATGTCCGTACGGAGTAATCGCGTCGGACCCCAATCCATGCCTCAACCTCTTGACATTATGTCAGATCCCAGGCGCATGCTCTTCGACAAAGGATTTTGATACATAGGAAACCCATCTCAGTCAGTTAGGCATCCATACGGACCATACTTATTCCGTACCTCAACCACATTTCAGCAGTGCATCCTTCCTCGCAAAGGGATCCAGGAACCCAATTGGCCTCATAACGATGCCTTATTAATTCGACGAGTTCACCTAACGTTAGTTGGCATCGCTGTTCTCGGATCCCGGCCACAATGCCTGGGGCAGCAGAATTGTAGCATCCAGCGGCGATGTGATCTGAAACACATATTTCCGAACTTGGTTGGGCCACGCTATCTACGTCTACAGACTCTGTCGCTTCTTATTGATAGTGCTGATCTGGAAGGGCAACAGAAGAGCGGAAACGGATCGACAGGATGGTCGGATATCCTCGAATTTGTTCAAGGCAAGTACAAATAGTATGGACGCATTCATACCACCTGGTACATACATACGTACATGAGCTTGACCTGGGAGCTCCGAGAGGGGTCTATCGAAAGACAGGGCCGATTCGGTCAGCTGCCACAGCCTGCCAGCTGCTGAACATCACGGCTTTTCGTTCCAAAGTGGCAATTCGGCCACGGCAAAGTTTCATGAAGACCGCCTGAGAATATCAAGAATATCCACGTTCGCTTGTTTCTGTGAATCATACCTAAGGCAGGTAAAGTTGTTGCCCAGGGGCTTCGGGTTTGGTACTGACCGCTCTCTGCAGTATATCAGGGGATCTAATAAAGTTCCATGGCAAGATGCGAGGCCGAGGCTCCTAGGAGGTGCGACGACGGGCGCGACATATCCACCAAAGCATAAGAGCCGCGAGTGAGAGACGACCGGGACGCAATAGCTATCCACGCAGCGAAACTGACTTCCAGGCCCTTCTGGGTTGCCAGAAACAGAACCTAGGCACAGTATATCAAATTTCGTCGTTGGTGATTCTGGACCTGTGTTCATATGATTGAGAACGGCTCTTCCCCTCTTATACAAATCACAGGGTTATAGATAGCACGAGTACCTGTCTACGGAATGGTCATCGACAGCTCGATGAGAAATTCTCTCGGCCCAAACACGATTTCAAATCTTCCCCACCAGAGAGTGGACTCCGCTATTTCTCTTCATATCTGCGATTTCATGACAAACCCGCTGCTTGTTGTGCAGGAGTGGTTGATGATATGTAGGTAAGCTTGTCAAGACCGTCTACGTGATGTAGTACGTGCTATTTCTTTTCTGACCTTTCCCGGCAGAATTCCCTGCCTGTTGCGGCCTTGTGGCTCCCGCTCAGTTTCTCGTCGTTTCTTGGATGACTACCTCCCGCTCCCCTCACATTATTGACCGGTCCCCTTTGGAAGGCAACCTTGAAGCTAAGAAGGGTTCCTTGTCGCCACAACAGGCAATGTTAAGTACTAAGTGCGCGAACCGCTTACTCGCACTGGGCTGGTAAAAAAAAGCTGTACGTACCTTTGTCACCCACTCATCTCATGCTCTTTTCGTCCTGTCATGTTTGACAATGCCCAGGTACAGTACAGCCAAGCCACGCCAGGCCCTCCGTTTCATCCGTGAAATGCGCCGCAACACAGGAAGTGTTTCCCAAATCCCAACGATCTTCATGAACAAATGTGCGCTGTCGAGTGAATCCGACGTGTGGTTCTTGTATTCCCCCCTCAAGCACGTCCCTCACTACCACGGCGATCCGGTGCGCGCTAGGACTCGTGACATGTATCCCCAGGTGCTCTTTTCGGACTGGTCGGAGATGTGACGAAGCCGGCGGGCTGCTGTGTACCGTCCCGCTGCGCAAGAAGAGATTTGGACCATGTGGATAACGCTGGATAGGTGCCTGGGCATGTTGCCAACAGTACGGATACAAGTATGGTACATCATGTACAACGGGGAGCCATATACGGAGCCAAGGAACCTAGGAAAATAACGGCCATTTTTGATCTCGAGGCCTCAGCTGCCCCCAGCTCCACGTGCCATGCAAAGCGCGCTGAGGATCCCCTGTTTTGAGTTTCGAAACTCACATCCGATGAAGAACCTGGGGTTTAGTATAACGGTAGGGGGCGGCAAGACAATGCGTCTTAGGCGCTGGACTCAAGTCGCTCTGCTCCGGAGGTAATTAAGGTACTACATGTGCACTCCTGACAAACAGCTAGCTTACTGCCAGATTGCACGGCAGCACCCTGTGCAGGATGTGTTAATTACCAGCAACCCGAATTGTGGAGTTGGACTGTTCGGCAGGAATCGAAACGACCCTGACAAGTCAAAATGTCCCAAAATGTCGCCTTCTGCTCTGAAGCCGGCGTTCCACCTCCTGTCACCTGGGGTGCCTTGCACCGTGCCGGTTCATTGGCGCAGCAAGAAGTTATCACAGTAGAACCGTTCATCCGGTGCTTGCAAGCAGACTGGAGGATTCGTTGGCCCAAGATGGTACTTTGAGATGATTACACTCACATTCACTATATTTACGGCTGATCGCTGCTTATGTATTCTCCGAGCACGTTGTTGGCAACGCATCGCTAGATGCCGCTTTTTCGGAGGAGGTTCACGGACCGGCGGGTAGTATGCCAAGACATCAGGGACAGGGCCCCAGCACTCCCTCGACATCATCGCCGATCACAAAGAATGCCAATATCGCAGCGAGAGCGGTGCACCGTCAGTGACAGTCAAATTCCCAAAATGCCAATCCAGAAGATGCATACACAACATATCGTGCCCAAAAGAACGGGGATAGGGGAGGTGAGTACGTATTTTGGTTGGCAAGTCCTGGAGCAGGGCTAGGGCGGCGGTGCCACGAATCCACGATACAGAATCGGCTGGTAATTCCGGGGCTAACGTTACCGGTAACGTTAGGCCCAAGCCTCCCTCGGCAGCCTTATCCCCTAAAACCCAAGCAACGAAAAGAGGATACAGTGCGGTTGCGGAAATCTCAAAGATGAGTTGTCCATGGAACAGGACGAACTACTAGTAACCGTCCTCAATCCATATCTGCCCCGCGAGGTAGGTGACAGCTGAACAAAAGGGGGCCGTCTACACTTTTCCCTGTAGAGCAAGCACATGGTTGCAGAAATGAGAGAGCCAGCCGGAGCAAACAGATCGGGATGGGAGGTCGGGTGTGTTGTGACGCGGGACGCTGGGGGCAATCCCTGAGCTTAGTAGCAGGAATGAGTACGAATACTATCCTTCAGGTCGGTAGCGCGCGTAAGTGCGTTGCAGTAACCAATGAGTGATATTCGTCCGTTTCTGAGCGAGTATCGGAAAAGAGGCGGTTCGTAGTCCAATTTGGAGAACGAAGAAGGTAGGCGTTAGGCCATTCCATGCCATTGCCAACCTAATGTATGGTAGCTGATAGAAGCATATTCGATTCTGTATCGTCATTTGTACCTACCTACATAGCTCAGCACGTAACACTCCTTGCAGGCGTCTTTTTCCCTGCTCGCAGACTTCCGCCTTTTTCCCCTGCTCAGCACACGACAATGATTGGGATAGGCCTGGTTCGACTGGATGGGCTCGAAGGCATCGGATGGCTGGTCGAGTATGATCAAGAGCAAACAAGCACATCGCTAGTTTGACTGAGAGTGAGGGCTTTTGCTTTGCAGCATACTTTTGCTTTCTCAGACAGTTTAAGCTTCTTTATTTCCTGCCAGATTCAGGGGATCTGGATTGAAGCCGTTGCAGCAGGTCATCATCCCACGCTTCCCCGGCCGGCGCGCGATGATGGCGGTCTAACGCAGACCGGACCTTGGGGGTTGGTGAAGGGAGCGGGTGAGGTTGAAGAGGTTTTTCTGGGGCAGCAAGTAGCGCAGATGTACCACAGCGTGGCTGCATGGGGTGATTTGCCGACGGTGAATCTGGACGATGGCGGGAATGCAAACCCTTGCAGTACGCGATATCTACCTCTTTGGGTCTCCACAGTGCAAAAGCGGCCAGGGCCCACCCACCTCACCCGGACTGGCCCCAGTGTTAGTGTATAATGCTCGGTGCTCTGGTGCTTCGAATTGAAGGCCGATGGAACTGGAAACTCTTGGGGGCAAAAGCACGGCGGATGTTTCCAAAGGCGCCGCCTTGCCCAGCACAGGAGCCGGGGCCGACAACGTACATAGGGTACCTGACCTTAAGTAATCCCAAGGTAAAATGCTGGCCGTGTGGTACTGTACTGTACAATACCATCCATACCTTTAGCTTGAATACCCTACCCTTCCAGTCCTTGCCATTTGACGTTTCTCACTCGTTTCCATTATTACCTTGCCTTAACCATTTCGCCCACATATCTCTAGTCCCTCTTTCTTTTCTTCCTCTGCAAAAGCTCTCCCACATGCAATCGGACCCTGGAAAGTGTTTGGCCGCGCTCTCCAGGACTTTTGGGCTCTCATCGTCTGGCCGCTCATACCCTCGCACGGTTTCCCTCGACCCTGCGCTCCAGACCCAGACTGAGGTGTCCCCCCTTGGCTGCTCCCAACACGCTCGCCCATTGTTTTCGTCTTTTATATGACGGGCGGTAGCCACCACCATCACGATCCCTTAGGTTCACGGCCACGCTCTATCTAACCGCTCTGCCCCTTTCCCCCTTCCACTCCCTCTCTATTACTTTGCGAGTTTGCTCTCCTCCCCCACTGCTAGTCTACTACAGTACCTACTTAGTCCCCTTGTATTTGAGCCGACACTCCACGCAGAGGGCAGCCCGGGCTTGCTTTTGCACGGGGCGTCGGGCCCGCTGCCGTCTCGTCTTATGGACCGTCTTCCGGCACGCTCCCGTCAACTTTCCTCATACCTTTTGCGCACCTCCATGCCAGCTGGCGCCAGCGCCCTCCCCTCGCACCTCAACTTTCGAGTGTGAACTTGAAGGATCTGGCGTGCGCCCTCACTCTCTGACCATCGGCGGGGCCAAGTCAAACTCGTGGCATCTGGTAATTTCCTTGGCTCGCCATGGCTCAGAAATCTCAAAGCGTGAGCCAGTCCGAGGACCAGGCAAATTCGGGCAGTCGCACGCTATCCGCCAAGGACGGCGCAGGAGCAACAAGCTCGACTAAGCAGTCTGCCAACTCTACTACTAGTAACGCGGGCTCCATATCATCCTCCATCCTGCCACGAATGTCTGACCCGACGCCAATTTCCACATCCAACTCGGAGTCCCCGCAACCCATGGAGAAGCCTTCTGCGGCCGGTTCGCAGCCGTCGCCTTATGGCACGCGCTCACGGAACCGCACAGGCGCCACGCGACCAAATTATGCCGAGGACAAAGATATCGACATGGACATATTTGACACTTATCCTCACCGAAAAGACGACGAGTCTAAAAAGTCCAACACCAGGCAGCAACAGGGAGCATCAACAACAACATCATCTTCTTCGTCATCGTCAGCGGCCAATGCAACCCAGTCTGCCCCACGCTCTGGGAATGGTTCCTCAAGAAAGCCACTTCCGGATGAGAGCAGGCAAAACGCTGCAAGCAACGGTAGCAAGGACTCTCATCAAAATCAGAACCAGTCGTCGACTGCATCGCCATCGGTTGCTGGTGGCGCTGCTGCGGCAAATGGACCTTCCAAGAGCAAGAAACGCAAGGCGGCTGACAGCGCCCCGACGGTCAGCGGCAGCCAAACACCTGTGCCATCAAACGGCACCCCGTCCACGTCGGCGCTACAAAACCGCCTTGGATCCAGCGCGCAGAGCAGCGGAAATGCCACACCAGGCGGGTCGGGTTATTCCGAGACGAATTTGCTCACCTTTGAGAAATGCAAGGCGCGACCGAAGGATGGCAAAATGGTGGCCGACGACGGCACTGTTCTCGCGGTAAACGGTAAGTGCCACTGCATTTCACCCAGTGCTCAGGCGCACTTTCTTCAAAAGATGGTTCTAATGCTGTCTCTACAGATCACGTCTACCTAGTATGCGAGCCTCCGGGCGAGCCATACTACCTGGGTCGCATCATGGAATTCTTGCATGTCAAGAATGACCCGACGCTGCCAATCGATGCACTGCGCATCAATTGGTACTACCGGCCCAAGGACATCGGGCGCAAGGTGCAAGACACGCGTCTTGTTTTTGCCACGATGCACTCAGACATTAGCCCTCTGACGTCGCTGCGCGGCAAGTGCCAGATCAAGCACAAGGCCGAGATTGAGGACATGGCGAGCTACAAGCGCATGCCCGACTGCTTCTGGTATGAGAAGCTGTATGATCGGTACATCCAAAAGAACTACGAGGTGATTCCGACAAGCCAGGTCATCAACGTGCCTGAGCATGTCAAGAAGGTGCTGGACGAGCGTTGGAAGTTTGTCCTAACCGAGCAGGGCCGGGGCAAGGAGCTGACCAGTGCGGTCAAGACGTGCAAGCGATGCACCGGTTACTGCGCGAAGTAAGTTGACAAGCCCTTTTGATTTGGCGGCATCTGGGCGGTGGTGGGGTGGTGGGCAAATGGAACGTGGAAACACCCGTGGGACCCAATGAGGAAATTGAGGGATCAATGGAGAAGAAAAGTGGAGTCTCAGATGCGCTGACACATCCAACAGCAACGATTCGGTCGATTGTGCCGTGTGCCAGAACACGTACCACATGAACTGTGTCAAGCCCCCCCTGCTCAAAAAGCCAAGCCGTGGCTTTGCCTGGTCGTGCGCCGCATGCAGCCGCGCACAGGAGCGCAAGCTCGAGGCGCGCAACACGCCCAACATTTCGGATCCGCATGTCGATGCCGAGGACGACGAGGGCCTGGATGATGAGGACGAAGAGATGGGCGGTGTGGACGGCGTCGACACGGGACGCACCAGTCGCACCAGCCCGGTCGAGGAGGATGCCCATCCGCCCCCGACTGCCGAGCAGATCTACCACGCCAGTCTCTGGCCCTACAGGTATTTGGGAATGCACTGCAAAGCCGAGGATGCGCTCGATCTCGATGATCGTATCTTCCCTCGCGCTAGCACCCGGCTAGGTCCCCGTCACCAGGCCATTGTGGTCCCCTGGTTTGGGCGGCCCGTTCAATACGTCAAGCCCCTGGAGTTCAAAAAGACGGGTAAGAGCAACAAACTCACTAAAGAGCAGCAAGCCGCCCTTGAGGCCGAGCGCATCGAGCGGGAGAAACGTCCGAAGTGGATTCAGGACGAGCCTCCCGGATATGTCGAGCGGGGAGGTGACGATACTGCCACCCTTCTCTACAAGCCCCCCGAAGATTGCGGTGTGCGCATGTCCAGTGAGGCGCTCGACGATTACATGGATGTCGCCAGGTCGATGGCGATTTCGCTCGGACTGCCGCGTTACTCGACTAATCTGCAGGATGTTGCCAGGGACCTTCTTTTCCGCAATGATTTTGACCCAGAGAAGGCCCTTAAGGAACTCTCCGAGGTCCCCAAGTCGGTTTTCAATGAGCCTGAATTGACGCCGGCCGAGCAGAAAAAGTTCGAGGAGGGTGTGGCCAAGTACGGCTCAGAGCTGCACAGCGTCATGAAACACGTTAAGACTCTAAGCCCAGCAACCGTCACCCGCTGGTACTACACGTGGAAGAAAACGGAGCGTGGGAAACAGATCTGGGGAAATTTCTCGGGCCGGAAGGGCAAAAAGGACGCCAAAAAGGCCGAAGCTGCTGCTAACAAGCTGGCTGACGATGTTGCCGACGACCACGACGATTCGGCATTTGACGCAGAGAAAGCAAAGGAACGGAAGAAGGGATTCATTTGCAAGTTCTGTGGTGTCAAAAAGTCACGCCAATGGCGACGGGCTCCCGCTGCGGCGGTGACGCCCGTTACCGAAAACGGCAGCCGCAATAATAACAAGGACAAAAAGGACCAGTACATTCAGGCGCTCTGCCGGCGATGCGCAGAGCTGTGGCGACGCTATGCCATCCAGTGGGAGGACATTGATGAGGTAGCCAAGAAGGTTGCGCAGACAGGCGGCCGGGGATGGAGGCGCAAGGTTGATGAGGAGCTTTACAAGGAGCTTCTTGCGGCTGACGAGATGATGAACAACACCCGGTTCCCGTCACCCGAACCGGCCGCAGCGGCAAGTCCAGCAGCTTCGACTTCGCTCAGCACACAGGTAGCGTCACAGGAGCCGCCGCGCAAGAAGCTCAAGGGCTGGGCCGACAAGGATATCGAGAAGACGCCTTCAGAATCAGGCAGCGTCTCTGCCGGCCCGGTTTCCAAGAAGAAAGAGAAAGCGGCCGAGAAGCAGCAACCGCCGCCTCCTCCTCATGTTCCCGAGATTCCGAAACCCCGGACGCTACCATGCGCGATATGCAGAGAAATGGAGCCGCTTGGGGATCAGCACCTCTCTTGTAGGGAATGCCGTCTCACCGTACACCGGAACTGTTATGGGGTTGTCGACAACCGCGCTCCGGGCAAGTGGACTTGCGACATGTGCCTGAATGATAAAAATCCGCAGCTCTCGATTGTGAGTGTCCGCTTCCCGCATCGACGCTGCAGAGCCAGAGGACTAATCAAATTCCAGCATTACAAGTGCGTGCTCTGCCCGGTTGAGTATACCGAGCACGAGTTTGTTGAGCCGCCCAAGATATCGTCTTCTCACAAGAAGAAGACCGAAAAGGAGCGCGAACGTGAGCGACTCGAGCGCGAGAATGCCCAGAAAGCTGCCGAGTACTACCGCAAAAAGCAGGAAGAGATGAACCGGCCAGTTAACCCCCGCGAACCCCTGAAGCGCACCGCAGATAACAACTGGATACACGTCACCTGTGCGGTCTGGACTCCTGAAGTCAAGTTTGGGAACGCCAAGACGCTGGCGCCCAGCGAAGGCGTTCCATTGATTCCGCGTTCCAACTATGGGAAAGTGTGCAAGGCTTGCAAGAGGGACGAAGGCGCCTGCGTATCCTGCCATCAGTGCCACACGCCTATCCATGTCGAGTGCGCACACCAGGCTGGCTATGTCTTGGGTTTTGACGTCACGCCCGTCAAGGGATCTCGACGTGATCAGTTTCGCATTGTCACCATCAACGGGGAGACAGGGGTCATGTCAGCCGCCATTTGGTGCAAGGAGCACGTACCGACCAAGACCATTGTCCATCGCATGCATGACGTTGTGGCCGAGAACGGAATGAATGCTCTGCAGCTCTACGTACAAAATTACAAGCAGGCCGATCTGGCCTTGACTGGGTGCGCGAGGAAGGCGAACCAGATTACCGTGGCGTCCAAGATGACAACGTCGCCGTCAACTCCCGCTTCGCAGAACCGACGGACATCTTTGGTTGCGTTGCTCAATGGTGACCATGGAGATACGGCGCTGAATGCTCTTCAACCCGGCGGCAAAATTTGCCTTACGTGTGGCGTCGACGTTAGCCCTAAATGGCATCCCATAGACCAGGCGCAGGAACGCGAGCTTACAAATGGCTACTTCGGCAATCTCGGATCCGAGGCGCAGAAATTTGTCGAGCAGCGAAGTTTTCAATGCCACAAGTGCAAGAAGGATGGCCGGAAGCCGAACGCGCACCCGCAGCCGCCGAAGGAGCCTACACCTCCTCCCGAGCCTGTGCGGCAGGCAACGCAAGCAGCGGCAGTAGCTGTCCTGCCTCCCGTTGGGCCAGCAGAACCGAGACACGCGAGCAGGGGCCCGTATGGGTGGTCGCCTCCGCTACATGCGATTTCTGGCCCGCCTACCCCGGTGCAACCTTTGCCTCTTCAAGCTCCCTCGCTCGGCCCCATGCCTCCTGCGATCGTCCCTCCCGTGGTGCAAGCGCCGCCCGTAGCGCCACCTCCGCTGCCCCCGACCATCGCGCCACGGGCTCCGCCAGTCCAGCCTCCGTCGTTCGCACCATCGCCTCGACAGTTTGACTGGCACCGGCCCTCAACGGGCCATGGCCCACCCCCGCTACACCCGGTCCGTGATGTCAACGGCGGGCCGTCGCCCCCTCCTACCGCTATTCCACCGCTAGCTAACCACCTACGACCACCGCCCATCGTCACCATGAACCACTCTTCTCCACCCGCCCCCCAAAGCGGCGGACACCTAACACAGGCATCGTTCGTGAACGGCGTGCCGCAGTCGCCGCGGCGTCTCAGCGGTCCCACGGCTCCAAACGGTGCTCCGTACCTATCTCACCATGTCCAGGGCCCGCCGCCCCCGACCGAGCTCCGGCCGCATCACAGCCACAACCACATGGCCATTAGCTCTATCTCACCGGTAGTGCCTGGCCCTGGGCCCGAGCCACAGGCGCCGCAGCCGCTGAACTACCTCCGACAGTGGGCCCAGCCTGGCCCGCAGCACCTCAATCACACCAGCCCCCCGCCCCCGCCACTGCGGGAAAGTGCCTCACTGACGAGAGAACCGAGTCTACCTCCGCCGAGACTGGGAGATAACAACCGGCCCGTCAGCGGGGCAAGTGCGAGCCCGTCATTGAGAAACTTGCTTTCTTAGTTCCATGGAATTGGGTGATTGGGGTGATTGTGGGAGGTGGATGGGGGAGATTTGTAACAATACTCTAATGCTATACTTGTTTTCTTTTTTGTTGTTGTAAACTGGGGTCTTTTGAAAAGTGTGACAGGACAGGCATGCAAGCAGGCAAAGGCAAAAGCGTGTTAGACTATGTTCGTTCTTGTTTCTACACTTTGTCCCTCTCTCTCGTCGCTTTCGGGAGGAAGACAGGGAGGTGGGGGTGGACTGGATTTTAACACAAGGTGGAACGAGAAAGATGTGCTCTCGCTGCGTGAAGGGGGTTGTTGATGGATAGGACGGAGGCTTAAGTGATAATTATCTCGCCTTGACGGGTTTCTGGATTGGGGATAAGGATAAGGATAAGGAGGTTTGTGGACACGGATGGACTGGACAGGACATGGCTGGTGCATACCCGGGTTGGGCGTGGTTGTAGCGCGTCTAGGATTGTATCTGTGTATCTAGATATGCCTTGGCGGCATAATGGTGGTGCAGGTCAATCAATCGAGCAAGCAAGAAAACAAGCAAGCAATCCATTAACCTAGACGCTTTACACTTATACCTGCAGTACTAAGAAGTGCCTGGGTTTGACGCTGTGATCGGTGAACAACGGCCAGAAGTTCGGGCCGGGCTACCTCCATAGGCCTATTAGCGTTGATTGCCGTTTGCCGAGGAGCTGTATGAATGTAATTGCGTGATATATACATTACACCTGTACGGTGGGACAGTGCAGTATCGAATTACATAGGTCAAGTCACTCGTTGATTTGACGATGAGCTGGCACAGGAATCTGTAAGTCAAGCCAGCCAAAGGTAGCATTGAGTACGTGTAATGGCAGGCCAAAAGCATGCTGGCCCAGTAGCCTCACCAGAAACTACGGTACTGTAGAGAAGGACCTAGCATATTCTTGCTCTCCTTGTGGATGCAAGGCAAAGAAAGGAGGAAATATTAAGGTTCTGGACTGCAGACTTGCAGCTGGCAGCATGACGCGGTCGAGAATTCAGGGTTCCGTTCACGCTATAATTTTAGCATGGAGAAATTGATGAAACGGCTCCGCCGTCCCAACTTGCAGCCACGATGGGCAGGGCCGACTTGCATTTGAATTTCCATGCACTCGATGTGCGACCCTGGGTCAAAGCTCTAGAATGTGGCGTTGTTAAAGTAGTACTCGAGCTAGCGCGGGCTTGCACGGCAACTTCGCGGGGAAGCGGGTCCTTCCAAAGTACCGGGATAAACGCACCAGCCACACTCCAGAGTCTTCGATGGATTTCCATGAGGAGGGGCTGAATGCCTTGTATCAAGGAAAGGCGGCGAGTCGATTCAGATCCGAGAAATTCAGCCTCCCTTCTGAGGATCTGCAGTTCTTTTCTATAAGCAATCCGGCTTTTCTCTGCAACGGCTGTTCAACAGCGTCTTTGGCTGGTCAATTTCCCTCATCCAGGTCTTGTCAAGTCAGACCCTTCTTCAACTTGGAGATCAGAGTGTGAATAGCATCAACCTCTCGGTTGACAGCCAGGTCAAAGCAGCGCATTGATTCCCAATTCTTGTTCACATCGTCTGGTAAGCCGACTGGTACCCTTTCCCACCGTGCGTTGCTTTCTTTTACCCCCCGGTCTTCCCACGGAAGCCTCCAGAGCTTTCGCTGCGCATGCCACACAGCCTTACGCACCACAGTTCCGATTGTTAGACCACAACCCAACCTTTAAAAAGGACCCTGGTCTATTTTGGCTGCTCTTCTCTCGCAGTGTTGCTAACCAGCGAGCGACTACAGAGTGCAAAAGAGTGACACTAAGCCTCGGACCCTAATCGCAGCCCGCCGACCGATCGTCAGGCTCCAGCCAACAGCGGCAGCCTTGAGCGACTCCGTTCACCCTACCCAACCACACATCCATCCGTCAAAATGGCGCGGGAGACAAAATACTACGACATCCTTGGCGTACGGCTCCCAGCGACTAGTCGAGCTGCTGTGGGACAGGATTCCAGAAGCTAACATCCCATCACAGGTTTCGCCGAATGCTACAGAGCAGGAGCTCAAGAAGGCTTACAAGACGAACGCCCTAAAGTACCATCCTGGTATGACTTGATTTGTCTTGGTGATGTCTGTCGAGGTTTGTCCTAACCCATTCGCTTATAGACAAGAACCCCGGCAACGCTGCCGCCGAGCAGAAGTTTAAAGAGATTTCACATGCCTACGAGATCCTGTCTGACCCGCAGAAGCGCCAGCTCTACGACCAGTATGGCGAGGCTGGGCTGGAGGGCGGTGCCGGAGGCGGTGGTGGTGGTATGGCGGCCGAGGAGCTGTTCGCCCAGTTCTTTGGCGGCGGCGGCCTCGGCGGTGGTTTCGGCGGCATGTTCAGCTCCATGAACCACCAGCGCGGCCCGGCCAAGGCCAAGACGATCCACCACGTCCACAACGTTTCGCTCGAAGACATCTACCGCGGCAAGGTTTCCAAGCTCGCCCTGCAGCGATCCATCATCTGCCCCAAGTGCGAGGGCCGTGGCGGCAAGGAGGGTGCCGTCCGGAAGTGCCCCGGTTGCGACGGTCACGGCATGAAGACCATGTTGAGGCATATGGGCCCCATGATCCAGCGCTTCCAGACCGTCTGCCAGGACTGCAACGGCGAGGGTGAAATCATCAAGGATAAGGACCGCTGCAAGCAGTGCCTCGGCAAGAAGACGGTTGTGGATCGTAAGGTGCTCCATGTTCACGTCGACCGCGGAGTCAAGAGCGGCACCAAGGTCGAGTTCCGCGGCGAGGGTGACCAAGCTCCTGGCATCCTCGCTGGTGACGTCGTTTTCCAGATCGAGCAGAAGCCCCACCCCCGCTTCACCCGCCGGGACGATGATCTCATGTATCGCGCCGAGATTGATCTGGTCACAGCCTTGGCTGGCGGCACCATCTATATCGAGCACCTCGACGACCGGTGGCTCAGTGTTGACATTCTGCCCGGTGAAGCGATTGCGCCTGGTAAGTTCATCATTCGGAACCTGGGCGCTTTGTTGCGTGAAGATGCTAACCTTGATTTGCAGGGGCTTTGAAGATGATCCGCGGCCAGGGTATGCCGTCGTACCGCCACCATGACTACGGCAACATGTACATCCAATTCGACGTCAAGTTCCCCGAGAAGAACTGGACCGAGAACCCTGCCGCATTTGAGGCCCTCCGGAAGTTCCTCCCTGCTCCAGAGCTTGTCAACACCCCTCCTGCCGACGCAATGACTGAGCCCGCCGATCTTGAAGACGTTGACGCCAGCTCTTCATCGAGAGGCTTCAACGGTGTCGCCGCGGATGACGACGAGGAGCATGAGCCTCACGCCGAGCGTGTCCAGTGCGCTTCACAGTAAACATTCACGCTGTTGTGGGAGCAAAAGGACTTTCTCGGGAGGTAACAAGGGGTCACGCTGCTCGCGCTTCTGCAGCGGGAGTGTGGTTCGGGCCTCCTTCTTTTTCTTTAATTTCTTCCTTGTGTAAGGACGGCGTGCTCCTCGGTATAATGAGACACGAGGGAGAACGCGAGGGAGGGTACATGGAAATACCCCAGGGAATCGGAGATGGATGCATAGAAATTATTCTCGCTGGGCTTGCATGAAGGGTTCTTTCTCTCGGGCCGCTTTTAGTTTTTCATGTTCATTGGTACGTCACGAAAGTCTGGCAGGCGGCGTTCTCGAGAGGATAGAGGAGGCACCGGCTTTTTCCGCGGCGGAGGCTTGCTCTGCTGCCCGAGGTTTATAGCGACATGATCACAACAAGCATTCCTGGTCCGAGTGGCCTCTTGAGTGAGTCTTTGTGACTTTTTGTGATTCCACGGTCAGGATGCACAGCGGATTGGAGTTATGTTTGGTAGGCAAGCCTCATTTCCAACCAGCTGGTTCAACAGAACGTGTTTTGTCTTGAACTGGGCATTTGGAAGGTTGGTTTTCAGAATCACGCTGTCTTTCTACTATCAGTTGCTACAACAGAAGTACACGAGGTGGTGAAGATCCAGCTGCCTCAACTGGCTTATGCTCTGCTTGATATGATTTCTCCTCTGCATGTCTCCAGCCTCAATTTATTTGCCCAGGGCCAGCGAAAGAGACCAGACTCACTCTCCATCCCAGGCTACTGTAGCGTGATCCCATCAGTCAGAGTCTGTCATCTTGCGCAGACTCTCGGTAGTATACAGGATCTTTTGCAACTCTTCGGTGCTGAGGTTGATGTCAGCTGCTCCGCCGGCCGACTCGTTCGTGGGAACGACGGGGGTGTGCCGCCAACCCGCCTCGCCTTCCGACCCAGCCTGCTGCTGGTCCAGCACCATCAAGGATGACGCGGCACTGCTTCCCTCGCCAGAAGTGACCGAGTCGACGGCAACCAGAAGCCGCCCGGCGCCCAGCAGCTCCACATCGAGTGGGTTACCGGGCAGGCCCACGGTTTCGCGGTGGCGGAGCGTGTTATCGTCCAGGAGGTTGTAGCAGAAAATGGCGGGGACACTGCGCGCGGACATGTTTAGCTCAACTCTCACTCATCCGCCGGACAACCTGGAGTAATAACAACCAAGCAAGCAGAAGCAAAAACCAAACGTACCGTTCACACGCAACAAACACAACCGTCTCGCACCCCGTCCAGCGGCTCGCAAGCAGCTTCGTAACCGCAACTTTGACCTGTTTGCCACCTGCGCCCTGTCCATCACCGTTACCGTTACCATCACCGCCATCGCCATCACCCCCGCTAGGAACAAGCACCATCGCATCCTTGACGTGCCCGGCCAGCCCAGCGCGGCAGAGCAGCCGGCCGGCCGGCCAGTCCCACACAAACAGGTCGTCGTCGCCGCCGCCAGAGATCAGCACCCTCTCCCTCCCGCCAGGCGCGACGCACAGCCGGCTGACAAACTCGTCGTGCCCGAGGCAGAAGCCCTCAATGACGTGGGACTGGGGCATCCCCCGCGACACGCGGATGTGCTCGTCCCGGTCGGCTGTGAGGATGTATTCCTTCGCTGTTGTTGGGGTTCGGGTCTCAGGCTGCTGTTGTGGTTGTTGTTGTCCGTCGTTACTTAAGGATATGCTGCTGCTGGTGGTGGTGGTGGTGGTGGTTAAGGTGGCAACACAGATGGCGGTGAGCATGGATACGTGTCCCAGCAGGAGGGCGTGTTCAAATGACGGTGTTGCGCCTGATGACTGGGATTGCTGTTCGGCGGACTTGCGGCTGAGGGACTTCTTTTGGTTTTCGAGCGCTATCAGGTTGCGTTTGGTGTGCACAGTGAGCTCATTGGCTTGTGGTTTGAGGGCAGCTGCTGGGCCAGGGGAAGGGGTTGGGGTGAGGGAACTGCGGGATCGATTGAAGTTCTGGGGTGGTAGGGGGGATGTTGACGGGCTGTTGGACGGGATTAGAGGTAGCGCATAGACGTCGCCGAATTTGTCGGCCGAGAGGATGGTGCGGTTGTCCGCGGTGAGGGCGAGGGCACAGGGGCGTTTGGGCATTGTTCTAGAAAAGGGGCGTTAGCTTGCGCTACCAATTATGCCTAAGATGTAGACGACGGCAAACTTGCCTCTGGCTGAGTTGCTTAAGGTTGCCTGCTCCGTCATGTTCGAAGACCCAGATGGTTTTGTCAGAGCCCGTAATGGCTACTAGGTGATGGCCGTCTGTTGTGACGTAGAGCCCCTGAATGAAAGGTCTCTCGTTCACAACTTTCTCCTGGGTGGCCTTTGGTCCGTTCACCTGCCCTTTGGAGGTAGACTCTTGGCCATCCTGAACCTTCCTGCGCTTAGCTGGCGGTTCTTCCGGGGCGGGCGATTCCTGAGCTGCCGGGGATGGAGCGCACGACGCCTCCCTTTGCTTCACAGGGTACTCCCATGTTGAAATATGCTCAAAAGTAGAGGTGAAGGAGTGAATATCACTGCCTCGAGCAGCAAAGATGATGCTACCACACACTTCGAGAAGGTGATATGGGATTGCCATCATGGAACGATAAGTGAATATGAGAGCAGATGGGTCTTGATGAGTGAGAGACCAATGAGGGCGTTGAGTGTGCCCAAGTAGATGGAATAGGCTCTACGTTTTCGCAAGCAAGTTTGAGTCAGATGTGTTCAAATGAAAGGGATCAGAACATCAACATACCGTGGCTCTCAGGATTCAGATTTCTAGTTGCCGTGAAGTGTACTTTATATGTAAGGATAAGACAAGGGACATGATGAATCTTGAAAAATCTGTGAAGCCCAAACTATTGAAGTTTTCACTTGGCTTGAGACTCTCCAGGCACAACAGGTTTCTTATGAAGCCATAGAAACCGCAGAACCTACCTAGGAACTGAGCGCCAATTGGGAAACTTGAAGGAATGTCTCTGCAGCAGCATTCTACACTGGAATAATCAAGACATTGAATTGTTGGGCACTTGCCTTTGCATTTCACTGCCCTCGACGAGTCGATGTGCTCCTGCTTGCAAGTCCCAAAGAGAATGTGGAAGTGGGGCAGAATGCAACACCTCATTGGCCAGAATCCCAAGCCCTAGGGAAGCAACTGCCCCCCACAGCTCCAGGTCAATTGTATGAAATTCCCGAAAGCTGCGACTCCGGGAACTTTTTCGCCAAAGCAAACATCGCGATTTCGTCACCTCCTCGTTTCCATACTTCAGAGATCAATCGCCCTGAAAAATCCTGCCTTCATAACTAAGAAGATATGGGGGGCAAGTCTGGAAACAAGGCCGGCTACTTCGACAAGCTGAAGGGCTTGTTGGAGGAGTACCGTTCCATCTTCATTGTGTCGGTCGACAATGTCTCGTCGCAGCAAATGCACGAGATTCGCCAGGCCCTCCGCGGCCAGGGCGTTGTCCTGATGGGCAAAAATACCATGGTATGCCAGAGCGGTTGTTTCTTCGTGAGATTTGACATTTCTTTGTCTTGCTGACTCTGTCTCTCTAGGTCCGCCGCGCGCTGAAGACCTTCATCACCGACACCCCCGAGTACGAGCGCCTGCTGCCCTTCGTCAAGGGCAACGTCGGCTTCGTCTTCACCAACGGTGACCTCAAGGATATCCGTGACAAGATCTTGTCTAACAAGGTCGCCGCCCCCGCCCGTGCCGGTGCCATTGCCCCGGTCGACGTCTGGGTGCCTGCCGGCAACACCGGCATGGAACCCGGCAAGACGTCGTTCTTCCAGGCCCTCGGTGTCCCCACCAAGATCGCTCGTGGTACCATTGAAATCACGACCGATCTCAAGCTCGTCGAGGCCGGCGGCAAGGTCGGCCCCTCCGAGGCGACCCTGCTCAACATGCTCAACATCTCCCCCTTCACCTACGGCATGGGCATTGCGCAGGTCTACGACCAGGGCAACACCTTCCCCGCGAGCGTTCTCGACATTGGCGAGGAGCAGCTGCTGAAGGCCTTCTCGTCGGCCGTCACCACCATCGCCGCCATTTCGCTGGCCCTCAACTTCCCCACTCTGCCGTCCGTCATCCACTCCCTCGTCAACAGCTACAAGAAGGTCCTGGCCGTCGCCGTCGAGACCGACTACAGCTGGCCCGAGATTGAGCAGCTCAAGGACCGCATCGCCAACCCCGATGCGTACGCCGCCGCCGCTCCTGCCGCTACCGAGACTGCCGCGGCTACCGAGACCAAGGCTGAGGAGAAGGAGGAAGAGAAGGAGGAGGAGTCTGACGAGGATGGCGGTTTCGGCGGTCTATTGTCTGTTTCCCTGCCACTGCCCGATTGCTCGAGTACCCTGCTAACATTACCGACAGCGACTAAATGTAACAGCATCATGACGGTGTTTTCGGGCTGGCAATCTTGGTTTGGGTCTGGCAAAGGTTTCATGGGTCTCTATCCACGGCTACATAGATCATTTGCGGCTCAAATAAGCACTCCATGTCTGATGGGACCACTTTGTTTGGGATTCGTGCTTTTCCACTGACGCGCAAACCTGGCCAGCCAGTTGCATTATACCCTCAGGTTAGTACCCCCTTCCTCTCTTAGTTCCCCTATTTATGTGTCGATGATTATGCAAATGAATCAAAGAGCTTTTTAACCCTGAATTCCTTTGATGACAAACCCATCACCACCCTATGAGACACAGCGTTTGCTACTTTTTTTTGCACATTACATCTTTTTTACAAGGGGTATCATGACTGACCCGTAATAGAACCATAAGTGAAAATTACACGGGTTGAGCAAAAGGTTAATCAAATGTCCAACTTGCCTTTCACCCCACAACAACCCCTACCGCCTCTCCCTTCGTTGGCGGCTCCACATCCTCCCGTAGCGGCGTAGACATACCACCGTCGGCAACCCCTGACTCCCGCAGCACCTCTTGGGCAACCCGGATAGCCTGCTCCGGCAGCCCCGCCAGACGGGCCACCTTGAGCGCGTGACTTTGCCTGTTGACGCCCCTGCGCAGCTTGTGAACGTAGACAAACCCGCCCCTTTCGTCCTCGCGCACGTCGGTGCAGTACATGTCGACGGCGCCGTCGGGCCCGCCGTCTTGGACGCGGAAGCCATGCCGGGCAACCAGGTCGGCGATGCCGTGGAAGTGGGTCGCGAACAGCGCCCGGCAGCGGTTGACGCGCAGCAGGTGGTGCAGGCTGGCAAAGGCGACGGCCGTGCCGTCCTCGGGCGTGGTGCCCCGCCCCACCTCGTCCATGATGATGAGGGACCGCGGGGTGGCCTGCCGCAGGATGGCGGCCGTCTCGAGCATCTCCACCATGAAGGTGCTCTGGTCCTGGTACAGGTTGTCGGCGGACCCGACGCGGCTGAAGATGGCGTCGACGATGCCCAGCTCGGCGTACTCGGCCGGCACGTAGCAGCCTATCTGCGCCAGGATGGTGATGAGCGCGTTTTGCCGCAAAAAGGTCGACTTGCCGGCCATGTTGGGACCCGTGATGAGCCAGATGCGGCCGTGTGCCTGCTGCTTTTGCTGTTGTTCTTCTCCGCTTCCATATTGTGCCGAGCCCAGGAGGAGGTCGTTCCGCTGGAAGGTACGTCCTTGCTCGGCCAACCCGGCTTCGACTGTCGGGTGGCGCCCGCCGATGATGATGGTTTGTTGAGAAGTGTTGAGTTTGGGACGGACGAGGCGCTGCTCGATTGCGAGACGGGCAAATGAGGTGGCGATGTCGAGCTCGTCCAGCACAAGGGCGTTGCGCCGGAGCTTGACGAGGTTGTGGACGACGCCTTCGCGCAGAGTCGAGAAGACGCGCTGCTCCTCGGCCCGGATCTTGCAGCGTGCCTTGTCGATTGCTTCGCCGAGTGCGGTCCACTCTGGCAAGTGAAAGGAGCGGGTCGTGCGGCTTGATGAGAGGGTGCGGATCGGTGGTGCCTCGGTCGTGTCGTTCTCGTCGGTCGAGGTGGCCCTCGGGGTGCGCCGCGCGTCTTTGCCCTTGACGTGGCAGATATGACCTAGCCCCGGGGTCCAGCGCAGGGTGAGAGAGGAGGCGTTGAGGCGGGCGCGGAGCGACTCGGTGAGTTGGTCTTTTTCTTGTTCGAGCGTCGCGAGCTCGTGGTGAAGGCGGGAGAGGACCTTGGAGGCGCCGGGCTTCATGATCCAAACTCCGGTATCTTCGCCGTAGTAGTCCCGCAGAGAGGGGTTCTTTTTCCGATCCGATTTTGCGACTGCGCCTTTGGGGAGCAGAGAGCTGTCCGCTGCTGTTCCTTCTGTCTTGACAATTTCTTGGGCTAGCGCAATCATTTCGCCTGCTTCGCTGTCCTCGATTTGGTGCCGCTGTACAAGGCCCTCTTCGTCGATTGCATCGTGGATCGTTCGGGCGAGTTTCAGTGGCTGGCCGAGCGTGATGCGGTCGGCCATGATGGAGAGACAGTCTAGGTGTTGGTCGCCATCCCTTGGCTGACTAGAGGAAGGAGTATTTAGGATGCCGACAATGTCTTCTGTTGCCTTGATCGTGTTTGCTAACTGAAGGAGGTCGTCCGGATCCCCACGATTAAGTGCGAACTTTTGGACGAGGCGCTGTGAGTCATGGCACCTGCGTAGAAGAACTATTATGGCATCCCGAAGGTCCTCATCTTGGATGAAGCGGGAGACTAGATCCTGTCTGAAGTTGATGACTTCTAGCGAGGTTGAAGGGGAGCCTACACTAGGTTAGTCAAACTCCGTCTGTATATCAGCATTGGACATATCGAGCCTACTGAGCCAATCGTTCAACAGTCTCGCACCGCTTTTGGTCACGGTGCGTCGGATGGCATGTAACAAGCTCCCCCTGAAAGCACCGTCCCTAATAGTCTGCTTGATCTCCAGGGAGCGCATGCTGTTCTTGTCGAAATTCATGACGTGCATGTTCTCATACCGCAGGGGCGGCTGCAGCTTCATGTTCATCCCCTGTAAGCGGTCCCTCACGTAGTGAAGCAAGAGACTGCCCGCTTGTACTTCACCATCGGTGAATTTGTCGAGTATCTGAGCTGAGATCTCGGCTTCTAGCATCGGCTCCCAGTCGGATAGCGTCATCAGCTCACCCTGAGACGCATAGCTTACAGCGTACCTTTCCTCGCGGAGGATAGACAACAGAGCGTGGTCCTGGGGAGGCTGGAGTGACTTGTCCAAGACGATCTCCCGAGGAGAAACGCGTGATAGTGCGGAGCCGAGCGACGCTAGATCCGTCGGTTGAGTGTAGAAGCAACCGGTGGACAGGTCCAGCCATGCCAGGCCGACACAGCTTGAAGGACTGTTGGCGGGGTCGAACGTGTGTATGGGCTGTTCGGCTTCTTGGCAGCTCATATCACCTGATGCCATCGGCTCGGGCAGGTAGACGGCCATGACATAGTTGCTTGCGTAGGGGTCCATAAAGTTTTCGTCGATGAGGGTGCCTGGCGTGACGATACGGGTCACTCTGCGATCATGCATCAAACCGCCCGACTTGACCTTCTCTGAGGGACCATTTGGGAACTCCTCGGCAATGGCTACATGACGGTTAAGATCCTGGACCAACGTCTTAAGGAAACGATCCAACTGGAAAAAGGGAAAGCCGGCCTGGCAACAACGACCCATCAGAACAACAGTATCGTGGAAAGCGGCACGGTGCAGGCATAGACAGTACCATTGGGACGGGACCCGCGCTCGTCTTCTTCTGTGCTACCTTGAGGTTCAGGAGCGGGCCGAACTCCTCGGCCTGTTCGAAGTAGAGCTCATAGAAACCACCAACCCTGGTGAGAAGCACGCAGTTGTCGAATTTTTGCATATTGCGGCGGGCCTGCAGCACCACGGTCGGATAAGCTGGCTCTCCCTCCTCGGCATCATCCTCTGGCGGGAGTGGCTGCGAAGACACGACGACTCCCTGGGGCAGCTCATCTAATTTCACGACTGTCCGTGTCTTCTTGCCGCGAACCTGGAGCTGCAGCAGCGGAGAACGGAGGGACTCAGGCGAACAACGTAGGCCGTATGGCCCTGTCAAGGTACCGGTTACATCTCGAGGGCGAGACCGACCGACGGTGGCGTAAATGCATCGCGAAAGCGAACGACTACGGGAGCTGAGGCAGGCTATCCGGAGGCTTGAGACTGATGGCGAGCGCGGGGAGAGCATCAATTATGGCCTGCTTGGATATCCCCCAACATCGGAAATGATGGGGATGATGGCTAAATGACGTTTATGCTTCCGTGAAGGGAATTAGTGTACAAAGTGCATCAAGGGAGCCAACAAACGCAACAACAACGTGATCTCGAAGAGACAGAAGCACTTAAGAAGTCAGCATGAACCGAAATAAAATCCAAGTGAGAGGTACGCCAAGTCTTGGCACTGCAGGGTTGCGCACGTGCAGCTCAACCCATTGAAGCCAAGGTGACCAAGATGAGGACAGGAAACCTACCTAGGTACTTGTATGATACACTACCGTCGACTTCTGTTCGTTTGAGTTTAAAACTCTCCCTAAGTTGAACTCTGAACTCTTATCTGCGGCATTCCTGTGCTTCCAGGTGTAAGATCGGCCTCACAAGGTGAGATACCCACCTCAGGGTTGGATTAATTACCCTTCCGGTTAGTCTGAAATTGGACAAAACGCGAACATCGAGCCACTCCGAGATCAATCAGCCAGTTGTGATTCAACACATCATGCACCGCGGCCAGCTCGGCTGTAAGATACCCTCATCATTCCAAATCATCTCGAGCAAACGGAGAAATTGGATAGCAGCAGAAACGAGCTAGCCTTTGGTGCAAATAAGGACAACAATGTCATACGGAATTGGGAAACATTGTCGACGAAACACGGGAGCCAACAGATCCCGCAAAGATGTTTGACCGCTGACAAACGCGCAACCGAGCCGCCGGGAACGCTCAGGATTTCGCACAACAATAGACATAGGTAATATGCAGTGCATGCGCTAAACTGGGCCAACATGCAGCAGACGAGGAGCAGGTCTTCGCACAAGTTGCCAGAGATGCGAGTAAGGCGGGATGGGCGAAAAACCAATGGCGCAGCACCATGAACCGGGATGATTCGAATATGGCCCGATGCCTCTTCTTGCCCTGCGCACACCATGGAGACCATTTGCCCAGACACCTGCCGGTATCGACCGATTCAGTCCGATTCCGCCACCATTTCCAGCCTTTCCGAGCTCCTCTCAGGCCATATCCATCGGCTCCGCCGCCAACCCCCCGTCTGAAAGGAGCTTATCTCCCCGCTACGTTGGGCTATCTCGGCCTTGCTGTTATCCCCGTCCGGGCCTCGACGCTCGTCGAGCTCGCCAGAAGCCACCCACAAGAACACGTTCTCGGTGGAAACATGCCAATTTAGGTGGCACCTGAGAGGCGTCGCTCACTGCCATTTTAAAGTCCCGAGGCTGATGGCATGCTGATGGCAGATGCTGATAAACCCATTTATTAATCAACCCACCCGTGATGGATGTTGGTCATCTTTTTAGATCGGCCTTTACTTGGTCGGGTACCTACCAGTTAATACTAGGCAGATATCGTATAAAGCGCTTACGCTCCATTTCCGCCCCCAGCCAGGGCGGGCATTTCTTGAGTCCGGTTTCACCTGTCCATCGTCGCAGTATATTATATTGACTGCAGTTGGTGGGCATCCTCGCATAGTAGCCCAACAGCGCAAGCAGCGGCGCAGACCCCCCCTTTTAGCGTAGCCGAGAACTCACGACACAAAGGCCACAAGCCCCCAGGACGAAAGTGAAAGCCGAAACTGTTTCTCTCGAGCAGCGAGTCTCACGATTTTCGCGTTTTTCGAGGTGTTTATCAGGGGTTACCCCCATAGGCACATAGCCATGGCGACGACTATACCGCAACCCCTGAAAGCTCAGATACCCGTCACTCCTCCTCCCGATCTCCAAATGTTTACCAAGGCACCTTCGGGCATACCGCAACAAGCGAGCAGTTTCAAACCCGCAGAAGAATTCACATCAACAGCAGCAGCAGCAGCAGCAGCAGCAACAACAACAACAACAACGCAGCAACCCTGTCCCCCAACCCAATCCCAAAAGCAACCACCCAACCCGACAACAGGTTCCGTCCCGAACCCCTTCCACATCCCCGACCTCCTGAAATTTCCACCCGGCCCAACCGCAGCCGGAACTGCAGCCGCAGCCGCAGCGCTAACCTCGGGCTCGGGCTCGGCCTCCGCGGCAACCGCCGCCGCCGGCGCTGCTGCGGGGTGGGACCCGCGGTACGTGGCCATGGCGTCGCGCATCGCCAGCTACTACCAGCAGCGGTGCCAGGCCGTGGCCAACTTCCAGCAGCAGCGGTGCCAGGCGTGGGCGACGGCGCAGCGCCAAAAGTGCCAGGAGATGATGCAGGCCGCCATGGTCATCGTGGCCTGGTACATCCGGGACCGCATCACGCGCCGCCGAAAGCGCCGCCGGCGGCAATTCAGGCGGGGGCTGGCGCAAAAGGCCGCTTTGGCTCAGGCTGCTCCTCCTGTTTCTTCGTATCGGAATCGCGGTGGTGGAGGTGGAGGTGGTGCTGCGGTGGCCAGGGATGGGGGGAGAATCACAAAGGGCGAGGCGGTCCGTCGCTGGGTCATGAATGTCCCCCTATCGGGCGCCGCGTCGCCTACTACGGCAACCCGGGAATTGCCGGCGGACAAGGACGAGGTGGACTTTGATGTCGATCGCGAGGTGCCTGCCGACAAGGATAGCCAGCTGTTCAACGTGGCGGATAATCTCATCAAGAGCCACCTGGCGAGGATCGACGTGCCGCTTCTGGGGGTGTTGTCGTTTGATGAGAGTGAGAGCGAGAGCGAAAGCGAGGAGGAGGAGGATATGATGGACTACGATGAGGATGGGGAAGATGTGGAGGAGGATGTGGAGGAAGAGGACTACGAGGACGACGAGGGCGGCGAAAGCAAGGACGATGATGAGCGTGAGGTTCATGATTCCGGCGGGGAAAAGGGAGGGCTCACTTCCATTTCCAAGGACGCGCAATTGGGAACTACGAAACACTCGAGGAGTTCGGTCTCATGATGGGTTGGATAGGGGCACTGGATTTACGGCTTTGCTCGGCAATGGAGTCTTTGCTTCTTCGACTCTTCTCCATGATGGTGCGATTCCGTTTAGTGACCTTTTGATACCGCTAAATTTGAGATACCTCCTCTACGCCCCTCGCCCAGCATGTTGATGGAGTAATCGTTCAGATTTGGCATATCTTTGTCCAGAAACTCAACCATTAGGTGGTTGCGTTTTTCCCAGTCAGTGGTCGCTGCCGAGCATCCGCTCGTTCCGTGGTCTAGTGACTGTATTGCAGTTCTGTGAAGTACTGTCCCATACACCATCGAGCAACCAACCCAAGTTCATGTAGGAAGTAAATACAGCGTCGCTTCTACCACGCTCCTGTTCTATTACCCAATGCTGAATGATCAAGTCAAGAGTCCAAAAGTTGCTAGATATAGTCATTCTCTCAGTTCGAGTGACTGGCCGATAATGGTCAACGTCTTGTAGTATATTGAGCAGATGGGTGGTACATGGACGAGGAGTGACACGGGATTTACTGCTTTGTCCTCGTTAGATTGACTCCCGGCCCGGAGTAACCTCTCCCACCGTGATCGCACCTCGGGAACGTTCAGTGCAGAAGGATGCAACAAGGCCCAGATCACAGGTCGCCTTGAATTGATTGCCTCAATCTAAAATGCATGAATATACGTAAAAGAGGTTCGAATGCTGTACAGCCTCTGGAGCCATCATTCAATATCAGCCTGTCGGTGAGAGTCGACGGGGAGGCTTCAGTGTAGATCTCTCGTCGGTGTCGGGTGATCGAGAGATCGAATGATCGTGGGTGTCTTTGGGTGGGGCTCTTGGCCTACCCCGATTGGCTGGATTCGGAGCATTATGCGGGGGAACCGGGTTCCCATCGCAGCTCATCTGGGTACGACACCCCTGTGAGGCGCCCCTGGCAGCTTCCGTCGATCACAAGCGCAGCCGATGCAACAGCCATTCGGCCTAACCATCACTGTTTCTGATCTTCTTTGATTCACTTCGGCATCCCACTGTAAGACATCTTCTGTATGTATATTCGGCATATCTGGCCTTGAGGAGCATTGGTGGACTATTTATTATCAGTTCAACAACCTCCCGCCCCCAGATCTTCTCCCCAGCCCCCTCCTGCTAGACCGGCGGCGACGACTAGACACAAGCTTCTTTCCGTTTCAGACTCCAATTGACACTTCACGCAGTCTTCCTCTCTCCGGTGGGACTGCTCACTTTCCCCATTGCAGTTTTCTGCTATTCCAAGGCTGTGAGATATTGACACCATGGGCGGCGAAACACGCACCCAGAAGGGGCCGAGGAGCGACTACCCGCTCCGGGCACCTAAACCAGTCGGCAAGTCGATATCCAGCATCTACAAAGAACGCATCAGTCAGTTCTATTCACGCGGCCAATGGCAGAATGTAAACCTTCTAGCCATGATGAACGAGGCCGTGGTCTCGGGCGAGCCTCACGTTCGGCTCTCGGTTTGGCATGCGCCGGGCCAAACTAGGCCTAGCTTTGAAGAAGCCACCTCCCACGAGTTCGAGAAGACGTCTGTTGGCATGTGGTTTGGCCCGTCGTGGAGCACCCACTGGTTCAAGGTTATCCTGAAAGTGCCCTCAGACCTCCGTGACAAGAGGCTTCTGGAGTTCCACTGGGATGCCAACAACGAAGGGATGGTGTGGACCCATGATGGCAAGCCGCTTCAAGGCCTCACTGGCGGTGGTGAGCGTGTTGAATGGATCATCCCAGACTCCTTCCGCGACGGAAAGGAGCACACCATCTACATTGAGATGGCATGCAACGGCATGTTTGGCAACGCCCCCGGCGGAGACTCGATCCAGCCACCAGACCCCAACAAATACTTCCGGCTCGACCGAGCTGAAATCGTTGCCGTTAACCCTGACGCTCGCCAACTTCACATAGACATCTGGATCATTGGCGATGCCGCGAGGGAGTTCCCCGAGGATTCTTGGGAGCAACACAAGGCGCTCGAGGTTTGCAACGAGATTATTGAGGCCTTTGAGCTTGGCAACAAGGAATCTCTCAAGACATGCCGGAAGATTGCCGAGGAATACATCGGGCCCAACGTCAACTCGGCCAAGGTCTACGACTCTGGCAAGGAGCCCCTCGTCTTCGGCATCGGTCACTGCCATATCGACAGCTGCTGGTTGTGGCCTTTTGCCGAGACCAAGCGAAAGGTCGCCAGGTCGTGGTCCAGCCAGTGCGATCTGATGGACCGCTACCCCGAGCTCAACTTCGCTTGCTCTTCAGCCCAGCAGTACAAGTGGCTCAAGCAGCTGTATCCTTATGCTTTCGAGCGGGTCAAGGCCAAGGTTGCCGAGGGCCGCTTCCATCCCATTGGCGGCAGCTGGGTAGAACACGACACGAACATGCCTAGCGGGGAGTCCCTAGTCCGTCAGTTCTTGTACGGCCAGCGTTTCTTCGAGAGCAACTTTGGGACTCGCTCCAAGACCTTTTGGCTGCCAGACACGTTCGGATACTCGAGCCAGCTGCCTCAGCTCTGTCGCCTGTCTGGTATGACGCGATTCCTGACACAGAAGCTGAGTTGGAACAACATCAATAAGTTCCCTCATACCACTTTCAACTGGGTTGCCCTCGACGGCAGTCAGGTTGTTTGCCACATGCCTCCATCCGAGACGTACACTTCTGAAGGTCATTTTGGTGACGTCAAACGCAGCATGTCGCAGCACAAGTCTCTGGATCAGGATGCTACATCACTGCTCGTCTTTGGCAAGGGTGACGGGGGCGGCGGTCCTACCTGGCAGCACATCGAAAAGCTCCGTCGATGCCGCGGGATCAGCGACACAGTTGGCCTTTTGCCCCGTGTCCACCTGGGCAACTCGGTTGACGACTTCTTCGACCGGCTTGAGCTTAAAGCCGAGACATTTGTGACGTGGTATGGCGAGCTTTATTTCGAACTGCATCGCGGGACATATACCACGCAGTCCAACAACAAACGCAACAATCGCAGAGCCGAGATTGTACTCCGTGATCTCGAGCTCTTGGCCACCTTTGCTTCCATCAAAGACAGCTCGTACAAGTATCCGAAGCAGGACTTTGACGACATGTGGGAGTCGGTGCTTCTCTGCCAGTTTCATGACTGTCTTCCCGGGAGTTCCATCGAGATGGTCTACCGGGATTCAGATGAGGTAAGCCGCGCTTGCTTGTTTTCAACAGTAATAGGACACTTATGATCGTGTTTAGATATACGCACAAGTCTTCAAAACAGCCGAGCGAATACTTGCCGAGATCTCGAAGACGTTGGGGGTCACCCAAGCCCAGACCGTAACAGTTGCGAACGGCATTGCACTAAACACACTGCCATGGCGCCGCAAGGAAGTAATACAAATCTCTGAGCATGAGGCCGCTGTGGCATGCGGAAAAGGTCCGCTCCTGAAGTTGCGGAGTTTGAAGACTAGTGGAGATGCTCCTCTTGTTTCCCTCAAGCAGCTGGCGTCTGGAGCCTTCGTCCTTGAGAACAGTCAACTCAGGGCCACGGTGGAAGAGGGTTTGATCACATCGCTCTACGATAAGCTGGCGGAGCGTGAGATCATCCCAAAGGGACAGAAAGCAAATCAGTACGTCATCTTCGACGACAAGCCCCTGTACTGGCAGGCCTGGGACGTTGAGGTCTACCACCTCGACACCCGCAAAGTGCTTTCCTCGAGCGAGACCAAGGTGCACGAGGAGAAGGACCACCGCGTCAGCGTCGTCACCCGCACCAAAATCAGCGACGTGAGTCACATCGAGACTGTCATCAGCTTGTCGGCCGCCATCGAGGGCCAGCAGTCGTACGTCGAGGTCTCGAGCAAAGTTGAGTGGCACGAGACCATGAAATTTCTGAAGGTGGAGTTTCCGGTCGACGTGCGCAACACCGAGGCAAGCTACGAGACCGCATTCGGCATCGTCAAGCGCCCCACGCACTACAACACTAACTGGGACATGGCCAAGTTTGAGGTCTGCTGCCATCGCTTTGCGGATCTGTCCGAGCATGGCTACGGCGTGTCCATACTCAACGATTCCAAGTACGGCTTTGCCACGGCCGGCTCTACTATGCGCCTCTCGCTGCTCCGCAGTCCAAAAGCCCCTGATGCCCACGCCGATATGGGCACGCACCACATCCGCTGGGCCATTCTACCCCATCAGGGGAGCCTGTCGCATGTGACTGTCCGCAAGGCGTTTGAGTTCAATAACCCGCTTAGACTGCTCTCCGCTCCTGGCGGGATGGCAGGTTTGGCGCAGGATGCCGCGGACCTGCCGGTTCAATTGACCGAGGACTCGAGCCCTGCGCTGGTACTTGACACTGTCAAGCGGGGAGAGGATGACGAGGATGTCTCGAGGGGCGAGCTGCCCGTCAAGCCAGGATGCAGCGTCATTCTGAGAATCTACGACAGTTTGGGTGGGAGGGCCCGAGGGACCGTTGCCACGACATGGAAAGTAAACAGGGTGACCAAGGTGAATCTGTTGGAAGATGAGCTGGAGGAGGTGGCGTTCAAGGATGGCAAGTTTGCCGTGGACTTGGGCGCGTTCGAGGTTGCTTCGTACAAGTTGCAGTTGGCGTAGTCTATCGGGCGTCTGTCTGGTCAGAGTGTATGGCTGTTGGCTCTTTGCTCCTTCGGGATGTGGCTATAATGGGTTTAAGTATTGTAGGCAGAGACCTGGTATACGATTACGCAGATACTTGCTGGAATACATTGATTCGCCTGCGGTTTCCGCGCGACAATGGATCTCCTGAGTTTCTTCAAATTTTCAGGACGTTCGCAGGGCTGCTGAGTCTCTAGCTCTACAGCCCCAAGATACACATATAAGACACGGAGACACTCCTCCCACCCAGGAACCAACCACCTCTCCCAAATCCGGTGGATATACAGAACATGACACGCAAAAGGAGAAAACGAGATCACCTGCCCCTCGCAGCCCTCTTCTTCCGCAGCATCTTTTCCCGGGCATACTCGTTGGCGGCCCGGCCTTCCTCGCCCTGGATCTCGGCCACGAGACGCTTGTACTTTTTCTCGTAGGCCGCGTCGCGCTCCTTCTTGACGCGCAAATTCTCGCGGGCCACAAAGGCGGCGTCCTTGCGCAGCTCGCGCAGCGCGCCCTTGCGTTCCCGCTTGTGCTCGGCCCGGAGCCGCGCCAGCTCGGCCCGCTCGCGGTCCGGGTCGTAGTGCTTGTCCGGGTCGAACGAGTCCTCAAACTTGGGCACGTACGTGCGGATGGCCAGCGGCCGGTGGTGGTGCAGCTCGAGCGGCCGGCGGGCGAGCCGGGCGAGTGCCAGGAGTTGGGAGATGGTTTTGGCAGTGTCTGCCAGTCGGGAGGTTAATGCCGGCGGCAAGTGGCTCGCGTTTGGTTTCGAGAGGAGGTGTTCCAGCACGAGCAAGGCGGGCTGGAATGTCTCTTGAAAGGAGGCAAGTTTGTGCCAGGTTTCGGCGGCGGATTTAAGGACTGCCGTGATGGTGCTGACGATGGCGACTTTGAGAGAGGTTTCGTCTTCCGGGGCGAGGGTTTGCTTCTGTTGGCAGTCGACGCAGTTGAGTTTGCGAATCGGGAGTTTGGACGCGCCTTTGATCCGGATTCCTGCGGCTGGTTCGTGGACTGGAAAGAAACCCAGTTTCTCTCGAGGCTTTTCGGGTGCCAGAGAGCACAGCGTGTTGAGGCAGAAATTCATCAGTTCTGGTACGTAGCGCTTTGAAAACTGTTGGTACTGTAGGGCGAGGATGGAGAGATAGGTGCCTGTGGCATAGTCCGAAAGAACCTGGGGAATCTTTTGGCCGAGATAGCGAGCAATGGCAAGCATCGCGGGAGTGACCACCTGATGGAAATGGTCAGAGGTAGGAAATGTTGTCCCCACGGCGGTCAGAATAACCAAATCACCAACAGTGATACCCAGCGGGCGATCTTGTTCCATCCCCTGGATATGCCCACGATATGCCTTTGCTACCTCAATCGGGAACGTTTTCGCCAGCGAATGCACGTGCCTGATGAGGCTCTCCAGGGTGGGAAACCAATGCGGCTCGAACTTATCGCCCAGGTATCCGATGTGCTGTACCAGAGCCTGCGAGAATTTGCCGAGCCTCTCCTTGTTTTTGCTATCCAGTTTCGGGTGGTATAGGGCTCTAATACGTTGAACAGCCACCGGAAGTTTGGTTACCTCGATGTTTTCGAACGTCTTGATCGTCTCTTCAAGTGTTTGCGGACAAGGGAAAGTGTAGGGTATCCCGTTCTCATCGTCACCCTTGGAGTTGGCGGCCGGTTGGAAGACAGGGTCTTTCGATTCGGCCTCCGTCAAGATCCCTTTGACAAATTCGTCATCATCAGACCCCGATTCTGACTCGGCATCCTCGCCGTCGCTTCCCTCGCTCTCCATGTCGTCGCTATCAAGCTCCAGATCGGAGCCACTAGCAACTAGGTCGTCGTCAATGAGGAAATCATCTTCATCGTCGAAGCCTAGCTCGGTGGCAGTCGGCCGATATTTGACTCCTTTCCCAAGACCAAATTCGTCATTGTCTTCGGCATTGAAGGGATCGAAGGCTTTCTCCCCAGCGCCACCCTTCTCCTTCCTAGGCTTGTCCTCTCCGTCCTCTTCCTCCTCTTCTTCCTCGTCCTCCTCGTCCACCTCTCCATGCATGCGCTTTAACCGCTTCTCTTCCAGCTCCTTTAGCCGGTTTGACTCCTCTTCCGCCTTCTCCTCCTCTGTCTTTGTTCTTTCGGCTGGCTGCGCTCGCTTATCTGCAGCGAGCTGCTTCACGCGGATGTCGTAGTCCTTGTCAAGGGCGGCTTTGTCCTTGCCAGCGATGACTATGGGGGATTTATCGTCCTTCTCATCTTTAGGCGGCGGTTTTGGCCTCTGGAACAGGAGGGCTTGAAGCTCAGGCAGCGCCTGGTCAAGCTCGGCTCTGAGTTCATTGTCCTCCTCCTTAGCTGCTTGTCGTTCCTAGACGATGTCAGTATGGAATCGATGATGCTTAGGCCGTTGAAGCATACATATTTATAGAGTTTAGATTTTGCGATAACCTCCTCGTAGATTTCCTTTTTGGTCTTTTTCCTTTCTGGTTGCTCGCCCTCGTCATCCTCTGCCTCCTCAGCGAGTTCAGCCAGTCGTTGGCGTTTCAGCCTCCTCCTCTCGGCGCGTGATCCGTCAGACTCGTCGCCGGAAGGCAGGTCCTCCTCGGCAAAATCGTCCTTCACAGCTTCGTCCTCAGAATCAAAAAGGGGCTTGCCCATGTGGGTTAACGCTCCAGCCGGCTCATCGTCTTCCTCCAGGTCGAACATGGAGCTCTTCTTGTGGCTTCGTTGCTGCTCTCGGGTGTATCTCTCGATCATCTTCTCCTCAAGCGACATGTTGGGGTTATCTTCGCCGAATCGCCTGTCAATGATCCCTCCAACTTTGTTACGTCTCTGCATCTCGACAAGAAGAGTTTGCCGACGCTGGGAAAAAATGGTTAGAAAACACGGAATGCCCGCAAGGCCAGACGTAAACATACCCTCTCTTCCCCGACAGCCTTGGCAAGCCCAGGCCGGCCCTTGATGCTCAAGGCGGCCTTGTCGTTGGCTGGCCTGTTGGTGGTGACCTCGAACTTGGGTCCGCGGGCATTCGTCTTAAACTGAAAAGGGTTGAACTGCTCGCGGATGCTTGCCAGAGCCTCGGAGCGCTGAAGCCGTTTATCGGTTTTCGCTTTCTGATCTTGGGCATTCTGGCGCTTCTGCTTCTTGGACTGCTGGGGACCAATTAGTCCCTGCTCGCGCAGCGAGGCCTTGAGCCTCTTGAGCTGAGATCCGGCCATGTCCGGGCAGATCTTCGTCGGATTGGCGCAGGAGGAGCATTGAACAGTGGGCCGTCAACCACACATAGCGCAATGTGGGGGACGGTCTCGATGTCTTCCAGAAATTTTTGGGTGATGGTTGCTGCTATCTTATCTTTTACTGCCCCACCTGCAGTAATTTTGGCGGTGAACTGGGGCAAATTAACGTTATCGCTGAAGCTTCGACGTTGCTGCTAGGTAATGTGGAGCAGCAACAACTTGAACCAGTCCATGACAACCAACCTGCAACCTAACGTGCAATCGATGGCAGCATCGAATGCAGCCCACATCGGCGTCATGGGGTGGTTAAGCACGGTACTGCGGAATGACCGGGTGGTGTTCACCTACCTGACCATCAACGCTGTTGGATGGTTCTTCGGCGTGCGATACCTGCTCAAGAGATGGCGAGACGACGCTGAGATCAAGCCGGTGCAGCCCAAGACACAGTACATCACCCAGGAGACCGAGGATGCGCTCAAACTGACCACTCTTGACACCCTTCTCAACTACTACAACTACGCTATCCGCGAGACAGCCGCCAAGATTGTTTGCGACAGAGCTGCGAACGACAAGGATACGGTGGAGAGATTGCTCTGGGGAATTACGCGCAAGGACTATGAGGAGCGCACGAGAAATTTACGGGCCCTCGCCATCATCACGGACTCTCGTGAGTTAGGATCTACGCTACGAAATCCCCAAGACGGACACTAACAGTATGTGAAGAGAGCCTCGAAAGGCTCCATAGGTGGAAAGCCTACGCTGCCCTCGTCAGGTCGCTGGAGTTGTCACTTGACCCGGAACAGGAGAAGCTCGATTTCGACGACTGGGATGAGTACAACTTGCGTGACATGTCTGAAAAGTTGTGCCTGATGTTCATCAGCCAGTTGATCAATTGCTGCGATGGTGTCGACAAACTTGTCAAAGCTAAGTTTGTCGAGAAATGGTTGGCCAAACAAAATTGGGGCAGCACACTGGAGGAACGACAACGGAACTTTGCGCTGTATGTTCGCTCGAGAAACAACCAGCTCAACGACATTATCGCTGCGCTCCGCGCATCTCGCTCTGGCCGCGAAGCGCTGGAAAAGGCCGGCCTCATGCCACCAGCGTCGCCCGAAGACAGCGGCGCCGAGGACGGGCCCCCCCTGGTCGAACGATTCAGTGTTGTGCTCCCAACGAATGTCGACGTAAACAACCTGGGAGACTACGACCCTGCCAGACTCCTGTTCCGCTCCTTAGAAAACATGCAGAACGCCGAGGACCGCCAAATGAGGCAGCGACACCGTGAGGCCATGGTTTTGAATGACGGAACGCGGCCACTAAACAGCAGCGACATCATCCAGAGGAATCTAGGTTCTCCTCGGTGAGCGCAATCTGCGCTGTTTGGCCCACCACGGGCCAATATGAAGCATAAATGCTAGAGCTTCCCTGCGCATCTAAACATCGCCCGAGCTACAGCAAGAGCACAAGAATTTCAATGACGCTTTTCGCTCTTGTGTCATGTATGTACAGATGCGATCAGCGATCTCATGAACGCCAGGGACGGACCACCATTCATCGCGGCTATTCGCTTTTAATGACAGGCGGGCCGAGGCTGAAACGAGGATGATCCTGGCATATCGGGACGGTTCCTTGCGGCGGGTGGAACGGGACCAGCCGAGCCCTGGAAGAAACCTACCATTTGCAGCATTTGCCAACAGGCGAGATGCATGGGCATTGAGCTTCCCAGGCGAACTCATCGCATCAGGCGTCAGCGATATTGCAACTTCGATGGAAGTTGTGAGGCAAGCCTTCTATGGCCTTGTCGACGAACGTTCGGTTATCATCGGATCTGTTCTGTAATTCTGACACCTCGAGCAATGCAGGACGCAGAGGATGCGGCAGACGGCTCGATAGCTGGTGATCGGGGAAATATTACCCAGGATATCCCAATCGGCAAAGTGTTTCGTCGAGCCGCCTTTGGCATATCTCTGGTGGAATTGACGGCAGTTGAGCAGGATCGAAACAATGTGTTCCGGGTTTGGACGGAATACCTATACGGCCTCAGCGACACACTCGGATTGACTGGTCTTCGGAGATACAGTGGATGGGGGATGTTTGCGTGATGCCTGCAAGCTTTGGCTCCGTGTCCCGCATACGGCTGCAGATCTGTGCCGCGGCTGAATCGCAATCAATTGGAAAGATGTGAGAGGTCGAAAGTGGTCACTGGCTTCAACCTTGTGCTGGAGGAGCTGGTCACTCCACCGTCGCTGAGATACCTCACATTCTGAAACCGAAGGAATGGGATGAAATTATGTTTGTGCAGGCTGCTGTGGGGTTATCGTTAGCGTCAGATAGACAGATCAGAAGCTTTGGTGGAGATCCAGGGCCTGGAGATTAACGTTTATGCATGAGGCACCCGAGGCACCGCAACCAGAGTTCTGGACACGAGCTGGAGATCTTCAACAGGGTCTTTATTAATGAGTTCACGAAACCTCAAGGTTGCATTCCTCACAAGAAGTATTTACAATCGTCGACCACGTGTACTCTGTGTATAAGACAGCTAACCGCTCGCCTCGACCACTTGTTCTATTTGTTTTCTTTCCCTGTCTGGACATGTCAGGGATTGGAATGCAGAACACCCAGCAACCCCAGTGAGCAGCGGCATGAGATTGGAAGAAACAGGCCGTGATACCCACTCTCTTGCAGAGCGGTCAAGCAGCCGCGCTTGTTGACAACGGCGGCGCAAGTGGCAGAAGATGCAGGCACATACTCTGTATAAATGAATAAGACCCTGCGAAAGACGACTCTTTGCCCATTTTTACGGCCCCTTTCCCAGGTTTGATATCATTTCGCCTGGTTGGGCTTCCTTGGTTGTTTCCGAGCTGGGCATCACCCTATCCCACGAGCAACTCATTTCTTTAGGTTTCCCAAGGTTACTTCCTTCATTTCCCGAACTATCTTTACTCCCGTATTTTGACCACACCTGGCAGTGCAAAGACAGTTTCGCAGCAACACACTGGTACACTGTAGCACATATACCCCGCCGATCCCATTATCGCCTCTTCTTTCGACTTCTATTTCCAATAGTTCCGCCGAGAGACAACCGATCGAATAATATCAATCCCACTCAGTCTCTGCGAAGAAAGCACGACATAATCAGTTAATACCTCTGAGACAAAAACCAAAAACGACTTTGCAGCATAAGGGCCAGAAACGACGGCCTCCTTCCATTTGCTGACGTCCCAGCTTTGTCAAGTTTGGGCGGTAAGTGGGATTGGTGTTGCACTGAAGACGGCTGGCTGCTTCCGTGGTTCGTCCCGTGGTCACAGCAGCTGAGGGCACAGTTTAGGTGGGCGCCCGCGCGCTGCAGTGGAAGTGGGGGGTGTAAACAATAAACTGCCCAGGGTTGTGGTGGCCGCCACAGCTTCTAGCCCAACATGTCCTCCACAACAACTTCAACATATACCACAACGACAAGGCACACTTTGTCAAGACGGCCCGGTCGTAGCGGAATCGCGACGGCGTCGACGCCGAACTTGAATCAGCTCTATACAGCACAGTCGTCGCGCCTAGCACCCCCCCCCGTGCCGCCGTTGTTGCGCAAGCAGTCTTTTGCCGCGCTCACGCAGAATTCCTTGGCCGCCATCCCTGATGACTCGGAGCGCTACGCATACAACTCGGTTCTCACTGACACCACCATGCCGTCGCCACTTACTCCGGGCCGCTTGGCTAGCGGCGACGAAATCGTAATTGGGGACACGGTCGAAGTCCCCGGAAACATGACGGGCACTGTCCGTTTCATAGGATCCGTCGCTGGTCGCAAGGGCACCTTTGCCGGCGTCGAGCTGCACCCGGATTTCGCGGCTCGCGGCAAGAACAGCGGCGATGTTGATGGGTAAGCATTTTGCACGGATGCTACGCCGTTATTTCGAAATGGCGTGCGGCCCTTAGCGGTGATGCTGACTGCCTCTGTAGCGTTTTCTATTTCACAACAGTACAACCGGGTGCCGGCATCTTCCTTCCGCTATCTAAAGCCGTCAAGCGCGACTCTGCGAGTTCAATCCCTCTTACACCAGCAAGCGGTGGATTGAAAATCGGCAATCAGAACTCGACAAATTACACACCGCCTACCCCCGGTGTGCCCAAGCTCAACCAGTCCGTCGGCCCCCCGCGCGCTACCAGCCCCCTTGGGAAGAAGATGCGCCCTTCATTACCACGTCCGGAATCGCCCGTCAGAAGGCTCCAGACACCTGCTCCTCGTCCATCCATCGCTACACCAGCGCCCAAGGGGCCACCTGCCAGGTTTGGAAGTCCCACCTCAAACAAGTTTGCCCAGAGCGTGCGAGGCACAGCTGGCGACCCGAGCAAACGCGTTCCGGGGCACGCAAGGAAAGGCAGTGTCGGGCCTCGGAGCGTTTCGGTCTTGGGAATGACGTCCAACCCGAACTATACCGACGATGAGACGACACCGGTCGGCATACAGAGAACTCAAACGAATGGCAGTGTCGGCTCTGTCTCGTCATTCGGGTTGAAGGTGCGGCCAGTCTCAAGGGCCACGTCTCGGGCCGGTAACTATGCCAACGATGAGGAGATTGAGAGACTCAGAGCCCAGCTGGAGGATCGAGACCGCCAGCTTAAGGATCAGGCCGCAGCATTAGCCGAGATGGAGAGCAGTCTCACAGAGCTCCAGGGGCTGATTGAGAACTCGGATGGGCCACCGCGGTCAATGGCCCGGCGGAGTAGCTTGGACGATAAGGACACGGCGCAGCTTCGCGCATTGGTGAGGGAAAAGAACGAAAAGATTGCCATGCTTACAGCCGAGTTTGATGGGCATCGAGCAGACTTCAGGAGCACTATTGATACCCTGGAGATGGCAAGCACTGAGACGGAGCGCGTGTACGAGAAGAAGATTGAGGAGCTAATGCAGGAGATTCAAGAGCTCCAAGACCGAACTGCCGATGTGGATAACATCGCGGCACAATTGAAGCAGTTGGAGGAACTCGTGCAAGAACTCGAAGAAGGACTTGAGGACGCAAGGCGGGGCGAAGCTGAAGCGCGCGGAGAAGTCGAGTTCCTCCGCGGTGAGGTGGAGAGGACGCGCACTGAGCTGCGGCGCGAACGGGAGAAGGCACAAGCCGCTATGAACGGTGGCGCTAACGGAGGCTCCATGCTAAAAGAGCTGGAGCAGAAGGAGGACGAGATTAGGGGCCTCAAGGCAATCATCCACTCGCTGAGCCGAGATTCGGTCCCGAACGGCAACCCCAACAGAACCCCCACACAGCGCTCAGTGCCTTTTCGCCCGCACCAGGGCGAGTCGATTGAGGACCGCCTCACCCGTGAGAAGCTCGACAGGGAAGTAGCGGAGCTCCGGGCACTGATAGAGAGCAAGACTAGCCGCGAGGAGGAGCTGGAACGCGAACTAGAGGCCTTGCGCAGGGGAAGCATCATTAGCTCCAGCGGCCCGGGCCAGCGGGGGAGCGGCATGACCATTGTCCCTAACCAGAGGAGCTCGCTCCGCGACTCGCGCGGGACCGTCGTGATGGCCCCGTCTCGCGCCAGCCTGGAGGCACAGCACAACCGCGGGCGCACGCTCGACACGATGCCCGAGAGCGACTCGTACAGCACAGCGACGGAGCACAGCACGCTTTGGTGCGAGATTTGCGAGACGTCCGGCCATGACATCCTCACTTGCACGAATGTGTTTGGCTCGTCCGAGCAGCACCAACACCAGCAGTCACAAGGTGCCGGCGGGTTGAATGTCAACAGCAACATCAACAGACCAGACGGCGGCGGCGAGGACCTCGGCGGCTTCAAGCCCGCGCCGCTGTCGCCCATCAAGACGAAGCCCGCGGCGCCCTCGGTGGCTACGTCTGCCACGACGCCCACCGCCCCGCAGCCGTCGGCCAGGACGATCCCCAACCCGATGGAGTCGGGCCCCGTGGCGGGCAAGGACAGCGGCGTGGTGGATGCGGGCAAGTGGTGCGCGCTGTGCGAGCGGGACGGGCATGACAGTGTCGACTGTCCGTTTGAGGACGCCTTCTAGAAGAGGTACTACATGGTGGATGTTGTTGGGGCAGTGGTGATGGCTGCGCCGGTGGCTTTGCTTCGGTTGTGTCGTTGTGTGTGCAGTATGGCTTTTTGTAATGGAATCATTCTTGTTTGGCGAGGTGTTCGTATTGTAGTATCATTAATGCTTCGCTTTGTATCATTTATGTGTCGGCTTCGGACTGTGGCTTTCTTGGTGGACTACTAAGAGGGTGAGGAGGGTGCGTACATATTGTTATGCTAGATGCTCGATCTGCCCGGTCGTCATCGGAGTGGTTGGCTGCGGGATGGCCTGGGAAAATAAGTTCTTACCCTGTCCCTTCCTACCTTGCTTGCTTACTGGATTTGAGTTGTGTTGTCCGTGGTTGTAAGCTTCCTCTTGGTGGCCCGTTGGTGGTTCTGTGTTGCAGCGGAGAAATACGGAGTACAGACATCAATACTGTTACGACTCCCCTTGCTATCAGATCTGTTCAAGGCGGCAGATTCGTCGAGCCGGCTAGTGCCAGCAGTGCATTATCACTTTATTTACTCTTCTAAACATATACTTCAGTCGGCTCTGCAGATTCCAGTGATAGCTTCCAAATCAATCCTTCGAGTCTCATGTTACGCAAACATATATGAACTGTCACGCAACGACGGAGCGAACTCCACAATTACTCCAGTATTGAGCACCAGAACCCCACTGAGACCCTCTGTGCCAAGGAGCTAGCGTTGCTTACAGCTGGGATGAGGGACCCGCCACAACGTTCCTGAGCCCTGCAGTGGGGAGCTTCAGCCTTCAAAAGCGGCTGAGCCTGCTTGACACTTGACACCTCACATCACCCGAAAAGGATGCCGATGGGCTGTTGTCAAAATAATCATTCCCATACATAACACCTGTTTCTCCGCCTTTTCTTGTCTTTTCCGCTTCAGAGCTTGACGCAATCGATTCGAATTGGCACTGAGAGGGCCAAAGGGAGATTTGCTGCCAGACCCAACCACAATCAACTGCAGATTACAGACGGTCGATGAGCACGACAAGCGACAAAGTCATTCCGATTCAAGCGCAAATCGCATAATACACCATTCCAAGTCGGCCCGCAATGGCGCAAGTCTTCTTTGACCTCCTCTCCTCCTTGGGGAGCTGTTTGAACTGCTTTCCCGGCTCGCCCACGCTCAAAATCAACAGTCGCAGCTTGAAGATCTTGCGACTTCTCGGCGAGGTACGATACGCAATTCATCCCCAAGCAGAACCACGCTAGACGCAGGCACTGACGTTTTCCCTTTCTTTGCCACAGGGCGGCTTCTCCTACGTGTACCTCGTCCAGGATACGTCGACGTCGGAGCTGTTCGCGCTGAAAAAGATCCGGTGCCCGTTCGGCGCCGAGTCAGTCGCGCAAGCGATGAAGGAGGTCGAGGCGTACAAGCTGTTTGCGCACAGCCCCGGCGTGATCCACAGCGTCGACTACGCCATCGCGAACGAGCGCGGAGGAGGCGGAGGCGACGACGGGCAGAGCAAGACGGTCTACGTCCTGCTCCCCTACTACCGCCGCGGCAACCTGCAGGACATGATCAATGCCAACCTGGTGAACCACACCTCGTTCCCCGAGAAGCGGCTCATGCTGCTGTTCCTTGGGGTGTGCAAGGCGCTGAGGGATATGCACCAGTATCGGGGCCCTGGGGCGGGTGGGTCAGCCGGGGAGAGGATGGAGATGAGGGTGGACGGGGTGGACGAGAACGTCCGGCGGTCGAGGGCGGTGCGAGGCGCGGACGAGGATGATGAGCCGGAGCAGCAGAGGCCGTTGATGACGGAGGACGAGAGGATGCCGGCTGCCGCGGCAGGGTCGCTGAGGAGTTATGCGCATCGGGATATTAAGCCTGGTGAGTCGTGTACTTTCCCGTCGTCCTCTGGCCCATTTGAGATGCAACCCTGCTGACAGAATTGCTATTCAGCGAATATCATGATCTCCGATTCCGGCGCCGACCCGATCCTCATGGACCTCGGTTCCATCGCCGTCTCGCCCCTGCCCATCACCAGCCGCTCCCTGGCCATCGCCACCCAGGACACGGCCGCGGAGCACAGCACCATGCCATACCGCGCCCCCGAGCTGTTTGATGTCAAGACGGGCACCGTCATTGACACCAAGGTGGATATCTGGTCGCTCGGGTGCACCTTGTACGCCTGCCTCGTCGGCAAGTCGCCGTTTGAGATGCGCAGCGACGAGACGGGCGGGTCGTTGAGCATCTGCGTGCTCTCTGGCGATTGGCGGTTTCCGGACGAAGGGCCAGGCGCGAAGCAGAAGGCAAAGGCGCCCGCGGGGGCGGGCGATACGCCCGTCATCAGCGAGCCCATTCGCGAGGTCGTCAGGAGGTGTCTGAAGGTTGAGCCGAGCGAGCGGCCGGATATTGACGAGTTGATTGAGATGGTTGAGCGGGTAGTGGATGAATTACCCGACGATGGGTCCGCTTGAGGCAGTAGTGGATGGGTGCACCTGTATTGATGTATCACTGGTTTGAGCCACGGGATGGTTCTGGAATTGGACGGCGTTTGGTTGTGGGATATTGGATTATGAAAGAATGGGCGGGCGGGCTTTCTCTTGCACCATGTTCAAGCGTACGTATGTTCGATGTTGGGATCATATGTGACCCTGGGTGAGCTCCCAGTTTTGAGAGGAGTTCAGATACGCAAAGTACTAAGGCTTGGTGATGCTGCTTTCTACAGCGTGCAGCATACTCCACTGATCAGTGACGAATTCAGGTGAGCCTGAGAGATCCTATCTAGATTCCCCGCCGTTCTATCTAGGAACCCAACGCTTGGAAACGAACAGGGTATCACATCTTTCCTGAAAAGACATGCCATGTCTACCTCGCAACGACCACAGGCGTACAGCTCAACCGAGAGTTTCTCCCATCAAACAGTTGCTGATGCGGCAGCGGCAGCGGCAGCAGCATTAGCCGCATCGGCCCTCGACACACACTCTTCCAAGACTCTCCAGAACAGCGGAATGTCCAGACTCCGGGGTATCCTTACTCCCTCCTCGCCGGGTGGAAGCAGCCGCGCCGTGATCTGCCCGGTCTGGGCTCCAGCGCGGGCCTCCTCGTAGGTGCCCTCAGTGACAACGCTGACCTCATAGCGCTCCCTCTGCTGCAGGCCCGGCTCACCAGCGGGGTCATAGTCGCAGAAGGGGATCTCGTGCTGATCGCCGAGTCCGGTCAGGACAGCGGCAACCGCCAGGGGGTCGTGTAGCGGCGGCCCTTCGGTGATACCAAAGACCTCGCTGCGATTTTTCAGCCCGTCGATTAGCCCCCGCCCTTCAACCAGCGGAGGACAAATCCGCAGAAACGAACTCACCTATACGTCTTTGCAAAGAACATCAACAGCTCCACCAGCATAACCCTCAACCTACTCTTCCCCTTTGCCCCCACCCCTTGATCCCCCGCAACCCCGTTCATCACCACCTCCCCGCGTTCCACCGCCTCCCGTCCGTACAGCAACAAATCCCTAACCTCTGCCGTCGTCAAAACCAAATGACTCACATCCAGCGGAATGAGCGTCGTCTTGCGGGCAAGCTCGCGGTTGCCAAAAATAAACGCCGCGGCCTCCGGGTCCGCCAGGACGTTAAACTCAGCAAACTGTGTCCAGTTGCCCACACGGGGCACGCCGTCGACCTCGCCCAGCACGGCGCCCGTGAACCCGCCGCCCACGGCGCCGCCCATGAGCGATAACCCCCGCACGTGCCGCGTCAGGTGTGGGTACTTGAGGAACAGCGCCGCCGCGTTGGTGAAGGCGCCTGTTGCTACTACCCAGGCTGTTCCGGGGGGACAGGTCATGAGTGCTGAGTAGGCGGCGTCGATGGCTGCGGGTTCGGAGCGGGCGGGGACGGTGGGCGGGGGGAGGAGGTCGGTGCCGTCTAGTCCGGACTCGCCGTGTATGTCGGTTGGTGCGTGCATGGCGGGGCGGAAGAGAGCCTTGGACGCGCCAGTGTATACGGGGATCTCGGAGGCTTTGGAGATGGCGGTTAGGATGGAGGTGGCGTTGCGGGTGGTTTTTCTTGTTGGTGGTGGGTGGTTAGTTAGGGGTTAGGGAGTGAAAAGGGGGGAAAGGGTTGGGTGTACATACTCGAGCGAGGCATTGCCGAAGACGGTTGAGACGCCGAGAATGCGGATCGCTGGGTGATAGGCGGCTAGGAGGATGGCGAATGTATCCTGGAGTTGGTGAGTGAGATTTTGGTCAGTTTCTTTTGGATTTGCATAGGTGGTAGGTACCCCGAGGCCCGTCGGTGACTCCGGGTGGTCCGGATCTCATCCGGGGTTGCGGGGTCCGGCCGGAATGTGTCCTGAAAGCCTGTTCTTCCGCCTCTCCGCAAATTCGGCATGCAACCGAAGGCCTAAAAAGTGAACTCTGCTTCCAGCTACTTACATCGTGGCCTGGGTCGCAGTCCAGCCAGACTGGGATCCGCTTATCTTCCATCTTGATGTCCCGGATGAGCACCTAACCAGCGGTGAGATTGACAGCTAAGTGGAAATTAGTGTAGAACGAAGGTGGTTTATATGGTCTTGTGGCCGAACAAGTGACAAGCATTCAATATCATACGAAAATGAGATTCCGGAATGGAAGGAGTAAGCACATACGGGCAGTCAGTGCCTTCCAGTTTCTAAGGTTGTGTTTGCGCTTGCCGTGCAAAGCGGGGAGCCGTGTTTCCGAGTACCAGTGGAGGATCCACCACTATCCCAAGAACTTTCACAGCAGTTGTGAAACTGAATGAATCCGTTGCTCAATTAGGAGTGTCGCAAACAATGGGGTGCTCTAAGCTGATCTTGTAAATCATTGCTTGCACAATTTTGAATGGAAGACATTAAGGTCATTATTGGACTTTACATCTGCTATACGACGCTAAGTCCTGAATCAACCACCACCCTTATTCCTCTGAATGACCCTCATGACATCCTCAAAGTTGTTCTTATCCCCCTTCTTCTTCTTGGGTCCTCTCTTCCGCTTGGACTTCCCGCCGCCGCCGCCCCCTCCGTCGTCGGATTCTGCATCCCACGCAGACAGCTTCATCTTTGTCTCGTCCAAGTCCGCCTCGTCTTCTATGCGGCTGGACCCAAAGCCCATGTCGAGATCCTGATCGTCTCTGCTAATTTCATTAAGCTTCTTCTTGAGCCGCTCCTCCCGTTCCGCTGCCTTTCTCTCCTCCTCGGACTTCTCCAGGGCGCTAGCAGCTTTTGCCTTTTTGAGGGCTGCCAGGAAGGCAGGGTCATCGAGCGATGGTGCTTTGTACGTGTCCTCTGAGACAAGGCCAGTTTTCGAGTCCTTGAAGTAGTTCCGTGGGGCTGTTGTTTCGGGTTTCGGTGGCGGAGGCATATCCCCAGCTTCTTGTGGAGGCATCGTTTTGGATGCTTCATCCTTGGTCTCGGTTTCCACTTCAGAGGAATCATCTGAGCCTTCAAGCTCAGCCAGCGGATCATAATCCGAGCCAGCATCATCGAAGATGTTGATTTCCTTGCTGTCTTCCTCGGCTTCTTTTTCCTCTTGTTGTTTCCGATAGATTTCGGGAACCTCCATGCCGAGCACTTTGCCAGATGCCAGGGCAGCCCGTTCTCTTTCTTGCTCCTCGGTAACCTTGGGGTCCAGCTTTCTGACCTTTCTCCTCTCATGACCGTCTTCGTCAACAATAATCATTACCTCGCGTCCTTTGCTGTCCCTCTCTATCCTCGTTCCTGGTGTCTTCTTCTCACCAATCTTCTTGAACTTCGAGCCAAGACTTGATTCCTCCTTGGCCTTTGCCGCTGCCCTCGCCGCTTTCAGCTCGGCCAATATCTGATTCCGCGTCCTCTTCTGACCCGGATTCAAAGCCGCCGTGGCGAGTTGGCCCTTTTTTTGCACCTTCTCCCTTGTGATAGCCTTGACTTCGGTCGACTCGAGCTGCTCCAAGGCCTCGTCTGGATCCGCCTCGGCTTCTGCATGCTCCTCCTCCTCCTCCTCCTCCTCCTTGGCAACCTCAGCTGGCTTTGGCTTCTCCCCATATACATCTTCCCCTCTTCGTATCCTCTCGAGCAGCTTAAAGTCTAATCCTTTCACGAGGTGTGTGCTGGAGAGATCGCCGCCCGCGATCTCGTTGCGTAGCCGGTCATAAGTCTCGCGGTCAATCTCCTCCTTTTTATAAGACTCTTCCAGCGCTTTTATCCTCTCAGCCCGCTCGTCGTCCTCTTCTTGCTGTCTCGCCTTGGCGCGGTCAACGTAGCCCTCAGCAAACTTGCTGCCTTTAGGGGCCGACGTTCTAGCTTTCTTTTGCGTTTTCTCAAACGCCTGATTTCGTTCTGCGAGCTGTTTCGCGAAGTCTACTCGGGCAGCGCCAGCGCCAACCGAGCGAGGTGTCATTGGGATACTCGGCTTGAGTCTGGAACCGAGAGCGGCTGCGGTGCTCGGCGCCGCTTGAGAACTGGAAGGTGAAATGCCATTTTTGTCGGAACTGGATTTGGTAGAATTCGCAAGAAGTAACCTGCGAAACTGCTCGTTATTCATGGTCGCTGCGATACGGTGGCAGTTGGAAACTCAGAAGCAGCAAACGCGAATCCAAGTTCAACCTCGGACACAAACCGCAAGGCTGCTACAAAGTATACTCTAGGTACTCCATAGTGGGCCGTAACCCGTTAGTGGCGCTAGGCGTTGGGAAATTGGGGCACAATTTACGCATGATCACGGGACTGCGCGTGTTCTAGTGGGGCTAAAGGGCGCGCCTCAGACATGTCCCCGACATGTGACGAAGTCCCTGAATGCACCCTGCGATCTTCCTCGCCACATTGGGAGGAAAAGGTGTGACACATCTTTGAGTACACACTCGCTCTTGGATAATGGAAAGAGTGTTAAACCGTCTTCACGACTTTAGAGGTATTCAAATACGATGAACTCATTGAGAAGCAACACCCTGTCCTCGAGGAGATGATGTCATCGCCGCCATTATTCGAGTCGCGTCGCTCGTGTTTCCATCATGGGGAGCCGTCTAGAAAAGAACTCGGCAGCACAGCGGAAACGCATTGCGAGCCATGAGTTTACCGACGAAGGCGGCGACGAGTATGAAGCGAGCGAGTTTGGCGGATTCGACGACTACTTCCGGAGGAAGAAGCTCAAACTCCAAAACCTCGATGTCGAGTTACGCGCCGCAGCTCCCGAGAAGCCCCAGATCTTCAAGGACGTTGTGGCACATGTCACAGGCTATACCCAGCCGCCCCTGCATGTGTAAGCAAATCACACTTAGCATTGACGGCAAGCTAAAGACACCTTTGACTGACCCTTGCCTTGCCCAGCCTGCACAAGGAACTCGTCCAGCATGGCGCTGGTTTCCTGCAGTACCTGGATGGCAAAACCATGGCAACCCATATTATTGCCTCGGCCATGCCACCCAAGAAGACGGTCGACTTCTCAAAATACCGTGTCGTCAAGCCAGCCTGGGTCATGGACTCAATAAATGCGGGGAGACTCCTGCCCTGGACTGACTATCGCGTTATCGATGAAGGGCCTAGGCAAAAAACCATCAAGTTTGACGGGGCCAAAATATACAGCCAGGCCACACAGAAGTCTCCCCTTGGGTACCGCGAACAGACCCAGAACAGCTTTTACACGAGCCAGTTCCAAAGGCCCACTGATCGTCTAGCCTCTCACCAGGCTTCCAGCAGTCCATTCACGCCCAGGACCTCCGCGAAGTTCGATTCGCTTGAGGTCGAAGCCTTCGATGATATCGATATTGTGGACACGGATTTCCTTCTTGAGGAGCCGACCATGGCGGAGCCAGATCCTGGGAAATCGGATCTCCCTCCGCAAGTTGAGACTTCGAAGTCAGAAGCCGAGGGGGTCAAGACGACTAGCCCTGAGCCTGCAGACCAGATGCCTGTCTCACCGAAACAGCCACCTTCCGCTAAACCGATGACTTCTGAGGAACACAATGCCATGCTTCTCGCGGATCCCAAGATTCGCAAGTCATCCACCGCCAACCCAGACTTCTTGAAGCAGTATTACTCCGAAAGCCGCCTACATCACCTTTCTACGTGGAAAGCCCAAGTGAAGTCGCGCTTGCAGAGTCTCACTGCCGAAAAAGCCCCAGCTGCGAAGGGAGTCAAACGGAAGAGTGGCTCACGTCGGTATATCATGCACGTGGACTTTGACAGCTTTTTCTGCGCTGTCTCGCTCAAGCATGCCCCCGAGTATCGCGATAAGCCAGCTGTCGTCGCCCACGGCACTGGTAGCGGCTCTGAAATAGCTTCCTGCAACTACCCCGCTAGGAAATTCGGCGTCAAGAACGGCATGTGGATGAAGCGCGCTCTCGAGCTCTGCCCGGAGCTCAAAGTGTTGCCTTACGATTTCCCTGCCTACGAAGAAGCGAGCCGGCTGTTCTACGATGCCATCCTCAGCGTCGGAGGCATTGTTCAGAGCGTGAGTATTGACGAAGCCCTCGTTGATGTCACCGATGTTGTTCTCTCCGAGGCTGGTTCCAAAGGCTTTGGCATCAGCGAAGGTAGCATTTGGAGAGAACAAGAAAAGGCGGATGAGATCGCAACGAATCTACGGGCCGATATCAAGAACAAGACAGATTGTCACGTCTCGGTCGGAATTGGCGGCAATATCTTGTTGGCGAAGATTGCCCTACGAAAGGCGAAACCCGCCGGCCAATATCAAATCAAACCCGAGGAGGTCCTGGACATTCTTAGCGATCTCAAAGTCGAAGATCTTCCCGGCGTTGCGTACAGTATTGGCGGGAAGCTCGAAGAACTAGGCATTAAGCTCGTCAGGGACATCCGGCAGACTTCCAAGGAGCGGCTAGTCTCTGTCTTGGGACCAAAGACAGGCGAGAAGCTCTGGGATTATGCTCGTGGAATCGACCACACCGAAGTCGGAGAACAGCCAATTCGAAAGTCCGTCTCGGCCGACGTGAACTGGGGGATCCGCTTCATCAGCCAGGAGGAAGCCGAGGAATTCGTTTACAATTTGTGCAAGGAGTTGGAGCGCCGCCTTCTGAATGAGGGGGTAAAGGGGAAGCATCTAACCATGAAAATCATGCGGCGAGCCCTAGACGCGCCGTTGGACCCCCCGAAACACTTGGGCCACGGCAAATGCGACACATTTACCAAGAGCGTCACATTCGGCGTCGCCACGAACGATAGTGCGCAGATGGGGAAGGAGGCGGTAGCGATTTTGCGCTCCTACAAGTTCAGCCCTGGGGACCTCAGGGGATTAGGAGTGCAGATGACGAAACTAGAACCCCTGAAGCCGTCTGCTGCCCCCGAGGGAAGTCAGAAGAAGCTCAGTTTTGGCAATGTCAAGACAGCCTCCTCAACAAAGAGACCTACCACAGAGCCCATTGACGAGGACCCTGGTATACCAAACCCACGCCGTTCGTCCGGCCAAGAATTTGAGCAGGATCCTATTACGGTCGACCCATTAACGCCGAGAAAACCCAAGGTTCATCCCGCGCTAGCCCTGGCAAGGGCGAACGCGGCAGACGAGAAAGCTAACTCCCCACTCAACATCACTGGGACCCAGTTCATAATTCCTTCCAACCCTGATCCCGCTGTGGTCGCCGAACTTCCCTCCGACATCCGCAGTAGGCTAGTAAACCAAGCCAAGCGTGCACCAGCCACCGCTGGCTCATCACGGGAAGCATCACCCGCGGTTGTCAAGTCTCGCTCCCACAGCCCAGCTGCTGCCGTTACCGATGAGATCCCCCCTGACGTCGACCCAGACGTCTTCAACGCTCTCCCAAAGGAGATGAAGGCCGAGGTGCTAGCCTCGTACGGCCGCAGGAGACAGCAGCAACGGCAGGGCGGCGGCGGTGGCGGCGTCGGGCAAACCGTCCTGCCACAGTCGCCGCGCAAAGACAGGGTGATGCACCGGCCGAGAGAGAGATTGACTCCGACCAAGCGCGGCGGCATCAAGAGCTTGTTCGGCCGAGCCCGAGGGCGAGAGCGCCAGCAGGACGCTGAGGCGGGGCTGATGCAGACTAGCTTTGCCAGACAGCAACTACAACAACAGCAGCAGGGACCAGACGGTGATGCCGACTTGGTGGGAGATTTGGACCCGGCGTTCCTTGCCGAGCTACCCGAGGATGTCCGCCGCGAGGTGGTCGAGGATCACAGGCGACGGCGGCTTGCCCAGCGGTCAGGCTTGACTGCTCCGCCGTTAGCTGCTTTGCGTCGAGACCGGGCTGCCGCTGCTGCTGGTGGTGGTGGTGTGGGCGGAGATGGACTCCCCCGTGGTCAAACCAGGCTTAGGTTCCCCGCGAAACCGCCCAAGGTTGTGTTCACGCAGTCCGGGCTGACGTCGTTGGGGGAACTTGAGGATGTGCTGGGTGTTTGGCATGCTGCCACCCAAGAGGAGGGTCCGCACCGAGCCGATGTGGAGGTGTTTGAGAGGTATGTTGCCAGGGTTGTTACGGAGGAGCGGGATATGGACAAGGCGAGGAAGCTTGTCAAGTGGTTGGCCTGGGTAGTGGACGAGGGGGCTGAGGGCCCGGGGAAGGAGGTTTGGAGAGAGGCGGTGGAAAGCGTGAAGACCGCGGTTCAGAGGGCTATGAAAGAAAGGGGGTTGGGGGCTATGGAGTTTGGATGACTGCCGGACTGTAAAGTGCTATAGTCTATTGATAGCGATAGACTTTGGCTACTGTTTACTGTGTAGTGGGAAGCAATCTGGACACGAGCTTCCAGCTAACTGATTAAAGGGTATGTGGAACGATCTAAAGGGTATAAACTGTTCTATCAAACAAATCCGCCAGAATTCAACCATGTAACACTCCAGAGTCTAGTAGTCTCTTCACAAAAGGCTCAGAGAGACCGCTCCAACCGCAACCAGCCCAGCAGCCCACGCTACCCGGTTCACAGCAGCGGAGCTGGCGATGTATACCTAGGTAGACATGGTTAGTAACCGTCTAGTGGAAATTTGGACGATGCACAGTACTCACCGTCAGCTTCAGCATACCCCCGCAGGCCTGCGTGGTATTGCCTTCGCAAGGCAGGTTGCACTCGCTGTCGGGCAGTTTTGCTGACAAGCTGGACAGCGACTGGGCGCACCAGCATTCCCTGTGGATTTGCACGGTTAGCTGCTCTTGCTCCCTCCCGTCTACTGAATATTACAGACATGACACGACACGACCCAAACCAGACCCACGACACCGGACGCATACAACAACGACAAAAAGAAAGAGAAAAAAAAAAAAAGGATAGGAGATAAAACCCACCGTGCGTACTCCAACCCAGCGTACTTAAACTTCCCACTCGTACCACCATTGCTGTCCCCGGCACCCGTGCGGCAAATCTCCCAGCATCCCTCAACCGTCATCTGGCCCGGTCGCACCGCGTTGGTGCCCCCGTACAGCGCCCGGCTGCCAGACGTCCCCGGCAGGCCGGTCGTCTCGTTGTAGCACCCGTGGTATGTGTAGCCTGAGCCGGGGTTGGTGTAGACTGTGACTGTGGAGGGGGACGGTGATGGGGCGGAGGAGGAGGATGGGGATGGGGATTGGGATTGGGCGAGGGCCGGGTTGGTGCTGGAGCCGGCCAGTAGTAGCAGGAGTCCTCCTATGTTGGTGGTGGACGTGGTGGTTGAGGAGCGCATCTTGTTCTTCTTTGAGTAGGTAGGTTCAAGATGGGCTGGTTGGTTTAATGATAGAGCATTGATAAGTAAGGAAGGGTATTGGGTTTGAGTTGATTGCTTGGTCAAGAGTGCATGACTGGTGAATGATCACTTGAATGGGAAGAGAAATGAATGTCGCGACTATGGTAGACTGTCGCGCAGCTGAGGTGAGATGAGAGTTAGATGAGCTGAAGCCTGGCGCCCATGGACCCTTGAACTAGGCTTGATAGGGTACCTGAGGGGTAGGGCTGACAGGGGCAATAGATTGGTTACAGGGGTGCCGTCCAGCGCTGCCAACCTTCCCCGTTACATTGATGGATCTGGCTTATCAAGTAAGGTCTAGACCTATTCATTCTCCCATTCATTATCACCGCCTAGACATGTTGTATGTACTTGTTTGTGACATTATCACCGTCCCTACCTTACTGTTACCTGCTACTTTTCTGTTTCCAGCTGCACGTCAGATTGACAGCGGAGCGGAAACGTGGCGCTCCCGGGAGCCGTGACACCTGCATCAAGCCAGGAACGCTCGCAAAGCTTGATCTGATTGGCCATGCCCCATTTGACAATCTCCTTGTGCCTGGACACTGGTGATACAATGGCTACCGGTCTTTGTGGCATCAGATCAGCTTATTCATCGGGTCCCAAGTTCATAGAGCGAATATGCCACCGCCTTGGGAGATTGCTCTTTCATTCATTACAAGAAAGCCAAGACGTAGCCGTATGTATGCACTGTACTGTATGTACATCTGATGTAGGTTCCAAATCTATTGTTTTAACCGTGACTTGTGGTTGAGCCATGGGTTGTGGAACCCCAACTCCCTACCAAGGCCATGGCTTCCTCTCCGCCGTCGGCCAGCCTGTTGTCCCTCAAGACATCCGACAGGCACCTCCAAGGGTCACGTCCGCCGCCCCATTTCAGGAGGTTATCTTTGAGACGCTCGCCATTCTTCCGATCCAGTGCGGCGCCCCCCTTGCCCGACGAGAACACAACGTCCCACACGCGCTGGGCCAGCACGCGATCAAAGAGGTAGCTATAATAGGTGCTTCCATAGCCCGAAAGGTGACCAAAGAAGCCCTGCCACCTCGTTCCAGGCGGGTCCGGCGGTGCACTGCTGAATTTCTGCTGGATGCTGTGGAAGATTTGGGTCGAGTCGAAATTGCTAGTCGTGGCCATGTTCGAATGCAGAGCCTGGTCCAGCATGGCCAGGATGATTTGGTTCTCTGTCTCAGACGCTTCAAATCTCCTCGCCTGGCGGATCTTACGTGCCACTAGCTCGTAAGGCAGACGCGCGTCCGTCTTGTAGTGTCGGGCGAAAAGTGAGAGAACCGTGGGATCTGATGCGAAGTATTCCATTAGAGTGGACGGCAGCTCGGCCAAATCAGTAGCACACCGTGTCCCAGACACGTTTTGAAACGAGGTGCGGGCGAGGATCGAATGTATAGCATGCCCCATCTCATGAAACAGGGTTTCTAGCTGAAAGAAGCTCAGAAGAGCGGGCTCATCGCCGTGCGAAGCCATGGGCGTGAAGTCACAGACAAGGGCAATGGTCGGAAGCTGCTTGACCGTCCCACCTCGCGATGAAAACTCCATTCCATCATTGGCCGCATACTCGCGGCTTGGAAATATTGACTCCCCGTTTTCCTCCAGAACTTGAGCCCACACCTCGGCCATTTCGTCCTCGGAAATCTCACGGGAGCAGCGTAGAGTGAAGTGCGCCGGGTTCGGTGACTTGTCTTCGCGATAAAAGAGGTCGCAGTACAGGACAGCAACGAGACCGTCCGTGTCCGAGACGACGTCAAGGCGGCGCACGTCGGGGTGCCACGTCTCGCCGCGTAGAGGCTCCCGGGCAACAAACCGGATGCCATAGAGCTCGTTAAAGACCCTGGAAAGGCCCTGCATGACGACGCCTATGGAAAAGTAGGAAGACAGGGGCTCGCTTGGGCGTTCAGCCGTCCTCATATTTTGGCGTATGAGCTCCGAGTAGTAGTCCTTGTCCCAGGGGTCAAGGATTGCTGGACCGGGGACCATTTTCGCCTTCTCGGCCAGCAGCTCGGCCATCTCCTTTTTCGCTTTGGGCCTATTGCTGTCGGCTAGGGCCCGGAGAAAGCGATTGACGGCCTCCGGGCTTTTCGCCATCATGCGGTCGCGAAGCGCGAGGTGGCCGTAACTCTCAAAGCCGGAAAGATGGGCCAGTTCGGCTCTCAGCCGCATCAAATATTCAAGTCGATGCACTGTGCGCTGATCTGCAGTACGAGAAGCATAGTAAATGAGCTTCCTCGTCTCCGGGTCAGACACGGTGCGCAGGGCTAGGGCGGCTTCACCGCTCAGGGTGGGAAGATGCACCTTGCCATCGCGTGTCATGCGCCGCGCAAGCACGGGGTCCATCCCCCAGAAGCGGCTGCTGGGGAGGACGACCTCTTCTTGAGCGGGCGCCATCCATTGAACAAACAGCGACCCGACGGTGCTTATTTCGGACGAAAGCGCAACAAAGCGATCGCGGTATTTCTTGGGCAGGTTGACGGCGGATTTGGTAAAGTCCAGCTTGAGCACCTCGGCCACGGTCCTCTCCTCCTCGGCCCACACAGCCGTGACGTCAGGGTTGGCCATGGCCTTGGCCAACTGGTCATGAAGGCCCGTCATGGTGTTGAGCTCGTTCATGTACTGGTACACGCGGTCCCAAGCCCCGCTCGCCATCCGCCGCGTCTTGACGTCTGGGTGGGTGACGCGCACAAAGTCCGACATGTCGAGTACTCGACAGAGGATGTCGCTCAAGCGGTCTAGTTGGCGGACAATGCCGCGGTATTCGGCGACCGTAGACGCAGCCAAAACCTTGTCGACAATCCTCCGGGCCCTGCCCAGACTCACCTCGGCGAATCTGAGAAAGCCTTCGGGCTCCTGCAAGTAGACATTCCGGAACAGGCCGACAGTCGTGCCGATAGCGACGCGTGAAAACTCCTTCCAGGTACGCGGCGAGTCGAAGACGGCGCGCAGGAATTCATCATCCTGGCGCGTTCGGGCCGTCAAATGGGTGGCGGGAGCGGTTGCGAGAGCGGATTCGGGGCCGAGCGTCAAGAGGCGTCGCTGTCGCTGGCGGCCGTGTTTAGGAATCGGAAGCTGGGCGAAGCAGCTCGAGGCGATCCCTCTTTTCCAATAGCTCGGCCCTATCGACGCTCTCCGCATGATGAGCCCCGGCTCGGCCGCGAAGGCGCGGGCGCGAGCACGCGGGCGTTGTAGGAGGACTCGGGGCGGCACGGTGGGCGCTACCACGAGATCGCTGAAGCCGGATTGAGCATTGAAAGTGCCCTTGTTGAGGAAATGTCCGGCTTGTTGTTATCGCGCACCGTCCAGGATTCTTTGCTGGATGCAAACGAAAGTACTTGGGTCCCTGCCGAATCGGAAGTCGTATGTTCTGATTTCTGAGTCGCTTGTGTGAAGAAGCTAGGACTCGATTTGAGCTTCCATGGACAAGAAATTCCAATGCCACCGACGAGTGACCACTGCCGGCTAAGACCCACAAAGAGGGTACTTTAGTCTTTCAGTATGGATGGTGGAAGTGTACTTTTCGCGTCGGTAGTGTCCTGCTACATATAGATCTTTGTCCCATTGTAGATTGTGCAAGTAAAAATGAATTTCTTGAACTGTATCCATTCCATAAATCTCAAAAGCTAGCAGCGTACTGCGACGAGAGAAGCGTCATAACTCGAGGATATGGATTGCTGACCTCAAGTTGTGGTTTAACAATTTCTGGAAGCAATCACTGTCAAAACCAAGAAACCAATCTTCCGGAAATAGCCGCACAGCACCAAACGAACTTGCAAGTCCAAACCCACTCTCACTCTTTTGGAACCTCTGACCTCAACACCCAAGCTCCTCGTCACCATCAACGGGAGTTTCCTGTCCGCCCGCCTCTCCGCAGCACCGAAACTCGCGAGGCATACCTCAATTGGGCGGACCATGGTTGCCAGAGTGTTGTTGCAACGGGTAAAGTCCCAGTCCAAGCGGTCAATTGCCTGATATTTCGATCCCCATCCACTGACCATCGAAACAGCGCATTGCGCCGTTGACAGCTTCCTTACTGGTGGGAGGTGTTGCCTTCTATCCCCGGACTGCACACGCAGAGGCCCCCAACGACCGCCAATTCGTATGTGTGAAACCTCCGAGTTTTACCACGCTAGTCCTCATTTCTCCTTTCTGACCGGACCGTCCAGTCCAGAAAACCCATCTACGATGACGACTTTGACGTCTTCCCCGTAGCCAAGCGACCTCTCCCAACGCCGACGACAAGCACAACAGCAACATCCATCACCACCACTACCAATGACGCCATCCCCTCTTCCACCCCTCCCTCCCCGTCAGAAGAACCGATACCAACGCCAATCCCTGCCGCCGAACCCACCACCACGGTAACCCACCACCACCCGCGCGCGCCGACGCCGACGGACCGTTTGGCCGGGCAGATCCGCCGGGCGCGGCTGTACCTGTACTCGCAGGCCTGCACCGCCGAGGACGCGGTGAACGGGGCCATGGGGCGGGCGTTCGCGCTGGAGCAGGCCTTCACGTCGACGGTGGCATCGCTAGCCCCTCCGCGCGAGAGCGGCGAGAAGCTGATGCCGGGCCTCGTCTACGTGCTGGTGGCGGGCATGGCGGGGAGCATCGTGGCGCGCAACCGCAACGTGCTGCTGCGCGGCGCCACCCCGCTCGCCCTGGGTCTCGGCGCCGCCTGGGTCGTGCTCCCCGTCACCATGGGCAACGTCTCGGCGCTGCTGTGGGAGTACGAGCGCAGGTTCCCTGCTGTGGCTGACGCCCATGTACGTACGCGTGAGGGTATTGATCAGGGTATCTACTTTGCGAGGGTCCACGCCGATTTGGCGCAGAGGAAGGTCCATGAGGGTGTGAGGGATGCCAGGGAGGCGATTGAGGGGTGGGTGAGGAAGGGGAAATGAAAAGAGGGTTGAAGCATGTGTGGAATGAGCGAGGCGAGCGGCATTGTTCCTCTGCTTGTATCATATTGTGAGAGCTTTGGTAGCTCGCGATAGACTAAAATTTTCTATGTGATGAAAGTCTCCAAGCTCTTCAGTCTGCGTAGCGGTATCTGACCAGGAAACGACTGGCAGTTCGAAGAAACTCTGCAGGGTATCATTTGGGTACGGAAACAGTCTATATGCTCATATAAATACAGTCTAAGCCGACCCATCTGCGCCCTTCTGACTCCCCTAGGCTTACAGATCCTCCACCCTCCTCTCGCCAAAACTCGTATATAATTTCAGCGCCCTTTCATAAGTCCACATCGTCACCGCGCTAGCCGGCGCCGCCTTGAACAAGCTGACCGTCAAGCCCCTATACAACCCTCGGACCCCTTCTCTGCGCAGAATCGTCCTCACGATGTTCACCATACCCCCCGCATACTCGGGTATATTCTTATGCACGTACCGCCCCCTCGTCGGACCCTGCACCTGGACCCGTTTCCGCACCAAATCCAATGGAAACGTCCCCGTCTTGGCCGTGACCGAAGCAATCGTGCCCGCCACGGCTCCACCGCTGCTAAACGGCAGGTCCAGCTGGCTCAGAGCCGGGCGAAGCGTCTCGTACACGGCGAAAAACACGCCCATGAAGGGGACAATCTGCGCTAGACCGGGGGCTAACCCGCGAAAGAAGCCCCTGAAACCCTCCTCGCGCGCAATCTGCCTCACGGCGCGCAGCAGGCCCGTGTAGACCCTGTCGTTGCCCTGGGCGGCGAAGCGCGTGCGGAGCAGGTCCAGCGGGTAGGTGGCGGCGGTCGCGGCGGCGCCCGCGACGGCGCCCGCGACGAAGGACTCGGCGGGCGCGGGGATGGCGCCCTCGCCCAGGCCGGAGTGCAGCAGCAGCGTCGCCGAGCGGTACGTGGTGAACTGCACGGCGCTGTAGCACACGTACAGCAGCTCGGCGGGCACGTTGCCCTTCCACAGGCCCGTGACGCCCTCGGTGCGGACAATGTGCCGGAGCGTGGGCAGCGTGCCCTTGTAGACGGGCCCGCCGCGCGCGTCGGCGTGCGTGAGCGGGTCCGAGAGCGAGTGGTGCTGCAGCTGCAGCCGGATCTTGACCACGTCGAGCGGGGCGATGACGAAGCTGGGGTTTTGGGGCCACGGGTATCTGTTAGCGTTGGCGTGTACGAAGGTAATTTGGGCCAAGATGGGATAGCGAAGAGGGGCATTGCAGTAACTTACCGCGAAATTAGCCCGGCTGTGGCGCCAGCGGCAGTGACCTGCAGTCGCGAGCCCTCATCTTTGAGGCGCTCGCCCTTGAGAGACATTCACCGCCTCGCGAAACTCTGATTTGCACAAAAGGGCCGAGGCCGAGAGCGAGATTGGTCTGATGCCGTTATCGTACCGTTGCTGTACGAAGTATTAATGCGTGTTGCGCGGCTCTGCACGAGGACCTTTGCGTTGCCGTAGTGGTGTCGCTGCATGCAAGCGTTGGGTGGTGTGGTTGGCTTGAAATCAAGCGTAAAGGTCTAATGCAAAGTTACTCGACAGCTGACACTTTGCTCAAACCATACTCGACAGTTTGCTCATCTTTGCCGCTGGTGATTCTGTTGTCGTCAACACACGGGTGTCGGTGCCTCGTGCATCCGACTCTGCGTCAGTGTATCGAATGTTTTGTTGCTTGCATTTGACGTCTTCATGGGGTTCGGCCGGTGACGACATCTGTAAGGGTTTTTGCAGGGCAACTTCCACCTTGGACTAGTCTCGGAAACTTCCGCTGGCCAGACTTTCCAGGCTGTCGGGTCCCGCTTGATTGACGCGAGACACGCGCCGGAAGTGAGGTCTGTGCTCTCTCGGAGCTATGTGGTAATTACACAGTGATTGTAATTACGTCAGTATTCGTCACAGCGTTACTGCCGTACAGTACAGTACAAGCATGAAGTAACGTTAAGCACTCCATACTCCTTGCAGCTCTATCAACCGCGTTGAACTCGAGCCCATTACTGTAACGATATGCCGTGCACAAGAGCTCGGGGATTGATAAATAATGGAACTTCGTTTTCCCCGCTGCAATGGGCCAGCCAGAGGTGCACAGGATGGTAGCAGACGGGAGCCGATTGGTTCCTTCCGCCCGAATGGGGCTAACGGCGGGAATTGGCTGAACCGCCCGAAACAGTTAGGAGCGGGTCGGCGGCAGTGCGGAAGTGGCAGTGGCCACTGAGCGTCCCCGAAGCCATCTGAAGCCATGCATCCCAGGGTGCATTACAGAGCAACATCTCTTGCGTCGAGGTGGGGTCCTTGGGCCTTACTGAACCTGCGTCACCAGGCAGTTATGTTCTTGTGGTTTATCTCCATACTGTTTCTTTTGCAGTTCTGTAGATTCTTCCCAGCCGACTATTCCCACGTATCTTCCAGAACCCTGAGGCAGTCATTTGGACTCGGCGACAACGATTAACAACCCGAGAGGCAGCCTGGAACACCTCAGTGATGCTTGACATGTGATCGTTGCCTTGGATGAAACGTCACGAAGCCCTCCTCACACTACTCCTACCTTGTTGACCAGTTCATCCCTTCTCTGATCATCACTGATGAATGAGCTTCGGCTGTGGTGAAAACAAACCCAATTTAATCATCATACATCGCAAAACGCTGTAACAATGGCTGTCACGTTGCAGCCTCTCGACATTGCGCCTCCCAATATCAGAAGCATCGCGGCGCCAGTGCTGTCAGCGCTGCCTGGCGCAGCTGCATCCACCCAGCCTGCTACAACAGTGCTCCCGCTCCTCTCCCCCATCCTTCGACAGCGTGTCCAGCTGTTGTCGTCCATGAGCACAGAATCATGGATCCGCCTTCTGACCTACGACACGTCAAATGTTCCCAAGCTCACAAGCATCGCCCAGAGTGGTAGCCTAGATCCCCATCCAGTATCAGGCGAAATCGAGCTCGATTGGGACTATGATGTTGAGGTTAGGTACCGGAGGATAGACCAGGAGACGCTACAAACCCTGGTTGTCCTCGGGGAATTGAGCCTATTTCTACGCCTCGTTTACTGCCCAGACGATCCCGACGGTGGAGGGGCAGGATGGCGGGTCGGCGAGGTCGGCGCTGCTGCCAGCAGTGCCTCGACCCTAGCATCCTTTGGTGGGTTTCCGAGTATCGCCGAAGCCGAGAAGGCATATCAGGCATCACGGCTGGCTGGCAGCAAGCAACACAATGGCACGAACGGCGCATGGAACTCCCAAGTTGCCGACGACAACGGCGAAGACGATGACGATGACGACGATTACTGGGCTCGGTACGATGCAACACCGGCTCGCACACCCGCCGTGCAACGTTCACCCGCACCGCAGCAACTGAGCGCGAAAAGACCGGAGCCCGAGATACCCCGTAGCCAGTCGGCCGAAGACGCCTACTTCGCCCAGTACAACTCGGTCCAGCCAGCCATGGACAATTACGATCCCGACGAAGACCTCGAGCACATTGAGCAGCACACAGAGCGTGCCGGATGCATCGAGCGTGTGGAAGCGCCTCCGCCTCTCGGGCTGGCGAGGGCCCAGCGCTCGCACGACAGCGCAGAGCAGACCGAGCTGAGCGAGACGGGCGGCGCCTGGACGCTAGCGGATCCCCCGAAATCCCCCTCAGCGCACTCGGCCCGCTCAAAAGAGGACGAGGAGAGGGCGCAGAACCTGCTCCACCCCCGGCCCGCGTCGAGTGCCAGCTCCAGCGGCTCCCAGATGGTGGCTAAGCTGGAGGAGCGAGCTGAAAGGCGCCAGCAGAGCGAGTTTGGTGTCAAGCAGCATGTCTCGCGGAGCATCAGGAGTCTGTTTCTCCTGGCAAAGGCCTCGGGCATCGACAGGGAAGAGTTTGAGACGATGGTCCGCACTGAGTTAGATGTGCTGGGCATGGTTGAGGAGGATATTTAACAAGATACCCGGAGGGGTGTCGTTGTGTGTTATCTATGATGGCTATTTGTCGATGAGAGCATTCAGCATTTGTCCAGCGTTAGTAAGGCGAAGGGGTTCGTTCGCAGTTTGGCTTGGAGTTTGGACAGGTGCTGGATGAGATTAGCTCGACCGTTAGACAGCATCATAGCAGGAAAAAGCATACTGTATCCTCCTGTTCAAGAGAGTGTGGGCACTTTGGTCATGAGCAGGGGAACTAGCATCATGATTTGTTGGCCAAGCTATGTCCCTGAGTCACAGTCCTGATGGGAGCATTGACGCAACTGTAGTTTGAACCATACTGTAGTACCTTCCATACCTCTTGAAGCCTTTTAAGATGTGTACTCCATGCACATGCTACATGTACTGTCTCTCAAGTCACAGTGACCTCGGCGCTGTATCTAACGAATGACCGCCGTACTGCCGATCTCTCTTCAATAATACTAGTATGAGCGGGCTGCCAGGATGATGGTACGACTTGAGTGATTAGTGGCGCCCAAGACCCTGCGAGAGCTCACCGAATCTACTCGGGACCGCAAGCTTGTTCTCATGGATGCTACTGCTCTTCAGCTATGCCGGTCTCTCGAATCCCAAGCAAACAGACAGCAGGGACGGCACTGAGATGCTCAGTTGTGGAGCAGGCAGCCCTTACTCCAGTCAAGCCAGCATAGAGACCGCAAACTTAAACGACCAGCGATGAGATTTACCAAGCCTCAACTCAACCAAGCCAAGTTGCGTTGTTCACCTTGCGAAAAGGGGGAAACAACAATAAGAATATCATTACATGAATGGGAGACGAGTAAATCACCTAGTTTCGTCAAGTACCTTAGGTACAAAGGGTCGGGACGGAAAACTCTAAGCCATAGCGTCCAAAAGTAGCTGCTTGACGACCCTGTGCCCTTCGATAGCCGCATACATCAGCGGCGTCCGTCCGGTTTTATCCTCCAGCTTCAGATCGTCTGGAGTGCTTTTTTTGAATTAAGAGCTGCACAAGAGACACACGCCCTTCCTCAACAGCGTACGACAACGGTGTCCGCCCATCTTTATCCATCGAGTTGACCTGGGCATTCCTTTGAAGCAGGAGCTGAATGACTTTCCCACGAACTCCGTCGACACAGACCCCCTTAAAATTTCTTCCGACGGCATATGACAATGGCGTCCGGCCATCCTTATCCCTCGAGTCGACCTGCGCACCCTTTTCCAGGAGTAGATCCACAGCATCTTTGCGCCCAAACTGCGCGGCATACGACAATGGCGTCCGGTCGTCCTTATCCCTTGAATCGACCTGGGCATCCTCTGAAAGCAAACCCACAGTAAGTTTGGTCCCTGACTGCGCAGCATACGACAATGGCGTCCGGCCATGCTTATCCCTCGAATCGGGGGAGGCGCGCCATATAAGCAGTAAACCCACGGTATCTCTGCCGTTTGACTCCGCAGCATACGATAACGGAGATCGGCCATCCTTGTCCATTAAATTGGGTCGGGCACCCTTCTTAAGCAGCGAGTGTATAGTACCAGCTTCATCCTCGATATCGGCAAAATATGATACCACTGCTCGGCCACCCTCATCCCCCAAATCGGCTCTGGTCAGGGCTAAGAGTTGGGCTTGGGAGAACCACTTTGCAAGACGAGAATACCGTCTCCAAGCGGCATATGACAACGGCGTTCGGCCATTCTCATCCGTTGGATCAGCTTGGGCGCGCTTTTTGAGCAGTAGATCCACAATATGAGGTCTTCCTGTCTCAGCGGCATACGACAACGGCGTTCGCCCGTTCTTATCCCTCGAATCGACTTGGGCGCCCCATTGGAGGAGTAAATTCACAACGGCTTCGGTGCTCGGCCTCACTGTGCCCGCTTCACGGGTTATATCACGTCTCTGAGCGGCCCAGGATAATGCTGAGCGACCGTCGTTATCCCTCAAATCGACTTGGGCGCCCCTTTGAAGGAGTGAATCCACAATATGAGAGTATCCCCTCTCAGCCGCATATGATAACGGAGTTCGACCGTGCTGGTCTTCCGAATTAACCTCGGCACCCTTTTGAACTAATAGGTGTATGATAGATTCTCGACGCTGCTCAGCGGCGTATGATAATGGCGTTCTGCCGGTTGCATCACACGAATGGACGTTAGCATTCTGTCGAGTAACAACTTTACCATATCCTCGTTTATATCGACGGCATATGACAAGGCGGTCCGGCCACACTTATCCCTCAAGTCAACCCCGGCACCTTCGTCAAGCAGGAATTTTGCAGTAGCTGTGTTTCCAGCACCGATCGCGTAGGATAGCAGCGTCCGACCCCGTGAATCTGGCTCGTCCAAAGGGGTTGCAACAGGGTTTAAAAACAATGGTAGCGTGAATGATCGCAAAATATCGTTACCTAGCTCAGCGATGTAGGAGGCAACGCTTCTCGACATTCCATAGGTAAAGTCGCGGCCTAGTTTCGGGGGTGTCGCTTTCTTTTTGGAGTACCGCTTGCAAAGCTCGTGGAGCTGGGAATCGGGCGGCTGCCTTCTCGCCTCGGTTTCTAACAACGCTTGGACTGCCTCATCACCATTAGTGGCTAGCGCGGCGATTATCGGCGCCCTATATCGGTTCCTTCCAACAGGAACAAAGCCGGATTCCTTCCACTGGTATGCCCTGATGAGCCCGGCCAAGTTTCTTTCCGCAAGAATGTAAAGCAAGCTAGCCGTTTCGTCACTTTCGTGATATCTGCGGATACTGAACTTCTCGAGTACATTGTTCAGGATGATCCACTGGACGAGAGGAAACTCGTCGAGGAAGTTCCTTTGTTCGACTCCGTGCTGCTGAGCGCTATCGGCATGACGGAGTACGTTGAGTGAGTACTCGAGAAATGGAAACTGCGAGGTAATATGTTCTCGATATGTGGTCCTTAGCGCAACAACTTGGTCCTCGGAGATGTCCAACAGTTGAGCTAAACAGCAATCCCTCAAAACCCGGTGGCCATGGCCCTCGAAACTGCCTGAAGCAGACTCGAACCACTGGGCGTCGTATCTGCCCCGCAAGAAGTCGCGGACAGACTCGTGGATGAACTGGACCTCGGCAGCCTTGTTTCGTGTGACCTCGGCCAAGCCCTTGGAAGAGTGCCTTACGAAGGTCTTTATCTCGTCCAAGTCCACATCTTGCGGGTCCCAGAAGCCGGAAAAGCCTTTGTCGAGGCCAAAGTGGACGGCGAAGTACAGCTCCTGTGGCTTGAGGGGGCGGGTGGCAAAGAGAATCCATTGGAGACAAAGTTGGAGGAGCACCGGGTTTTCTCCGTCTCGCGTGATTATCAATTCGAACAAGTCGGCGAGTTTCTGCGGGATCTCTTTCAGCCGTTCACGCATCTTATCAATGCGCTTCCCAGGGTATTCCGAGTTTAGGATATCAATGACCAAGACGACCCATAGAAAGGTCCCAGCGGATTGCTCAAGGATCTCCGACTGGAGTGATTCGGCCGCCTTGGACCTTCGCAGCCTGAGTTTCGACTTGACGTAGTATTTTAGGTCCTCTTCATGGCCGGCTTCGTCTTCTAAAGTGACGCTGATGCCTTTCCGAATCTCAATATGCGGGTAGTGCCGGCTAGAGAAACAGATCAAGAGGTGAATATTTTCCTCCTGGGCCAGATCGCAGAGGGCCTCAAAGAAATCAACTAGCTCCTTAGCCTGGTCGTCCTCGCACTCGTCCAACGCGTCAACGAATATCGTTAACGACCGAGTCCCGAGGTTTCGAATGACATGCTCGAATGTCTGCTGCAATGCTTCTTCGTGCCAGCCGTTTACCAGAATACCCCTTGCGGCATCAGCTGTCATCAAGTCCAAGCCAGCCCACAAATCCTCCGACGTCTTGAAGAGCTTGTGGAGGAGAGATCGGTATAGGCCGGAAGTTGATCTTTCCTTAAGCGTGCCTCGCGCGAGGAAGAAGAAGGACAGAACGATTTCTGATGGGTCGCCCACCGAGCTTTTCCTGGCCTCTTCGAACAGCATTTTCATCAAAGTTGACTTTCCTGTGCCGGGATTGCCTTTGATCCAAAGGAAGCCGCTGTGGTCAGGCTGCTTCGCAGAGTCACGCCAGGTTGTGTATTCCTCCTTGGAGAGAAACCAACGGCAGGTAGACCCTGCGGCGGGTGTGAGATGTGTTACACGGTCGTCAATCTTGTCGAAGTAGAGCGCGTCGACTAGTGATTGCTTCAAGTCGTGAGGGATAACGTCGCCAGCACCCATCGAGTATCGAGCGTGCCTACGTAAAAGAGTGGCATGGATTTGTTCTGGCTCCCGGCTGGCCGCTCCTGCGTCGTTCTTGGTTCTCTCGTGGATGAGAGTCATCGCAGCTGCTACCTTGCAGTATTCCGGGTTTTCGAGCCCGGGAAAGCGGCACATGTCCATGTGATTGCTGGAAATATGCAGCTTTGTCTCAACCATGAGATCATTGAGGCAAGAAGATTGGTCATCGACGACCTTTTTCCCAAACAGGGACCAGACACCGTATTCCTCTTGAAACGAGTATATCTGCTACTTCCTCTCATGGCACATGACGGAAAACTCGTCTCTCAACTCGGCTAAACGCTCGGCTCCCGGCATGAGCGTGCCGACAATCTGGTTGTTGATTTGAAAGCCTAACGCTGGAGCCGATACGGAAAGGACGTGATGGACGAAACTTCTCGGATCCGCGCCCCCGTGGGGTGTGCCGAAGAACAGAATGCCTCTTGTGGCTTCGAAGATGAGATGAAGATGAGACTGGATAGATTCGCAGCCTCTTGACCTCCGCAGGGCCTCCTTCACGACTATGCCGCCCAAGCTGTGGGCAACAAACAGGATAGGCCGTGTTGTCTAGCTTGAACCCCGCCGAAACGCCTCAAGGGAGCATAGGAGATCCCAGGCATGATCATACACACTCTTCCGACTCACCTGTCCCTGGGCCCAATGCCGGATTCTCGTGTCGTATCCGTATGTAAGAATGCGGGAGTCAGGGATCGACTTCGGGGCGAGGTCCGCCGGCCAAAAGACATCTTTGGCCCGGTGACCTTTGAATTCCGCGAAACTTCCGCCATGTGCCTCGTCGATGGTTGGTGTCGAGCTGGATTGTGCGGGCGAGAGAGCAGGAGTTGAGCGGCCTTGCCTGGAGAACACTCTCGATATCTTGGAGCGTCGGGTTGAATCGGTGAACCCATCATCTGGCGCATGTCTTTTGGTCTTTGCTCCTTTCAATTTCCATGTATCCTCGGGATGGCCTGTGAATCCATGTACAAATACTATGCTTCAGAATGTAAGACTTTTTCCACCCACCCACGGGACAATCGGAAGAGAATACTCACTCAATCGTTGGATTCGGGCCTTCATACAGCACTGTAAGGCCCTTCTCGTTGACCGCGATTGGATTTGCCATGGTTTGTCCTCCAGGACCCAGCGACCGCACTTTGGCACCTGATCCACGTACTTGACGGGTAGATTTCACGGGAGCCGCGCCGTGATAAAGGGAATAGAGGGAAATGCAATGGCAAGCTTCAAGTGTCGGTAGGGAGGGGCTGTGCTTCCATACTTGCGCCGCGGCAGGTTCGCCTCCAGGCTGCCATGCATATGAGGGGCAACAAGGCTGAGTTGGGGGCAGACCAGCCTTTGAAGTGCCATGTATGGCTCCCTGCTTTCACGGTAACGCGCAGCATCTTGATGAATAGGTATATACCGTAATGATTGCCATAAAAAAGCACAATAGGTACCGTCGTATTGAACGCTCTTGTAGTACTGTACTTGGAGCTGAGAGATACCAAGGGGAATGGACGCTATTGACCGGAACGTGGCTCTTAAGCAGACTTGGTGTGAAATTGAAGTTGCCATCGCAACTTGTCCGTATTGTTCATTGATTTCTCTGGACATTCGTTCAATCACAATTAGGATGCTGACGGACCATTCTTCACAGGCGTTGCGAACTTGCGAGAACCAGAAACTGTTGTCCTTTTATAGGGTTAGGGTTACAGACCATTTTTCGCCTGGACCCTCCAAAGTCGACACTTCCGGCCGGAAAAAAGTTCCAGGCGCGTCTCGGCAAATTGGCGGCGCCGACGACGACAAGCGCAGACAGGACCACTGCAATCAATCGCCCAGCTCTTCACTCTCCCAAACAGCGCAAATTGAGGGAAGAAGCTCCTCATTTAAAATCCCCAGAACAGAGACCATGTTGCGCCCAAGGTTAAGAATACCACGGCCGCCGCGGCTCGCGGTACCCATCCAGTCCAGCCTACTACCACTGGCACATCAAACAAGAGCACAGCATACACTCCGTCCGCTCGATTATTCCATAGACCAAGGCATTCCCGGGTTCCTGTCGGCCGCATCATGCAATATCTCATGGACCCAGTACCAGACGCACCTGCTAGAGAAGCTGAATGCGCTGATTGCGGGCAAGTTTTCCTTGCCCCTGACGCCCGCAAGGCATGTCATGGAGGAACCTAACAAGCTAAATGTCACTGTGTCTCAGGAACCGACAATGAAGTCAAAGACGTCAAGGACATTGCGCTCATGACCGCCCGCGACCCCGACGTGGCCCCGATCTTCAACTACGCCAGCATGGCGCACAACAACCAATTCTTCTTCCAGCACCTGAGCCACAAACCCGTCGAGATCCCCGCCCTGCTGCGCGGCCACCTCGAGAAGTCGTTCGGCTCCATCGAGACGCTGCGCCGCGAAATGGTCTACACGGCCGCCGCCATGTTCGGCCCGGGCTTCGTGTGGCTCGTCAAGGTGTCGACCCCCTCCATGCCCGTCAGCTTCAAGGTGCTCACCACCTACCTGGCCGGCTCGCCCTACCCGGCCGCCCACTGGCGCCGCCAGGACGTCGACATGAACACGCAGTCCGGCTCGTTCAACGAGAGCGCCGTTGAGACGGGGAAACGGTACCTCGAAAACACGGCCTTTGGCGCCGGCAAGCGGTCGCCCGCCACGGTCAAGCGCCTTTCGTTTGCGCCGGGAGGCACGGATTTGGTTCCCGTGCTGTGTCTCAACACGTGGGAGCATGTTTGGCTGTGGGATTACGGCTTCGGCGTTGGGCAGGCCGGCGGCGGCAAGCTGGCGTATGCCGAGGCGTGGTGGAACAGGATCAATTGGGACAAGGTGTCCAAGGAGGCCAATATTACGCGGCAGGAGATGTCGAGCAATACGCAGTAGCGGCTTGAGGCTCCGTCATGTTTTGCCTGACGGTCGCTTCTAGGGAGGAAGACCGGCGCTGTATAATACCAGCTGGAGAAGACAAATGTGCACCATTTGCCGCTCCGGCATAGATATAGATGTATCTGTACAAAAAGATCTGGCTACACCAGATGTAACTCAGGAAACAGGATTGATACATAGGATTTCGAGGTCTCGAAGTACCCGACGAGCAGCACTTTACCTTACCTCAAGAGCAGCTTCAGCCTTACCGAGTTCGTGCTAACAGTCATCATAGGTGTGTCGTGGATATCGTTGTGAAATCGTGCCATAGTGGCCGCACTCCCCCTGCCTCACAAAGGACAGCTTCTAATAGGTACCATTTAACTTGACAATCACCCTATTACCGCCTACTCGATGAACCTAATATCCTCTCTCACTGACTTATACTGCAACAGAAGACTTCCAGCGAGAGAAGTGCAAGTACTTTTCATTACAAGCTCGACTAACTACCTAATCCACTGCATAGCTCATCAATCTACCTCATCATTCCGTCTTCCAAAAGGAGCGTGCGTCCTAATATGTTGCCATATATCGAGTTCTCATCTAGCCCTCACGTCGTCAGTCCATAAAGTGTCCCCGTTCAACCAATACCCCATCCCGCAACACTGTTGCGACACACAAATCCAACGCCAAAAGCACGCTATGATATGCTAGATCAAACCAAAAAGGCGCGCTGGGAAAGCAGCCAGGTCGAAGAAAGATAAAAAAACACAAGACGAGGGAGAGAGACGAAGAGTCAAGAAACCAACAAAAGGGAAGCCAACAAGGTATCATCGCGAAAGAAGGACAGACAAATTTGAAAAGAAGAAGAGAAAAATATAAGGAAAATCAGCCGAGTGGAGGGTAGCCCAAAAAGGAAAGACAATGCAGGTATGTACGTATGTACTCCGGCTGAGCGGTCATGAACAGAATCTCATCGTCCGGATAGGTCAGTATCCGCGTGTCCGCGGAATCGAGTATAGGTTTCGTCGTTTTCGTTCCGTCTCAACATCCACCAGCATCACTTCAATCCCACCACCCAGCCTCAGATCATATTCCCATTCACACTGATCTCGAACCCCTCACCCTTCTGTCTGAGCGCCTTGGCAAGCATGAGCTCCCTCATCCAGTCAATTCTCTCATCCCTGCTCTTGACAGCAAAGTGGTGTGCTTTGCCGGTTCCATTAACGGCACCTTCGATAGGAGGCAAGCTGCCGGCAGCAGCAGCACCAGCAGTACCGCCATCGCCAGGCAGGGAACTCTCCCTCTTCCTGAGTTTCGCGCCCCCTTTACTGTCCTGGGGAATCAACTGGAAACTAAAAGCAGCCACATCCGCCTTGGATCCCTTAGCATCATCCGCCCCACTGCCGCGCCTGATATGCATTGCCTTGAACGCAGCATTCAGTTTGGACCCACTGGCCATGCCACTGCAGGCGATTGCGTAGTCATCAATGTCAATGTACTCGAGCGTCTTGGTGGCGGCCGTGGCGGCGTCCTTGTGCATGGTGAGACGGGTGCCGCGTAGGGTGAAGAAATGCTCGTGCCATTCGTGGCGGAGCATCTTTGTCTTGCGTTTCTTCATCAGACCCTGGTACGTGATGGTGTTGCCACCCGTCATGTCCACCTTGGGCTTGTCGCTGATTGGGGAGAGCCGGCCGCCAATGTTGACCGTCTTGACGCCGGCGGCTGTGGTGCCGGCTGCGCTTGATCCAAATGTCGAGGACGGCATTGGCGGGACGGCCTTCTCAAGTGTCGGGCGTTCGGCTTGTGTCCAAGGGTATTGGACTCGTGGTGGTGGTTGCAGAGGCCGCTGGCCAACTCGTTGGGAGAAGGACCGGCTCGGGCCTTGGTTGGTCGGGGTGAGGATGGAGTTCTCCTCCAGCGCAGGCATGACTGGGAAGGAAGGCCGGCGGGCGGTGTTACGAGATATGGAGCGGGGAGGAGCGGGGACGTGGCGGTAGTTCATGTCTGGCGGTACGGACTGGGAGAAGTCGCGGGACACTGGAGGGATGGATGTCATGGTCACCGGTACATCCATCTCGGAGAACGGGGTGCCAAATCGGTAGGGGGCGGTCGGGGTGGCCTCATCGGGTGACGGAGTCAGCTCCCGGAATGAAGGGATTACCTGTGATGCATGGCGGGCAGACCGGGGTTGCGCCGACTGCGGCTCTCGAGCAGCAGAAGCAGCGTCCACCGGCTTTGTAGGTATGGACAGCTTCGGGAGACTCTTAGGCACTGCACGTGGAATTTGCGGATTGCTCTTAGGGAAGATCTCAAACGGAGGTGTTGGGGGAACCTCGCTGGAGGCTTGAAGGTGGTGGCGCTGGAAGTCGAGGAACTGCCGTACATTGTCCTGAGGGTCTCTGGATTGGAGATTGCGCAACGTCGCTTCTTGAAGATATTGAAGGGGTGGGAGGTTTCCAGGCCCCATGACATCCGACGAAGCCACGACTGACGGGACTGCGTCCGACACAGGACGGATCAACTCGTCATTCGTTTTGATTGCCTCGGCCGTTTCTGGGTTTCCTGGGTCGCCCGCAATCATTATGATGCCGTTGTCGTTGACAAAGGGGTGCTCCTTTTTGAAGGCCTCCATCAACCGCTGATTGCGCTTCCACTTGGGGCAATTTTCGCCTTTGGAGCAATGGTGAGGCTTCGGCAGGACCTGCTCGATGCCCACGATGGACACCGACTCGAGAGGGGAAATAACATCGTTGACCTTCATCCGCGGCTTTCTCGCCCTGCTCTCTTGCCTGCGCAACTCTCGCTTGACTGTCTTGTCTGGTTCATCCTCGATGGGCGTCTCGGGCATCGGCTCGGGCTGTTTAAGGTCCCTCATTGCGTGGATCTCTTCCCATATCCGTGTCCTCACCCCGAAGGAAGAGATGCCGAGCTCCTTCAGATCTTCAAACTTGAGCGTTATCAAGATTGCACCGTTAATATCATTTTCCACAAATCGTTCTGCAGCCGCGAGCTCAATGCCGGCATTGAGCATGCGCTGCGCAACCATCTCCGGTGTCCAGTCGGCCAAGGTCGACGTATCGAGCTCCTCATCCGTGAACTGAAATGGCCCCGAGTCTCGCTTCTTTCTCGGGAGAGGGGTGAGGTGTACATCTTGCAGCTGGAGATCCACAAGCGCCGGCTTCTTTGGGGTTACGGGCGAGAGCGAGAGCGCATGCTGGAGCTCTATCGACTGCGCCGAGGACAATGAGCTGCGGAACAGGTGAGGACCCCTGGGCCCTTCAATTTGCTGCTTCAGTTCGGCCTCGAAGGGAAACGGCCGCTGCTTGAATGACCTAGGAGTCTGAACCTCGTCGTACGTCGAGAGGGTTGTGAAACTAGGTTGCCCTGACTAGGCCACAGTGAGTATGATAACTCCAAGTGAGCAGAACACAGCACCTACCGAACCGATGCTAACGCGAGGGGACGACTCCCCATCCTCAATGCCTTCGAGGTCCCCAAACTCACTGTAGACCTCGCCGTCGTCATCATGGATGGAATCATCGTTATGCTCCAGCTCAAAATCCGACTCCATGAACTCGGTATATACCGAGTTCGTCCTATTCTTCATATTGGCGGCCGAAAAGAAAAGCTCCCGTGCCCTTGGCTTCTCCAACATCTCCTGTTGCGGCCGTTCCCGCGTGACGAACTGGATGTGATCCATCGCCGGCCAATGCTGGCTGATTTGCGCGGAAGCTGCCTCATTACTCGCTGAGCGCATCATGGTGTCTGACTGTCTGTCTGTTCCGCACTTGTCCCGGAGCAGTTGTCGTCGCCGTCGACGTTGCCGTTGCCGGCTATCTCTAGTCTATACCCACAGGTCGATGAGTGTATTCAAGAAGCTAGTCCGGTAGAGTTGATGCTATTGATGCTATCGTGAGTTCGGGTAACATGCAGGACGAGGCCAGCTTCGCATGTCCACTCGAGCACTGCCGAGTGCCCAGAACCAGGAGAAGGGAAACCGGTGGTGGGACAACGTGCGGGCGGCTACAGAAAGGTTATGTATTGTGTAGGGCAAGCCTCCGTGTCGGGGGGTTTTTCTGCAACTAGGACACACCGCGCATGCGCAAGCGCCGGGGATGGATGGAAGGGCACGATTGTGTTGCAAGCGATCACAATTGTGATCTGGAAGACGGCACAACGCTGGCAGTGTTCACCGTATGCTTGGGGAACTGAACGGAAAGTGACCAGATCGACTGCGGGGGTCCTCTGGGAACGGTATCACGGTGGGGTCAAGGCCAATATGTGTGATATTGGGGGGATCGCAATGTAAAGCGGGAGAAATAACAGGGTGGATGGGCTCATGGAAGTGTGGTGAGAGAGATGTTTGTCCTCGTCCGGCACTTGCAGCACTTGCAGAGCACACTTGCAGCGCTTGCGGGCAGCGGTAACATTGCATTTCATGTCATGCCTAAGGGGATACCGGATACCCGACCCTGTCCATCCTACCTGCCGTGTCTGGGCTTCCGCAAGACTCCCATAGTGGCTGCTCTAGCACCAGACCCATCCTATAATTATAGCAGGGACCGCGTGTTAAACCTCCTCAGAAGCACCGAAAGGTGAGCCAAGGTAAAGCGGCAAGTGGACTGAAAGTCGAAGGCTGGTTGGGCAGCTGTGGGATGGCCAGACTGGCCTCGCTGGTGCATTGCATGTCCGCATCGTTGCAGTAGGTGACAAAGTTGTGGTGCAGGGTGGGGGTAGAGAGAAGGAGGGGCTGTTCTGATGCTCATTGGGCTGAAAAGATGAAAATCTTGGGGTCCCGCCTGCCATTATCGGACGGTTGCCGCTTTTGATTGGTTCATCTCCAGAAAATCCCTTCGAAAATAGCATGGGTCTAAGCGCCCAGCATGTGGCGCTAATCCTGATCAGACAAACCGGCGGGAAGGGAAGGGAGTTTCCACCGAAGAGAGTTCGATCGGCTCTGCGCCAACCCTGAGACCAGCAGCTTCTCAGCACTGCGCTGCACAGCGAGCTCGACCGCCATGCCCCAACCCTTACTCTCGCTCCTTGCCTTGCCTCCGTCGATCAGGATGACCGTTTCTGCGGCCCGGCGGCCTGCGATCTCGCAGCGTGCCGGTGGCCGGTACAGAGTTGATGAAATCACCTGCGTAAGTCAACTTCTTGCGCTGGCGAATCGCCGATGAGCTGGGCCAACTTCAAAAATCAAATCTGGTCTCGAATTCGCTTTGCAACTGAAGCCTGAATGTCATCGTCGGTGCAAGCCTGCACGCGCGCACACCTTGCGGTCACACGCCACTTCGTCCCGGGCCCGAGATGTCATTCATTCGCCCGTCTCCTCCCGAGTCGTCCTGAACATGGCCGGAGCCCAATTGGGTGCAGTCAAGCGATCTGATTACAATTGGGTATCTGATGTTCGTCTAGCACTAGATTCGAACTGCAGTTCGCTCCATGGGACGGTCCGGCGGACGATGGAGCTATGCGGTAACTACTGCAAGGTTGTGGCCACTCCCCGGCCGAGTACGTCCGGAGAGCTCCAAACAAGCTCGGGAGCGGAGTCCCTGCCATGCGAATGCATGCGAGCCTTGGCCAGCTACCCCGTCCCGGTCCCAGCCTCCAGGTTCCGGTCTATGAGACTTCAGAGAACACATGTTTGCTGAGAGTCTCAGAAGCACGACCGCTGAAAGGCACATGACGACGACGACATGTCGTGCTAGGCGGAACCCGAGGCTGGTCAACGAAAGGCTCTCTTAAATTGCGTAAAATCTCGCCGTCCCTCAACGACGCCACATTCGGGACGGAACGCGGAAAGTTGGCGGTGAGTCTCGGTTTCTATTATCGCCATCTGCATCCTTGTTGCTTTGTATCTTTCGCCTACAAACCTCCGCGGCGGTGAACTCTTGAGTATCAGGAAATCTCTCAGGTGATCACCGGGGAAGCTTCCCCCATGCAAAGAGCAGGTTTTTCGCTCCCTCGCCTAACGTCCGAGGATTAGATTATGCGAGCAATCCTCCGAATTCAGCAGCATAACCCCTCAGCAGCGGTCCACCTGGAAAGTTCATGCTCACTGTTACGACGGCGATTGCTGACGGATCCGCTGAGGTGTAGAAAAGCGACCTTAGTGTGGCTGGCCGCAATCTGCAAGCCTTGACGACGCTTTACCGTCTCTGTATGTACAGTACAGTACAGTACCGGACGACAACCCCTCATTATCCTGGTCAAGATCTTGATCTGGAACGTAAGGAGGTCGGACAACAAACTCACCGGCTGTATAAGCAAAACAGCCTAACAGGTCCTGTATTGTTTTCACGAACTCAGCCAAGCTACAGTGTCTGATATCTATTGCCTAGTAGCCTGAAGATCCTAATGGGTACTGGCATTTGTGGAACATAGACGCTGCCCTGACCTACGGGTATGGGCAGACTTCCAGACGTTCTATGCCAGTACGTCAATAGCCCCGAGCATGTCTCAAAACCCGAAAATCCCCTTGTACAACGCTGAAAGGCAACTCCTACAGTAACTAGGACGGCTAACGCTCAGCGTCGTGATATGGGATTTGTTCAACTTCTGAACGGCTATCTGCATTCGTGGCCGCAGACGGCCCGAACACTCCCTTACCTCCTGACCGCCGGAACACAGGTAACGGTTTTGAGAGGATCCCTTGTTGAGCTAGTGAATATGTACCCAACAGCCCAACAGATTGAGGAGAAAGGTGAAGTCGGTTGTCTCCGATATCGTATTCTCCCAACCCGTGATCCCGCATCCTGCCGTGACCGGGATGTTGTAAGACCGACAATAGCCCCTCAACCAACCCCGCCATCGGCTCTGGATGTTGTGCACCGCTGCGCTCAGCTGGTTCACAAGGTATCCAATATCCACTTGTTCATAAAGCGTGGGCATCGAATCGGCACAATGCGAAAGCTTCTCCGCTGATTCACATGACGGGCAGGGCCTGCGACCGGAGCGAGTTGGATGGTCTCCTCAATATCGCGACGAAGTTCCGAAAGAGCGTCCTTTGCAGTGTGAGTGGTCAGCTTCAAAAGCGTAGGGTCGCACCGCCAATGAACCCCCTTGTTCTTCGGCTACCTCGAATCGAGACAGGTCTCGAGGGGGGTTTTGTTCTTTTCCTCCGCTAACGTGAGTAATTTGCACGTGTCTTGCTCGATTGCGCCATCGGAGGCTGGTTGTCGTCGAGGCACTTTTCGCTTTTCTTTACCTTTTTTTTCTCTTGTTGGTGTCTTGACAGTTATCCGGGAATTAATCTCCTTATCACGTTCGCGGTCACAATGACCCTGGTTAAATCATACCCTGGACCCTCGGTCACCGTTGACGATCTCTTGTGCACGGTTAACGTTAGTTCGTGCAGATTAGCTACGGGATCTGTCATCATCCATGCCATAATCCATGCCCCCGTCACGGGAAGCTATCGGTGATGGAGCGAACGACGTGCATGGTTCATTGATGATTGATGGTGGATCTCAGGAGCAGGCCCCTGGAGCTGAAGGCCCTTTTAGGCCACCAATGATCTGCTCGAAAGGAGAAGTCGGAATTGAAGGAAAGAGACTGATGCTTACAATCCTAAGAAGCAATTACAGTGCCATCCACGGTCTGTGGTCTGTCAGTTGCTGGATGCTTCATTTCGGCTCCCATCGCCGGTACCTGGGAGTCTTCAACCGGGTTTAGGCGGATTTCAATGCCATCCATACACTTACACATTCATCTTCAGGACGGCCCAGCCCACGGCAACTCCCAGGTCGTGCACAACCATTTGAGGTAACGTTATCATGATGATCTGCGTGACAAGGGGAAAGGACTCGGAGACCATCCGCAAAAGCATTAGCGAGGCCAGATTAGTGAAGATGGGGCTTTGATAGGTCCACACCCTCCGTTTTATACGGATACAGCCGCCGGAGACACTTGCAATGCATCCGTGCCGGTCGTCCTTGGATACCCGTTCAGAGGCGAGAGCCCTTGAAGGAGTTGTCATGCGGCGTTGCCATCTAGATCGATTTCAGCCAGGGCTGAGATTTCTCGCAAGCCTATCGTATATACGGAGTAGTGTTAGCAGACAAAACCTGGTAAAGGAGCCTTCACGATATGATATGCGGTATTGCATGCGCCTCACGGCAGAAAGAGGCCAAGCTGAGCTTCACCCGGCACGGCAGCGATCTGTTATGCTTACCTCCGTACAGGTACCTTAGTTACCCTCCTACACTGGGAATTTCGCACCTGCATAATTATCGATGTGCTGGTGTATGTAATTGCAAATCGCTATAATTCTCCGAGCCCTGGCGTGGAAACATCCTACGGTATCTGGATTCGCTGGGACACCTCGCCGTCCTCGGCCGCTTTTCACTTTTAGCCGTCGTCCCGTTGGGATGACAGATTGGGAAGATTTTGATCATGGCAGGGATGGTGACAAATTCCCCTAGTGAGAGGAGGGGTTTGTGTAACCATTGCGGCCATCTCCCTACACCATTCTTTGGTATCATCAAGCTCGGCAGTGGGGGGGTCCCAAAATCCCACCGCCGTCGGGCCTTGGCCATGAAGATGCTTCCGGGTCTCGGTCAGCATCTCGCCGAGAAGAGAAGGTGAAAAGCCTGAATAGCTGCTACGTTAGGAAGAGGGCTAATTATTCTGCCAAGACAAATAGTGGGTTAATTTGGACGAGCGGAACATAATGGGTAAAATAAAAATAGGACAAATTCTTTTCGTCACACAACACCTGCAGTGCTCACCGTCGAGGCCATAATTAGCCCACATCTGCATTGTGGGCAAATTCATCACAATAGGAAATGGAGCTAATTTTCCCAAAGCGGATACAGAGCGGCTAATTAGCCCAGTTCTATGTCTGGCAAGATCCCGATCGTTCCGATGTGGATTTGGGAACTCGGGCAGAAACCCCAGGGCCTGTCCCATCACGATTACACAGATCATCAGCGAGCCATTGGCGGCCAGAGTTCCTTCAACATTAACTGCTACACGACTTCAGAGTTAGCGTGCTTCTCGAGATTATCGAGGTATATACACCACTTGGTTGCCGTGGTTGTTGAAACAGGCAGAGTAGGTAGTTCGGGGGTTTTGCTGTCATCGGCACCGGAAGTACACCTAAAGATGCCCGACCAAGCAAGGCTGTTAGCCGTCGAGCCGTCCCTTCCCTTCGCACGTTCATCGAGCAGGCGGCCAAGACCAAGCAAGCAGACGAGGCGGGCTGCAAGCATTAGCGTCGACAGGGAGCCCCGCGCAGATCCCTGGGCCATCTTGGATGTCCCGGGCTCCTTCCCGCGTTATTGGCCAAAGCTCTCACCATTAGCGCACAGCATCCCTGTCGCCAACCCTGCTGATCTTGATGCACGAACCAATCTGGGGCTGGCTTCCGCCTCTCGGGCCGCATGCTCATATGCACGAGCCATGAGTCGTCACACTAGTCGGCCGCGCTTGCTCGAATCATCGTTCGACAACCACACTTGCTCGCACAAACCCAAAATCTTCCGCGCAACCACATCTTCATGTTCCCATCCAAAGTCCCACGCCCCATGGCTACGCTACGTCGTTACTTAAACTCTTCAGGCGTCTTGGGTGGCATCCTAGGTACCTTGAGTAACACGACACCACAAACTGATACCTCTGCCATATCAGCCCACGTTTACGATACATGCTCTCTCGCGCAAGAGTGTGCCGAAACTCAAGGTACTGGCCGCTCTGTCTTACTGTGGTACAATGAGTGCCACAGCTCTGCAACGGGATCAAAGGCCAGGCCTGCTCCAGTTGAGACCCCAGCCAAGCCACGTCGACACGAGTGCAGCTTTCAGCGACTGGCTGGTGAGGCGACCAATCCGAACTCGACCGCATGAAGTGCCCTAATGATTTGCGAGCTGTTGAGATTGGGCATTTCTCCTAGCTATCGAAAGGGAAAGCCGATGTCGCCTCCGGTTTGCCGATACACTACAAGTTGCCCAAGCTATTGCCTGGGGTTAGCAAATCCCTCACACTGGGACCCTTGCCCCCTTTTCCTCTTTATCCCCTCGCTGATCCATTCCTGGTTGCCATCCGATGGGAAATTATGAGATCGCAGACTTGTGTCATTGAGCAGGCCACGAACATGACAAGCATTGACTGCTGTACTGTATTGATGAGGCGCAAATCCGCCTGAGTGCCGCCCGTTGGCCTTGCACACTTGGGCCATCTGGGGAAGACGGCGATTACGGCATCATGCCCATTGCCTGGTCCAGCCTTCACGTTTGACGGATACTGTATGCGGCACAGTTGGCCCAATGTGGATGTACAGATGTCGATGGGTCTAGAGTACTAGGGGAGAGGTTGCAGGGTAACACACACTATTAGTTCGAACCCATTGGACGGCTGGCACACACACTCGGCCTCGAGCATCTGGTCTGGGCTTCTTTCGGTCCCGGAAAGTTTTCTGGTCACCAACGGTCCTGTGCACCCATACTCTTCTCGCAAGATTGAGGACGGCGACAAAAGGGAGCTTGTCTCTTGGACTGCGACTCCAATCTCGCTCATCTAAGGTCTCTCGACTTCGGAGTCGGGACTGAGCTGGTCTTGCCGATCCGCACCCTAGCCTGCCTTAAATGTTGGAAAAGAACCGGGCAGGGCTTCCCAAAGCGAGTTCATGTTGAGTTAGGCACGACAACTGCTGTTGGCAGCGTCGAGGGCTCTCCATGTACTACAGTACCCTGCAGCCGGGCTGACCCCCGTACCAATGAAGATTCGGCCGTGGCACACCTGGACATGCATGAGTTGCCTGTTCAATCGCTCGACTGGCCCATACCCCTGCAGCCACTTCGCGGCCGACGCGGAGAAAGTCTGCCCACCTCTCTGGACCCCATGTCACAGTCCAGGGTGACTCCTACTCGGTGGGGTTCATGTTGGTGTTCCCTTCCGAAGAGGGAGGTGCCGAATGGCCGTCCTCCATTGACTAGCCCATGATAGCGTCTACCCTTGACCCCGGTTCTCAGTGTGAGCACCCACGCCATGCAGAGGGTGACCGGCCACCTTGAGAGAGCCACACGGAAGCACATGCAGGCACTATCGGATAAGTGGGCAAATACCACGAAATGGGCCAAAAAAAGGAAAAGCGGTCATTTTGCCCACAATGTTCAAAAATAGAACACAGCAAATCTCTGCAAACTGGTGGGCTGGGAGCTCACCAAGCTGGCCAGATATAAGGATATTTGCCCACTTTCTTCCCCTCGGCCCAAATGTTTCGATGTCCTCGAGCAGGAAAGAAACGAAGTTGGAGATCCCAGGTGTCGTCCAGTCAACAGACTTTCTTTCCCTCTCCCTCTCTTTTAATTACTAGTTGCTCGCCGTCCAACAAATCGATTTGACTCGGCAGCATTTGTCATTTCCCTACTATTTCAGATTCCAGGACGCAAGCCGGACTTGCTCGGATCCAGTCATTCATTCGCGAACCTCATATAATAATCTAATAGTCCAGACGACGATTTGAGTTCTTGAGGAGTGCTTGGAGGGTTTGACCTCGGGATCCAAGGACAGATCCCCCCCCTACCCCGACTCGATCTCCGCCCCCCGGCTTCTGGACCTTGACCGGCAAGGGTCTCACCTCCCGCTTGTGCTCGGCTCAGATTACTCGGGCCACACCCCTGCCCCTGAACACACACCCCTCTCAAGGAGGCAACTCAGGTACCCGGAAGGTACAAATGTCAACAATATCCCCCAGCCACCAAGAAGGCCACAGGAGAGCATCGCAAGTCAACATGGCTGCTACTGCGACAACAACAGCGACGACGACGACAAAGGCCAAGCCGGTCTCCAAGGCTGGTGCCAATGGCACCCCCAAGCAGAAGACACAGATGCATCGCCGTTCCAGGACAGGTTCGTCCCTCCAGGCACAGCTGATTGCCGGATGTGGAAGCTAACCTTGGTGGTAATATAGGATGCTACACATGCAGGTTAAGGAGGAAAAAGTGCGATGAGGGCTCACCCATGTGCACGGCTTGCAAGCATCTCGGCCTAGTATGCGAATACAAGCGGCCGATGTGGTGGAGCAACAATGATGCGCGGAGGAAGCACAAGGACGAAATCAAGATGATCATCAAGCGTAAGAAGCTGTCAGAGAAGCCGACGCATACGATCCAAACTTCGATTGGGTCACCGCCAGGCCTTTCGCATTCCCTCCCAACCTCTGCAACCTTCTCCGATCCCCTCGACCGCGCGCGATCAGCCTCGATCGACTCGCACTTTGGCTTCAACTTCAACAGCCCGCAAAGTTCGCATGAATTCGGCCCATTTACACCGCAGATGCACCCCGAGTTCATGTTCTCGCCTTTTTCACCTTACGAGATCGATGTCAGGACTGAAAGGCAGATGTTTATCAACGACATTCCGACTTTGAAGGAATCCACAACGTCCACCTTCAGCACATACCAGACCCCTCCGCCGCCGGGCGTCATCCTATCACAATTCCCTCTGGAAGGCGAATGGACGGAGCAGGTATACTCGGAGCGGCGGGAGTCGCTAACTGAAGAGACGCTCAACGTCAACTTTTTCGATTTCTCCAACGGGCCGTCGACAAGCTCAAGGCAAGTCGCAATAGAGCTTGACGAGGGCGATCAACGGTTGCTTGATCACTTCATTCAATTCGTGCTTCCCACCATCTTCCCTATCCTGGAGTCCAATCAGCGCGGGTCGGTAAGCTCCGATCTCATCCTGCCGGCACTGCAGAACAACAAGGGCTACCTCCACTGCTGCTTGAGCATCGCTGCTCAGCACTACAAGGCAACAACGGGCCTGCAGGGCGACGAGATTGATGGGGACATCATGCGACACCGGTACGCGACCATCTCGGCGCTGTGCGACGCGCTCAACCGGGACGAGAACCATCAACAGATCCTAGAAGCTGCCCTCGGCCTCATCTTCTTCCAGTGCTGCGTCGGCCGCTTTGACGACTCGCTTCCCGACATCCCCTGGCACCAGCACTTTCAGGCCGCCATTTCGCTTGTCCAAAAGCTCGACCTTCCCCGGATCGTGTCGGACCCCAACGAGCCGCTCACTCAAGCGCCCTTCAACATGACCCTCACTGCGTGGATTGACATTCTGGGCGCGACGATGCAAGGCCGCGCGCCGACATTTGCGCACACGTACCGGGAAAAGCACCTGTCCCAAACCAACCCGTCGCTCGGCCTTCGCGAGCTAATGGGGTGCGAGGACCGCGTCATGTATCTCATCTCGGAGATTGCCTGCCTCGAGGCGCTGAAGAAGGACGGCATGGACGACATCACGCTGTGCCAGCATGTCCACGTGTTGGGCGACCAGATTGGCCTGACCGAGATGAGCGAGGGCGCGGCCACCCCCGTGCTGCCCTTCAACGCCAACGGCTCGCTCAGCCCCAAGCAGTTGAGCAAGAACATAACGGCCGCCTTCCGCCTCGCCGCCCGCATCTACCTCTGCAGCCTCGTCCCGGGCTTTTCCCCCGCCCAGGCGAGCTGCGTCGGCCTGGTTGAGAAGCTCGTCGCCGTTCTGCATACAATCCCCTCCGGCCCGGCGGGCTTTGACCGCTCGCTGTCGTGGGTTTACCTTGTGGGCGGCAGCGTGAGCGTGGCAGGGAGCTCGTTCCGTGCCTTCTTTGAGGACCGCGTAGCGCAGCTGGGCGACCTGGCGAACTTTGGGAGCTTTGGGCGGGTCGCGTGCCTGCTGAGAGAGGTCTGGCTGCAGCTCGATTCGCAGGCCGTGTCTTCATCGTCGTCTCCTCAGGACGGGGAGGCTCCACGGCAGCCGCAGCCGCAGCAGCAGTACATCCACTGGCGGGATGTCATGCAGATGAAAGGCTGGGATTACTTGCTCATCTGATTGCATGCACTGTTTCTGCCGTGGCTGGAATGGCCTCCCCTCTTATTCTGCCTCACAGCTTGAAGGCCTCTTCTGTTCTCCTTGGGCTTTTTTTACCCTTCTACTTTGAACACTTCGGCTGCGTGCCCATTTAGAGGCTGCCGCGAGGCAATTGAGCGACTCGTTTGGGGAGGGAGAGGAGGATGGGATCTGACTCTGGATGACACTGGACGTTGTTGGCAGTTGGGTTGACGAAGGAATGGGCCTGACAGGAGTATTGGACTCGCCGGTTACCTCTAATCATTCTTTACCTCTCTCCCTTTTCCCTACATTTTCCTATTAACATCTGGCGTCTCCCTAGTATATTATACAGGGTCGAGAGTCATGCATAATCTTGGAGTTGGGTTGGCGGGCGCAATGGGATACCACGGGAATCTTTTAACTTGGTCTTGGATTTGAAAATCAGGACATGGCGGAGGCAGGTTTGGTCGCGGGATGGTATGGAGGGTGGGAAAGCGACCTATGTGAGGAACAGTACGGGGACTGTAAAGTAGCTCATGGTTTACACCAGAATTAGCCCGGTGAAGGGCTAAGGGCAAAAGAATGATAAGGACTTTGATCCAATCTTGTGTCCGCTCCGACTCGTCTCTTGTTGTTATTTGAAGTGGCTTATAACTACGAGGGGGCAGTCCCCGGTGCCTGCTTGACGGTCAGGTTGATCTGAGATCTGCCCAGGTCAGGCAAGGGGTTGTTACCTAGTCTTACCATGCCCTTCTCATTAGCACTTTTCCCCAAGTTCTTGCATCGTGAAGACATGCTGAACCTATGAACTTATGTCCTGCAACCTCAGCATCGCATTCCCAAAGAAACCTACTTAGCAGCTTGAGTAGCACAGTGTTGTTGGTGTTTGGGAAGAGGTATTGACACCCCATGAAGTAGGTTCTGAAAGGGTACCAGTCAGAGACAAACAAGTTACAGCTCAGGAAATCTCTTTGTATGCTTGGTATGTTTGACCACCATGTGATTGATATCCGCTTTTCGGTGTGAGGATATGTATAATGGCATTTCAAGGCAAGTCTGCTCTTGCATCGGAGCGCACTGGGTTTGCTCTTCTTCAAAGGGCAAGCAGCATTGCAAACATCCTGTGCAAGGCTTTTGTATCTTCACAAGGAAGGGTGTTGGATGTTTGGTGACGTCTAATGGGCAGAAGATGCTATTCATATCCTGATCATTGTCCGCGACCTGGTTTGGGACTGCTTTGTGGAGTTTACAACTCATACCACACCTTATCTTGGTACATAGGGTTTAATAATGTCTTTGTTTCTTCATTGAGGCCTGTAACTGACCAGGCTGAGGATGGAGAGGACTGTTTCGGCTAAGGTGTGAAACAATCAGCCTTGTGGCCTCAGGGTTGAGCCATGGATTTGGGTTTTGACGGTCGGATAGCTGGCCGGCCGGATCAGTGGATTGTCCAAGCCGACCTTCAGTTTCTGTCCTACTGTACAGGTAGGATGATGGGCTCACTTTGGAATCTGATATGCTTTGATGAATCCGATTGCCGGCTGAGTCAATCGCAAGTAGTAGGATGCCGACGCCCGTGGAGTGTGCGCTTGGAGTTTGCCGTCCACACAACCTAACAGCGCAGAGTCAATGAACGGCATTGAGAGCGGCTAATCAGTTGTACAGCCACGCTGGTGACGATGGGAATGACAAGCTGATGCCCAAATGGGCTGCTTTTGTACTTTGTCGATCATATGAGACCAGTTATCAGGAGAAGCGCTGCGGGTTGAAGATCGCTGACCGAGTTGCAACGAAGCTCAAGTGCCGAAAGCAAGCGCTGTCCTCCACTGCAGCGCTTCACCTAAAGTTACAGCCACCAGCGGCAAGAGAAGGCAGAGCTGGGTGCAAATGATGCGAAAGATGCATGGACCACTTGGGTCTTGGCTGGCCAATTCCATCCAACCGCTGCGTTTAAAATAGCATTGGCTGCCCTGGTCGACAAAAGCGGGCCAATCATGTGTGCGGTCGCGGCCTGGCGCGGCTCCTGCCCAAACCTCCAATCTGAAAGAGGTTCGTTACTCACCACTCGTGCCGCTTCAAAGTCACCTGCTGCTCCAAAGAGGGCCATCGGCGCCTCACATCGTCCTCTCATCTATCGGGGACCGGGATTCCCTTCAAACGACGCACTGCCTCAATCTGCGATTTGGCTCCCAGTTTCTTGCTTGGGCTTTTCGGCCCAAGAACAAATGCTCAATTGTGGCCCGCTTTGGCATCGAGAAATTGCCCAACCACGCACACTTCAAGCCCGTGAAAACTGATGCCCAGGCCGTCGGACCAAGCTTCGCACCATCGTGGAGTCATGGAGTCTTCGGCAAGGGCCCGAGACCATGCGGCGGCCAGAGCTTCTTTCCGGAGTTTCCACCGCGGATGGTCGGTTGGACATGGTTGTCTCTTCCTGGCCAGCCCTGAGACCCTGCTTCTCGTTTCCTAGAAGAAACGATCGCGAGGATGCGTCATCTCTCCCATAGCTAGGATGCGACGGCCAGTGGCTGTCATGTTCCGATATACCCCAAGCATTCCCCCCCTGTCTTTGCTTCGGTCTCTTCTTTTCTCTTGCTACACTCATGCCACGCTTCCTTTGCAAGCAACAACAAGGTCGTGCCTTGTGTGAAAGAGCTGTCCTCTCCTCTCGTCCTGTTCTCCAACCCAGTGTCTCTTTATGCTTGAACTGCAAGGACCAACTCAAGGGCCCACTGCTTTTTTGAACAGCTAGCCCACGACGCCGAGATATCTACAAGAACCACTGCTCCTGCCTGATCCAATCCGACTACTACATATTAACAACCTGGACGCGGTGAAAAGAGACATCCAAAATGCCGAGGCGAAGGCTAGGACTTCGAGCAGCTTCACTTGCTGTCATGTGTGCAGCCGCATCAGCGATACCGATGAACGACTTGTTCGCGCGCCAATCAAGCTGCGCGGCGAATTTCAACAAGTGCAGGGAAGCTGACTTTCCTGACAACTTTTGCTGTCCCTCGGGACAGAACTGTATTCCTCTAGCCGCCAACACAACGATTCTGTGCTGTCCGAACGGGTCCGACTGTTCAGCCATCGAGCCACTGCCATGCAACGTTGACCTTCAAGATGCCTCGAAGCATCCAGAGGCGGTGGTCAAGACAACCGCCCTCGGAGCCACCATGGCACGATGCGGCAGTTCTTGCTGTCCATTCGGCTACTCATGTAGGAACAACAAAGAATGCGTCAAGAATGCGGACCAGAAGGCTGCCCCCTTGGAGACGACCAGGCCAGGACAAATCAGCACCACCAGAACTACGACAAGCACAACTTCAAGCACAACTTTGAGCACGACAGCAAGCACAGCAACAAGTGCTACTAGCTCGACTGAGACCGCGAGCACAACCGACACGGCAGAGGCCTCTACGGAAGCGAATGGCACAAACAGCGGCCCCCCAATCGCTGCCATTGCTGGTGGTGCCATTGCTGGAGCCATTGTCCTCATCATCGCCATCGTGGTAGCCATTATTTTCCTCAAAAAGAAGAAGGCGAGCGAGGCCGGAAGCCCTCCCAAGCTATCACGCTCAACATCGTCCTTTGGCAACTTCATTAGTGGTCCCATCATGGCAGAGAACGCGACGATGCGGGCCGACTTTGCTCGAGCTCCAGGCACGCGCGATCTCGACGGTGATCCTGGCTCCGTCACGGCGGATCTCATTGCGGATACCATGAGCACTCCGGAGTCAAGGGGTATGCCCGCAGTCCCACCTGCTGCAGCCCACGGGGCGGTGCGGCAGAGCAGCGTCGCCTACGGGTACGGTGCACTTATTGACCCGTCGCCCTTTGCCGACACGTCCTACGGGGACTACAACAGCGGCGGGCTCATGCCGCAGACGCCCCAACGGAATCGAGAGCCAAGCTCGGTGAGCATCAACGTGTTCGCCGACCCAAACATCACGCCTGATCGGTCACCCGAGAGCAACATGGGCCGGCGCTATAGCGACGCGACGACTTTTACGCAGATGCTCGATCGCGCCGATCTCGGCGGTGTCGCGCGCGGCGAGTCGTATGTGCCCTACGACCAGGATGGCGGGCATCCTCCGATGCCGAGAAGGTGATATTACCACGCTCTCTACTCTTTTCATTTCCCATTCGCATTTGATACCACACATATACCGGCGGCATTTTCGAAAGGCAAGGCGTTGGCTCGGTTATACATTAGTCTGTTCAGGATAAACATCATTCAACGTCATTTCTTGGGTACCAGCATCGCCTATCGTCTGCAGGTTTACGGGAAAGGAGGGATATGGAGAGCAATAGATCGGAATTATACCCTCGCATAGACTGCGAACCGTTGTACCTTCAGATGTATCTATTGAGCATAATTATCCATCAATACCCCTTAACCATCCTCTCTACTCTTTCTGCTCCAATGAAGTGACTATCAATCCAGGGCAGAAAACATGCCGATGACCCTCTCATTCCCGCCACATTGGGGACCGCGAAAAAGCACATGTCAGTAGTGTTAGCTGTTTGGGCAAGGACATGGCAGGTATGAATCAAATGTCGTAGTTCCCGCAACAGCCGAACGGGCCAGAGGCAGGGATGGCAGAAAGCTCACAGACTATTTGCATAGCATGGACTCAGTCATGGGCCAACATAGATACACGGCCGTTATATTCTTATGCATATCCGATTGATCGATCTCAAATCGAACCACCTGCACCCATGCACCTATCCCAACCCAACGCCAAACCCTCCCTTTTATAGCTTCTTTTTCCCCACCATGACAGCCGCCGCTGCCTTCTTCTCCAGCGCCTCCCTATCCAGCTTGGCAAGGTCATCGGCATCCTTGCGCTCCGCATACCACTGGCCGGCCTGGAGCACCAGAATCCCGACCAGCACCAGGGCGAGAATAACATGGCTGGCGCTCAGCACGCGCAAGCTGTCCTCACGGCTGAGGACCACCTCGCCTGAGAAGGGACCCTCATGGATAACGGTCCCTTCCGCCGAGGCCGCCGCCGCCCTCATCCCACCGTCACCATCCAGCCCGGCTAGCCCGCCGGGCCGGCTGACAGCGCGCAGGCCCTTGACAATGTTGCTGATGTAGACTCCCGCGCCAATGACGTACATGATGAGCGAGCCGCCGTCGAACAGCACGTTGGCCTCGCTGGGGCGGAACAGCTTGATGAAGAGGCCGAGGAAGCAGACAAACATGATGATGTGCAGCATGCGCGCGATGAGCGGCGGCGACTGGTGCGTGAAGCGCAGGTGGGTTTCGAGGTGGTCGAGGAACGACGGCGGGATCGGGTCGGATGTCCAGAGGAGGGGGAAGTCGTAGGGAAAGGAGGCGAAGAGGATGCCGAGGAAGAAACATACCGCTGGTGGGTGGGTAGGTAGGCGGGTTTGTTAGCTTGGAGAGAGGGAGGAAGGGGGGATGTGACGGGGGTGAGCGTACGCCCGATAATTAGAAAGGTCGCAAAGGAGCCGCTGCCGCGGTAGTCCGTCGATCGCGTCGTTTTGGACCAGTCTACCCACCGTGTGGGCATCGTTCTTTTCTCTTATCCGCCAAAGTTTGCGGATATACTGGAGGTGTTGCTTTGGGCGCGGCAGATGCTGTATCAAGACCCGGGATGGTGTAGCTGCTAGAGTGTATAACCAGCGACGGGATGTGCTGAGGCGTGCGATGGACTTCTGGTGAATTGATATAGTGTGCAAGCGTATGCCTACTGAGACTCGTTCTCAGGGTGCCGTGTGCCAGACTGAGCAGGACTTTAGGTTGATTACGTAGCGTCCCTGGAGCGAGACAAGTGATGCTTGCGGGATGCGCCAGCCAAACGGAGATTTCCAAGCCTATTACCGTAATCACCCAACGTTACGGGTAATAACAGGGACCCGAGTGTCTGGGCGCGGCTTGGCAAGACAGTGCATCAGATTGTTGACGTCGAACCTTCCCATCTCAACTTGAAGCCTACGAACTACCGGTACACTGCTGCATTGTAGAGGGTATCGCCGCACATTGGTTCATTCAACACCTGGTGAATGACTCGAAGAACCAAATCGATTAGTATAACCTCCTCTCAACGCCTATCTTATATACCTGTCGGTTCTATTTCCTGCTTATCGAACATTTTCCATCGGGCACGTCTTGCTAACTCAGGTTCACTCGGTGCTTGTATCCAACGCCTCCATCCCATGTGCGTGATACCTGGTCCCCATGGGACGGAACTTTGACAGAATGCCATCAAGCTCGGCCATGTCCTCCTCGGTCAACTCAATCTCGACCGCATTCTCCCTTACCCGCTCCGGGCTCGACGCGCCGGGGATGGGGATGATCTTGGGCATTCCCGGCCGCCTCGACAATGCCAGCACCCAGTTGATGGCGATCTGAGCTGGCGTGCATCCTTTCTTGGCAGCCATGGCCTCGACATGGTTGACGAGTTCCAGGTTGTGCTTCAGCATTTCCGGCTGGAAGCGCGGGAGCATGCGTCGAAAGTCTCCCTCGGGGATGTCATCCAGGGACTTGATCTTGCCAGTCAAGGCTCCCCTGCCAAGGGGCGCTGTCGAGCATCAGCATAATTGAGAATGGCCTGGAAGGTAATGTGGGTTCTTACAGTATGCGAGGATGGGAATGTCGAGCTCAGCACAGGCTTTGGCCACACCGTTCTCCAACGGCTCAGTGCACCACAGTGAGAGCTCAACCTCGACTGACTCAACCTTGGCCACCTTTGCGGCTCGGCGGATGGTCGCAGCACTGACTTCGCTCAACGAGATGCCTCTAATGTTACCCGCGTCGACCTGCTCCTTCAGGGCCGCTATGGTGGTTTCAATGTCAACATTCTTGTCCTTGCGCGCCGGCTCGAATTGGTTGATGCGGCCCTTGCCGCCGATCATGCGGACGCAATTCTCAACGCTGGCCTTGACGCCGGCAGGTGAGGCGTTGGTGACGAAGTTCTCGCCGACACAGCCTTTGATATTGAGCACAATCCTGCCCTTGTCCTCGGGGTACTTTTCATAGTACTTGTTGAGGAGGGTTAGAGAATTGTTGTCGGGCGGGCCATAGAACTCGCCGCCATTCATGTAGTTGCAGCCGCTTTCGAGGGCGGCCTTGATCGCCTTGAAGCATTCCTCATCGGGGAGTTTGTTGGGTCGCCAGGTCAAGCCTGTGAGATCTATGTTAGCCTGCCCGTCAAGGTCAGGTGTACATAGGGGGTTACGGTACCCATAAGGCCGTAGCCAATGTTTCCCACCTGCTTTCCTTGGATCGTGTGGCCCATGGTTTTCGTGGTCGCTAAGTTGATTGATGAACGGCAGTACTATAAGACCAAGGTATTGTGCTTGCGGGATGTTGGATGGAGTTTCTAGCTTAAGCGGTTGTGCTGGAGCGACGCTACTTTACCTATTTAAATAGTGGTGAGGTAATGAGGCTATCCGTAGATCCAACCGGAGATTGACGGAGTTTACGAAGTAGTAGCCTTTGGTATTTGCGGATTTACTCTCCTACATTACCTCCGTCTTTGCCTTTTATTTCTCATGGAAGACTTCACGCTCCACGACTCCGCCGAAGTTTCGGCAGAGATCCACGCATGTCAGTTCTGTCGGTCTGTCCGGGTATGTACAGTTTGCTGGTGTGGGCAGGGGAGGGGTTCGCTGCCGGGCCCAGCCCGCATGTTCAATGCCCCGCCTCACTTTCTGCCTCTCCACGACGGCAGTCTATCCCGTCACAATCTCATATGTACAAGGTTTTGGGAAACATCACATTAGAAGGGTCCCGTGCATTGCCGCATAGCGCTCTCTCACATGTAGAGAGAAGCAGGCTTACCTAAAGTCGGTGCGGCAGCATTGGATGTCAATAAACAGGGCAAGTCCAGCTTTATATTGGATACTAAGGTCCCTATCACAGTTGGCCGATCAGCTCTCTTTTCGCGTATCGTTATCAGTAACGTACAGTACTGTTGTGGCTGCGTAATGACGCAACTAGCACAGCATCCCCACTGAAAGCAAGCCCTATCCGATGCGCTGGGAGATAACCCCAAGCTTCTGGAGAGCTTGCCCAACAAGGACAGAAGGATTCAACTGTAATCCCTGACTGGCGAGAGGTCTCTGAGCGTATTTCATTATCTGCCACCTCCCTACACGTAGTCGGGCTCAAGACGACCCTTCAACCTTGAATAAATGCATTCTCTCAGAATTGACCGAAGTCGCAATTCACAAGGGCTCTGTCGCCATTCGATAATATGGAAGACGTGACGCGCCCGCGGTTGTAACGTCACTTGGCTTGCTTCTTTGTCAATCTCCCCCTCTCAGAAACATAACTGCGTACATACATATACCATGGCCCAGAATTCCACGACGTCTGTGTCAGTCTCACCGGATCCTGCCCTGCAGAGGAGGAAGTCGTCCCAGCAGCGCATTCAGGATATTTTAGAGGTCAGTAAGTCATTTCAAACTTTCCCGCTGAGACAATGTTACGCTGGCCGTTGGCCAAGACTTGTCCCTGTCCATTCTGCATCTGCTTTGCCACATCGCGATCCCGCCGGTCACCACAGCGCGTCTGGCCCTTCAAACATGCCTAAGTAGCTGCGCGTCGCGATCTCCACGATGGATCGAATGCCTAAAGCGATATATGACGCCTTGGCCAACCTCTTCTCCGAGCGAAATGTCCGTATTCTGCCCGCCACCCAGATTCTGACGTGATGCGCCTCGGTCCCCTTGATCCCCTGCCCAGCGCTTTGCTTAACAAGAAGCTGACATGGAGACGCGAAAAAGGGCGCCCGCGAACGAGCCGAGACGCTCTCGCCAAGGTTACAGCCACTTCTTGGAGGAGACGGGCCCCGCGGACCCAGCTACCTTGCGGGTCTGACTTCAGACCCCGAAGAGGTTGGCGCCGGCGATGACGGCGGGCGGGGCGTGGTGACTGCGCCGCCGCAGCGGCAGTCCAGCATCAGCTTTGAGGGTTCGGCCCAGGATGGTTCCACAGCCCGCAGGAGGCCGGGCCCGAGCAAGAAACCCTCTAGCGCCCAGGAACGAGGGCGGTCGTTAGCCCAAGGGGACAGCAGTAATGAAGATGGCAGTGCGAGGAGGCGGTCTGGTGCGCGCGAAGAAGAGCGGTGGTGGAGAAAGTCGCTACGATACTTCCAAAGCATTGAGCTTGAGAACAAGGGGAGTGTTGCGCGGGACCATTTGGCGCTGGGTGAGCATATTTCCTCGATGTTGCTCGAGCAGCGAAAGAGGGGGCTAACCCGCTGTTTTTGCAGAGCGAACGTTCCTCGCATGGCTCCGTACCTCGCTCGCATTTGCCTCGATCGGCATCGCCATCACGCAGCTCTTCCGGCTCAACACGTCGCTGGCGGACGACAGCAGGCAGGCCGAGTCATTGCGGCATCTGGGAAAGCCGCTCGGGTCGACGTTCTTGGCCATCAGCATATTGATTTTGCTACTGGGGTATAATCGGTATCTTCAGTCACAGCACTGGGTGATAAGGGGCAAATTCCCCGCGAGCCGGGGCACCATCATGCTGGTAGCCTTCATCGCGTTTGCGGTGACAGTAGCGTCGTTGATTGTTGTGCTGGCTGTGCAGAATGAGTCGGTAAAGTAAGCTTTAACGTTTGATGAGAATGGAGTTTGGAGATTTTTTCGCCGGCCTGGCGTCCGTGTCTAGATACAGCATAGCATAGCAATCAGAGCAGTGTCTCATGGCAAGTGTTGATGCAGGTATTGTGGAACTTGAGTTGCCCATTCACGACCGGCCGAAAACCAACCTCGAGTGATAAATTTCAATAACTCAACGGCGAAAAAGCCCATGGCCAAGTCGAAAGTCAAAGAAGCTCTTGCCAACCCCCCCGAGTCTCGAATAATCCGAATTCTGTATCAAAACTCCAAGTCTAAGCAACACAGCCAACTGCTACAAACAATCTGACCAAAGGGCGCCCTAAGCTTCCATCCTTCAACCAAAGACCTAGATCCACCAAGCCGCACCATCGACCACCTACCTCAAGGCTATATACTGTGCATACTGAACTACAGTAGTACACTTCCCAATTTGAGACCCAACCCCTAAACCACCCCATTCCGAACAAAACAACACATCAAAAGAAAGAAAAAATGTCACCACCACAACCAAGCACCAGCATCATCCCCGACTTCGCCACAACCCAACTCTCCCTCCTCGCAGCGGAGCTCGCAGCCGAGATCGAGGAATCCACCGTCCTGCAAGCCGTCCACTCCCCCGCGGCGCTGCAGCGCGCGGGCGTGGCGCTGGCCAACCTGACTGTCGTCGCGCAGCGCACGGGTCTCGGCGGCAAGACCGTTTTTGAATTGGGCCGGGACCCGGCTACGGCTAGTACTAGCAGTAGTAATGACGGTGAAAATGAGAAGGGCGGCAATGGAGGGGAGCTGCTCCTCCCTGAGCATGGTATCCGGGTGGGGGATATTGTGCTTATTAGGGAGTATTCTGGTTCTGGGGGTGGAGGTGGAGGTGGGGGGAAGGGGAAGGGGAAGGGGAAAGGGAAGGGGGTGGATAAGGACGGAGAGAGGGGTGGTGCGGTGAAGGGGGTGGTTACCCGCGTTGCTAGGGGGTTTGTTGCGGTGGCGGTGGAGGAGAGGGATGGTGGGGAGGATGTCGGTGAGGTTCGAGAGGGAGAAAGGGTGTGGATTGTCAAGGTGGCGGATGATGTTACCTTTCGAAGGTGAGGGTTTGGTCAAATGGTGGGTAGATAAAGGGGCATTGGCTGACGATTGGCAGGATGAATGCTACGATGGAGAAGCTGGCCAAGATGTCCGAGCAGGAATACTCTGTTTTCATAAGGGTGCTGTTTGGGTTGTCGTCGCCGTCACCTGTTCCGCCGGATCTGGAAAAGGATCCGGAGGTGGGCGAGATTGACTGGGTTGACCCGACGCTGAACGAGAGCCAGAAGGACGCGATCCGCTTTGCGCTGGCTTCCAGGGAGATTGCGCTTATCCATGGTCCGCCGGGGGTGAGCACCTCCGTTGAAGCCTGGGAGTTTGGAGGCTGATGGTACGGCAGACAGGCAAGACGCACACGCTGATAGAGCTCATCCTGCAAATGCTCAAACGCAATCTCCGCGTCCTCGTCTGCGGCCCGTCCAACATCTCCGTTGACAACATCGTCGAGCGCCTAGCCCCGCACAAGGTGCCCCTGGTCCGACTGGGCCATCCGGCTCGTCTTCTACCATCGGTGCTGAACCACTCCCTTGACGTGCTCACGCGGACCTCGGAGGCAGGAGCTATTGTTAAGGACGTGCGCGCCGAGCTGGATGCCAAGCAAGCGTCGATCCGCAAGACGCGCAACGGCAGGGAGCGCAGGGCTATCTATGCCGATCTCAAGGAGCTGCGGAAGGAGTATCGCGAGCGGGAGCGCAAATGCGTCAGCAACTTGGTGCAAGGCAGTAAAGTAGTGCTCGCAACGCTACATGGTGCGGGAGGTTTCCAGTTGCGCGACGAGAAGTTTGATGTCGTCATCATCGACGAGGCCAGCCAAGCGCTCGAGGCGCAATGTTGGGTACCGCTACTGTCAGCCAACAAGGCCGTCTGTGTTGGAGACCATCTGCAGCTTCCGCCTACGATCAAGTCGCTCAACTCCAAGAGCAAGGCTAAGCTAAAAGGAGAGGATGGCAATGTGCCTGCAGTGAAAGGGGCTACGCTCGAGACAACGCTGTTTGACCGCCTGCTCGCGCTACATGGCTCGTCCATAAAGAGGATGCTCACAACGCAGTACCGCATGCACGAGAAAATCATGCGGTTCCCGTCCGACGAGCTCTACGAGGGGAAACTGGTCGCGGCAGAGGGAGTCAAAGCCAGACTGCTAAAGGATCTGCCCTACGAGGTGGAAGACACTGACGATACCAGCGAGCCGCTCATTTTCATCGACACGCAAGGCGGCGACTTCCCAGAAAAGAACGAGGACGAGCAGGAAGCAGGCAAGAAGAAACTGACAAAGAGTAGTCTATATGGCGAAAGCAAGAGCAACGATATGGAGGCGGCTCTGGTGCGGCAACACGTGCGGAGCTTGGTCGAAGCTGGGGTCAAACCGGAGGACATCGCGGTGGTGACGCCGTATAATGCACAGGTATGTAAGGCCACTCTGCAAGGATCGCCCGCGAGTATGCATGACATTTGCCTCGGGGTCCGGGTCTTGGTGCTCATGCCGTGTGGCGGCGAGTCCCGTGCCGAGCTTTTGGCATGACATGGAACTGACTCAACTTGGGACGAACCAAGCTTGGGATCCTTGCCCCGCTAAAGGAGTCCTTCCCGGGCATTGAGCTCGGAAGCGTGGACGGCTTCCAGGGCCGAGAGAAGGAGGCCGTGATCGTCAGCCTCGTCCGAAGCAACCCCGAAGGCGAAGTCGGATTTCTAGGGGAGAAGCGGCGGCTCAATGGTGAGTTAATACAAATTTCGGCGGGTAATAATGCGCGGTGGTATTTCTCTACGTTCCAACTGCCCGAGCCGGTTGCCGTTGCATTCGGGATTGGGGAGAGATGGGGTGTTAATGCTGAGGTCTTTAGTTGCAATGACGAGGCCCAAACGATCGCTGACAGTTATTGGCGACTCGGAAACGGTAAAAAAGTGAGCTTCCCTTTCAAAGCTGTAGCCCCTTCCGACTCTACTAAACTGATATAAACCGTGATACACACAGAGGCAGCAAGTTTCTCAAAAGGTGGATGGAGTTCCTTGAAGAGAATGCCGACCTCCGGTATCCGGATGTGTCCACGCTCGCTCAGGAAGCATGAATAATGTGGGCAGCCAATTCATCCCATGTTCATGCATCCGGCCCGGAATGTACGAAACTCAAATAGAAGCCTTTGATGGAAAGTCAGAAGAAAGCAGTTCGGTTGCCATCTAGCACTGTCCAGTTGAGATGAGATGAGATGAGATCGGATAACTCTTTCCAAGTCCCAGCCGTGATTTGATACCGAGGCAAAGGGATGGCATCTTCCCCACGGATATCTTAGGCGACACTCCGGGAATTGTTATCACCAGCTAGAGGTTGTACCGCCGAAATGCCCGATAGTGTATGCAGTAACGTTAGCATCTTGTGGTTTGTGGCGTGATTGCAGGATTCATAATCGTCCAACAAGAAAGTCGACATATTGGGCCTCAACTGACACTGCGAAGCGAGACGCATGTGGTGTATTCCGTTGCCGGCCTGTTGTACCGGTGGTTATTGGAGTCAGTTGGCATCTTTTTTCGATGTTGAACATTTTGACTTGACAAATGACTCGAGTTCAGATGATTGGAGCGCAGCCTGGGCTCTTGGCATGTTTCAGATGGCCCCGCTGTGGGGTATCTTCGCCAAGAGCGGGGGTCTTGCCTTTTCAACGTTAAGCCCCCTCGGCCCCCTTTCTTCTTCAGCGAGGCTCGACCTGCAACGTCGAGTGCAATCATGAGATTTCTACCTCCGTATGTGATAAACACTTTCACTGCCTCTTTCTTTGTCTTTCAACACGGGAGGCTTAGCTGAGGTTATATATGTAGGTACTGCATCTAGGTATGTATAGGTATGCACATCTAAGATAAAAGAAACAAGACAGGCTTAGCGGGCATGCAGTTTATCGATACCAGTGTATCATCGACCTCGTATCCTCCTCTCAGGAGCATGCATTACACTAGACTACGAAGGTAAAGGTTGTCTTCTGTTGTCCGTGCGCTATTGGTCTTCACTAGAAAGACAAAGGAACAGACGCGAAGGGCTTCCTTTGTCCAGTGACTGCGAGTCTCGGTCAAAACAATAGCCGCGCTTGGATGGTGTGGCTCCAATATTAATTGGACAGCTTGCGAGTGTCAGGCGCATTTATTGTTGCGCGCCGCATGTCAGTATTCCAGGATTCTACCTTAGGCTGTGGCGCGCTCTGCATGCACACTGCGCAGGCTGTCCAGTGCTGGTTGGCAAAGCCGTCCTGTTTCGAGACTGCATATGCAGAGAAACGCAGAACGTGTATCGAAGGCGCATCCCATCACATACACCATACGATATTCATGTTTCATTGCACCGTCGGTGGTATCTGCGTCGTCACAGCGGTGACACTACTACTACTGTATCGACTGGGATTACCTAGTTACATGCCCGCTGCGTATCGTAGTGTATATTGGACGGTGCGGGAGGATCGAACCGACGCTGGGCCGGGCTTCCAGAGGTTTGGGGAAGGGGAGATCATAAAGCAAGACCCCCGACGATAAGATGGCCACGAGTTCTCCGGTTCCGTAGTGGAGATCAAACTCGCTAGCGGGCGCATCACGGGAAGCAAAGGTTTGGAAGCTTTGACCCTTTCATAGTGTTGCATCAGTACACTATCGCAGACCTACCTTAGTTGCCAGGCCAAGGATCAGACGGAATAGGGTCTGATGTTGTCTTTTGAGCTTTTGGTGCTGAGATAATTAGGGGGAAGGGTGCAGGATGGCAGGCTCGATCGAGGTCAATTTTTAGGCTTCCAATCGCCTAACTTGTGCTGTGGAACCCGCCAAGTGTAAAGGCCAACTTTCCCGAAGCCGTTTTCCATTCATTCTCTTACCGGCTCAAGTCTGAAAGTCCACGGGACAAAGTACGTTACCTAACTGCACCGAGATATGGCTCAACAATGCGAGACACTCTCATAAGGCGCTCTGCAATGGCGATGCCGTCGTCTGCCAACAGCAAAAGTGCCTTGCGGCCTTTGCCTCTTGGGGGCCAGGCCATTTTCGGCATGGACAGCCGGGCTTCCAGACTCTTTCTGTCAGGTGTCCGTGGCTTCTGGGAGACATCGCCTACCTGGCACCATTGCAGCCACACCCGGGGCATGGCTGCAAGCACTACAGTGGAACTTCCAGTTCCGCTCGATCCATGGCACAATTCACAAAGGCGGGAGCGAGATATGTATTCGCGATCGACTGACAATTCTACTCTCGCCCCGTTAGACATCTACAGGTGGACAGCATATGATATGTAGCTGGGCAGCAGGAGGCATTCGGGTATATCTCTACTCAAGGTCTCTCTCCCCTCGCTGGCTTGCCCCTGGCGGGAAACACAGACCTTCTGCCAGGAACCCCCAAACACGGTGGACAAGCCAAGCCTCACGCCCCTTCCCCACTCTGCGGCCCTGGGGTGCACCATCGTCATTCTCCCCTCCCTATCACGGTTGCATCAGGCTCGGCCATCCTTGCTCGTGCAGCGCAGGCGAGCAACCCGGGATTGTTCGCTTCTCTCTTCGATGGCGTACAACGGAGGCTGCTGTTGGACATTAATATCCGCCATTGGCGCTGGTTCCGCCGACAATTGTGCTGTTTACTTCTTGGGTGCTGCTAGCCTTGCATCTCTGGCGACTCTGCGCCGACCAACCCGTCGCAGGAGTTGAAGCATGACACGCAGTACTAATCAACGTTAGGACGTGATGCAGCGGGCCAGGGCCCCCTCTCTCTTGCTCACCGGCACCCAGAAATCCTTCCTCGGTGCCACAGCGTTTTGTACATGACTACGAATACATATTGAACGTTATGCGCACAGTATTAGCCGCTGCTTCTCGAACCCGGTCCCGCTCATTGACTGGCCAGACCGGCACCAGCGGAGGAGTTACCCACCTACAAAAACAAGGTCCAACTTGCACGAGACGGAACCACATCGGCGGCCATGTTGAACGAGAATATCATATTTCTCTAGGATCACCCACGCAAGACGAGCCAAAGAAAGGGGCCACGACACCCTGCGCCGCTGGTCATCGACGTTGGCATTAATAGTTAATACCGACTCTGATGGCTCGGAGCGGACGACAGCCTTATCAGTCACTTCTACCCATCCTCTTCCGGCGCCGTTGCCCTGCGTTATAGCAGCATCTCATTCGTTCACATCTGCTTTGCAAGCTGCGCCGATCACCATGCCGAGCATCTTCGGGAAATCTGGCTCCACTACCGGCCGTGCCAAGCCCGGGCGCAAATCGATCCGGGGCACCATTTCCGGCCCGATACCGATCTCCAGCACATTGGGCGAAGAGGAGTTTCCGATGCGGAACGCAGCGCCAACCACAGCGGTAACAATTCCCGATGACGAGATACCAACATGGAAACAAGGGCACCCCGTAGGAACGCCTCTGCCACCGGAGGAGCCCGCACCATCCTCTCAGGACCAGGGCGAGGCGGAGGCCAACCAGGAGCTCCCAGAGCAGCAAAGCCAGCTACCTCGCGACGGTGAAGATAGCCATAGCGGTACAAACGAGCGCGATCAGGAGCAAGGAGCACGACTTGACACTACTGCCGAGACACCGGTTTCAATAGGGGGTTCCGGGGGCAGCCGCACGGACCTCGCACGGGACAGTCAGCCGGAACCTCCGTCCAGTCCGCCGCCGCCACCTCCGACCGGGCCAAGCCCACCGACCGGGAGCCCCGCTTCTCGTGTCGCATCGCACGCCACATCGCGCCCAAAATCACCATCACACCCCTACAGATCCTCTCCTCGGAGGAGCTCTCCGCTGGGGGCATCGCCCTCAAGGGTATCTCCACCGGCACGGAGAGCTACTAATCCCGCGCTGAGCGCGGCCAGATATTCCATGATAAGCGACTCAAACAGCAAGAAGACGAACCAGAGTATAGATTCTCCGCAACGGAAGAAGTCAACGCTGCGATCTGCCCTTGGCAGGCTGTTCGGGCGTGGCAGGAAGAAAAACGGCACGGGAGATCCAAATCCCAATGCCAGACCGGGGCGCGACGCTGATCCTTTAAGCCCGCCCCAGCATCGAAGCGTAAGCCGTCGTCGACTCCGTGTATCAGAGCCTGGTAGGACTATTGTTACTAACTCTAAGCTGACCCAGGACCCCACTGCGCTGAGTAGACCAGGCCAGCGATCGCCCAAGCGCTCGGCCTCGGTTCCCATAAACGAGCTCGACCGTCCTCTCCGGTCCCACTCTATCGGCCCCGACGACATCATGGCCATTGAGAGTGCGCGCAACTCGCTGCAAGCTGAGGCTACTGGATCCGGATCAAGCACGGCAGCCGGAGCCCGAAGGCGCGCTGCTACCACCAGCCGTATGTTCCTGCGGCCGCAGCTGCGTAACCGGGAATGGGGGGCGGGATTGTCGCCGCGCCCGGCCAGTGCGCACGGCCGCGGCAGCCGGCTCAGCGGGCGGGCCGACCCTGAGGATCCAAACGAGATTGGTCGCGCCATCACGAGCGACAGCGGCAGTGGGCTGCGGCGCCGTTCTAGGAGTCTCTCTGGGCTGCAAGATCTCACCGGCGCTCGGCCCGCCGGCCGTCGGCGGAGCGACGAAATACGATACTGGCGCGAGTCGTACGATCCCGGATTCATGTCTCCCATGTCTTCAAACGTGCAAGAAGATATTGATGACACAGGCATGGCGGATATGAGTCCCCCGGAGAGTCCTAAAGCCGAGGCGCCACCCAAAACGCCGCCTCAGCCCTTCAATTTTGGCCTGTTGTCGAAGGAGATGATAGGGATGAAGATAACGCATGCCGCCAACATGGATGCTCGTCTCGACAATCTCGAATCCCGCACTCTCACGCTGGAGGGGATAGTCGACCAGTTGTGCCACGCGATCCCAGGCACTAGGAAGCCCGTTTCCGGCTCCTCGAGGCAGCAGACCGAACCATTGTTCCGGAAGGAATCTCACCCGTCGTTCGCCTTCACTACTGGGGTTCCGCCTCCGATTCCCGCCATCTATCACCCCCTACCAACGGATTCCAAGGAAATCGCCCGGCCGGGGAGTTCACGGAGATCCCTGGAAACCGATACACACTCTCAGGTATCCTTTGGAGAGGCGCCGACATTTGTTGGATCTCTTCGGCCGCCTTCGTCTCCCGCGCCAAAGCCCCGTCCGTCTGCCGAAGCATCGCCCGCTCCTTCACAAGTGGGCCGCCCCTCATCGAACTCCACAGTGCGCGGCGCTTCGAGCATGCCCACCATGGGCCGCGAAGCTGACGGCGCGTCCAAGGAGGATCTAGTCACGCAGCTACGGAAGGAGCTGGAGGCGGAACGGGAAGCCCGTCGAGCGCTCGAGTCGCAAGTCAAGAAACTGACAGACCGCCTCAAGTCGCTGTCCACAACCGTGTACGCTATGGTGAGAGGTCCTTCCGAGTCCCGATCGTACGAGCGGCTGGCTCCCTCGGCAAGTCAACCTTCGCCGCGGTTTGTGGCATCCAGCTCGTTGCTAGTATCCCAGCAGCCGCAGGAACAGCGCTCTGTCTTTGAGACGGATGAAGACGACGATGAGGGGACCGATGCGATAGCCAAGAACCAGGGGGCCAAGACGGATCCGCGAGAGGAGGGCGAGTTGAACGAAGACGACTTTCAGACGCCGAGAGAAGATTGGCCGAATCCGTTGGCCTATGGCGCGTTTGGCGAAGAGCTCAGGCCGGATGACGACGAGGATGATGACAACGAGGGCGACGAAGACGACCCGAAGCGGAAGAAAGCGGCCAGGACGCTGAGTCTGAGCCAGCTTACTCTGGGCAAAGGCCAGCGAGTACGGATATAAGAGCACTTCCACACTGTGATGGGGAGGCGCCATGACTGGATTTGAAACTTCGTTCCACGACGCACGCCGCCCGCCATGTTGACCGAATTGGGCGTATCCGCCCCTTTTTGGCCCGGCGCGCATTTCCCAGAAGATTTCCCCCCTTTTTACATCTGCATTTGTTTTTACGGCTTCATGATATCCTCGTTCCCCGTACCAGTTAATTAACAATCTGGGATATTTTGATGATCTGCATCTGTCGTGACCCGGGTGGTCTTTGGAAGTTTGCATCACATAGCGGCTGACGCATTGTTCTAGTTGTTTATCACTTTGTGGTTCTTGCTACGCTTCAAACCTTGTGTTCACTGTACATTGAATACCCTTTCCTCAGCATATACAAGCAGGGACGGTCTGGTTACCTTATCTACTTAGTTTCACTCACTGGGTTGGCTATTCTACTTTCATCGCACTTAATGGTGCTGCTGCTGTATGGTAGTGTCGGGCATATCATATGTTGTTTCCGTCCAATACCTTGTCAACCCACTCCCCAGGCAGAAGATCGACTTGATACAACTCTGGCACTCCTGTCCGGTCCTTCGGCTTACTGATGATTGCGAGCCGGAAAGGCGATGCTCAGATTACAAGCTCCTTGTGACACCAGACAGTTGACTCCCGCCCTAAAGATGTCAACCGATCCGGCTTTGGCCAACTAAATGGAGTCGATTCCCCATGGCGAAGGAGGTTTGAGGATATCAAGTTATTCCGAGTCTACAAGACAGAGATACAAAAACGCGCGGATGGGCCTAGACAGGAGGAACCACAGACCGTGGTCCGTATGTTTAATATAAGGAGGAAGGAGACGTGATTTGAAGCTTCCGTCTGTATAACACGGCTACCATCCTCGAACTGCGCCTCGAAGGATAAACTCATACGGAAGTTCCAGATCTTGGACGAAGTCTCCACCGCAACTACATTGAATCTAGGCTGGACTTGTGCTTGGGATCGATTGAGTGACTGATACCGGGCCAAGGGATCCTTCGTTCAGCTTTCAAGCGGAGACTAACGTAATTCCAGGCAACCTGCTATAAGCCTGTTATACAAAAAAGGTTTCCAATGAGATGGGACAGCTCACGTTGTGCCTGGCTCGCTTCAGAGCCTCGTGAGCAGCCAAAGCAGGGCTAGCTGCGTGTTCAATGGAGTCGATCAGGATCTTTTGCTGGTTGCATGTGAAATTGGTTTGTATGTATGTAGAACGTCGATTTTTACCCTCTTGACAGGCTATCCCTACTTGCATTTCTGGCCCCAACCCTTGACAGACTAGTACGGATGTAACATCACTAAACCCAACCAACAACCTGCTCACTAATAAAAAGGGAAGCGAGCCTCACGTTAATGCTGTCCATTCTTCTATCATACCGCCCTCTGCAAAGAAGAGGTAGGAAACAACTTCCGCGGCAGCTTTTGTATGTCCACCATGGCAACCATGTGGTTGTCACTGGCAGTCACGACGGCCATTGTCGCAGTTTGGTTGTATCGGGTCAACCGCGCATTCCGAGCTGTCCCAGAAGAAGCTGCCAGGGCCTCACCCCGTCGTTGGACCAAGAATGAGCTTCGCGAAACCTACGAGCGCCTGAAGAAGAAACCGCTCGACTTTACCAAGAACATCCCGCCACGCTTAGACCGGCGCTACATTGTCGTTGGCGGGTCAGGTGTGTTACCTCCAGCCCCTAAGCTGAACTTGATATGCTAACTACCGGACAGGCCTCGTGGGCGGTGATGTACGAAACACCCTTCTATGAACTGACTGAACGCCCTAGAAGGGTAAAGGGATATATGGCTGACACCGCAGCTCAGCTTGTCTTGCAATTGCTCCGCCGAGGGCAGACCCCCGAAAGCATCCGTATTGTCGACTTTGTGCCACTGAATCGGTCGGATATGCTCAACGTGGCAGCCGGCTGTGACTATGTGAAAGCCGACATCGCGTCTCGATCGTCCGTAGAAGAAGCCTTCAGCAAGCCATGGCCCAAGTCTGTCGCTGAGAATCCCCTAACAGTATTCCACAGTATGTATTGTACCGACAACATAGTCATTGTTCCCTGCACTGACATTGGCATTTAGTTGCCGCCCTCGTAAGGCCACAGGAGCGGAGCCCTCTCATCTATGACCGAATCAGCCGCATAAACCGGGATGGCGCTGTGAACGTCATGGAAGCCGCGCGGGCTGCCGGTGCCGACATTTTTATTGCCACCTCATCTGCCTCCGTTGGTATCGTCCCGCCGAACTTTTGGATTTGGCCATGGCAAAGCACGCCGGACAGGTACTTGCAAGTCGTGACCGAGAAAGACTTTGATGCACCGCTGCGTGCCCCCCATCTCTTCTTCTCGAACTGTAGGCGTTGGCCACCGCCCCTTCTATTTGCAGGACACGAGGCTAAACTTTGATCACAGACGCCCGTTCCAAGGCCGAAATGGAACGCGCCGTCTGCGGCGCCAACCAGGAGGGCTTCCGCACCGGCACCATCCGCCCAGGCAACCCCATCTACGGCCAAAAGACCGACCCCGTTCTTGGAATCTGCCTGCGCCAGGGGGGCTCCGCATCATGGATTCCCCACGTAGTACAGTGAGTCGTCCCCCACTCACGTCCCCCTATTCCCTGGGTTGTCCCCAACCACCTGACCAACCATCCAACTCGACAGGAACTGGGTCAACTCCCGCAACGTCTCCCTTGCCCACCTCCAGTTCGAAGCCGCCCTTGCCAAGACGGATCAACCCATGCCCCGCTGCGCGGGACGGACCTTCATTGTGACCGACCTGGGCCCGCCCATCACTTTTGCCGATGCCTATGCCGCCATGGCCGAGCTGTCCGTCACGCCGACCTCGGTGACGATCGTGCAGGCCCTGCCGCTGCTGCTGATGGCCCATATAGTCGAGGCTTGGTGTCTGCTGCTGGCCCGCTTCCCCTTCCTGACTAAGTGGCTGGGCTGGCGCGAGCCGTCGGGCCAGGTGCACTTCCTCCAGCCGTCCGTCTTTAGCGTGTCGATCCACACCATCGTCGACGACAGCCTCGCTAGGAAGCCGGTCGAGCAGGGCGGGATCGGGTACAAGGGCGTCTGTACCACCCTCGAAGGCGTGTGCCAGCAGCTGGTGGAGTGGAACATGGAGCAAGAGCATGAGCGGATCACCGGGCAGGGGAAGTTGGGCAAGGCGGCGATGACGGTCAAGGGTGTTGCTGCGTGAGGCGGGTTTCTTGGTCTCTGAGATGCTTTGTTTAAGGGGTGCCGAGGGACTGGCTGTGGCTTGATAAGCGGAGACGGCTGGTTCAGCGTCGCATTTGTGAGAGGCGATTTGTGGGCCGAGTTGTCGTGTGATATGTCATATGCGCAGGGAGTTCGCAACCTGGGTGGATGCGTCTGTTTGTCTCGAGACCTCTTAGATCCTCCGCTGTAGGACGGCTGATCCCCTACTGTCCACACTTGTGAACCATCATATGTGAGATCAAGACAGGCGAGCGACGGACAAGCGATTATACCGCAATCTCGCGAACGAATCGCGCCACCACCGGAAAAGACGCTGTAATACGTGACCCTTAGGAGCCAGCTTCAATTGAGCAAGTAACCGTCCTTATGAAAACGCCAGACCGTCCAAGGGCCTATCCCCGGTCCTTGCATCGTGATTGACCTCCAGGATGCGCCCGCCTCCTCATACTCCAACTCCAACAATTCCCAGCAACATCAGCGCGTCCAAATGGAAAGCCTGGCCGGCAGAAACGGCCAACCCAACAAAAGCAACACATGGTATCATGAACGGAACGCCATAAAAATCACCGCCAAACTCCCGAGCAATGCTGAGCAACACCAACGACAACAAAAAAGAAAAGGGGAAAAAAAAATAAAATAAAATAAAAAAAAATAAAAAAATAAAAAAAAATAAATCATTTATGAGGGAGTCGGCGCTCGTTCGGCAGGAGGTAGCATCCTCCCAGCCGAATCCCTCACGGCGGCCTTGCCCTTGCCCTTCCCACTGCCGCCGCGTCGGCGCTCCTCTTCGCTATCCCACTCGGCATCCGAGCCGCGTCTCTCGTCTCCCACCAGCAGCCGCGGCTGGTCGCGCGAAGACCTCAGCATCCTGGCCCTCTCGCTATTGTTAACTCGGTGATGCCCGCCCCCCGTCTCCTCTTCCTCCTCCTCATCGTCATCAAGCAGCTCCCCCTCGGCCGTATCAAAGTCAGGCGCCTCAATCCAGTCCCTGGGCACGACGCAGGGTAAGGCAACACCGATGCTGGCGGCGCGGTTGAGCCAGGACGGGGCCGGCCGCCCCGTGAGGCGCTGGCAGAGGCGCGAGGTGAAGTGGTTGCAGTTCTTGGTCAGGAGGTTGTAGGCAGTCCCCGGAAACTCGTCCGACACGTCGCGCACGATGGCGTCGATCTCGGCCTGTGTGGCTAGCGTGAAGCCGTGCAGCATCTCGCACCGGAACGTTCCTCCGGGGGGCTCCGTCCGCGGTCGGGTCCAGTACACCCCCGTGACCCCGCGCCGGTCGTGTCCGCCGTAGGCGTACTCTTTGCCGTTGATCACGACGCCTGAGTGGAGTAGTGAGGTGCCTAGGAACCAGAGGGTTGAGGAGAGGCGGCCTGGAGGGAGGAGATCGTAGACGTGGATGGTTATCTCGGTCTTTTGGAGCGACAGGGTCGAGCGGTGTGACCGTGCTGGCCTTTGGGCTCTTTGGGAAGGCATTGCGGTAAATGGCTAAATACCTAGTAGGGAGGTGCTGTGGTACGAATAGCGTGGTCGTGAGTTTGCGGCCGCAGGAGATGCAAGGCTAAAGTGCGTGCATCGATTGATGCTTTCGCGCCTGTTGGATGATTGAGATGACGTCGGTATTTTTACCTTCGGCCCAGGACAAAGGTAGCGTACAGTTTCGGCAAGGCAGGTTCGGTGTTCCAGGGGTTAGCAGTAGCCTCGACAAAGTTATGAGAGACAAAACGCTTGACTCGCGGTTCAGTAGAGACCGCATGTACTTAGGGATTCCGGAGAGTTTCCGAGACTGTTCCCTATGTCGGGTGTATCAGCTTCGATCTAGCTCGATTATCCCAGGCAACGGTGTGCACTGATGGCTCTAAGAAGAGCGCGCGCGACAAGGACTCAGCGCATGTGCAAAGGGTTAGGGTTAGATATTGGCGAATCAGATTCTCCTTGACCCACCTGCTTTGATTAGATGGAAAAAGCTTTTCCAAGTCAAGATGGAAGCTCAGATATTTTTGATCAATACATGAAGGTTGACGACATCTGATTCCATAAGACTGGAATTTGCCAACCCAGGATACCAAGCGCTACTCCGTAGACATTTGCTTGTCTGCGGTAGTAGTCGCGTCCACTGAAGCTTGACGCGACGGCTTCCGCTCTTCGCACTGGTTCTTTTCTCTTCGTGAAACCCCTCTTTCACCCCGCAGCTGGTTGCTCTGCATTTTTTCCCAAGCCAGTGCTTGACTGCACCTACATCTACCTCCCCGCCCGCCACTACAGCAAGCGAAGGACTCCCAGAATGCCTCCCAAAAAGGCCAAGGAGGAGGAGAAGATCCTTCTGGGCCGTCCCGGAAACAACCTCAAGAGCGGAATCGTGGGTTTGCTCTGATGGCATTCTGCTCGCAATTGTGCGACGACGCTGACCTGCTCGCGCGACCAGGTTGGGCTGGCAAACGTTGGCAAGTCCACGCTCTTCCAGGCCATTACAAAGTGCAACCTGGGGAATCCTGCAGTATGCATTGACCCTGTTCAGGCATCACGAGGATCGCCGTCGCTGATTCGCGCCCTAGAACTTTCCCTACGCCACCATTGACCCTGAGGAGGCCCGTGTCATCGTCCCTGATGAGCGCTTCGACTGGCTGTGCGAGAAGTACCAGCCAAAGTCGCGGGTGCCTGCCAATCTCACCGTCTATGATATTGCTGGCTTGACCCGCGGTGCCTCAACAGGCGCCGGTCTCGGCAACGCTTTCCTCTCGCACATTCGGGCCGTCGACGCCATCTTCCAGGTTGTGCGGTGTTTCGATGATGCCGAGATCATCCACGTCGAGGGCGATGTCGACCCGGTCCGCGATCTCAACATCATCAGCGAAGAGTTGAGGCTTAAGGATATCGAGTTTGTCGAGAAGGCGCTCGAGAACCAGAAGAAGAAGACTCGCCAAGGTGGTCAGAGTCTGCAGATGAAGCAATGGAAGGAAGAGGAGGCTACAATTGAAAAGGTCCTCGCGTGGCTCAAGGACGGCAAGGATGTCCGCAAGGGGAACTGGAGTCCCAAAGAGGTAAGTTGCGTCAATCTCACCCGTTTTCAAATTCACACCCATGTCCTATGATGATAAAGGGCCCATGGCCCGATCTTATAACCCAGCTCGTCGAATGCACTGCATATTGAGATAGAAACCCCGTTCTGAATCATTTATTCCACAAACTCCGTGTCACCGGCTTACGGTTGCTTTCCCTGTGCTGACTTGCTTCCAGGTCGAGACCATCAACCCCTTGTTCCTCCTAACGGCGAAGCCCGTCGTCTTCCTCGTTAACCTCTCTGAGAAGGACTATATTAGGAAGAAGAACAAGCATCTTCCCAAAATCGTTGAATGGGTTAACCAGAATGCCGAAGGGGATCCCATTATCCCCCTCTCTGTCTCATTTGAGGAGCGGTTAACGCGGTTCGCGACCGAGGAGGAGGCCAAGGAGGAGTGCAAGAAGGTCGGCGCCGATTCGGCGCTGCCCAAGATCATTATCGCCATGCGCAAGGCGCTGAACCTGGGGAGCTTCTTCACCACCGGCCCTGATGAGGTCCGGCAATGGACTATTCGGAACGGTACCAAGGCGCCGCAAGCAGCCGGTGTCATCCACAGTGATTTCGAGAAGACCTTCATCCAGGCCATTGTGTATAACTACAAGGTACTCAAAGAGCTTGGTGACGAGGCCGAGGTCAAGGCAAAAGGCAAGGTCCTGACCAAGGGCAAAGACTATGTTGTCGAGGACGGTGACATCCTGCTGATAAAGGCAGGCGCTGCCAAGGGCTAGGTTACGCAAAAACAATGATATGAGGTTCACGAGACATGATCGACTATTGCAAGCTTGAGCTCGTGAAACCATCCTAGAACTGGAGACTAACTTCATCAGACCATACGGACCAACGGCTGGGTCAAAGGCGCTGAGTGTGTCTTGTTGGTACTTGTTGGTAAGCTCTGAGAATCCACGTACACCAAATGGTTGTTGAGGAATGTTGCAAACGGGCCTAGCCTACCTGACGCTTGGTGGATTCCTAAGGTATGATGTGATGTCAACAATGGGCCATTGACGATTGGGATATGGGATATAGCACTCCGTTCTTGGAACAGAAGCCTCAGCAAGCAATCCCTCCTGACAGTGTAGGGCCGTTTGTTTATGGACAGCTGTTCTCTAGACATACGAATAGCAATATACATGTAGGTAAGGTAGGTTAATGTGACCGCCCTGTTTTTATGCCCCTCCTTCACCTGCCGAGATTTGTGCATCATCAACTTTAATTGGAAATTGATAACAACTTAAAACGTTCCTTAGCCCTGCGCACGGTGCACCCGACAGACAGCTTGCAGCTGCGTGAGCTCTCGCAGCAGATCCCTGTCTGCCTGTTCCTGTCCTGCTCCTCGGCCAGTTGAACGCCACTGGCAGAGGCAGAGCTTCCACTCTTCCAGATGCGCCCAACACCGTAACACGACAAGAAACATCGAATTCTCTACATGCTAACATACCTGGTACTGTCTCCGAAGTCCCAGTGTCAGTGCAGTTCTTCGCCTTCACTTGTATAAGCGCTCCGAAACAAGCTTAATCACGTTCCCGTCCAAGCTGCAAAGTCTCGCAGCAGATTGCGTCACGTTGCGCACCCGCGTCTGAGTGCAGGCCGATTATCCATTATCAACCGGTTATCAATTCTGGAGTTGAAGACACGACAACAAGATCGGTTGCATGAGTCGCGCTCTCGACAACCGCCAAATGGTGGCTACATCTTCACCAAACCCCCACAGATAGGAGTTGCGAAGCGAGTCGAATGAATGCAACCCCTAAACCCATTCCTGAGCGCTTTCTCAAAGAGCCCCATCCTCTCCCAGTGCCTGCCGCCCCAACAGCACATCCTCCTTGTCCCGACCGCCGATGTCCTGCTCAACTCCCGCGACGTCGAGACGGGCGCGCCCCTGGTGGCCTCCATAGCTTCCGATGAGTTCCTGGGAAGCCACGTCCTGCGAATTCCCGTGCCAAAAGCCCAACCGGCCGGGGGGAGGGATGCTGCGCAGAATCTGCGCGAGATGCGTGGGAAACCAAAGGTGTATAGCACTGTGAACGGCAGGAGTCTGGTCATCAAGGATAACAGCATCTACACCAACAAGGGTACTGCGACCCCTGCCTTCGATGGGCCAGTGGAAGCGAAGACGCTGACCTCTCTATTCAGGTTTCAAATCGCTGGCCCAGGCCAACATCCTCCACGACGTTATATGGTACCCCGACACGCTCGACCCCCGACCCCTGTTGATCTACTACATATCGCGCCCGCTGGTAGGATCATGGGAGGAGGTTAGGATTCCTCCTGCTGTGCTCCCCCCGAGCGAAGGATCCGGCCGCCAGCTCAAGGCAACCCCCGAGACTCGGGACCCCTCTGGCTCGCCAAGGAAAAAGGATATCCGAAGCTTTCATGAGCTCCTCAACCACTTTCCCGCGATTGCCAAGCAGATGCAGGCCGGCCTGGAGAAGCTGTTTCGCGAATTCACACAGGTATTCGAACGGCCGCTACCTCCTCCACCATCGGCCAAGGATATCCCCGACCCGGAGCCTGAGGGGCCGATAACCGCAGCCGCAAAGAGGGCGAGGTCAGGTAGCGATGTCAGTGTTGATGCTAGCGCAGCCGAAGGCGCTAATGGGAGTCTCGCTGGAGCTGCTGATGACGAGGAGGTCATGAGGACTTCTTTGGAGACGGCCGTGACAGCCGCGATTGACTTGTTTCAAGGCGTTGACAGGCAGCAGCTCTCGCTGCTGGCTGCGACTACTGATCTGACAGGTTCGGTCGTCGAGCGGCTCATCGAGCGCTACATCGCCGAGAATGTGCATCACCTCTTATTCCCTCGCCTGGCTGCGCTCCGGCGGCAGGATGACCTTGAACTGGAGGCAAAAATCAGACAGATGGACTTTATCGACATCTCGCAGCTGGGGATCGTCATCGACGGTGGTAATCGTGCTAAACGCGATTTGGTCAGCAGGCTGGGGCGTGCCGTTGAAGAATTCCGGAAGATGCCCAATGCGACCTCCCCGCAGGAGATGATGGAAATTCTGCTCTCCACTACCAAAGCGGCAATCCAGTTCACAGACGCGCCGCAACCAGGAGAACCACCGGGACCATCGTCCGAGAAACCGGTCATGACAGTCAATGCGGACACATTGGTATCGCTGCTTCTATATGTTGTAATAAAAGCACAAATCAAGCACTTGCAAGCGAGGCTCACCTACGTTCGGCACTTCATCTTCATTGATGACGTCGACAGCGGCGAGATGGGGTATGCTCTCAGCACTTTCGAGGCAGTCTTGTCATACCTCGACCGCGAGTCCGGCGGTCTACGAAGAGCCAGTCGTCGGAACAGGGCACTCTGGGACGCAGTGTCGAAAGGAGACATTTCCGAGCTGAAGAAGATCATGGAGCCGGATGAAGATGCTATAGAGGACGATCCTAATGTGTTTGGATCCTCTTCCCGGCGTCCCTCATCCAGCGGCTGGAGCTTCACAAACGGATCGTTGAGGCGGTCTTCCTCGAATTTTACTGCCTCGGAAACATTCTCCATGGGGTCGGGACTGAGTCACGTATTCCCCTTCCAGAACGGTGCAGACACAAGCGCAGATGACGGGCCCATACCGCCAGTTAAACGAACAAAGAAAGTGGCCATGGACACTAGGAGTATGTCCAGTGGTTCGGAGATTTCGTTTCGGTCGATGCCCCTGAGCCTCGGCACTTTCGCGAGTGCAATTGAGGGGGACACGTCCATTGAGCGCCTCGCTCAGACTCAGGATGCATCTGGGGAGTCGGTTGTCATGATGGCTATCCAAAATAGACGACCAGTGGCCCTGAGGTATTTGCTTTCGCTGCGGCAGTACTACCCAGCAAAGGTCATAATGGACGATCAAAACAATGAAGGCACCACGCTGTTCAGTGCTGCGGTCCAGCTGGGTGATGAAACCATTGTCAACATGGTCCTCGACTTCTTGTTGGATTCAGCAGACGACAGCAAGATCCGGGACTACCTAGCCATTCAGGACACCTGGGGGAGGAGTGCCGCCCATTACATGTTTCACGCCCCCTTTTTAATACAGCGTATCGGCAGGCTGCTTCCATGGCGACAAAAGGACAGGAATGGGCAGACGCCGCTCTTTGCCCTCTGCCGGTCTTATGATCACCCAAACTACCACACAATGGTTGAGGAAGCGCTGGAAGCGGCTACTAGGAGCCAAGGGGACGGACAGCCGCTCCATCTAGACAACCATGTGGACGTCAAAGGGAATACGCTGCTGCACATCGTCAACGATGCCAGCCTTGCTCTGCAGATTCTGCAAAAATGCGACGTCGACGTCAATGCGACGAACGAGAAGAAATTCACCGCCCTAATGCTCGCGAGCAAATATGGACGCTTTGACATGGTACGGACGCTTTTTAGTGATCCGCGGGTCGATATTGCAGCAAGGGAGGCAAGGGGTTTAACGGCGGTGGAATTGGCCAAGGACGACGAGCTGCGGAACAAGATCGATGATCTTGTGCTATTTTCGCTTAGACCTGGGCCCGACGCCCGTACGACTGGTGTCGTCCGCTCGTTCTTTGTCGAAGACGCCTCGATCCGCTTTGTGCTCAAGTCTGGGGCGCCCATTGATGAACACAACTACGCTGTCACGACCTGCCGGCGGTCCCTGACGGACTTTGAGCACCTCACCAGGCTGCTCCAGATGGAGAACCCGGCGTCGTGGATACCGTCATTGGCTGACTTGCGGTCGCCGATACAGATCCCGTCGAGGCCCAGCCGTGCGGTGCTGAAGGACCTACAAGTGCGGATGGACTGGTTCCTGAGGGTGCTGCTCGCACACCCGACGTTTTCGACGCACGAGATGCTGTGGGAGTTCTTTCTGGTCCCCGACTTACAGCTGGACATGATGGCAGAGCGCAGCAAGCTCAAGGCGGATGCACTGATGGAGAAGGTGCATGAGGAATATGAACCCGTGGAGGATCTGCGAGAGGTAGAGCAGTTTGTTGACCACGCCCGGGATATGGTACGCAGCGTTCACTTCTCAACGAGGAGCGTGGCGCGCCGAGCGAGTGCCCTGGGCAACGTAGTCAACGGTAAGCCCTTCCTCTCCTTGGCTGTCTCCCAAGGTATACTAACCTATCGAATAGACCTCTACGAGTCCTCTTACCTTCTCTCCAAATCTGTCTCCTCCCTCGCTTTCCTCCCAATCTCGCACATTTCAGCCTTCGACGCCTACGTCCGCTCCCTCGCTCCCTCCCAGTCCTCGCCATATCAAACCTTCTTCCAGGCCTTCCTCGCCCTGTACAACAACGTCGAGGCAATACTCAAAGCCCTTGCGCGCCCGCCGCAGACAATCGCAAAGATTGTCGCCGTCCGCCGCGACGCTGAGCGCAGCTACTCTTCACTCAGCCGCTCCTCGCGATGGCCGCTCGGCCTACTGGACGAGACGCGGCAGCGGCTCAACGAGGAGCGCGAGGAGAAGGCCCGCCGCAGCGAGGGCGAGGCCCAGACGCTCGCGCGCGAGCTCCGCTACGCCCAGCAGACCGTCGCCGGCGAGCTGGCCGGCTGGAGGGACATGCATGAGCGCCTCGGCAGGCGGGCCATCAAAGACCTCGCGAGGGGCATGCTTATTGCCGAGAAGGCCCGTTTGGAGGGGCTAAAAAGGGCTTTGAGGGCGGTTAGAGAGGGGGAGGGCAATGTGGATTCCTTGCATGTCGGTGGGCATAGGTATAGGCATGAGGATGGGGACGGTGCGAGAGAGCGGGTTGGGGTGGGCGGTGTTGGACGCTCACCGCTGGTTGATGGTGAAACGGCAGCGGAAGCGGAAATCGGTGAGGCTGACTGATGAAGAGTTTGGCCGAAGGGGCGGGGGGAAGTTGGTGTGGTGGGGTGGGGTGGTGGCAGGATCCGGTGAAGTGGGGAGGGGGAAGATGAAAATGCGGTGACGCGTCCGGGAAAAAGGGACGCGTCCTGGGTTGGTCCGGCGCCGAAGGCTAAACCTCGCACCTCCGGCGGGGAGTTCTGTCCGGTTCGGTGGAGAGCAGACATACACGACTTACACACCTCTTTCCCACCCCCTCCCCTCTCTCTCTCTATAGAACACGGGCGAATGTACAGGTACAGGTACAGGTACAAGTGCAATGCAGCGGCGTTGGATGGCTCGGTGTTATCTGGTAGCGGCTCGAAACAGGAATCAATCTGGACTGAACTTTACTATGCCGTACACCGGATGAATGCATAATCCTGTTTGCGAATGCGACCTAGCGTCGATGGGACGACAAGTGACGAGAAGTGATGTGTACGGCTCGGCCGGAGAGGTTAGTGACGGGGACTTCGCATCGTGTTCTGTGTAGCGTCAAGAGCCGTGACGAATAAGAGAACAGCCATTTCTCGTCCTCATCACCATGGAAGCCCTTTCTTCATACAAGACGAGACAACTCTGCGACTCCACAAGGAAGCAGAGCCACCCTCATCGGACGGTCGTTTCTTTGTCCAACGTGTGCTGCTGAGAATTCCCATCACACCCATCACTATCACATCCACATCACAATACAACTCCCCGATTTACACTAGGCAGGAAGTTGCAAAGTCCGCTGCAAATGCAGAATGCAGAGTGTGAGTCATTTCGACTTGGCAAAAAGCTGCATCTTCCCTTCCCAGGTTCTTGACTGCCGAATAGGGCTTTTCTCCAGCGTAGGCCAGGGGAGGAAGATGAAACGAAACCATTCTGTTCTACATGACGCTAAGGTTATGTGGGCTTCCATTCCCGCTCTCGCGGATTGGATGGATTGGATTGAAACATTGAAACAAAAATCGGGCCTGGAGCAAACCTCAACAGATTGCCGGATCCGAATCCCCGTCCAGCGGTGCGGGGTTTTTCTGGAAACAACTTTTTTCCAGCATCTTCCCTTTCGGACGGACACCGACATTCTGCAGATGGGCTTTTTTTCTTCATGCATGCAAAGCAGGAAAGGCAGGGTGAAAAGAGTCATAGTCGGTGGAGGTGGTTGGGATTCGGGAAGCAGGACAGCCAATCGACGGTCCGACACGCGAACTTGACAGGTGCGAGGAGCGAGCCGGCACGGACCAGCACGAAGGGGATTGGCCGGCTGGCTCAACGCGTCTTGCATCGACGAGCAGGGGCCATCGGCGTGTTCCCGGCAGCGAATGGCGGCAAGCGGCAGATCGACGATACGCGAGGTCACGGGTTCCCGCGTCTGGCTTGCGTCCTGTTCGCGCCTGAACGGCCGAGCTGGGACCGGGTCGGTCAGTACCTCACCTTGGGAGTGGCGGTTACACGATTCCTCGACCGACGAATGCCGTCCGTAATGCTATCATCTCACCTTGGACCTCTGCCTCAGGTAGGCGCCCTTATGAGGCTGTGCAGCAGGTTTGATGACGAAGCAGAGAAGCGCCCCCATCGGAAGACAGGTCTCCGAAGATTTGTTTCGTGGCCCGGAGATCGGTCTGTGTGAGGCTTAACAATTTCAGTAGGCGCCTGGCTGCTTAGTCTGATTGTTCCCAGTTCGTGTTCTTGTGTAGCAAGCGATCGGTAACCAAAATCCATTTACGGCATTGATGGCGGCTGTTTGAAGCCCTGGTCTCCCGGCTTAACTTAACAGCGCCCGGCTCTCCCTTGCTAGCGATAAACACGGCAACCACAGGTTAGCGCTTAACAAGGTACGGTAAGCGTAGCATTCCGCTCAGCTGCGCTTGACTCTGCAAGCGCCCGTTTGTTGGCGGGCCTCAACGGGCGGCTAAGGAAATGACACCCGCGCTGCCGCCCACCACCCGCGGGCTCCATCAGGCAGTTGTCCGACCAAGGCAATTTCAGTAACCGCTCGCTTCTTTCGCCAGGACACCAGATCATTCAAACCCGTTGCAAAACCCGCAAGACCCGAGCCAAGATCGAATCTAGAACTTAGATCAGCGGATGCTTCCGTCTCTGGGAGCTCTGCCTAAAATTAACTCCCGGCTCCAGGCTCGTCAACCCGTTTCGATTGTTCCCTGCGGGATTGGGCGAAATGAGGTTCAAGTAAAAGTGCAGAAAGGCAGGTGCCCAAACGCCGAGAAACCGATATGGCTGCCCAATGCTCGGTGCATGTGCTGTCGATTCGATCACCATCAAAGAAGAAACAGCCGACGGCATCATTGACCAGTTGGGTTGAAGCCTCGACAGAGCTCTAGATGTCTCAGTGGCCAATGCTTCAGTGAAGTAGGGACTCTTGCATTCCGTGGGGGAGAGGGGAGAAAGCCACAAGCGTGGCTGGCCGGCCCTCCATCACGTCTGCTCAACGGTTTTCCGTCCGCCCCGCGATCAGATGTTCGCTGCACGTCCGCCGCGAGGTGGTTGAGCGTGTCGTGGCCCGAGTCGCCAGAAAGCCGCGCCTACGCAGTGGTACCGTGGGCGGCAGCGCGCCGCCGAATGGGAAGAGCGAGCCGGGAATCGGGCATGAGTTCCCCACATCGAGGATTTGGCGCCTGGTGGACCTGGCTCGAGCCTGGGTGGGACCCTTGTGGACCGTTACTCAAAAGACAAGCCGCAAGCCGCTAATGTACCCTTGTCTCTGCTGAACCAGTGTCGTGCAAGAAATGACTCAAGATACATGCAAGTACCTGCACTCCAAGATCGGCCGAGCCAATCAAAACGCCGGATCCTGCAGCTACTTGGACTTCCTCAGAACCTCAAGCCACGTTCGAGATTTGTGTCGTTCTTCTCTCGACAGTTTGAGAGGGGTATGAGGTGAGCTGTCATGGGCGTGGAGTCGTGCATTTGCATGCATCGATCAAAAGATCAGAAGAACAGGAGCTTGGACCACTGATGGGAGCTCCCACATCCAGAGTCTCTCCTCTGCTACCTGAGTAAGAGTTCACTTGCCTTGACCCCTTCATAGATGCGCAGACATGGCCCAGAGGAAGCTTTCATTCGCTTCAAGGTTGCCGTCCGCTATTGCAGAGCCGCCCAGCATAAACCAGAAACTGACCGGGAGAGGAGTACGTACCCGCCTACCAGACTGGTCGATCCGACACTGCGGGCGCCTCTATGTGGCCACTGGTTTTGTCCTCCAATGTCCAGCGACATTGACGATTCGGGATGGGCACCATCGACCGAACGTTTCAGGTTTATTTTCACCCACTAGAAATCCAAGGCGATGTCTACCTGCAGTTCTGGTAGGCACGCCCAAGGTAGGGCGGAGAGGTACCTTCCCTCGGGTACCAATCGTATGTACATGTACAATACATACCTTGGGCCTGTCCTTCCAATCCTCTTGCCATGCCTGCCCGTTGCAGCTACCCTGTCGCTCAAGTGCTGTTCCCGCGGGACCGTAGGTGCTCCACAGCTACCTCACCCACCTCGCGCTTTCCCTTCGCGGTACACGCCCCATACCCCAACGCCATCTCCAGATTGCCGCGCCCGCGGCCAGTACTCGCTCAGCAAGTCGGCTGATGCATCCCCGGTCCGCTCGACGCGGCCACCCAGGGCCTATGGTCCTGATCTTCTCGTCTTGCTTCGAGGATAAGTATAAGCTCCCGTCCCACCTCTCGTTGTTTCCTGTTTGTCCATTCCCAGACATCCTCTTCTCAGTCCCCCGAAATCCACAAGAAAGTCTTTCTTGGGAGAGGTCGAGTTGAGACCGGTGGTTTCTTCCTTTCGTCTCTTTTGTCGTCCATACACCAACGGAGCCGGCCTCCTTCTCTTCCTTCGGAGGATTCCCCAGTACGCTAATCTGTAATCTGCTGTGCTGTGTGTCCCGAGTCGACACACTGCTTGACCAGTCGTCACAATGTCCACGTAAGTTTGATACCTCGCTAGTTTCGATCAGGCAGCCCAACAATTACTGACACCCGACTCAGTCTGGCAGCGGATGTCACATTTGACTTCACCTTCCCACCATGCGATCCCACTACCCCTCCGAGCTTCACCTTTGATCCGTCTCTTCTTGATATCCCTTTCAACCCCGGTCACGCTCGCTCCAGCTCGCATGGATCCGTCTACTCCTTCGAGTCGTCGCCCTCCGACTCGGTCACCACCGCCAGCACCCGCCGGACTACCCCGGCACGGTCACCCATCAGGACCCATGGGCCCCTTCTCCTTCCCAAGATCCGCAGTCAGGACCAGGCAATCACACCCTCAGGCGTTGCCGCCCCGGCACCCAAGCGTGTCCGGACCTCTCCCCCGCCTGCCGGTCAAAACAAGAGCGCCTTCCGGCCTACGCACACTCGCAGCCACACCAACCCGGAGACAATTTCCTTCTCATCCGCTCTCTCTTACGCCGACGATGCCAACCCCGCACCGCTGCTTTGCTCGCCCGTGAGCTTCGCCACGGATCCATCCGCCATCTACTCCAGGCGGGCATCGTCCTGCAGCCTTGACAGTGGATCAGTCAACGGCTTCGCAAACTACCAGCAAATGCCCACATACATCCCGGCGCGCGCTAGCAGTAGTCCCACCCCGCCGCCGCAACTCTCGGAGCCGTTCCTCTACCCGCAGCAGTACATGCCGCGTGCCCCTTCACCGCTGGCCGCTGCCGCCACCATCACCCCGGCCATGGCTCCCTCAACCACCCTCTACTCGTATCTCACATCGCCCAACCCGGCTCCGTCCCTGGTCCGCACCATCTCCTTCCCCCTCCGTGATCCTCACACCAAGCACTTCTGGTGGGATGTACGGCAAATTCGCCCTTGGACGGGCTTCACCGCCGCCTCGGTCCTTTCTCTTCCGGGAGCCTCGGCCTGCCTTTCTATGCCGGTATCTTCCGCCCTCCTCCCCAACCCGGTAACCACCCAGCGCCACCCGGAGACAGAGTCTGCTCTCCACGCTATCTACGCAGCCCACTATCTTCCCAAGCTCAACAACGCGCTTGCGCTATGCTCGCAGCGCCCGCTGAAGCTGTCAGTACCGTCCAAGACGGCCTCTTTGGCCGGGCACCCGGGCATGGCGACCGACTGCATGTTTGTCGGCAACGTCGCTGGCGAGTCTTCCTCGGCGGCCGCCATCTTTGGCGGGAAGCCGACGGCGCGCGTTGTCGGGTTGGTCAAGAGCTTTGACCGCTTCAACACGGGCATGCGTGTCGAGGGCAACGTCAAGCGCGTCGAGTATCTCCGCGGCCTGGCACACTTGCACCACGCCATGCGCGAGCACGGCTGCCGCTACGGCTTCATCCTCACCGAGATTGAGTTGGTGTTTGTGCGCAACGGCAACGAGACGACGCCGCACTTTGGCTACCTTGAGGTTGGCAGCGTGCAGCTGGCGAATGCGAACCCGGATGGTGTCGTCGACGGTGGCGATGTGGTCCCCGCGGACCTGGACCAAGTGCAGATGACGGCCTGCCTGGCACTCTGGGGCCTCTGCATGCTCGCCGGGGACGAGCCCATGCCCGGGAACGCGCACTGGAGGGCCGAGATCGGCGCCCCGGCCGAAGGTACCCGCCGCAAGGCCCTGCCGAGAGACGACTGGATGCCCCAGCCGCAGCTAGCTGAGAAGCGGGAGGCTAAGAGGTCAAGGGGTTGGGTGTGGCCTGAGGACGCCATTGGCAGGAGAGAGCTGGGAAAGAGGGGGATCAAGTATGGTGCTTGCTGAGCAAGGCCCTATCACAAACTTGACTGGGGCTGGGTACCCAATTGAAAACGGTTGGCATTGTGTTGCTCTTTTCGTTTTGAGATTTTACCTGGTGAGTATGCTTACCTGGATAATAACCGGTCCTGAGTTGGAGGGTCTGCGACTCGTCCACGCGAGGCCACCAGTACATAGATGGGGCCTGATGATGACGTTACGACTGGCTCGGATGATTGTCACGGTCCATTTGCATCACTGGGAGGCAAGGTCTGGGTTATGGGCTAAGGATCAAAGGATGTGGAGTTGGTGGTTAATAATTGGTTATTAGCTAACGTTACTTAATAAATACAAGAGATCTTGAAATAAGTGAGATATTCCCTTGCCGTCTGGGATGTGCCTTGTAGTTTGCTCATGTTGTCTTGGGTGCAGCCTTTGAAATGAGCCTCCGCCATCCACCGATCGCCGGCCCCGGTAGGTGGGGTTCTGAGCACCGCTCCCGGGCTCCGACCCGGCTCCAGGCCCCGGAAGTTTTCTGATATTGATCTCGGCCTTGAGCCGGGTTTGACAACTGACATCTGCCGCTGTCTGCAGCGTTCTGGACGTGAAGCTTTAAACATATGGGTTCGTTGGGTAATGATTCAGGTGCAAGGAGCTTCTGTTCTGAGTGAACTTCCTCTTGTTCTTTGCGCGCTGCCGTTCCTTGTTTGAGTGTCAAGGTAAGACATCATCCAGTGCCATCCTAGAGATCTTCTCGTTTCCAGCCCTCGAGGGGTCTCTGAGAGGTGCGGGTCCAGCACGGAGCGCTCGGCGACAATATCACTTGCCCACAAGATTTCCTACCACAATAACCTCACGGACTCAAAATACCTCGCTCAGGACTTTGCTCCGAGGATAGTGCTCCATCACAGCATCTGTTTCTACGTTCGGAAGAAACTTGCTCATATCCGGGACAATGGCGCCAGGGTACTATTACTTTGCTGATTGAGCACTCACCTCTCATCACCCCCCCGTGCGGCCCCCCTCGCGGGTCACCCCTCGCCTTTGACCGGTAGCCGCCTGCATGTGAGCGTGTGGGTTGCTGACAAAGCTGGTGATTGAACAAAGTGATCTTCGGACCGACATGATCACCCTCTTCGTTGGCCCTGCTCGAGAGAAGTTCGTCGTGCACAACGGCCTGCTCGCCAAGGAGTCCCAATACTTCAGTTCCGCACTACGCAGCCACATGTTCAAGGAGGCCGTTGAAGGAGTCATGGCCTTTGAAGAAGACGACGCGGATGCCTTTGGTCTTTTCATCTCTTGGGTCTATCGGCGTTGTCTTCCGGTTGTCCAGCCTTTCGTTCATAGGCCAGACTTCAACTCCCAACGAAATAGGAGCCAGCCAGGTGCAGGGGAAAAAGAACAAACCCCGCCTTTAACGATGGGGTTGGATGTCGGTGTGGGGGCTGTGCCGGAGAACACGGCCAACGTGAGAGTTGAGCCGGAATACAGCGCCAATATGGACGTTGAGGAGGATGATGGTACTGATGGGGACGGTATCATGGGCAATAACATGCATCTCTCGTTTCGTCCGACGTACGACGACTTCTCCCCAGAGGAGATCAAGCTGGTCGACTATGAAGCTCTTGCTGTTCGCAGCCGTGCGAAGCAGCATTTCACGATCACCTCCCCAAAGATGGTAAAGACGACGAAGGCTCCTCTGCGGGCGTGCACCCCGCCAAGTGCCAACGTAACCTCCGGCGGTCTGAACAACGACGCAGCTACCGCCTCAGACTTAGGAAACAACCGGACAGGGCCTGCTGAGGCCGGCTTGAAGAGAACACCGACGGAAGAGTCGGAAGAGGAAGAGCCCGGAACCAAGGGGCAAAAATCCAGACCAGAAAGGCTAACCGGCGTATACTGGCATGGACGGAGAGGTTCGCCCAACAACCCTCCTTTCCCAACGCATGAGCGAGCGTGGGAAGAGGGCGACAAGCTCCAGCTTGTCCTTGTCCAGCTGATTGCCCTCGCCGAGAAGCTCTGCTGGGACGAGCTTTTCAACCACGCCATGGACGCACATATATATGGGGAGCGCGTCCTCCACCGTAAGGTGGTGTCATCGGCTCACATCGAGATCGCCTTGACCAAGTGCTGCCACTCCTCGCCTTCTTGCAGGTTACTCTTCGACATGGTGTACTTTGAAAGTAAGACGACGAACCGGGGGCAGTTTTGGAACCAATTGTTTGCCTGAGCATCTGGAGATTTCTGGGAGGACGTGCACAGGATGCTGAAGCAGCAGCAGCCGTGGATGTGGATACCTGAGGACAAGCCCGTTGGGAATCCGCTTCATCGCAAGGGATGCACATACCACCGGCATCAGGACTGGGAGGGGAAGGTTTGCTTAGGAGAGGGGCTGTGTGAAACAGACGGAGGGAAATGAATGAAGTCTTGTTGTTTGGCTGGGCATGTTCTTCCCGGAAAACTCAAACAACCCGTAGACCGTAGTTGTAGATGGATGGTGGATGATGGTCCTAGACGATGGGCTCATCTCTCTTCGATAGGCCTGGAGAATTACTCGGCAAATTGGTCGATCTGTATTGTTAGAAGGAACGGCGTGGTAGCCTAGTACTTTCCAATTCCTATGTCTGTCTCAGAGTTGACAGTTAAGGTACTTCACCTGGATGGGTACCTTACTTCTTCCAGATGCTGGAATGACCTCATTTGAATTCGTGGCTGTGAAGTAGGGTTAGGGTTGTGGTGCGAGATCTGAGACAAACAGTTCAATGAGTTCATCGATCTTCATTCAGAAGGCACAGTACCTGGTAGTTATGTACTATACTTCTCGGGCTTCTAAATTTCTTACACAGGACCCTGTCAATCTTTCTGGATGCTAGGATGAGGAATATGGTTGCATTGTGCGAATGCTGCTTGTTATTGTTCCTGCCATCCCAATTGAACATTGGTCTCCTTGCTTCATCCGCTTGCCCTGCGTTGCGGGGAGGCCTTACCATGGTTAGGTTGCTATGTGCTCCGTAGGGAGGTACTTCGTACTGCGATTGTTTGAGAAGAGGCGCCCGTGCTTGCAAACAAATAATAACCTGAATACATAACCTGAACTAGCTGAATGAAAAGCCCATCCGGAATCCAAAGAAAACACAGGCGTCAAAAAGAAGTCTAGATCCATTAGATCCGATAGGAAATTCCTCTCCTACAATTCGCGACGCCAATAGGTATTCAACTCTCCTACTCAGGCCAAATAGCAGCAAGCGCAGTGCCTGTTACAAAAGGCTCGACCAAAAGTGGTCCTGGTTTTGCGGATGCCAAGCGCTGGAAGCCCCAATAACCGATCTCACCAGTCTTCATTTGATTGAATCGCAAATCATCCGGGATGCCAGACGACCATGATTACATCCATCACAAATGGCAATGACTACTTCTGTAACCCGTTCGAGACGAGCGGATAGCTTCCATCTCCCGCATTCCAAGATTTCAAATGGCCATCATCGCCTGATCACGAATGCCATCACCGCGAAGTCGGCGCCAAACAACCCGCAATTTCCTGTCAATCCCTCGCGCGCAAAGCGTCCGCTCGAGACATCTGGACGTGACTGCGACCCGATAGTGCCAAAGAAGGCCAGGTTCACGACAGGAATTGCTGTCGAGATACCCGCGAGGCCGTCTTTCCACGCTCGATTTACCGCAAAAGAGCCCGCCGACGCGAGGTTGTCGTCACAAGCGCCACCCCCTAAACCCACTACTGTCCCGGCCCGCTCCAATGCCCAGAATCACTCACGCGCCGCCCCTGCCGTTGCCGCTACCACCACGAATGCTACTCCTTCCAGCACCCGGCAGCAGCCAGCTCTTACAAAACATCAAGAAAAAGTTGCCAATGGGTTGAAGCATGAGCTCAACAGACTGCAGCCGGATGCTGTCGCGACGACCAAGGAACAAGGGCGGAAGCTACGGTCGCAGGAGGCCACCCGCTTCAAGAGCGAGCTGTCGGCCTATTTCCCCGACTACGATGAGGTCATCGGCAACGACCCCAAAGAACACCGTAAGCGCCCTCGATGCAAATTACATACCGAGATTTCCGTATTCTTTTTTGGGTCAATTGCTGACAATTTGACCCTTGTTTCCTGCTTGCAGATATTTTGAACCTCGATACCCCGATTGTCATCGTCAGCTCGCACTCCGATGTCTCTCCACCCGACTGCGACTCCGCGCCCCACCCCCCGCGGGAAGCACACTCTGTACGGAGCTACGGTGATGCACTGTTTACGGACTTGTTTGATTCCCAACGAATCGATTATTCTTTTCTGAGCAATCGTCGTAAATCGCTCGAGGATCCGTTACCGGATTCATTCTTCGAACCCGCGCACAAAAAGGCGGAGCGCCTGGAGCGCTCAATCCGCAACTCGGAAAAGGGACGTGCCCAGCATGAAAAGGATCAAATCATCCGGCTGTTAGACGGCTTGCAAGGGCACGACTGGTTGCGGGTAATGGGCGTCAGCGGCATCACTGAGAGCCGGAAGAAACAGTTTGAGCCTGCGCGAGACCACTTCATCAAGGGCTGCCAGATCATACTCGAGAAATTTCGCAGATGGGCGGCAGAGGAGAAACGGCGCAAACAAGAGAAGGAGCGTGCGGCTGCCGCGGCCGAGCGGGAAGCTGCCGCTGGCGAGGAGAAGGAGGTGGAAGCGGAAGAAGTGGACGAAGAGCGCTCTGCTGAGGAGGAGGATGAAGAAGAAGAAGAAGGTGGTGATGACAACGACGCTGATATGAACGATGAGGATGGTGAGGCCGATGGGGAGCCACCAGACGACAGCGACGTTGACGCTTTAATTGCCAAGCAGCTCCGTGAAGAGGCCTTGGCTGCAGCTAAGAAGAAGTCAACGTCGAGGGCAGGGCGGGGCCGAGGACGGGGAAGAGGTCGTGGCAGAATGGTGCCACGGGGACGATCGTCACCGCCCCCGCCGCCAGAACCGGCAGCGCCCGAAGCGACCAGGGAATTCACGTCCTTCTTCGCAAAGCGCTATCAGCGCGAAGCTGCCCTGAATACGTCGCGGCGGAGAGGACGCAAGGTTATGGCGTGGGGCCATGCCGTGCCCGATCTGGATGAGGCGGACTTTGAGCTCCCTGGCGACTTGCTTAACGACGATACCCTAAAGGCTCACGCTAGGAGAAAGCGAAGGGACAAGAGGGGAAGGCACTAAACGAATTCCTCCATGTACAATGGAGCATATGAGCATTTTGATCCACCCCCTGGCTTTTGGGGTAGCAGGACTGCAAGTTATTGTCGTCTTCGCGAAGGGTGGGGTTTAAGGGCGTCACATCAAAACAGCGTTTGTATTTAACGCCTTTGGGATGAGGAGTTGTCTTCACTTCGATGCATCTTCGGTGTTTGCCATAGATGGCGTACCTCAGTTCCTCTGTTAGGGACAGGCATGGATAGGTGGTAGAGGAAAGAAATGAAGCAGGGTTAATTTTGTGGAATTGTAGGCTTGAAACCTTGAGTTTGTTTAGTGGAAACAGACTGAGTGAGGAGCAGTGAGTTTTTCAGAATCGAGGGCTTGTGACGCTGCAGTGTCTCCGTACAGCAGGTTTGCTGTAAATCACAGCAAAGCTTGGCTAATAAGCGGCAATCTCCGTTCCCCAACCGCAGCGGTCCTCAGCTTACAGTGTTGATTGACATTCGCACGTTCTATTTCAACACGCAACTTGAACTTGGGAGTGCTTGTGAACCTGTCCTTCACTTGCTGAGAGTTGGTTAGCGGTTTGCCCGCTGTTTGCAAGCTGTGGACTGTTGAAAATCTTCAAGAAGAGAGCTTACCTAACATAGGTAGCCAGTCAGGACATCGACGCAGAAACCCCTGAGCTGCTCAGATTGCCCATCAGGGATCCTTGAATCCTTCCTCCCGTGCGATAGGACCACCGGCCAAGCCATATCCCCCAATAGTCGACCTAGGCCGCAACAAGGGAAATGGAGGCGCTCTCAGTTGAATCGTGGACGATACTCTCTTCTTCGTTCTGGCAGCCGGCAGTGAGTGTCGAGAAGTAGCTGCTGGCCGAGCTCTCTGACGATGACACCATTACGATCTCTAGTTTTGTTTCAATACTGAAGACGAGCCAAGCCTGAACCGGATGCCAGACTATAGGTCCCACCGCTTGAGGCCCGTTTGAGGCCAAACTTGTGACGACCCTTCTGCCGTTTGTGGGTTTCCTCATCAAACTCCTCATAGCTCGGGCTTTAAATTCGAAGACCCCAGACCGTCTTTAGGGAGGGGCGTCTCCTATACCTCTGGGCTGGACATTCCTATCTTCATATTTTTTTGCTGCTGATCCTCGGTAGACTGGGTTTGACACGTCGCCGGTATGCCACGCCGTCATGATGAAGGCGCACCCTGGTTTGCCGGGCAGGGATTGACGCGACTCCCACAGCCGACTTAGGCATGAGCTTGATCATTCGACATTCGCAATGGCAGACTGCTAGGCACGGGTTCCCTGCTCGTGGTATCGCGTCGCAGAAACACCGCCGCAACATCTCCAGCATCTGCGGCCTCTCCTTGCAGTCTAAGTACGTTGGGCGTAGGGGATGACGCGTCGTCACCCCTAAACTCAAGACAGAATGGCCGTTTGCATGGATTTTACCTATACACATAGCTAGAATGATAGTTCGGATCATTGCCCATGTAAGTTCATCTTCAAGTACATGAAACAAAGCACAATTCTCAGAAGCTAATCAGAAACTAACACCCGATGGACAATTACCTAGATATATAGAGATTCTAATTAAACGCAAGACAATCTTGCTCGTACTTTCTTACCCCTAAACTCCTTTGACGGTACGGGGTACTACACAGCTCCTCTCACCCTGCCTTCCCCTTCCCTTGTGAGGGATAGCCCCTGAGTTTGTCACTGAACTAGTTGCCAGTGGTGAAGGATATATAGGTATATTCTCATACTCGAGCCATATCTGCTGGACAGGAGGGAAGGAAACAAAGGTATGAGGAGTTGGTAAGAGCCTTCATAGACAGCATCGCTCCTGCCGTGTCAACACCGGGCTGACCTGAACTGGTTGACTGTCAAGGCGAAGTTCGGACGGAAACCTGAGTTGATTAAACCTTCACGACCCAGGCTTCTTCCCATTCTGAAAATTTTTCTTCGTTCTCATTTTTTTGTTCTCCAAGCGCTTGTCCGACCGACGCGATGCGAATTTATTCGATCAAATCGAACAAGCAGCAAAATGGAACAGACATTGGAAGTAAGTAAGCCCAGAGTCTCAATCGTCAGATCTTGTCGACTGATGTCGTCTATCTTTTTAGTGCGCCATTTGCGGCGAAAGATTTAACCATGGTGTGACGGCCGTCTGCCGCAACGGCCATCACTGGTGCCGGCGCTGTCTCGGAGACGCCGCGCAAGCGGCTACCCGCAACATCACCGACGCGAGCTGCATGCCGCCAAGGTGTTGTGGGGACGCGGTTCTCCCAACGAACGGTGCCCGGGACCACCGTGCCCTTCGTCAGCTCAGCGCTGGTGTGTTGGCTTCTTAGGAAGAAGCCGTCCGCCAGTTCCGGGAGCTGCGTGAGCCTGTCAGGCCTGGATACCTAGTCGACCGCGGAATGGTCCGGGTCGCTATGAATTCCAGGAACCCCCTCTACCAGTTCTGCCAGAACTGCGAGAGGCTGGTGGCAAGGCAAGAAGGCTGCAATCACATGACTTGTGTTTGCGGCCACGAATTCTGCCTTATTTGCGCGCGTCCATGGGCTGCAGCTGACGAAGGGCAGGGCCTCTGCCACCCGTATTACGGGGCGGAAGATCAGCACCGGTTGCAAATCCCTGCGGCGGTTCAAGCGCACCTCGACGAGGAGGCTCGTAGACCGCCGCCCGCCGTAAGGATTCCCTCCATCACCGTTCCCATCGCGCACCTTACGAGCTCTGCTCGTGTAAAGCATCGCCGCTGACAGTTCTGTTTGATAGCTTGCCCGCGAGACAGACGACCCCGTCGTCTGCCGCCACGAAGAGCGTCTCTTGCTCACCCTGCGGCTGAGGCGGGACCTCACCCGGGAGGAGCGGAGAAGTGCCAGGTGCGATGTCTGCGGGCGGAGTTTCCGGGCCTTTCTCTTGCAATGCCAGGGCTGCAGGGCAATACTGTGCCTGGATTGCAGGGATTCGCTTCGTCGGGAATGTGCCCTAGCAGACTAGCCGGCAAGGGCGCCACCAGGGCTAAGCAACCTGCGCGGTCGACTAATCAACTCGGCCATCATCGGATGAATGTCTTGGGTCCATGTCGTTGGGACTTCGCCCTGTCTTGGGAATACCCGGGAAAGACTCCGCTAGCTGGTGATCTTTCTCGCTCGAGCTGGAACGGTGCTTTGGACTTGGGACCGAATCATTCGGGATACCTCGTTATCAATGCCGTCGCCAACAGCAAACCCATTCACCATCTCCAAGATGATGTTGCGCAGAGTCTCGCCGAGGAACCGGAACTTCCTCCATTCACGGGAAGGGATGGAGAAGGCCGAGCAGGAGCGTACCGAGGAACCGGAGCCTGCATTGCAGGGGAAGGTGAAGGACGCGAACGCGCGCTAAGGAACCGGAACCTGACAGCAGGGGATGGAGAAGGCCGCGGAGCAGTGTGCCGAGGAACCGGAGCCTGCATCGCAGGGGAAGGTGAAGGCCACTGACGAAGAGTGCGCCGAGGAACCGGAGCCCGCCTCTCGGGGGATGGTGAAGGCCGCAGAACAATGCTCCGAGGAACCGGAGCCCGCATCGCGGGGGATGGAGAAGGCGTTGCCACCTAGTACATGGCACACGATCCCAGGGCCGGATCCGGGCCTAGACTTTGATCGGCAACTTTGTCAGCGATCGCATCAACACGAACAATGCCAACAGGTTGTTGCAGGAGAGTACGCTCAAGAACCGGAGCCTGTCTTGCGGGGGATGGAGAAGGCGTTGCCACCTGGTATATGGCTCACGATGCTCAAGGCCGGATTCCGGCGCAAACCTTCATCAACCAATTCGTCACCGACAAGGTCGACACGAACAATGTGAAGAAGCTACTTCGAAAGCCTGTACGAGCTCCAAAACTGTATTTTCTAGATCCGAATACTGATCATTTTCGCAGATTCTGCGCCCGGTCCGTCTGGCGAAAGGAAAAGACGACCTTTACTACACCCCCGACTGGGACCGTCCCAGTCAGGAGGGCGGCTTCACTTTGTAGGAAACGGGTCGAATGACTGACAAGAGTTGGTTATTGACTGGGTTATTGAACTGGAATGGGGACACTGGCGATGGGTGTTGGACTGACGGATTTGAGCTGCGAGCATACGGATAGTCAACCTCGCAATGTCACGTTAACGCCAGTCACTGGAAGCAGTTCTATAAACCGGTCCTTGTGTTGCCAACTGCAGTCTGGTGACTCTCTTCACTCTCCTGTGGATGCACTCGGGGCACTGTACGTACTGGACAGCATCATGGAACCCAAGCCAGTGATGGTGCAGCACTGCAGTAGGTAGTCCCGCAGCCAACTTTCACCAAGAAAGTCTTGAGTGGAGCATCCCAGCTTCAATCCGCAGCAGAGGTTGGGTTGATTGTGGGCACAGCCTCGGCAAAACATCGGCTGATGCGACCCAGGCCGGGGTGCAGGCTGGCGTGCACGGACGTTATCGAAGAGCTCCGAGCGTCGATTGCTTCATTCTCGTGTTTCTGTCCTTCGATTCATCGCGTCGAACGGGCCAGCACTTCCAACAGTGCAAGGTCCCCATTTCGCCATTCTTTATCGACACCTTGCCTTATACAGTAGTGGTTCCCCATTGCTCTAGGCGTCAATAGTTTCTGCGGGTCACATCCCCTTGGCTGCCTTGTAGCAAGGCGATAGCGAGGCATGGGCAATCAACCGATCTAGGCTTTGCCTTGCCTCACCACCTAGCTTCCCTTTCGCTGCGACGCTTGTCTCCCGCCCGCCGCCCGCTTATTTTGCCAGGCTCTCTCAAGTCAACACAAGAAGAGTCTTGCCTTGCACTACCCGCTTTACCCGCATCCACGAGCAGCTACCAGCAACCCCACCACAAACCGTAGAAAATCGTCGCCGAGAACAAGACTTTAGGTCTGCCTATTTATTCTTGCGTGCCGACTACTCCGCCTGCGATTACTTGTTCTCTGCCATGACGACAACGTGAAATCGCCAAAGTTTTCGAGCCTCGAAAGGCCGGCCCGACCGACCGATTCCTCCTTCCAACCCAGCCTACTTCCCCCTCCCGCAATCCTGCCCACGCGCGTCCAGTTCCGCCGATTGATTGCGCAAGAAAATGTCAAACGGGATGGGGGACGATATTACCGGCGAGCCCGCAACCGCTGGTGACTTGCCGCCTGGAGCCGAGCCCTTCGTCATTCTAAAACAACTGGTCGAGCTCGATATCAACTTCCGCGAGAAAAGCATCAGTGGGGTATCGACGATCCACCTATTCACGATAAACCCGGATCTAGATGAGATTACGCTCGATGCCCGCCAGTGCGACATCGACCTAGCGAACATCACCGTTGACGGCTTCAGAACGACGGCGACTTTCTCCGACCCGTACGATCTAGCGCAAACCCCGCGCCACTGGCAGATCGGCGCCGCCCAGCATCATGTCGTGAAGCGCCGGATGGCGCCCCTCAGGCCTGCGCGGAGACCCGAGGTCCCTAACAAAGACCGAATAACGCTCCCTTGCTGCGTTCCCGCGGACCGCGCGCTTAAGGTGTCGCTGCGTCCCAACGGCCCCTTCAACGAGCCTCGGCGAACCCTCAAGATCAAGCCAATGAGGGCCGACAAGGACGCTCCGGTGGACAGGCCAGACCCAAACGACGAGAAGAATGGGATTAAGATCTCCATTCCTTTCCGCTCCAAGACCATCCGTGATGGCCTGCATTTCGTCGGTGTCGATGAGGGCGACCTGAGATACGCTCACGTCTATACCCGTCACTCGATCGAGCCCGGGACCGCATCCTGCATCTTCCCTTGCGTCGACGATCCCGGATCGAGACATCCCTGGAAGATCTCAATCAAGTGCCCGAGAACGCTGGGTGACGCCCTTGAGCAGCCTCTAGCCACGCAGCCAGTGCAAGCGACAAATGACAGCCGGAAACGGAAGTTTGGAGACGCCGTACCCTCAACTCCGCCACCTCATCGGCTGGACGAGGAGGATAAGCTGAGAGAGATGACGGTCGTCTGCTCCGGGAATCTCAGCGGCGAGCAGATAGATCCACAGGATCCCAAGAAGAAGATCATGACCTTTGAGTCTCAGCTCTCGGCAGCCCAGCACATTGCGTTTGCCGTGGGTCCTTTTGAGCATATTCAGCTATGGTCTGAATTTCGCACAGAAGAAGCCGACGAGAAGCTCGGCGCCAACGCTGCAAAGATTCACGCCTACTGCCTCCCAGGGCGGGCGGATGAGGTGCTCCACACGTGCGGCCCCATCGTCATGGCAGCAGACTTTTTCGCCCCCGAGTTTGGACGCTATCCCTTTGAGAGCTACAAGATCTGCTTTGTCGACGATATGATTCCCGATACCACAGCGGCAACATCCATGTCTCTGTGCAGCACCAGGCTACTCTATCCAAGGGATATCATCGACCCGGAAATCGACATTACGAGGAAGTTGGTCCATGCGTTGGCCAGCCAGTACTTTGGCGTCCACGTCGTTCCGAATCAACGCTCCGACAGCTGGCTCATCGTTGGCATCCAGTGGTACATGACAGATCTCTTCATGAGAAGTCTCTGCGGGAACAACTGGTACCGGTTTCATCTCAAGACGTTGTCAGACAAGCTGGTAGAGGTTGACGTCCATCGGCCGTCGCTTCATGATCTTGGGGAGCACCTTCACATTGGGGATTTTGAGCTAGATTTCATGTCCCTCAAGGCACCCCTGGTGCTTTTCATCCTCGACCAGCGCATGTTCAAGATTCCGGGCTCTACGGGCATCGCCCGAGTCATCTCCCAAATCGTCTCTACCGCAAACATCAACGCGGACATCCAAAACACTTCACTCTCGGCCACTGATTTCCGAAAGGCCTGCGAGAAGAAGAGCCAGTACCAGCCGGACGAATTGTGGCAGCAATGGGTGCACAGCGCCGGTTGCCCGAAGCTCCTGATTAAGCAGAAATTCAACAAAAAGAATCTCAATGTTGACATTTCCATTGCCCAAACCCAGGCCAAGGACGGCGGGCCAAAGGCCATCACCAAGGAGGACTTCTTGAAGGAGCTCCTAGAAGAGGTCCACGAGGTCTGGGCGGGGACGGTCCCCAAGCTTTTCACCGGTCCCTTCACTGTACGCATTCATGAAGCCGACGGCACTCCGTATGAGCATTACCTCGCCATCACGGACAAGGACAAGGTAGCCACGACGCTTCAAATCGCCTATAATACCAAGTACAAGCGAATGAAGCGCACCAAGAAGGCCACGGCTGCCGCTGCCAACGCCGCTGATAAGCACGATATCCAGGAGGACGACATCGTCTACTTTAATATGCTGGGCGATGTTCTCATGACTCCCAAGGACATCGAGAACTGGGGTCTTCAGGACTGGTCGGAGAGTGTGCAACTCGCAATGGATCAGGAGTCCTACGAGTGGATCCGGCTGGACTGCAACTTTGAGTGGCTATGCGAGATGATCACCGACATGCCCGGCTACATGTATTTGGCTCAGCTGCAGCAGGATCGAGACGTCGTCGCCCACCAAGACGCCATGCTCTTCTTCAAACGGGGCAAGCGGCATGGGGTTGCGTCCACCATCGAGACGCGGACAGTCATGGACCGCCGGTACTACCACGGCATACGGACCATGGCCATTGAGGACCTCCCGAAGCAGGCGGATCCAGACCTCAACTACATTGGCAAGGCCCAGCTCATCCTCATTTTCCGGCATTTCTTTTGCGACCGGATGGTGGGCAAGAACGGCAGCGTCACGTTTCCTCCGGCGCCCAACAATTTTGAGGACAAGGCGCAGTATGCAGTTCAGTGCGCTCTTCCGGAGGCCATCGCCCGTACAAGAGAAAATGGCCGCTGCTCTCGGGATGCGCGGAACTTTCTGCTCGACTTGCTCCTTTTCAACGACAACAGGGAAAACCCGTATTCCGATCAGTTTTACATTGCCAAGTTGTTGGAGGCAGTCACGACATCTGTCATACCAGACAAGCACGAGGGCGAGGCAGACCTCATGTCGACCCTTAGAATGGATGACGACGACGATGTTGAGCTGAGACGCTTCATTGAGAAGACCATTGAAGAGATCGAGAAGTACCGCCGTATGGACGAGTGGACATCGACCTATCAGAATATCTGGACAACAACGGCCCTGAACTGCAAGATGCGGCTAATGAAAGCCCGTGTCATCCCAGTTGCGCCGCTCGACTTTGTTCAGTACCTTCAGGACGACAATTACGATCTCATCAGAATCAAAGCCTTTGAGTGTCTTGTCGAGCTGGGACTTCTCGCCAAAGTCTCAATTATGAAACTGCTGCTTGCGAATGTAAGCAGCGACCCGTCGCCCTTCGTTCGTGACCGGCTCTTCAAGATTTTCTGCAAGGGCGTGGCAGCTATCGCTTTGGGTGAAACCAAAGCGGCTCAGCCTGACCCAGAAGTCACTGTCGACGACAGCGGCCTGATCATCGAACAGGGTGAGGCCGAGTTGCAACAGAGGAAGCTCGATGCCACCCGGAATCAGAGCATTCACCAAGCGCTTATAGCGCTAAAGGAAGATCTCAAGGGAAACATCGAGATGCAGACTGGAATCTGGCGGGCGGTCGAGTCCCCATGCATCAGCATCAAGGAAAAGTTTCAGCTGCTGACAATCTGTTCGGCCATGTTTGAGCCTGACGACTCCCTCCTTATGACCTTCAACTATCCGAAATACTGGAAGTGCACTCGGGAACCCAGCGTCAACGGGAAGGCGCCCAATGGAAAGAAACAGTGCATCGTCCGGTTTACCACGCATTATCGCACAGAACCGCGGAACAAACTGTTGGTCGAGCTACCGCCGCCTCCTCCGTATGAAAAGCCTGCAGAGACCAAGAAAATCAAGCTGAGCGCCACCAAAGTATCCGTCATCGGGGCTTCGAATAGCCGCCCCCCTACTCCAGGGCCGATCGTTCGCAAAGACTCGATCTCGGTTACAGCGCCCCGGCCGACAGCGCCAGCCCCGGTTGGGGCCCCTTCGGACTCTATTTCCGTCCAGCCCGTCGCTCGACTGTCCACGCCTATCGCGGCATCGCCGCTACCTATCACTTCGTTCACTCAACCATTGGCGCCTGCAGCGAAGGCGGTAGATAAACGACCCAAGGCGCCCAAGAAGCGGAAAAGCGACGAGGGTGATGGCCCTGATCGCCCAAAGAAAGTGGCACGAACGGAGCACGGCGCCAATGGTCAGCGGGCAAAGCTCGTCAAGGTTCCATTCAAGTCCTGGGATAGACTACCTGAGCGGATCTTGCAGAAGATCAGGGCTGAAGAGGTGGTCCGGGCCGAGTCGTCGACTATTGTCGCGACTCCTGTGGCAAAGCGTCCAGTGCTTGAGATTCCAGGGTCTGGAGCGCCGCAAACGACAGCGCGCGCTGAGTCTCCAGGGCCCGCACTCCCGCCGGCCTCGCCAGGTGCTGTTGCGGTGCCGCCGTCAGCGAATGCTAAAAAGCGCAAGCCGCTGCCCTCGGCCGCGCCTCATCATCCGCCGCCCACTCCGACCCTTCCCGTGCCCGCAAGCGGAGGAGGATCTAATCTGCCAACAACCGGAGGTGGCTCTAATCCGCCGAAGAAGCTGATCAAGTTGAAGATCAAGCCGTCCTCGCACATGTCGCCGCCGCAAGCATCTCCCCCCGGCCCGTCACCTAGTTGACAGTGAGAAACCTGCTTGGACGGCGTTTCGGTCATCAGCAGCCGCCCTCTCATTACCCTTCTCAACACCGACATGAAAGGCCATGATCGCCTTTCTATGGTCTCGCATCCTGGGGTTGCGCTTCATCAATAACCAACAGCTTTTGGACGACTCGTGCGTGGTCCAACTGGACGAGTGGGGACCAACAATGGCCAGAACGAAAACGGAGGAAGAAACGCAAAACAACAAGATGGTCCGATTCGGTTTGAATTTTTTTTTGCTTTGTCCAGTTACAATTGCATTACGCACATCACATTTAGCAAGGCGTTTCCGGCTTTTTTTGCTCGGGGTGGTTAGGGTAAAGGTAGACAACGGGTTGGGCTTGGGGGTCCAGCATCGCATAGATGCTGCAGTTTGTACTAGGATTACGTGCTTGCAAAAGGCGTGTCACATCAGGAAGCCCTGAGCTTGCCTTGGGCCGAATAGGTTGTAGGGGAGAGGGAAAGGGAAAAATGGACTCGAAGGGGAAGCTGGCATTGCACCGACCCGGTGGACATGGCGGGGGATAATGGATTACTTGTGTATGTGTGTTGTTGCCCTCGCTAGTTGACATGGCAGACGTGGCCTATTCCGCCCATCTGCATCGTCCTGGCTTTGCCCCTTTCAGGGTTGGGCTTGGGGAGGATGGCCGCATGCATTATGGCGAGATGGAGGATCGGAGAAGTGGTACAGCGTTTGGTAGCGCCGAGTTTGGTTGCGCTATCTTGCAGAGACAATCAATGATACCCCTGTGTGGTGCCGTAATGGATGCAATTGAGTGTTCATGGTGCCACAGCAAGTGGGAAGATCTCCTGTATGCATTCAACCGACCACCAGTGCCCGGTATGTATGTGCCACGCGCCTATGCTCCTGTTGATCATCTTGCGCTATGTGCCCCTGAAATGTCTCATCTCCAAGCACGATGATAGCTGCCAAAACCTCAAGATGCAACCAAACACACACAAGGGAAGCCCAAGATCGGCATCATGTAATATCACGCAGGCGGCCGTCCCCTCCTTGGCGCCGCGACCCCAATCCGCTCTTCCCGGCTCCGCTGCACCCTCGCCTCGGGCGTGACTACATTGGCTGCAGCCGCATTCCTCATCGTCGTGGCGGTTGCGGCTCCTCTCCCGGCCGTCCCGCCGTGGCCGCGTAATAACCGCGACTCCCGCGTCGCTGACACGCCTGCTCCTCCTCCCGGCCCGGCCGCCAAGGATGACAGCTCCCGCTCGGCGGTGCGCTCTCGGGCGGTCCGTCGCTGCGGGGCCTGCGGCGGGTTGTTGCGTGCGTCGCGGGGGAAGGTGGGCGTTTCCGCGCCGGCTGCGGATGCCGATGCTGATGGTACGGGAGTGAGGTGCGGAGGTTGTTGTTGTTGTTGCTGTTGCGGATAGTGCTGACCGCCAACCGCAGCGCCTCCTGGGCCGGGACCGGCAACGTCAATATCCATCCCATCGCCGTCGCCATCACCTTCACCTTCAGCACCATCTCCTTCTCCTTCTTCCTCCCCTTCCCCGTCATCCTCCGGCTCTTCGTCTCCTTCACCTCCTCCTCCATGACCAGGACCTGGACCAGAAGCCTCAAACCTCCCCCGCGCAGCCGCGCCACCCCCGCCAACCCTCCCAAAGCTCGCGCTCACCACCCGACTAGCCTGCGCTTGGGCCCGCGCATAGAACGACGTCTCCGCCTCCTCATCGTCCTCATCATCCTCTTCCTCCCCGGCACCCTCCAACTCGTCACCCTCTTCTTCCCCCGCATACCCACCATACCCATACCGTGCATGACCCCGGCGCATCATAACCATCCGCTTCCTTTCGGTTCGCAGTCGCTGTCCTGCACCACCACCGCCACCTGCAGAAGTTGCTGCTGCTGCTGCGGTAGCGGTTGTTACCGGGGTAGTGGTGGTTGTGGTTGTGGCAGCAGCAGCGGCGGCGGCGGCGCGACGGGCCTGAAACTGTGCATGAGCGGCCTGCAGTGCGTGCAGTGGGTGGTGGTGGTGGTGCCCGCGCTGCTGCTGCTCTTGCTCGGCGCGCTGGGCTGCGGCGCGGTCCTCGTAGTCGGCTATGTCCTCTGCCGTGATGGACAGGACGGTTAAAGGGCGGCGGAGCATTTCTTGGTTTCTTTTTCGTGAATTTACAAGAGTATGTATTACAGAAGAAGAAAAGAAGTCTTAAGAAATTTGCTCTGAGCTTCTGACTGAGCCTGGGTGGTGTGATTTCGGGCGTGTGGTACGTGCGGCAGGAGTAGATGGGCTGGTGAACGGCTCAGTTCGGTCGCGAGTGGCAACCTGAGGGTAAGGTGAATGGAGTTAATGAGACACTATCTTGACCTGGAGGTTGATCTCAAGACGAGTGGCAGGGAATGTTGATGGTGGTGGTAGTGATGGTGGGGTAGCATGTGCCCAAGTGAGTTGTGAATGTGAATGTGAGGTTGTATACAACCGCCGCCGTTATGTTGATAAAATGCTGTTGAGTGATATCAAGCGTCTCCTCCCGAATGAAAGGTAAGAGAAGTATTTGAGGATCTCAATGACATGCACCCTTGGGTTTAGAACCAAAGCTGGTGTACGGATACTTTTTACTGTTCCTTGCTATCAACGCGTCGCAGTCAATGGGTAAATTTGACGCGTTGGTCCCCGAGCAACGATTCATCAGGGTTAGGGTCGATGCCTCTACACAATTGACATGGAGCTCAGAATCACATCATTTCATCATTAGCAAAATACACTTACAGAAATCTTACGGTCCTTCGTATCCTACGGCTCACCTGAGCCAGTGCTGTGACGCTTCGTCTGTTGACCGGTTAAGAGCTCTCCTTCATCTTGCCACATATTGAGCAAGTCCACCACTCCCTCTCCATAACGTTATTGCAGAGCGAACACTCCCAAAATGCCGGCGCCGGCTTTGCAGCAGGAATCGGCTCGCTACGCGTCCCGGGGCGGCTCGTCCTTGGACCGCCAGTCGGCTTCTTCTTCGGGGGACTATCAGTGAGGTCAATTACCTCTCTCCGGGTGTCACTCGCGAGGCCTTCAGTGCCAACCGCACTCCTAAATGCGCAGCTGTGTGTTAGCAATAGTTGCACGGGAGTACGGACCTGTGGCATTTCAAGAGGGGCCAAACCGGGAAGGCCCCCGAGGAGCCGAAACGCCGCAGGCGTCACATTTCTCCGCGTGGAGAGGGTTGTGTAGCGTGCACAGGCTGCAAGCCCAATAATTCTTCACCGGAGACTTTGGCCGTGTAGGGGGCGGTGGCCTTGTTGTGGTCGGCATGGCGGGGTAAGCAGCACGACTCCCAGTGACACCGGTGCCGTAGCCAGCGTTGTCGTACCCAAGAAACGCACCACCACCGTTGCCGAATGGATTCTGGGCGCTCGGAGGGATGTACGAGCTCCCATATTTGCGCTTCTCGTCCTCTTGTACGAGCTCCCACAGAGCTTGAGCGATGGCAGCTTCGTTAGCCTCGTCCTCCTCGGCCTTTGTTCGGAAGCCGTTCTGCTTCCACGACTCGGAAATTTCCTGAATCTCGCGTTCGGAGCGATTCTGTGATCCGCAGCCCTTCTCAGCTCTGTTGCGCCGCTCGATGGACTCAAGAATGACATTGCGGATGTCTTGTCCGGGTGGCGGCCGTGAACCGCCTAGCCTGTGGCCTCCATACCCTTGGGAAGGCTTAGGCTTATTCCTCTCGGCCTCGGCACGAGCCAAGCGACGGATTTCGTCGTATGGGATGCTACGACCGCCTAATCTGCGGCCCTGGCTGAGGAAACCATCACCAGTATAGCCCTTCATCATCAGACCCTCCATCTCATCCCGGAGTTGATCCCACAAGGCGTTGAACTTGTCATCATGCGGCCCGTGGACGATGTGCACAAGTTCGTGCAGCATGGTGTCCAGAATCTCCTCGAACGGCAAGAACTGGCTTCGGTCCCAGTGTTGACGGAGGCGCACCTTGATCTCTCTTCCCCGATCGACGTTTAATCCCAATAAATCGGCCCGGCTCGGATACATCTCTGAGAGTTGGCCCACTCGCCAGCCACGAGCCCGCATAATGGGTTTCACCATGGAAGCCAGCTTCTTCAGCAAGTGCAAGGCTTCCTCTTGACGAGGGAAATCCCGAAGGTGATAGTATGAAAGAATGAGAGGGTCGATTTCTCGAGACATCTTTCGGGCTTTGATAGCTTGACTGGTTGATATCAGTGTGCTCGTGATGCTAGCCTTGCTATCTCGGCTTGCTAGTCGCTTCGTTCTTTCCCTAGGGTGTTGGTTGGGGGTTTGATGGACTAGGAAATGGACACGCGGTCACAGGCACGGTCGGGCTTTAAAAATGAATCAAGATCAACGAGAAAACAACTCTTTTTTTGGGGCCTTTGAACAGCGAGTGTGTCAACCAGGCTAGAGAACAGAGCTTACAACTTACAACCACTGGCAGTGACAGTCCGGCAGCCGCGTCACGCCCTGGCGCCTGGGCGCCGCCTAGCTTGCGTGGCAGAACAGTTGCGGAAGCAGTTGCATCCTGACAAATGGGAAACGAAGCGCACTTCACTTGAAGCGCATGTCTTTTGAATCTTGCCAACTGCTTGCCACCTGTCGCTGCCAGGCATTTGTGGGATGTAACATTGTCATAGACATACCATATCATAGACTTTGGTCACAACAGCCTGCTTTGTACAATACAATGTGATAAAATGTCGTCCCGGCCGTAGGCCTCGGAACCTCTTATTGTTTCGCTTTTATGGCGCTTGGTGGAAGCCGAAGGACCCGAACCGCAAGTGGGTACTCCGTACCCTGGCCCGTCTTCGGTGGCCGGATCGGCGGGACCCCGGGTGCCGTTCGGCGTGCCAAGACTGGACAGCCGAAGACATCCACTCCCCAATGTGTTCCGGGAGCTCATTCGTGATTTGTCCTCGCCGTCTCACATGCACAAATGCCGACGTTGTGGTTCGCCAAGCCAGAGCCAATAGCATTTCCGTCGCATTCTACGTTTTGATGGTATGCCAATGAAGCACGAGTAGCAGAATGAGAACGGCGCATCCGTATTTATTCCAGCGGTTCGGCCTGCTGCATTTTGTGGTCCTGGTTTCACCAGAGGGCAAATTAGGAACAGCATACAGTACATACCGAGATCCACTTGGGTCTGTTTCGAACCGTTGACGATCTGCCCAATCCCTTGGCTGTGACGCAGGGATCCAACGCCTCTCCCGCACTGCAGTTGGCATCCCCCGTTTTTCAACCAGTTTCAGATGCCAAGAACGGGGACAGGCAGTTGGAGATCGGCGCGTTGAGATTCACACACCCCTGAATCGGAGGCCGTCAATCAGCTCGACGATGGAGTTGTTGTTGCTTGGGTTTGCTCCTCGAAGAATTGCATATCAGGTATCTACCTGCCGTACTGTGTAGGTCAGTACTGCAGTGGGATGGAAGGAGCAACTGAATTGGTACAGTAGCACCTGCCTGGGCCAAACGGTTTGGAAGGTTCTGTCCTTTTAAGTCCTCCCCAGGCTCCAATCGAACTCAAGTCACTCGTTGCACCTTCTCGTTTTCAGTTTTCAGCGTGCTTCCTTCCTCGTGGTTGTGTCATCATAGGGATTTATTCCCACAACCCTGCTTTTCGATGTGGTTGAACAATCAACCAAATATCCCACAACCCTTCTTTTGACGTGGTTGAACAGCCGACCAAGTCCATTCATTTTCTCTTCATTTCACATACATCCCTTCCTTCGATCAGATTTTCGTCAGGAAGTGTTCTCTCCGCATACGACAACCTCAAAATGAAGTTGACCCTTCTCTTTGCCTCGGTGGCTTTGGCTGCTGCCGTCCCGCGAGTCGTCCAAGTCCATCCTTCCGACATCAAGGTCCGAAATGTCGGCGGATTGAGCTTCAAATTGACTCAGGTGCACAATGACATGTACAGGCAGCACGGCAAGGGCCCGAGAGCACTCGCCAAGGTTTACCAGAAATACGGCCTTGAGATGCCTGCCACCCTGCGCGCTGTAGTGAGCCAGATCCTCCTGGAGATGGGTGTCGAACTCCCGCACAAACTCCACGATGGCCCCCACCACCACATCGGTGGCGCTCCCTATACCAATGAGACAGACGACGAGGGTCAGTGAAAGAGGTGTTTCGTTTTCTGCTCTGGCCTTCTAACACGTGAACAGGCGAGGTTGCCGCCATCCCTCAACTCTTCGATATCGAGTATCTGGCTCCCGTCCAGATTGGCACGCCGCCTCAGACGCTGAACCTCAACTTCGATACTGGTTCGTCTGACTTGTGGGTGTTCAGCAGCGAGACGCCGAAGAGCCAGCTTGGCGGCCAGGCGATCTATCGGCCTGAGGAGAGTTCTACCTCTCGGAAGCTCGAGAACCACACCTGGGCTATTTCGTACGGAGATGGCAGTCGCTCCAGTGGTAACGTGTACACGGATTTAGTCAGCATCGGTGGTGTAAACGTCTTCAATCAAGCCGTCGAGTCGGCCACCCAGGTCTCGCTCGCTTTCACCAACGACGCGGCATCCTCGGGCCTTCTCGGCTTGGCTTTCGATTCGATTAACACCGTTCGCCCAAACAAGCAACGAACGTTCATCACCAACGCATTGGAGTCGCTCGAGATGCCAATTTTCTCGGCAAACCTGAATAAGGCTGAGCGTAAGCAGTCGACTTTCCCCCACGGCAACCTGTGACGATGCTAATATTACCAAAACAGCGGGTAACTATAACTTTGGTTTCCTCGACGAGACCGAGTTCGTCGGACCGCTCTCATTTGTCGATGTTAACTCCACCGACGGTTTCTGGCAGTTCACGGCCACGGGCTTCAGCATCGGCTCCGGTAACAACTCTTCGATCCTCGTCCCTGTCACCCACTCAGCGATCGCCGACACGGGCACCACCCTGCTCATGGTCCCTTCGGCCATCACTCAAGCGTACTACCGGCAGGTACCCGGGGCCAAGACATCGCCCCAGGCAGGCGGCTATGTCTTCTTTTGCAATGCCACGCTGCCGGATCTGACGCTTCACATTGGCACTTACAAAGCGGTGATCCCCGGCGATCTGATCAAATTCGCGCCGGTGGATACGGACACGTTTGACACGGCGACGGTGTGCTACGGGGGCCTCCAGAGCTCGTCAGGCTTTCCGTTCGCAATTTACGGAGATGTTTTCTTCAAGGCGCAGTTTACCGTATTTGATTTGGAGGCTAAGAGATTGGGATTTGCGCCAAAGGCGAAATGTTAAGGGTTATGAGCTTGGACCTAAGTTGGGGTCGGAGGTTAGAGATGGCTGTGAAGAATTATTCCATGTAAATTATTATGGCTTTTAATGCTTTGCTGCTTCCGGGGAACTGAAAGGTTTAATGGGGAGATTTACACGATAGACAAAAACGGAGAAAGCAGAGGAGCTTTGCGATGATTACCAACAGTATACAGTACCTTGTGTTCATCTGCAACGCTCTTTTGGTCTTGCTAGTCAATCAGGGGGTGTGTTGATGGATGGAGGAGGTTGAAGGATGCTACCATATCCTAGCCCTAACCCTAACCCTGAAGATAGTTAAGTGTAAGTGGCACAGTATCCGCGCATTGGATTGGTACTGAGGACATTGATCAGTCCAACATCAGCCCACGACATCAGCCCACGCCTCTGCCATTACCCCCGACCCTTTGCTTTCTGTTCCCGAGCATTGATTGTGATTGAGAGAACTGTAGCCTAAAGTTACTTAGCGAATTGTGCAACCTCTTGTGATCTCGGGGGGCGTCCTAGCAGCACCTTTTCTATTCACGTCAAACTGCCCTCGGACTGCTCAACCACATCTGTTTTCTTCTCATCTCAGCCCAAAGATGGCCATCGCACACGGTTTTGCCGATATCTGGCGCCGCAGCACTTCTCTCACCTCTCGCACCCTCACCATCCTCGCCCTGACCATCCCCATCCCCCTCATCTTCGTCCCGCGCCTCCTGGCATCCTACCGCACCTACCTCTCCCTCGGCAAGGGCGGCGTTCCGCACAACTTCTTAGGCTACCTCGTCCAAGCCGCCTTGCGGCCCATAGCTCGCACCGACCTCCGTGCCGATCCGCCTCCTTACCACTCCTCCATCGCCACCGTAGCAGAGCGATACGCCCCGCACGGTCTGACCTCCTTCCTTCCTCCCTCGCTCCTTTCCTCTTCTTCTGAGGCCGGAAAGGAGGAGGATATTAGCCCTAGTACTGGCGTAGCCATGCTCTCAATCCGCCGGCCCCCGCGCCCGGAGGTGCCCTACTTTGTCGCGCCGCAGCGCCAGACCAGCCAGGCCGCGGCCGGGGATGTGGTCTCGCGCATGATTTGGTTCCTGAGGGCGCTGGCGGAGCAGAACGCGGAGTTGTTGGAGATTAGACCGTCGGGTTTGGAAGGGGTCGGGACCGACGCCATCTTCCTCAAGGCGACGGCGACGGCGACGGCGCCGCCAAGGTACATGGGCATGGCCAAGGCCGAGATTGTGCACGTCCACCCCGAGGGCAGCTCACACGTCACGCTGAGCTTGGTCGATGCCGAGGCGGCGGTTAGGGCTGGCTGGTGAGTTTTTTACTTTGTCTAGAAACCACTGAATATTCGATGTGGTTGTGTCCTTCCGCATAATGGAGACTAACTGACTGACTGGACTAATACATTTTAAAGGGCGGAGAGGCATCCGCTCACCGGGGTTCGTGAACTGTTGCCGTGGGGTTACGTCTTTCTCTACGCGCCACGGGACGATGCTGAGTATGAAGTTTGGAAAGGGTTGGTTGTGGCAGGTTGTAGCTTTGTCAGTGGCGGGAAGGAGATAAAGGGGTCCGATTCTAGCGCTTGAGGATCCTTATGTGCTACTAGTATCATGGAATGGTTTCTGGTTGGAAGGACCGGTATACTGATATCATTTTGATGCAGTGCCGACACTAGAATAGCTCCTACCCGGTCGCTACGAGGGCTCAAACATGGAACCCGTTCACGTAGCCGCCCCAACTCATGTGCCCATCAAGAGTTCAATGCTCAAAAATACAGTTACATCTACTCCAAGCTTCCGATAATGACAGAGCTCAGGACTTGTGTTACAGTTGACGCCTTTATCCCCCAAGTAAGTCCCCTGTTGACCTGTTTTGGCGGTCCTTGAACGTCTGAACGTCTGAACGTATACCTGTGTGAATCTAACCGTCGGCGTCCTTCTCTTCGTATGCCACTCTTATCCAGAATCTATGCCAATAACCGCAATTGTAAACCTTGTTCCAAACCGAAGCCCCGTTATCTACGCCACTGTCTGGACATATCCTCCAACTTCCCGACATTCTCCTCCGTCAGCGCCTCCCGGGGCGCCGATGGGCTTCTCGAGCGCTCTCTGCCGTCCGCCATTTTCTGTTCGCGGCTGACATCCGCCACCGACTCGTCCTCGGTTAACCCGTAGGTCAACTGCTGCATCATTTCCGAGTCAAACTGGTCCTGGCTGGACCCGCCATCTACAGACGGCATCGTCAAGTCAAGCGAAGTGGCGTACTGTGTGTCCACGATGGCTTCACACTTGGACTCTTGGATTGGCACCGTTATCGTCGGCAAGCCGCTGCTGTCACAGATACTAGTAGAATTGCGGTCTGCCATTTCTAGGCCACCGGCGCCCTCAACGCCAGTCAGTTTGGCCTTGGCGCCCACCTTGCTGTGCTCGGAGCACTCCGACCCGCTCAACCCCGCCGGCGTAGAGGTATTCGACCGCCCTTTTGTGCTCCATCGGACGAGCATTTTCTCTAGAACCTTGTTCCTGACCGGCTTGGAAAGGTAGTCGTCCATGCCAGCCCTCTTGCACTTTTCCCTGTCCCCCTGGATAGCCGAAGCCGTCATGGCCACGATCGGGACGTCGCTGATGTAGCCCTTGTAGGGCATGTGGTGTCGAAGAATGTGCGTGCATCTATAGCCGTCAATGACGGGCATCTGCACGTCCATGAGGATGATATCGGGCTTTTTCTTTGCGCCATCCTTGGCGGCGGCAATATAATCCACCGCTTCCTTGCCGTTCCATACCGCCGTTGCCTGGAAGCCGAGTTTTTCAATCGTCTTGAGGGCGTATTGTTGGTTGACGGCATTGTCCTCGACAACCAAGATGTGCACGTTGGCTCGCGCAGAGTAGGGGAGTTCTTCCTCTGGCGCGCCCATGGCCCCAAGGCTGCTAGCAGAATGCCGCCAGGCCGATCGGCTGTTGTCTGCTAGGGGTCGCCCTCGAGCTCGAGATGGAGGGGGAAGCTTTTGATCATACTCGGAGCTATGGCAAGACACGCTCCTCTCTGACTGTAACCGCTCTGACAAGGAATCTATCGCCACTGTATTTGCCTCCCCCCCTCGCCGTGGTTTGTGGAAGGGTATCCAGAAGGTGGCGGTGGTACCCGCGCCCAATGTCGATTCGAATGCCATACGCCCCTTCATCAACTCCAAAAGATGCTTGCATATAGTCAACCCGAGTCCCGTGCCGCCAAATTTTCTCGCCGTTGAAGGATCGCCCTGGCTGAACGGTTGGAAGAGCCGCTTCAGAACCTCTTCTTCTATCCCGATCCCGGTGTCCTCGACGACGAACTTGATCTCGATCATCTCCGCCGTCTCCTTTTCTCTCAAAACCGAGAGCCTCACATGACCGTGGTTCGTGAACTTGATGCTATTTGTCAGAAGATTGGTCATGATTTGTCGCACGCGTCCGGGATCGCCCATGACCAGGAGGTCACTCTCAATGTCGGCTGCAAGATCGCAATAGAATCCAAGGTTTTTGCGATCGGCCGCAAAACTAAGCATCTTGCCCACATCCTGTACAACTACGGGAAGGGAGAACTGCACTTCTTCTATGTCCAGCCGCCCGGATTCGACCTTGGAGAAGTCCAGAATGTCGTTGATGACCGTCAAGAGGGCATTGGCTGAACGGTAAATGTTTTCTGCGATCTCACGCTGCTCCTCTGAGAGATCGGCATCGAGAAGGAGCTCGGCCATCCCAATCACTCCGCTTATTGGAGTACGAATCTCGTGCGACATCTGCGGTTGATTAGTACAGTTGGGACGCTTACGGTTGACACATTTGCGCCTCACATTTGCAAGAAACTGACTCTTCAGCCGGCTAGCTTCTTTAGCAGCGGCCTCGTTGGCAAGCAACTGGCGTTTTTCCTGAGCCTGGGCTTGGAGATCCTTCTCACGGGCCTTGAGCTCGGTGACATCCATAATGAAGCCTGTCACGCCTTCGATCACCGTCGCCTTGGCACCTTTTTCACCGTTTGCCCTTCCAAGAATAGGTTTGAGACGTGTGCGATACCAACGCCCCTCTATGTTGGCTATTAGTAAGGTCCGGAGCAGTCCATAGACGATATAAACTTACCAATCTCGTGTTCCTCGAGGTCCTCTGGAATTTTCCCTGATAAGATGGATTCGACGGCTTCCAGAAGGGCCTTTGGGGGCCGCGGACTGAGGCGGCTGAAGACGTCATATACATTCTCACCGACATATCGCCTCGACGCATGGCTATCACTGAAAGTGTCCCAAATCATTGCTCCTTCAAGCATGGTGATCTTGCGTTCGGAATCCACAGTGAACATGGTCATGTGCGATTCTGCAATGACGCCGAGAAGCTGCTGTCGGATTCTCTTGGACTCGTTCTTTGTCTCAATGCTCTCGTGAGCATCGGTGCAGGTGCCTGCGACATATGAGCATACGCTGGTTTTCAAGGGGGATCTAGATCTTAATACCAAACCATTTCTCGACGACCCCAGTTTGCTGGTTCTTCAGGGGAAGCGCTCTGCCGAGGAACCATCTCCATTCGCCATCCTTACGGCGACAGCGATACTCCGTTGTGTAAGGCTCGCCCGTCTCGAGACTTCGCTTCCAGCACTTCTCAGCCGCGGGCAAGTCGTCCGGATGGAACGCGTTCATCCAGCCCGAGCCAAGGGAGTCTTGCTCAGACAGCCCGGTGTAGTCATACCACCGGCTGTTGAAGAAGTCGTGTGAACCGTCTCGGGTGGCCGTCCACACAAGCTGTGGCATTGTGTTGCATATTACTCTGAAGCGTTCCTCTCCTGCCGCCCGGATCTGACTGATTTCCTCGATCAACTTTGTCACGTCTTTGCATGTTACCACGCCAGCTAGGAACTCTCCAGTGTTGTCGTCTCTGAGAGCGGTCCCTTCCACATCGAATACTAACGGCTGACCAGCTACATCATGCATACCGATGCGTCGACTCGCGAAGGGTGTCTCAGCCCGAATCAGAACTGCCATGGGCCCCTCGCTGGGCTCTAAACGTCTGCTAAAGTCGGGTGCCCAAACGGTCCATGTGGAGAGCAGATCAAAGCCGTCGATGTTGTTCTCCTCAAAGTCTGGTTTCCCAATCAGAAGATTGTACGCCGCCCGGTTGAGGAACGACACGCTGCCATCCTTCCACGTTGCGGCAATTGGTGTCTGAATGTTGTTGAGCATGGCGTCTTTCATCACGTTGATCTTTTGTGTTTTCGACAAGGAGTGGGGTGCCGAAGACGCTGGCGAGGGGGCTAGAGGTGCAAAGGGATCCGAAAAGAGAGGGCCACCTTGATGGACCGCTACCGAGGGGGTTTTGGAGCTGTGATCGGGTGCAACCGAGGGCGAGGCGCTAGCAGCCGGTGACGAAGGCGCCGGCCTGATATCTGTGAACGTGAGAATGAACAAAGTTCTCTCTCCCTCATCGTCACAGACTGAGACGTCCATCTTGGCTCGAAGTGGAGGTGCAGCGTCGGTCAACGGCGACAGAGATTCACGCCGGCCGGTCCCGGCAGTAGCCGGCGAAATGGTGACATCCAGGGCCAGATGCAGCGGCAGACCTCCTTGAGGGTTGTCGACACCGTCTGTGTTCCCGTCTCTGTGGGCCCGCTTATTGTTCTTTCTGGGGCCCATCTCAACGGCAGCTTCGTCGAAAAACCTCTTCCAATCGAACCAAACGTGACGGCCATCCTGGACAAGGTCGACGCCGACCTGGGTCAGCGATTTCCCAAGGAGATCGTCCATGCCTAACAATCGCCCCATCGCCTCGTTGGCGAGCACGACTGTTTTCTGGACACCTAGGACGAGAACTGGGATGGGGAGGGACTGGACAGCCGCAGAGGCGACTTGGCTTTGACTGACGGGCTTCATCGAGAGGGGGGGTCTAGTCGCGTAGTGCGCTTCTTGGCCGGCCGACGACCCTCGCAGTGAGTGCGTCGTTGCGCTCGAGCGAGTCCCATCGAAGCCATCTTCAAAGACATCTTCGAAATTAGACGACGATGTCGCACTTCCGTCCACCTTAACAATATGAGATTCGCCGTCCCGTCTCGGCAGTGTGTGAGGGCGGAGCGGGATGAGATCGGCGTCGGATTTGGAGCCGGTATCGGAATCTGCGATGGCCTGGCCGCCCTGTAAAGAAGGTTCACTGCCCGGCATTGCATCAAATCCTTTTGGCCTGCTATACGTTCTAATTCAACCGAGGCTGGAAGGCATTGCAGGCGCTGCAGGAGGCTCTGGCATCAGTTTGTGTTTTCAGCGTCGTCGAGTTCGGAATAATGGCAGGGCCAGCGCAAAGGGGACAATGGATGTAGGGCAATTGATTGAGAAGACCAAGTCTAATGCAATGAATAAGCTGACTGGAGCCCTAGGAGATTCAAAATAAAATCCACTGCCAAAAGACTTCAAGTTTCAACAAACACAACCAACCTTGGAAGCTTTCTGCCCTGGTCCGGGAGGCAAATGCCCCTCCATCGTGAGCGCATCCCTTCTTTTGCGGCATCGAGCAAAATTAGCAAATATCATGGCTGCAGCATCAGTCCCCTCTGATGTCATAGCCATCGCAATTTCTCAGCCCACATTACATACGAAGGCCCGGGCCAAAAGTCTTTCCACACTCCAGATAATGCGTGCAGGAACCACACAGTGCTCCGTTCTTTGAGATCTCCAACAAACTTATAGAACCCCTGCAAGCCGAGGCAGGTGGTCTCAGCGTTCTCGAGTGCCACAAGAAGCTTAGCATTCCAGCGATGTTCAGCGAGCTAGCCACATCTGAGAATACCGTGCGACTTTGCGTGCAGGATCGAGAGCATTCACTGTGTAGCTTGTGCGCTATCTTGAGTGTGGAAAGACTTTTGGCCCCGGCCTTCGTACACATGTGTACCTTAGTGTCCATGGGCACACTGTATGTACTACACTAGCGTAGGCGCTGCAGTGCGTTGCAGGACGTGCACACCCGAAGGCGTCTTTGAGCAGCTGAAGGCAGGAAGCCAGGGGTCACTTCATTGGAACGGCGGTCCAGGCCTTGAGCTCCCAAAGTGGGAAATTTGGGCGACTATCATCCGTCCCGGACCCTGACGAGCCTGACCACCTCACCCTCGAGCCACCCTGCCACCCACTGAACGGGGTGGCTCCCTGCCGACAATTTAATTGGCACTGCAAAACTGCTGTAAGCTGGAAAGCCTCAACAACACACTTCAAACGGCTGCAAATTAGATATCAGAATCTGCTCTAAATAGCTATTGATTGCTAGTTATCTACTCATCTACTTCTAGGCATTCTTAAGAAGTTCTTGGGAATTGAATTACACCCATTTGTTGTTGATTTCCTAAGCTTATAGATCCTAGAACCGTTTTTGCAGTGCCAATTAAATTGTCGGCAGGGAGGGTGGCAACCATCTTGTGATATGTTAAGATGCGTGTCTTCGGCATCTGGCTTTTCCCTGTCCAGATCGTCGAATCGCAGTTTAGACGGTAATACAACTAGCTTATTGACTATAAGGATCGGTACTTGTACTGTACAGTACCTGCCACATTACACTTGACTGGACTGTAGTATATGTAGACACAATACAGTACTGTAAAATATTCGTACGCTATCGGTGCTGTACTGTACTCGTAACACCACGCTAGGCCCTGCTGCCACTTTGCATAAGGGTCCCCCGGGTCTACCGGTAGTGTAACATTAGTGTAGGTTAATGTACCTTAGCTAATCATATGATGTCATCTAGGCTGGGGCCCACTGCTTGCTTACCAACTGCCAACTCAGAACTGGCGTTGTGGAGTCGTCAACAATTGAGTGGCATACTCCGTACTTGACAGACAAGACAGACATACTCCGTACGCACACTCGACACACTAATAATCATTGTGACGGAACCATTTCATTCAATTTGAACCTCAATCAAGCGTTAGGGTTCAATTGTAAGTCTCCAGAAACAACCTTTTGAACAATGGCGTCAAAACACTCCTCGAAGCGCCTCTTCAAGGGGCACCTTCGAGACCCGCCGCAGCCCTCTGCCGTCCTGTCCGCCTATTCACAAGCCTCCCGACTGAAGAACGAAACGAGCGTCAATCCGCCTGGAGGAGAACAGGGTAAGTATCACAGAACCGTTATTTGTGCGGCTCGATCGATGTTTAGAGAGGCATGCAGTTTATTACAGGAAGGTCTCGTTGACCACTCTTCCCCATCCATTCGTCGACCCTGGTGATGCCTTCGCTCAATTGAGGCGCCAATTGCTCCGCGAGTCATGAACAGAACCGGGCCCGTTCCTACACTCTCCCGGTTCTATGTCCAAGCATGAGCAGGGCTTAGCATCGTGTATGATACAAATCGAAATGATGTACCATCGCACACTCAACAGCGGGTCGGAGCATAGAGAGAAACGCCAGGTTTGGAGGGTATGGTAAATTAGCAACCGTGCACGTGACAATCACGTGGTGTCATGCCTCTAACGATGATGCGGGAAAGGTGGCCAGAGTTGCAGCTTGTGAAACCTGACAGGGTTTGCCACTGGGCGAGGCAACAACTCGACTCCGCTGGAGACGGCCTACTTGCACCGCTCTACCCCGCCAGACCGGAACAACAGTTTTCTTGAGAACACTAACGTTGGGCTCTCACACAGCCGCACGTGGCGTTCTGAACTCTTGAACTGAGGATCCCTCCCAGTCCCAGGAGACAAACCCCCGAGAAACAGACGACAGATTCTTCCGGACCCGCTCCAGTCCCGCCACTTCGCTTGTCAGTCGCTCCCGGGACGTGCGACTTGAAGAAGGCCGAGAACTGACGTCCAGACCTCGATACCAGCACAAAATCGGGACTGCAGTTCATCGTCCTAATTGCCGCGGCCATGGAATATAGGGAAAAGAGAGAACATCATCATCTCGGGTCCTGGCCTGCCATTTCCGTCGCCCACTTGTTGTAGACATGCCGAAAATGTGCACCGCATCTCCAACAAATCCCCACCTCGATCTTACATGGTTGTGCGTTATCCAGGTCCCGTCCCCACCCAGATTTAATTGCACTTCCAGGGCACACAAGCCACACGCCACAAGGCCCACTGTTAGTGCAAACCCTCGAATTCCCAAGTGCAAACTCGCAGCGCAACGTATACGCAACTTGAATGCGCAATCAAGCATGTAAAAAATACTGCGTTGCATCCTCTTGCTGGAAAAATATTGGCCTTTTATACTATGGTTGTGCACTTAGATTTGAATGAGTTGATAGGAAATTGCGGTGTTTCTGCGACCGGGTGAATTTGGTGTAATTCGAGGTTCAGTTTGGAGGTAACAGCTGGCTCGAGCGTCGCGTTGCGGCGCCCCAGGGCGGGAAGGCCCCACATGCCCAAAAGGGGGGGTGATCAGCGGGACCTGGATAACGCGAGCCCTTACATGTACCTGATCCCCCCGCATCGGAGGGTCAAGACGGTTGCCAGGAAGCCGGGCTATTCCTAGGCTATCCTTGCAACCATCCGACTTTCGGCCAGAACGCTCCTCACAATCATGAACCTGGGAGAGGACAAAGGATAGGGACTGGTGCCAAATTCGTTGCCCCATGAAGACTGGCTTGGGTGGTGGGTACATGGTACATGCATACATGGTGGACGCAAACGGTCTCATTCGATTCCCGGGCTTTGAGTCGGCACATCGGGACCCCTCACTCACTTCCATCCACCAGAGCGGGAGGACATGGTGCTAACCGGAAACATACCATCCCCGGTTTGATTCCCCCCTTCGATCTGATATCCTTTTCATTCATCGCCCAGCGCCCCGGCGTGTTCTTGCAGTCTATGTGTTCTCCTGCTCTGTCGCCATCAACCCAGAATATCCTTTCTCGTTTTCGCCATGGCCCAAAATCATGTCAGCGCCGGCGGCTCTCCGGTTCCCTTTCTCATCAATGGCGAGCAAGTTCTCCCAGAAAGGAAATTCGATGTCGTGTCTCCGGCAACTGGCAAGGTCGTCCACCAGTGTGCTAGCGCCACCGAGGCCGAGGTCCGCTCCGCTATCGACGCGGCAGCGAATGCTTTCAGAAGTTGGAAGAAGACGCTGCCTCGTCAGCGCCGGGACATCCTACTAAAGGCCGCCGAGATAATGGAGAGGAGAAAGGAGGAACTTGCTCAGTACATGATGGACGAGACGGGCGCCGCACCGGAATGGGCCGGTTTCAATGTCACTATGTCCAAGGAGATTCTCCTAGATGTTGCCGGCAGAGTTGCGGCCGTGGAGGGTAGTGTTCCCCCCGTGGCGGACCCAAACTCGGGTGCCATGATTCTGAAGGAGCCTTATGGAGTTGTTCTCGCAATAGCCCCTTGGTAGGCCCACCTGTTGCGGCAAGTGCAAAGGATCCATGGCTGATTCGTGTAGGAATGCCCCCTATATTCTTGCCATGCGCTCGGTAGTGTTTCCCATTGCCGCCGGTAACACCGCCATCCTAAAGGGCTCCGAGCTGTCCCCCCGGACCATGTGGGCTATCGGCTCCGTGTTTCAAGAGGCCGGCTTACCGGCCGGTGTCCTGAACCTGCTGTACCACGAGCCGGCAAACGCGCCGGCCATCACCCAGATGCTCATTGCTGACCCCAACATCAAGAAGATTAATTTCACCGGCAGCACCATGGTAGGCCGCATCATCGGCAAGCTAGCTGGAGAGCACCTCAAGCCCGTGCTCCTCGAGTTGGGTGGGAAGGCCCCGGCCATCGTATGGGAGGATGCCGACCTCGACAACGCGGCGACGCAGTGCGCTTTGGGAGCCTTCCTCAACTCAGGACAGATCTGCATGTCGACCGAGCGGATCCTGGTTCACAAAAATGTGCGCGCTGAATTCGAGAAGAAGCTTGTTGGCGCCATCGACGCCATTTTCGGTCAGTCCAAGGACGCGCCCGTTCTGATCAACAGCACTGCCGTCGCCAAGAACAAGAAACTAGCCCAGGACGCACTCAGCAAGGGCGCTTCGCTCCTGTACGGCGACATCAACGCCGCAGAGGCCAACGGATCGCGCATGCGCCCCATAGTCCTCAGCGACATCAAGACGGACATGGATCTTTACAAGACGGAGAGCTTTGGCCCCAGCGTGTCACTGTATGAGATCGAGACGGAGGAGGAGGCCCTGCGCATCGCCAACGACACCGAGTACGGCCTCAGCTCGGCCGTCTTTACCGAGGACCTGCGCAGAGGCCTGCGCTTCGCCAAGGAGATTGAGACGGGCGCCGTGCACATTAACAGCATGAGCGTCCACGACGAGAGCACGCTGCCCCACGGCGGCGCAAAGGCTTCGGGCTATGGCAGGTTCAACGCCTCTGTGGGCCTGGATGAGTGGGTAAGGACAAAAACTGTCACATTCAAATGGTAGACGGTTTACTCCGTTGATTCGGTTGGTTTTCCTTGCTCTTGGGCGGACTGAAGGCATGGCTCTGGTAGCGCAGCGCGGGTTTTCGATACCATTTGGTTGGATAATCGAGCGGCATCTTGGTTTACGCGCGGGACGGATTGTGTATGTACTTTAAAACGAGCCAATGGACCACCATCCATTCGGCGTCTTGCATGTACTAAAAGCAAATTGGTGGTTTTCTTTGACATTTCAAAAACAGACGTCCCCAGCTTCCACGCTACGGTATGAGGAGAAACCATTTCGAAAGAACCGCCGTGATTCTACAACTTAGCAGTTTCGGCGCACTCGTCCGCATCGTTCTCGTCGAGCTCGAAGCAAGAACCGGAGCTTGACTTCTTGTGCAGCAAGGCTTGCTCTAGGTCTTCCGTAGGACTGTTCAGTACAACAAAGCCAGTAATAACCGGAAACAGCTAGGTTAACCGTTGGCGGTGTGGTCTGCAGTGCCGTCAGGATACATTGATTGTGCTTCTAGCAATTGAAGCAGGCTTCCGGTTCGTGAACCCGTGGCTGCAACAGTCGTAAGTGTACTCCTGAGACCCCGACTGCCAAGCTCACCCTTCGTACGTACCTCTGCGACCTTGGCTCCACGGCCGGGAGTGTGTATTGTATTGTACACGGTGAGCTGTAGCGCTCACCGAATCGCGATGTCTTGTCCGGTCACACCGCAGTGTGGTTGCACAGCAGAGAGGCATGGTCATTGGCCAAGGCCCCACCGCTGGCGTCATCACCGCTCACTTGGCCTGCGGGTGTCCATGTTTTTTGAAACCGACGCCGTCACGGCACCGGTGGCCGCGTGTTTACTGTAGATTGCCTTACACTATGACTGCCATTTTGTTGTCTGCTCTGTGCATTTCGTCCCATTTCAGATGCCGAAAAGAGGCAGAAATGAGGCAATTGAACGGGGAAGAATGATGATGTCGGTGGAAGCAGGATGACGTACGTACATACATACACACGAGACGGCATGAGAGACATGGTACGATGTCCGTAACGTTATGTACGTATCATACCTAGGAGGCAGTTCTTGGAGGATATTTCAATGTATGCTCGTCCCGTGTCAACGATTTTTGCTGTCAGTCTCGCTGTCCACTGTCATCTGGATCTAATACTTAGCGGCAAGACCCAACATAGCGCTGAAAACAAGCCAGCCCGGAGGAGGCGGTTGTTGAAGGGTGCGAATGTGAAAGGTGTTGCCTCTCAGTTCTGATACTGGCCGTCAGGGAAGCTCTAGCTACCTGTATGTACTACCTAACGACGCCGTTAATGTCACCGCCCGTAACATGAACTGTTTGGAATGCCAGCTCAACCGCGACAGAAGTTCTGCATCAGGATCTTCGGATTGATGCGCCGGGCAACCCCACTGAGGTTATTTGGTGGGGCTGATAGATAATTGACCAATGAGAGGTTTTGTTGTTGGTGAAGCTCGGACGGAGTTGACGATGCCGCCTCGGAAGAGATGAACTGGATAAGGAAACCTGCCTCTTGCCTAAACAGGATTGGCTCCCCGCAAAACCCAACCTCCTCGGTTCTGCTCAAATGGAACTTCGCTGCCCTGTTTCCGACTTTCCGTTGACTCTCTATTTCCCAATTTCATACCCGACTGTTCCGCGCCGACGCGTCCCGGGAGCTAGGTAGCCATATTCCCACGTCCTTCAACACTAGACCTTTTCGACAACAATGCGGTCCATCGTACTCGCCGTTGCGACGGCACTCACCACGGCAGTGGTCGCCCAGAATAATGGTACACTCTGAAACACTTCTCGCCAGCGATAAACGCATTCAACTGACCTTGTGGCACAGGCACCTACAACGTTAACCCGTCCACCGTTGATCCAGGACTCCGGGGTAAGGATGTTAGACATGCTCATTCACTTGCCCGACTGACGAGTGGATAGTCGAGTGGTGCAGGGCGCAGTTCAGCACTTGCGGGACGCTCTGCGCTGGCAGCCCGTCGGCTAACGACTGCAATTCTGTATGTATTTCTATCTCTCTTGGACCGAGCGGTTTACTAACAAGGTGACTGCAGAACACCCTCACGTACACTTGTACCTGCGCAAGCAATAACTCTGAACCCGGTCTGATTTACTACACGCAGACCCTGCCCACTGTGAGTCCTCTGGCATAGCAGTATCCTGTCAGATTCTGCTCGACCAGTGGCTAGTCGGCTAACCTCAGCCACAGTTTCTCTGCGATCGAGCCTACTCTGACTGCGTTGCGGCGAACACGTCCAGCGCCCGGGCTCAGGAACAGTGCAAGACGGACATCAAGGATCATTGCGGCACGTTGGACCCCAACAAGGCTCAGATCGACAGCGGCTCTTCCGCATCGGAATCAACTACCAGCGCCCCCGCGTCGAGCTCGGCCACCGGATCCCCGACTGCTGCCTCCGGCGGTGCTGCTAGCACGTCGAGTTCCAGAGCCGGCGGCCCTACCAACGCGGCCTACATTGGAAATGGCGTCGCGGTGGTTGCTGCCGGTCTTTTTGCTGCTCTGCTCTGAGCGCAGCGGGGAAGCCGAACGGAACGCGCTATTTGAAACTGCATACCATACATTGCACGGCATAGAATATATGCAATCGCGGCTTAAGAGCGCCCCGGCTTGATCAGTATTCTGCTTCTCGTATTGATTTTCCCTCAATTTCTCCTCTGGACAGGTTTTATTTTTCATCGGCTACACCGTTGGTCCACAATACCCGACGCCGGACTTGATACGGTGGTACGACCGGGAACTAATGCGCACGAGAAGACGATGGCTCCGGATGACGATAATAGGAATGATGGTGATGGCACGAGCAGAGTTCAGGTGGTTGATGGCGATTGAGGGACGTTGCTGAGGCGGTTTCTGAGATGCTACTGATGAAAAAGAGAAAGAGTTTATATCCATTTGCTGTTCAGGTTTGACTCCCAGCTTCCAGCGCCGTGATGTGAATGACACTGAAGGAGTCGTGCCGAGCAGTGGTGTGAACACGGTGGCACGCCCATTGTTGTTGCATCGATCTGCCCGAGTCCTTTGCTCCAGGCTCAACCCCCTTTCTCTCCCAGAAAGGACCTGCCTATGGTTGTCCATTGTCAGGGCTATCTGCTTTCCTTATAAAAGGGATACAACAGGCCTAGGTTTTTTCCTTTCTGGCACCATCACAAACCTGGTTAGCATCTAGCAATGGACTCTGAAATGGACTTCACCTTTTGCCGCTTTCTGTTATGCGGTCTTGCACCGCCAAATGGAGTCGAAGACACGGAAATTGCCATGGAGGGCAGGCGAACCGCCACAGAGGTGGGCGGGCAAATTACCACGGAGGAGACCACGGAGGAGGGCGGGCAAACCGCCACCGCGGAGACCACGCTTAATGCCACAGAGGGCAGAGGACACTCACCAAAGCTTCCGCCAGAGGTCATTAGCAGGATTATTGTCGAATCTGTTACGGAGACTTCTGAGTGCGCGCTGAGCCTCGTCTGTCCCGAGTGGAACCTCTGCCACCGGAGGCATGCCGAGCTTGAGCAGATCCTCCGCTGCACCCGCGTGGACACGTTCACCCTGCCTTCTACACCCGGCGAGCGGGGACATGTGTCCACGACCTTTGGACATGGCCCTGAGGACCACATCTGGCTTCCCCGGATGCGGGATCCCCGCCAAGAGGCCTTGACGGCGGAGGGTGGGCTGCCCAGCTTCTACCGCCGCGAAGTTCTCCGCGAGTGGGTCAGGAACAGCGTGATCGTCGTCGACCAGGAGATAACGGAGATCGACTGGCAGGATTTTCCGCCCTCGTTCGCCCAGAAGGGCATTATCCTCCGAGAGAAGGACAAGATCAGCTTGCTGCCCTTCGTGGACGATGTCCGCTATCTCTGTAGGAAGCGCGGGGTGACAGTGGAAGCAGTGTATGGCGTAGATGGCGTGGAGAAGGATCGATTTCCGCGCATCGTGACCGGCGCCGGCGGGGTCGGACATGGGAATGATGAAGAAGAGCAGCCGGAGTATTTGTATCGCCGGATTCGCCATCTGGTTCTCAATACGATACCGGACTTCGCGACGCTGAGCCTTTTGGAGGTCAGCACAAATGCTCCGGCTTCTCTTGGTGAATTCGTCCGCCGGAATATCGATTCTGCAATCCCCGAGGAATTCGCGTGGGAGGACAGGGTCGAAAAGAGGTTGGAGTTTGAGCGCAGGGCGAACCTTTGTCTGGAGTGGAGCAGGCTGACGGACCTCGAGTCGCTGTTCGTTGACCTGAGGGGTATTGCGCATTCCGAAGGTTGGCGTCGGAAGCCTTATGTGCTCTATGAGCATGTGGTCGACTTGGCTTCCTCTCTGCAGGGGAAGGGGTTGAAAATCTTGGTGATCGCTGGCTTGAGGTCTGAGGGGCGGTATCCCGGGCCTGAGCCAGCAACAATCATCGAGATTGACGAAGGTGAGTGGGATCCAGCCACGAAACTGTGGCGGGTAACAAGAGGTAATAAAATCAACTGGTGGAGGTTGTTTCGCGGTGCGGTCCGGCCCGGCGGACGGCTTATCCTTGTAGACAAGCGACAAGGCGATGGCTCATTGACATGGAGCTAGTTCGACCAGAAGCCGAAGTCTCTTGTTTACTTGGACTCAGGGGTGGGAATGACCACCGTACTAGTTACCTCTGAATTTGCGTACCCCCTACCTCCCCTTCCCCCTTCCCCCTTCCCCCTTCCCCCTTCCCCCCTCTTCCCTCTTCCCTACCCTCCCAAAAAGCCCCCAAGCATCCAAGAATAAAGAGAAAAGAAAAGAAAGATGATTTATATGAAAAGAGAGATACCCCAGAAAATATGAAATCATGTAGGAAGCCTTCGTACAAGCACGTGCTATGACTTTGGTTAGCCCCATTATCCTACCTACCCTCCTTCCCTATCAGCTAAGTTGTCCAAGTTCGCTTTGTCATCACGATCATTCCGTTCCTCCTTCCATCCTCCTTTCCCAGCTAACCACCTAAGGTAACCTGTTAAAGTTTGTCATTAGCAGTGAATGACACAACCCCCATTCAAGCTGCATTCATCTGCATGCAGCCTGGTGCGGGGCAGCTCTATCGCCGGGCACTGGCTGTTTCTGCCTGACAGAATTGCACATTCTCAAACACGACTCAGCTCACAGAGACTCACACGGCTTGACAGGCGATTGGTCAGTTCCGATGGCTGATGTGCGATGTGTTGGCCTTGGTCAAAGCCAGAGTTGTTCAACATCTGAGCTCGACTGTCCTCGGGCACCGTATTAGTTGCTCAGGCATGTAAACTCCTACAGTACTACGCAGTCTTGTGCCGAGCTTCCAGCTTAGTTGAAACAACTTTCTGCATCTCGGAAGATTGACATAAGCATGCACGAAGGTGCAGCCTGGAATTACACTTCCAAGGTTCCGGTTATTGCTACATGGTCCCTCCGCTCAGGCTGACAAGACCATCCCGGGGCTTCCATTCTCAAGAACCACCTGTCACTAACTTTCCGGCTGCTAGTATATTGCGGCCCATCGAAGTCAACTGTTTCAAACTCTCTCTTCCCTTTTTTCTTCTTGTCTACTACACTCGTATCCGCACTGCCTTGGCTCACACGCCTTGTCATGGAAGATATAAGCGGCAATGGCATCCGGCCGCCGAAACAGCAACACTGATGCTGGCAGGGCTGTGCCGACCATCCTCGAATGGTTCGCTTCTCCAGCCTCACCGCGACACAGACACACAAGAGACCGGCCTCACCGTCACCAGCCCCGAGATTCCGAGCATCCGGTTCGAGAGCATGCCCCCGACGGCACCACAAGGACAGCCCCACGCCGCACCGCAGCCTCCATGAGAGTGATAATCAAGGTCAAGCCCCTGGATGACGGGCTCCTCGACCTCACCCTCCTTGTTAAATATGGCTGCTCCATATCCAACCTCGAGCCTTATCTCAGGCAAAACCATCGTATTCGAAATCGGCCCTTACCCGAGCATGCATCCTTCCAGCTCTATGGCCCAGATTGTCGAGAATTAACACTTGACGAGAGAATCAACAGCGACATGTCGACAATATGGTACCGCGTGTCCAAGTCTAAAGACAAGGCCGACAACTGGAGGTTCTCTAAATGGCCGGACCTGACTGATGCACCCCTGAAGCCCTCGCTGACAAGTGCCTTGCTCGAAGCCATCAACGCTGGAGCCACCGTTGGGGAGCTAAGGCAGAGGATCGCAGAGCATATGGGAATCAAAGATGCAAACAGAATCGTTCTTGTCGCCAGAGACGGTGTGCGGCGCGGCTCGCTGCACGGAAACTGCTGGCAGGTACGCCAGGTCAAGAACTGGCTCTGCCGTTGGCTCAGCATCGACATCAACCCGGAGAAAGGCTATGTCGTCCTCCGGGGATTGGGGAGGGAATACCTCTACCACCCCAAAGCCGAGAGCGTCTCGGCCGACATGGCTGTGGAAGGCCTCCAGGAGTACTTTGAGACCCGGATTCTGCAAGCTGTATGTCGGCATGGGAGGAGCAAGCCGAGGGCACCGTGTGGACTCCGACTCTGTCTCGATGGCAAAGCCTTGAGCCGCTCCGCTCCCGTAGTTTTGGGCGCCACCTACGACTTTGAGCTTTCGGACGACGCAGCCGACACCTTTTCGGATGAAGAGTCGTGGCTGTTGCTCCCAACAAAGACGTGCAGTGCTTGCATTGAGGACAAGAAAGTCACCGAGATGCCTATCAGAGTCACGAGACGCTGTAAGCATGAACCGACAATATGCAAGGAGTGCTTGCAGCAATGGTTAGAGTCAGGCGTTGCCGACGGCGCTTGGGAAACAGGGCTCAAATGTCCCGACTGCTCTGAGCTTCTTGAGCACCGGGACGTGAAGCGGTACGCATCAAAGGAGGTTTTTGAGCGATACGACAACTGGCTGCTGCGCGCCGCCCTCAAGAACTTTCCAAACTTCCACTTCTGTCTGTCCCCGGGATGCAAGTCCGGCCAAATCCACCATCCCCGGTCTCCATGCCCAGAGCTCAGGTGCATCGCCTGCAACGCCCGCCAGTGCGTGGAGCACAATATCCCCTGGCACAGCGGGGAGACCTGCGAGCAATTCGACCGCCGAAATCGCCAGCGAAAAAGGGACGAGAAGGCTTCAGAGGAAGAAATCAAGAAAACGACCAAGACATGCCCAAAGTGCCACAAGGCGGTCCATAAATACACCGGATGCAATCATATTACCTGTAAGTAGGCCCCGATCCCTTTCCAATCTCTTCTGACGGTGACTAGCGCTGACCTCTCCATCTCTTGCCAGGTGTATGCGGTCATGAATGGTGTTATATCTGCCTAGCCCCGTACGAGCGCAACCGACACGACTTCCTTTTCTGCCGGCACACGCCCGAGTGCACCGAGCCGCCTGACCCTGTCGTCGAGGCTCTTAACTTGAACAACCTCCCGCCCCGCGACGACCCGTTGCTCCGGGATGACCCCTTTATCGACCTGATGATGGATCACCTTGGGAGGGATTGGGGTGACCACCTGGTGAGGCCCGCTCGCAACAATAACAACAACAACAACAACGGCGAAGCAATCCCCCCCGCGTTCGCCCCTGTCCCCCTACGCCTTGGAACTCGCCGTCCGGGACCCCATGCCGGGGCGGCCGCTCCCCAGCAGCCGGACCAGCAGGAGCGGCGGCCGCCGATTCCTCCTCCGCCTCCAGTGCCCTTCCCGCCACGCCTGACACGGACGGGGCCCGGGAATCCGCCACCCTTGCCCTTCTGGAGGAACCCCCGCGTCTGGCCTCCAGGAACCTTCGTTCCCCAGCGCCACCGGATGTTGATGCAGCCCCATATCATTGGGGACTGGCCTACTAACGCGGCTCCTGGTGCCCCTCCACCTCCGAGACCGCGCTTGGCTGTAGATCCCGACGTGAATATTGTAGATGCTAGGGCGTTTCTCTTTTAGGAATTGGAAACGGAGGATTAGGGAGGGGCGGGATGCTTGATTATGCATAAGGCATCATGACGGTTTTCACCTGCTCTACTCCTTTCTTTTAGGGGGTGTATTAGTAGTAGGAGGATGTTGTCTAGATCTGTGGTGCTCGGCGCATAACGTTTTGTTTTCCCTTGGGGCCATATGGAACTCACTATGCTCTCTTTCCGGGCTCATGGAATTCCTCTGCTTGGTCTCATTTCTGCGAATCCCGTTGCTTTGCTGATATTTGGACTTGCTCTTTCTTTGCACTACTGGTTCTCGGATGGCTAGGGCGGGTTATGGTTGGGATATCTCGGTACCTGGATACGGTCATGGTGATCTGGCGACTCATGTCCCATGCGATGCTTTGGCGGGACGATATGTATGTACGGAGTACGTGGTCAGCTTGTAAGGCGAGTTGAATGCGGGCCGTTGGCCAGGACGTGATGCAGATGATTCCAAATGCGCTCGCGATTGTCTTCGTTGGGTTGACTGGAATATATCTCAGCCCTAGGTCCAACCATCCCGGCAGCTGTGTACTGGTAATACTCGCCTTGATTGAATACCTGAAATTCTGAATAACATCAGGGGCAGGAATATTCGTAAGTGCTAAGTATAGGGCAATGTAGGCGGTCCGACGTGATGACGAGATAGAGTATCCAGATTTGTGACAAGTCCCAAGCGTTGCCGGAGAGCTATACTATGTACTAGTGTATGTAAGTCAGTCCCTGCCCGTGCCCGTCATGTCGGCCTGTCTTGTTTTCACTTCCACACGGAGAGGGCGATCCTTGTCAAGGCCGGCACCAGGAACAAACCGAGCCAGTAGCAAGAGAGGGAATAACGCCACCGCTGGCCTAGATTGCCGGCGCTAATGACGACAACCTTGGCGGCGCTTGACGGCGTCCAGGTTGAACGGAGTCCGACACTCTGCGTTTTCTGATGAATTGCTGCGAGTCAGACCGGCCATCCAGCCGGGCCCGTGGCGATAAGAGAGCAAAGAGTTCGTCGGGGGCGGCCTACACGGCAACAACGATGACGGGTATACCATGTGTCTGGTGATGTGCGACAACCAAGCTCCAAATAGTAAAATACAGTAAAAACTTGTTGCTAAAGTTAAGGGCAAAACTTTGTTTCGTCGATCAAACTGCCTGGAGCACCCGAGTCTCGGGAGCACCGGGTCACCGGTAACGTTATGTAGCTCACGCTTGACCCTGAGCGACCCGATATCCTGTAGTGTATTCTTGATTGTAGGTGTCTCACACCGCCAACCTTATTGTGTATGTTCGTACAGTACATACGCCGATGTGCAGATCTTGTGACGTCCTTATAAACATTAAAGTACTGGCAGCTTCCTCTCGACATCTGGATATCCTGTCAATTAGGAAGCGGACTGGAGTTATAGTGCTGTTGACATTATGCCAAGACCGGCGAACCATGTCTATTTTGACCCGACGTGAAGCTCTCTCCGTGCAACTGACACCAAGACAGCACGTGGGCAATTGATGAGAGCTCGGAAGGTCTAACCTTCCTTTGCGAGCAGACCACTAACGCTACCTACCTAACTACCTCGCCGCCTCGCTGCAGATTTGGATTTCGTGCAGGACACTGAGCCTCAGATCGGCAAATGCACATCATTGGCTACTCTTTAAGGCGGTCGAATGATTGAGGAACAACCAGTTGGCGGCAAAGTTTGCTTAGACCGTCAGTCATTTATCTCAGCGTTTAACTTATCGACGCGAATAATTGGGGATTTGCTACCCCTGTTTTGATGGCTTGTCAATCAACGTTACTGCTACTGTAGGGTAGCAGCACTGCGGTACCTGCAGATTGCGCACTCAAGCGCAGGCCTTGAGTGGTCCGAACTCACCCCCGGCACGCCCCACTAGACCATAATGTGGCCAATCAGAGAGTTCTCGACCCCTTTTGAGCAAAGGGGGCTTTCCCCAGACATGTCGCTTTCGACCTCGCCCCGACTTCTCTTTCCCCTAACGTTAGCCGAGCATCTCCAAATGTGAAATTGCCATTTTTCGATGCAGACTCGAGTGAACCGGTTCAGCCAATTGAGGCGGGGTTAAGCCATGAGGATCCCACGCTCCAACCTTTTCGCCGAGTTTAGCACACCGTCTTATTAAACACTATGGTTGCTCAAGACCTGCCCCAAGGGGCACCCTCCCCCTACCACGGGCTACTTGACACAAAGACTGCTTCATCCGAAGCTTCGTCCCTTTGTCTACCGCAGCGCCCGGTCCCCCTGCCACTCGGGCCCCGCGAAACATTGGACCAAACGGACGCTTTCCCCGAATTACCAGAACTGCCGTCGCTTCCCAGCCAGGCCCTGCCGCGCAGTGCCCGTTCTCTCAGCCTGGCCCAGATATCCGGTCCTGTCAAGCGCAAGCCGCTGTCGTCAACTGCCTCGCCTGCCGCCATCAGGTACTCCAAGGGGGGCTCTATTGCTGCCGTTGAGGGCCTCCCAAAGCCCGAGCAGCGCTTTGCGAGGTCCTGCTCGCTCGACAGCCCCACGCTCTACGAATTCCCTGACCACCGCAGCCTGCTTGCTACCAGTGCGCTGAGTACATTGAGCTGGCCAGCCAGTCCTGACAGCAGCCAACCGTGAGTCCTCATTGGCCCTCTCATTTTGCCCGGCTATATTGGTGGCAATGTTGGACTAACCGGGCTTTCCCTAGTAGATCTTCTCCCGCCTCTGAGCAGTTCGTGCAACCCTCGCTCCCGCCCGTCGATGCGGGAGACGTACCTCGAAACATAGCGGAAAGCGACCTTGCAGCCGCTCAAACACCAAGCACGCCTGCACAGGACGAGGACGTTGGCGCTGAAACAGCCAGTCAGGGAACTGAGGAATCGGATCCGTACGATTCATACGGCCTGGATTATCACATCCCCGATTCCCCGGGCTCGGACTCGCAGGTGGCCAAGAGGACCACCCTCATTAATAATAATAATTCGCGGACAATGTCAATGTTTGGGCGGAAGTCCCCCCCACCGCATCTTAATCTTGGATCGAGTCAAAACATAGATTTACCGGCCACAACATCCGCAACCTCGTTAGAAAGCAGTAATCTTAATAAGCCGCTACCGAAATCGCCAGCATCCTCCAAGCTCAGCGCCATCTTCGGCTGGGCCAGGTCCTCTTCTCCGTCAACACAAACAGACTTTTCGGACAAGGGCTTCTCGCCTCTTCCCTCCCCCTCGTCGCCCAGAGCCACGACCATCGTGACCGAGTCGTATGAGACAGCAGTCTCAGCAAAGGAACGAAGCTATTCAAATGCCGCTGAGCAGAACCCCCTGCGTTACTGCGAAAATTATCTCCAGACACCCGCAGACAGCACAACATCACTGGACCAGCTCGAGGAGATGGAGGACGAGCTGAAAGCGATAAGCGCCGAATTGGCGGCGTCCATTCGGCGCGAGATGGATCTTGAAGATCTAGTAGAAAGGCTACAGGAGCAGGTCAACAACCCTCAAGCGCCGGGAAAGCGAACGAGCGACTACTACTCCGACTCTGGGTACAGTTCGGCAAAATTCAGCGACTACGACCAGGCCAAAGAGGAGATCTCGCAGATTCAGCGCAAGGCAGAACAGGAGAAGGCACAGCTACGATTGGAACTGACCAGCAAGCTTCAGGACGAGCGCACAAAGCGCCGTCTCTTAGACCAGCAAATCCAAGAGCTCTCCAAAAGGGCATCGCAGATTGATGTTACTCAGATTAACACAAATGACGCAAGCGCACGAGTTCAGGAGCTCGAGAGCATGTGTGAGGACTTGACTAGGCGGCTCTCTGAAGAGCGGCAGGTCAAAAGCAACTTTGAGGACCTCCTTGGCGCATTGAAGGGGCAGCTCCAGACGGCAACGAACGAGCGGGACAACTTACGCGACGAGATTGTTCCTCAGTTGCGGGCTCGTGTTGAAGGACTTGAAGCTGAGGCTGCGGAGCATGCTAAGCTCGCCTACGACACGTCCAAAATGCAGCAGGAGCTCCAACTGCTCAGGTCGGAGAATTCCGAGCTCAAACAGACCGGTAGTCGCATGTCGATGGCACTATCAAGGTCAGCATCCGTTACCGGCGGCTCATATAGGGGAAAGATGCGCGCGCAATCCATCACGCGGTCGAACAGTACGAGGCCAATGGAGCCTCGCGAGGTCTTGGCCGAAAGGTTGAAGGATGTCGAGGCTCAGCGGGATGCATTACACAGCGCGCTCAAGAGCCTACTCGAGAGGCAGGAGATTCAAAACCGCGAGAACGCTAGGCGGATTCAGCAACTCGAGATGGAGCGAGATCGGTTGCTCTCGACGTCGCCCAAGAAAGCCGGCTATGAGAGGGAAGTTTCAAATCTCCGGGAAGAGATTGCCGTCTTGCGTCGGCGGGCAGAAGAAGCTATAGAGCAAAAATGGCAAGTTGAAAAGGGATTAAGCGGCCTCAAGATTGACCTAGATCGGGCTGAGGAGGAGATTGCATCGCTACGCAGTCTTCTCAAAGAGAAGGATATCCTAATCCCGGAAACGCCCGGCCGGCCGTCCAGTCGCCAAGACAGCTCCGCATCGCCGGTGACATCCGCCTCGCTAGAAAAGGCTTACCAGGAACTTCAAGCTGCATACACAGAGGCGCTGGAGCGGATAAAGACGCTAGAGGAGAGCACAACATCGGACGAAAAGACTCAGCTTGCAATCCAACGACTCCAGCACTCGCTATCGGCCGCCATTTCCGACCGCAACCTTGCCCAGTCGGAAGCTGCTTCCTACCGCACCCAGCTCGAGTCCTTGCAAACGCTGGAGAAGCAACACCTCGAGACGGAGCGCGACTTGGCCGACCAATTGCACGAATCAGCACGGCGGGTCGAGGAGCTTGCGCAGCAAGTCCGCAGCCAGCTCGAGGCAAACTCGGCGTTGCGCAGCCGTCTCGCCGATACCATTGCCCGCGGTGAGTCCGAGCAGCGGGTCAGCACGGAGCGCATCGCCGGGCTGCAGAACCGCCTCCGCCAGTTGGAGGAGAAGGTCATTGCCGCCCAAACGTCAGCAGAAGAGCGGGTAGCCCGACACGAGGAAGAGCTTGCCCAGCTCAAGGAATCCCACAACAGCCAATTGCAACGCCTCCGCGACGCATCCGGCTCCATGCGCGGCCGCCGTCAGTTCCCACCCAAATCCCCCCTCTCGCCCATGTTCAGTGCCCGCAACGGAGTAGCGGGAGGACTCAACGCTGTCAAGTCGCCGCGCCTGTCGACCCCGCTACTGGGTCCTCTTCACCCATATGCTCAAGCAGGTGTTCGCCCGGCTCTAAGGCGCTCGATCACGGCATCTGAGGATGGTGAGGCTTCTGCGGGCATGGTGGCGCAGGTAGAGGCACTCAAACGCCGGGTCGCCGAGCTCGAGGGTGCGCTCGCGGCAGCCGACGCCGAAATGCAGGAGGTGGTTGGGCGCATGAACACAGCGCAAATCGAGGTCATGACGCTGCAGGAGCAGAGAGAAGAAGCCGTGCGCGAGACGAGACGGCTTCAGCGTCTGCTTGAGGAGGAGAGAATGAATGTGTTTGAGGGCAAGTTCAAGAGTCTATCTACTCAAGTCAGGTAGAGGACCCCTATTTTTGGATAGGCAGTGCCTTGCGATGTTGCCGACTTGCTTTTTTTGGCCTTTCCCATATGGCCTCATGGCATGCATGATTTGGCGCTTTTTACTGGCGTTTATTTGGATATGTTTTCTTTTTTCTTCGGGAGGGGATACCCTACACGACTTGTTTTACGACGGCAACCTTGAAGGTTGCCCGTCACTTTGCGATGATGACATAACGTTATGTGTCTCATACCTGGCGAGCTTTGGATAGCAGCCTTTCTTTTCTTGCCATATACTTTTGGCTTATTACTTATTCTTTCTCGGCCTGGCCCAGCTCAGCCTTAGTGTCTAGTTGTATTGTATCATATCGGATGAGCTTTGGATAGGGAAAGAGGAGGGAGATGTAGCCATTATCACACTACTGATCTAGTTGTTTTGCGTGGGACGACATAAAGGGTATTGAGCCAGTAAAATAAAACTGGAGCTCGGGATGTTGGGCGAGGAGAGAATGGGCTGTAGCATCCATTGCTTAGGAATATGCAGTGTATTGCATTGCTAGGTTAAAGGAGTGGTCTACATGTATCAAGTTCCAAGCTATTGTTCTGCATGATGAGAGTGCTGGTGATGGCTGGGTTGAGCCCGGCAAGAATTCCAGCATCTTGAAATCTGCGCTGCGCTGCCAGTGTAGCCAAGTCTGGTGTTGTTGTTCAGTCAAGGTACGGTACTGGTACTTGGCAAGAGAGCAAGAGCTGTTAGTGCAGCCAAAATGTTGCACGTAAAAATCATCCTCTTGACTACCCCTCTTAACACAACTTTCGACCATGGTTGTCACGCTACAGATTGCCAACGCCATCGGTTGGCCGGAAATGACGAGCTCTCCTACTCCTTGTACTGTACCTGCCAACGACACAGGGAACAATGGGTTCGAGAAAACCACCGCATTCTCGAGTTGAAGAATCTGTTTCCGGACCTCTCCACCTCCATCAGATCCGTTTCTTGGGACATGCATCGTGCATCACCACATGGAGAAAACGCGAGACAGGGCCGCCATGACCTTGATGATCTCCCGCATCAGGCCCGGCCGATCTCGTCACCGAGATACTACCATATTATCTCAAAGACGATTACCAGGTGTTTCCGTCTCGCCACAAGAGCTGACACGAAAACATGAACATTGTGCATTTATATGGTTACAGTAACCGTCCGAAGAATGCGTATCTCTAGATCTTTGCCGTGCCATCAGCGGAGAAATATAAATAGGGGTCCTCGTCAATATTACATGCAACTATGTATACGATGCCTGGACCGCCCAGCCGACCCTTGTTGTGCGCTTCTCAGGTCCAACGTTGTTACACGGCATTTGCAGTCTATTACACCAGGCACACGTATAAACACGGGCATGCAACACAAAAAGTATCATGGCAGTTGCAATCTCTGCAGCAATAAGGCGATGTTGTTCAGATGAAAGGTCGTGTGAGGCGTTGGGTGGCTTGGGAGTGGGTGTGGGCGAGTGGCACGATTTGCAAGGTGCATTCCCGTCCCAGCCATTTTTCAGGGGCGGGCTGGCTGGTGGCTGATAGCCTGATACGTTGAGGTAGGGGAAATTTAGTAAATTGCAGGACAGACCTATGGTTGCATTTTGCCTGCGAGGTTGATAACGTTGGTGTTTGTTGGAGCTGTTACGGACGGGAGCTGCCAAAGAGAGCAGCTCCAGCCGAATACCGTACCCGCGAACCAAGCCATGGAGGTTAGTTAGGCAGACAACAATGCTCAGTGGCGCTCGGGGTAATTCTACCATGTTCACGCAGTCGAGTTATATTATTCATGGGCAGGTCAAAAAAGGGGCTGCCCTTTGATGGGGGCGGGACGGGACGGGAAGTTTAACGTTTGGAGCTGCCGTAAGGTGGCTCAGAAACTGTGAGTTCCCGGATTCTCTGTTGTCATGATACTCACGCGACTGCTGAGCTTGAGGTGTTTGCTCGCTGACTGGGACTCCTTGGAAATCTCAAAACGTAGTGCCAAATGGTTCCCCTGCAGGAGGTGGAGTGAGTTCATCGCGGCAGTCAAGATGGCATCTGAGATGGGGAAGGGGCAAGGGAAGTTGGGATGAGGTAAGCGTCTAAATGGTGCCCCCCACGATCGCTGATAATCAGCCCAGCGGAAGCTGGAACCAATCACAAGCCAGGCGGCTTATCTTTACACTAAACCGTTAGCGTTGTTTTTTTGACAATCTCACTTGACGTTCACATGGAAGCAACGGTTGCTTTCTACATTTTCATGTCTCAAGGTCGCAGCGAATTTGCGCCAATGGTCCTCCTGTGTGACAGTGATGGGCGCTCTGTTCACGCATCAACACTCGCGGCCTTTTGCAATGTCCCTCCTTGGGGCACAACATGCTAACCCGCGCCGGGTTCAGCTCTCCGTCTCGCCGGGACCAGAGGTCGGGTGGGGGGAACCTTGAAGGTGAGGGGGAGGTGTAAAGGAGAAGCAAGATATGGGACGGACAAAAGTTCGAAACAAAGTATAGTCATCTGTTTCCTGGTCCCCTGTCCCTTGGCTCTGCAGTACATACACCATATCGTTGCCGATATGCAGGCGGGAAATGCTCTAGCTACCAGCCGTCATCAAGCCAGGAACGGCTCTTTTGTCTCTCGAGGCTGTGTCCGTGTATATACAAGTACATGGCACAACACGTAGTGGACCGGCGTATGTCTCTGAGATGGGTATCATCTCCAGCGATCGCTGAGACTTGACGATAAGTCGTCTATTCTTCCCCACGCTTCACTTCCATTCCTTCCTTCGTTTTCTGCTTTGCCTCGTGTGCGGCAGCGCCCGTCTTTTACAGCCTTGGGTACTTGACAAGGCCCAGTTCGCCTCCTGGCTGTATCAATCGATTGGCCCTCTTGAAGTTGCTTCTTCTCTTTCTTTTTCAGAAAAGCATCGCTGGCCGGCATTGTCTTCGGGTCGGCCACCTCCCTTGTCCTTCTTTTCCCCTTCCTCTCGTTTATCATAGCTGGAACGCCTTCCATCTTCTGCGATCCAGGTATTCAGCCTGTCTCGAGATAAGCCTTCGTCCTGTAGGACGCCTTGTCCAACGCCAAACTGATACGACCTTTGCTTTTCGCTCACGTTTCCCGTCATGGCCAGCGAAGGCTCCAACACTTTGCCCTACGTGCCCCTGGCACCGTTCGAGGGCGACAACCCGAACGGAGGGGATTCCCTCACCGAAGATGTGAATATCTGGTATCAGGTAAGCTCATCGGGGCTGTCGGTAGACGGTTCGGTTGTTGTTGTGGTCAGAAGGCCTTTGATAATAACACGGTACATGACACCACAGACCGGTGATATCGGTTTTATCATCATCACTTCAGCCCTTGTTCTCTTGATGGTCCCTGGAGTCGGGTGAGTCGAGGCAGAGGGACGGATGAAGAAAGCAAGAGACACTGACCGGGCGGCAATAAACATATCAGCTTCTTCTATTCGGGTTTGGCGCGCAGAAAGTCAGCCCTGTCCCTGATATGGGTATCGATAATGGCTGCGGCCGTCACCACGTTCCAGTGGTTCTTCTGGGGCTTCTCCCTGACCTTCTCGCGCGCAGCCAGCGGCTACATAGGCGACCTTAGCCACTTTGGTTTCAGGAATGTCCTGGCACACCCGTCGATCGGCTCGAGCCGAATCCCGGATCTGCTCTTCGCCATATACCAGGGCATGTTCGCTGCCGTCACCGTGGCCCTCGCGACCGGCGCCGTGGCAGAACGGGGGCGGATGCTGCCCTGTGTCATCTTCATGTTCATCTGGTCCACCATCGTCTACGATCCGATCGCCTGCTGGACATGGAACCCGAGCGGCTGGTCCAATCGGCTCGGCGGTCTTGATTTTGCTGGAGGTACCCCAGTGCACATTGCGTCAGGAACCGCTGCTCTTGCCTACTCCATGATGCTGGGGAAGCGCCGCGGCCACGGCACGCACGAGCTCAACTACCGTCCTCACAATGTCACCCATATCGTCATTGGCACCGTGTTTCTCTGGATTGGGTGGTTCGGTTTCAACCCCGGTTCCGCGCTCTCAGCCAACATGCGCGCCGTCCTGGCCGCCGTCGTAAGCAACCTCGCCGCCTGCGTTGGAGGCATCACCTGGTGCGTTTTGGACTATAGGCTGGAGCGGAAGTGGTCAACAGTGGGCTTCTGCTCCGGCGTTGTCGCCGGCCTGGTGGCTATCACCCCAGGCTCAGGTATTTGCCCCTTTTCTCTCCCCTCAATCCTTCATATCCAACATGGTTACTGACCAGCCCTCCCACAGGCTACGTCCCAGTATGGGCTGCCATACCCACAGGCATCCTCGGCGCCGCCTTTGCCAACTATGGGACCAAGCTCAAATTTCTCCTCCGCATCGACGACTCGCTCGACATCTTTGCCGTGCACGGCATCGGCGGGTTGGTCGGCAACATCTGCACCGCTTTCTTCGCCGCTGATTACATTGCCCATTTGGACGGATCCACATCCATCAACGGCGGCTGGCTCAACCACAACTGGATCCAGCTGCCCATCCAGCTTGCCGACTCCTTTACGGGCGGTCTGTACTCGTTTGTCATGACATGTCTGATCCTGTTCGTGCTGAACCTGATCCCTGGCATGCACCTCCGCGCGTCCGAGGAGTCCGAGATTCTGGGCATCGACGACGCCGAGATTGGCGAGTTTGCCTACGACTATGTCGAGCTGACGCGGGAGGTCTTGAATGATGTCGAGGGAGACGTGGATGCACAAGAGAACGTGAGCGTTTTCTCCGAGGCCCAGCAGCTTCATCGTCAGGCTCCTTCTGCTTCCCAGCGGTTCTCGCCTGGAAGGGAAAAGAATAGTAATGGCTCATCAATCATGATGATGGATTACAACAACCAGCAACGAACGCATGGGCCGATCGGGTCAGCAAGTTAGGAGGCGCTCTGCGACCATCGCTTGCTTGGGGTTGTTTCTGCGGAGGATCGGAATATCGCTCCTAAAAGCCTCGGATACCTGGTGTACAAGGTTTATTTTCTTGCCATAGTTCAGCTCCCAAATAGGGGGAGGAGATTTAATAAACGAGCAATGACTGAGCATCTCTTTACCTCGTCCATAAATCATGAAGCTAATACGTAGATGACTTCGACCCCGGCAATATCCTGGAGAATAGCGAGTGGCCATTGCATAGAAGGAGCTGCGCGGACTAAGGTGCCATGGAAAGTAAAGCAGGGCATACTTATGATATCCGGGAAGCAATCAGCACCACCTTTCCCAAGGCTCCCGCCACTTGACACCGAGCAGCTCAAATATCCTCCGCTCGTCTCTCCCCTCCAACAACTCTCCAGCCGTGACCTTGAGCTTGCCCCTTTCCTTTCCAGCCATCACCTCCTTGTACAATCCCCGTTGGTTCAACCGCATCCCCTTTTTCGACGCCAGCAGTCGCATACTCCGATTAAAGATATCATTTCCGGTAAAGTAGATCAGCGCCGCACCGTACTCGGACTCAGGCACCAGGAGGAAATCAATGCGTCGCCAGATCGGCTTCCTCGCAACCGCCTGGCCATTACCATCTAGCGCAACAGCAACCTCGGGTGGAAGAACGCAACACCCATGCCATTTGCTTCCGGGCCCGTCCTTTCCCGTGCGCCGGGAGTGCAATGCCGCGAGGGTAGCAACCAAAAACCCCTGCCGCGTCAGCACGTCGATCAGTTCCTCCAAGAAGGGCACCAACTCATCGACCGAGTTGGTGCCCTTTTTAGTAACAATTATGTCGATGTCGCTCGAACTGTCCGACCCCCGCCGGTAGCTGCCGCCGATGAGCAGCTCCACGGCGGCGTCGACCCGTGCCGCCTCGCGTTTGACATATTCCCCGAGCGCGGCGACTTCGGCGCGGGGGATGCGCGTGTTGAGGTCGTCGTAGTGCTCGATGCCGAGGCGCTGGTTGGGGGTCAGGTCGGCTTTGGTGCGAAGGTCGTCGAGCGTACGGAAGCCCTGAGCGATCCACTTGTTTGCGCGGCTCGTGCCGACGTCGTAGATCTTGAGGAAGGTTTCGAGACCGTGGTCGAGGGGCTCGTCGTTGGCATATTCCAGGCGTCGGAGTTTGTTGGTCGAGACAATTTCCTCGATCTTAGAGGCAAGACGGCGGCCGATGTTGGGCAGGCGGTAGGCTTCCTCCTCGTTTGTAATCTTGGTCGGCTGCCGGCGAAGGGTGGTTATGGCCTTGCGGTAGGCGGTAGTCCGCCAGTGGTCATTGATGCGCGTGTAGTAGTCGCACATGCTCTGGAGAACTTCTATAGTTCGAGCGTTGGGATTCTGTGCGTTGATGGCCATGTCTCTTGTGCCACCACGGCTGCACGCGAAACGGTCCTCGAAGGCAATCTCCTTATGCGCAGTCCGGCGGGTTCCACCGGCCGGTCGCCTTTTGGCTCGCTCATCCTCTGACCTTGCTTCTGCCTCGGAGTCGGATACCATTTCGGGGGTGTCCTTGACAGACTCCAGATCATCCTCTTCTAGGTCCAGAGGGAGGTCCTTATACTGTTGCATGAGTTCAATGTACTCTGACAACTCATCCCTGGCGCCTGATGTGGGCTGTGGACTATGAAGCGCGTTGGAAGTTGGCTTGCCTCCTTGCTCTGGCAGACTGGGCTGGCAAGTTCGCGCAATAATGTCACAGGAGCTTGTAGGCTTTGGCGTAGGCAAGGGCCGATCACTAACAGCTTGCTGCACGTTCCTGGCTTCGTGCTGGAAAGACTGTCCTCCTTCAGATGGTGTCGCCTCAGGAGTGGTATTCTCCCTCTTCCTAGATACCCGAGGTTGTTTTACCTGCAATGAACGGTCTGAATTTTGTGGTGAGGCGTTAATGCCCTGCCCGGTGCCCTCCTGTGCCGGAAGGGGCCCGCCGGGGACTCGGTATCGATTCTGGTGCGGGTTGAGCAGCGTCCGGAAGGAGATGCAGTCGATAGGATACTCCTCGTTGACAACAATCGGAGCGTCCGCCAAGGTTGAGCTGAGGATGGGTTGAACATCTTTGTATGTCAAAGCCTTGTCAACAATGACATGGCTTGCACCATCCAAGCTCCGTACCCACTGAGCGCCAAACTCTTGGGCCTTCCTAATACGCAGTTTTCTGGCAGGTGCAATGTCATTATTCGGAATGTAATAAAAGGAAAGGCCGCGAAAGATCTGCTCGGCTTCTGGCACAGACATCGCTGATGACTGACGCTTTCGCTTCCTCATGGCAGAGCTTGCCGAGGGTGACTGGTCAACGGATGAAGATGGGTGTGTCGCACTTCTCCGAAGCATAGGATGGGATGGACGAGCAGTGTCTGGAACTGGCGTCTCCTCGACAAATGAAGTGGTGTCTCCTTTAAACAGAAGCGCTTTCCTCGCTGCTAGATCTCGAGTCGAAGGAGTAGCTTCAACGACTCCAGAATCCGGCGTGGTTGTATATGGGGTAGGAGCGGATGCTGTCCGCTGTAACTGAGATGGTGCCTTCTTCCTGGTTGAGACCGAGTTCTTTCTGGCGTTGAAAAAAGCGCGGCATTTGGCTCGATGTTCCTCTTCGTCGACATCTTGTTCCTCGGAACTTTCCTGATCCAGAGAATCTAGCACTTCAAAGAAGGCTATCTTCTCAGCAAGCGACGGCGAGCGCATATGCTTCTGATCTCGAGGTTGAGAAGTAGGGAACGAGCAGAGGATGGTTTGATGATTGACATGGTTGCCGAACCCAGATGCCTGCACAAAGCCGGTTGTCATTTTGAGGCACACAAGCCCTTCTCTGTTGAACGGCCAAAAGCCAGCAACGGCTGCCTAATTTGGTTTAACGTTACGTACCATACCGCTCCCAAACCCGCGTGGTGTTTAGAGCAGTTTGACGCGATCGCGGGGCACGCGCCTATTCCCTGCCTGTGCAGTGGGGCAGACGGGGTTGCGTGTGCCGCGAGATGCACACGACGGCACGTGTGTGTTGTAATTATCAGGGGCTAACGTTACTAGTAGGTATCGTACAGGAATTACAATGCGCTAAAGTTCAATATGTACCCTGAATTCTGTACTGTACACCTCGATTACACATACATAGTGTACTGTAATTATCGTATCCTTGTGATTGGCGAGTCCGTTAAAACGACCGTGGTTGGGATGCACCAATGCACGTCAGCAAAACACCTCAAAAATCAGATATAAAGACTTGAATATACTCACTCAAAGCTACCGTCATCAACTACCTATCTACTTCCTAAAGAATCTCAGTTCTTGATGGTTTTTTCCACCCATCTTGCTGGTGCTGGTCGGAGCTTGCTAGAACATCGTTGTGTGGGGCTGCCGATGTCTTGTAACAGACCGTATGGTGGTTCGTGACCACGGTCGTTTATTACTGAACCACGGTCGTTTTAGCGGACTCGGTGATTGGAGCCACCAATAACGTTAGCACACGCTGTTCCATGGATCTCAGGGGTCTGTTTCACAGACCTTATTAATTTGCTGCACCCTCGTTGCCCCTTTTAATCCACAGGTGGTACCGGTAGCACAGTGATACCTCCACTGTCCCGGCCACAGTCCTTCGATCCCATGTGCAACTATTGCACTTGCAACTGCAAGAGGTGAGAACACACGTGGGAATCACAACTAGCACGAATTGGGATTGGCTCGACCCGATTGTCTTCGTTCGACTTCTGGTTCTACAAGTCATCGCTTCCTTTGAAGCTGTACTGTCAGGTGACACCTGGAAGATACACCGAGAGTGATCGCGGTCACACTTCCCAGCTGGCATCCTAGGGTAACAATGTCCAACATTTTCTCTGGAATGTAAGTGTCATCGTGTCTTGAATTGCCCATAATTACCACCATTGGTTGAATCATTGAATGACCTTCAACATCCGTCACGGTCGCTGCGGTGGGATTCTGCTTGTTGAGCCTAGGGTCTCTAATCAGTCTGATGCCTTGACGTTCCTCCAAGCAAGCGGCAAAGGAGCGGCTATAGTGACATAAATATTGCGATCATGCTAACTCTACATTCCAGCAATGCAAGGCTGAGGGGAACCTCAAACAAGCCAGCAAGCACCAAGAGTCCCATTTCACCTACCTCGGATGATGGCCGTCTCAACTCCTCCGGTGGCCTTTCTCAAAAGAGTCACTCTTCAGCCAGCTTGTCATCAAAGTTGCCACCGCTGCCCGCCTCTCCATCCCTCTCTCAAACGATCACTATGACGGGCAGCGGCGAAGACATCCTGACCTCATATCATCTCCCAAGGCCCTTGCCCTTGTGGCTAAACCCTGCTTACGCAAGGCATATCGTGAAGGGCAACTTCATGACGCTTAGCGCTAGACCGAAAACCGTTGAGCCTGGCGAATGGATTGCGCACCATGGTAACCATCTCCACCCTCACCAGTTCTGTCTCTGTCACTGATAAGCGCGAATAGTTGTTGAGCACTACCGTAACCTATGGAATTTTGTCCGGGTCATCTACGAAAAGGAGGAGGATGGGACGAGCATCTGCAACCCCACTACATGTCCAAAGATGTCTGCTGGGACGTAAGTTGCCGCTCTCACCATGAAACCTGCTTGACCCGAGCCGACTAACCCGCACGCCGCAGGAACCACTCGTACACATGGCTGAATAGCCGCTTTGAGCCCATAGAGCTCCCCGCAATCGAGTACATTGCCTTGATGCAACGGTGGATCTCGGGTAAGATCGACGACACCAAAATCTTCCCTACCGAGCCCTCTGGTGTCTCTTTCGCCGCCAACCCCAACATTGGCAACTCAACTCTCTTGAGCGGGACGGACGAGTGGATTGGCAAGCGCAGCGGGTTTCCAAAGGACTTCTCCAGCATTTGCCAGACCATTTTCCTGCAAATGTTCAGGGTCTATGCTCACCTCTACTGGGCTCATTTCACCGAGCCCTTCTACCATCTCAACTTGGAGAAGCAGCTGAACAGCTGCTTCAGCCACTTTGTGTTGACGGCTACGGCGCTGGACATGCTCAAGCCTCCTGCTCTGGAGCCAATGCAACCGCTGATCGACCTCTGGGCGGCCAACGGCACTTTCCCGCCCGAGTCGAAGGCATACGAGTATGCCAACCTCAACGCGGGCAACCGCCTGCTCCAAATGGCCGGCATGGCTTAAAGGCGGAGAAGCGCCTGGTTGTTGTGCCGCCACAATCTTCTTGATTCACGGCCAATCTTTGATGATTGACACTTGGCATGCATAGCCTTGGAGTTTGGGCATGTTTGGGAGCATGGTCCTCGGGTATCCCTGGAGGCACCGGTAACAACCCCCTCTGGCTGGAAGGGGAGCCAGAGCCAGCCATCAAGGTTTGTCGCTTGGGCTAGCGGCTAGTGCGGCGGCGAGGGACAAGCCCGGCTTGTCAGCAACGTCTGGCAAGTTACCTAGACGGTTCTTGGGTTCCTATCACGAGGCTGCAGATTAGATTCACAATATATGCCCATGGAACGCACGTGCTATTTCTACCTGTGAACCCCGACCTCATTAGTGATCTACGCTGTTGTGGTTCATAGAACGGTTACCTGTTGAGACCGTGGACAAAGTAGAAGATTATTTCCTCTTTTTTTTTCTTTCTTTCTTTCTTCCTTTTTTTCTTTTTTTTTTTTTTTTTTTTTTTTTTTTTTTTTTTTTTTTTTTTTACGCAGTTTTTGGATTTATTTCCCCCTTCTTCTTTAAAGGGAAGCAACTGCGGGGCATATCCCCACATTCGAAGGAGCGGGTCGTGGATTTTCGGCCCAAATTCTCTGCTGGAGGCAAAGTCGAGGACCCTTTCCACTTTTACCAGTTTTGCATCGTCTCTTTGGTTCTTGATCGCGTATTCCGATTTGAGTCCACGTTACTTGCAGACCCCCAGAAACATTTCGACGCGATACGATGTCTGGCGACGCCATGGACATTGAGACTGCCGAGAAGCAGCTCAAGGCGCTGGAGCACTCAGAGCAACACTACTTCAACAGGTAGGGCTCTCCATCCCAACTGCGCTAAGCCTATATATCGATGCTAACTCTTGACGCTGTAGCTATAACCACCATGGTGAGGAACATACATGCTACAATACAACCCGTTCCTATGCTAATCCAAGCGCTTCCGCGGCAAAGGCATCCATGAGGAAATGTTGGTGTGTACATTTCACTGCCCCACTGCTGTACAGCCCAGGAGACGACTCGGCTGACAATGGCGTCCGCCGCGACAGAAAGATGAAGTACGAACAAGGTCGTACATGAATGCCATCAGCCAAAACAAGCACATATTTAAGGACAAGGTTGTGTTGGACGTAGGATGCGGCACGGGGATTCTCTCCATGTAAGGCTTCTAATATCAGTCCGTCTCGTAACGGCAGCATGGCTAACTCAATATCTCCAGGTTTGCTGCCAAGGCCGGCGCGAAGCATGTCATTGGCGTCGACATGTCAACCATCATCTTCAAGGCCCGCGAGATCGTCAAGATCAACGGCTTCGAGGACAAGATCACCCTGATCCAAGGCAAGATGGAGGAGATCAAGATGCCGTACGAGAAGGTGGACATCATCATCTCGGAATGGATGGGCTATTTCCTCCTTTACGAGAGCATGCTGGACACGGTGCTTTATGCACGCGATAGGTATCTGGCCAAGGACGGCCTCATATTCCCCGACAAGGCCACCATCTTCGTCGCCGGCATTGAGGACGGTGATTACAAGGAGGAGAAGATCGGGTGTATGTTTGGTCTTGCTTCGACAGCTGGTTCTATTCCCGGATGGATGCTGACTGAGAACTAGTCTGGGACAACGTCTACGGTTTCAACTACACGCCCCTGAAGGAGACGGCCCTCTCCGAGCCGCTGGTCGACACCGTCGAGATGAAGGCCGTGGTCACGGACCCGACGCCAGTCCTGACGCTTAACCTCTACGAATGCAAACCGTCCGACCTGTCCTTCAGCTGCCCTTTTGACCTGGTCGCCCGGAGAGACGACTTCATCCACGCCCTCGTGGCGTGGTTCGACATTGAGTTCACAGCCTGCCACAAACCAATTCGCTTCTCAACAGGGCCCCACACCAAGTACACGCACTGGAAGCAGACCGTGTTCTATTTGAAGGATGTGCTCACCGTTCAGCAAGGCGAGAAGATTGAGTGCTCGCTGCACAACCGGCCGAATGAGAAGAATAGGCGCGACTTGGATATCAAGATCCAATACCGCCTGGATACTCAAGACGCGATGCGGCAGGCCGAAGGAACCTGCCTCTACAAGATGTGCTAAACTCCATTCAGAGGGAGTCGCTCATCTATGCGTAGAATGCTGCTAGACAGAGCCGTAAGAGCAGGGTAGGGCCACGCTTGCTGGTGCCGCAAAAGTGCTTTGTTACAAGCGGAGAAAAGTGAGAGACCACCATCGGATATGATACAATGGTGGTGGTGTGCGTTACATTTCATTTTCATCTAGAATAAGGGTCCAACGGCGTTATTTCAACCCGGTCCGTTTGCGAGATCAGGGCAAAAAGGAGCAGACAAGAGTTAGTGGGTGTGTGTGCATCATGATTATGGTCTTGATGAATAAGATACCCGAAGGAGCAAGGAGCAATACTAGACGGGGACTCACTGCTCCAGGAAAGCTGCTGTTTTCGTGACTCAGGGGGCCTAACCTTGCCATGCTCAGGTCTCCCCCCCACCCCCTTCTGCCCAGACAGATACACCGACTGTCTGATCCTCTTTGTCTGCTTTTCTCGGCCCACGGTTCATTGGTTTCTAATCTCTTCGACGTATCTGCTTCACAGCTCTCATTGTCTCACTGAAGGCAGCCGAACATCTAAAGAAAAGTCACAGATCATCCATCATCATTTATGACTGCACATATTCATATCCACATTTGCAACACAACCATCAAAGGGTAACAGCATCAGCTCTTTATTTTGGGGTTTACATGACATCGCCCTTTTGTTTACTCGGAATCGAATCATCAAAACCACACAAGCCAGCTCCCTACTCCCAACCCAGCTCCCTACTCCCAACCCAGCTCCCTACTCCCAACCCAGCTCCACGCTCCTCGCCATTTTTTAAAAAACACCATCGCTCACAGTTGATCCTAGCCCATCCAGTCATGAGAGTAAACAAGTGCCACGCTCTTTCCGATATAAATATATTAAAACCGGGCCTTTCTGTCCAAAGGCACAACAGAGCTCTTACTTACCGTTCCTCTCCTTGCGGCTGTCAGTTGGACTGCCGGAGTCGCTCTCACATTGTGATGGCATCCACATTGTCCTCATTCCAGGAGAGGAATCCGAGAGCGGAGGGAAGTTGAAGCTCTGACCAAGTCCGAGGTCGCTCATAGTGCCCTCCATCTCACTTTCAAACCCATTGGTGTAGTGTTCCTGAGTGTGGTGCTCCTGAGATATTCGGGGCGATGAAGGCCGTGTCGATGGCGACGACAACAACGACAACGACGCTATGATAGCCTCGTTCTAGGGGGAACCATAACGCTCGATGATGCGTGCCACGCGCTCGGCCAGTTCGTTGGCCTCGGAGCGGGTGGCGGCCTCGGCGTAGACGCGGCAGGCATTCTCGGTGCCGCTGGCGCGGGCGAAGGCTCGGGCGTCCTTGTACTTCTTGACGGCTTGGTCAATCTCATCCTGTGCGCCAACGGGATGCGACAGGCGGCGTTCGGCGTCGGTCGTGCGGAACAGGTCCTTGTTGCCCACCTCGACACGCACCAGGCGGTTAGGCAAATCCGCGTACGTCATGGCCCAGTCACGCAGCGTCCACTTTTTGTGCGCGAGTATCACCTCCACCATGAGCATATCCGAGATGGCGTCGCCCACCGTCTGGTTGATCAGCGCGCCCAGGGCCGCTAGCGTGTCGAGAGCATCCTTCTGAGCGGGCGACTGCGGCTCTGTATTCTTGAAGGCGTTGAGTGCGTCGGGAGAGAAGAGCACCGTACCGTGACCGTTGGCCTCGAAGTAGACTCCAATGTCGAATCCCTGAGCGACATGGTGGAGGTGCTTGACGCCGGTCGGGGTGCAGATGACGGGCAGCTTGAGGTGCTGCGAGATGTAGTTTGTGCTGGCGCCATTGGCGTAGGCGGTCTGGACGACACCGATGCGGAGGTCGTCCTTGAGGCCGGCCCTCTCAACTAGGTCGCCGATGAAGGAGGCAGCAAGGGACGAGATGCGATCACCGTCAAGCATGACGAAGCCGCTGTCTGGGTCAACCCAGTAGTAAATAAGCCGGTCAGCGTCACCGTCCAGAGAGCAGCACCTGAGGCCGGGCTGAGGTTTAGGGCTGGGAGGAGCCCTCTGCTTCGTCTTGACAAAGTCCGCGCCGCACTAGAGAAAGAGGTCAGCAAAACCAGGGGCGCGGTAATCAGGAGCGTCAATGGTTTACATACATCAAGATTGAGAACTTCTGGGCGGAGAACATCATCGTTCACCACCTTGACGTCAAAGTTGACCTTGTCCTTGGGGATGTATTTCAGGAATTCCGACAGCTTGGGGCCTCCGACGCCGTTGGCGCAGTCCACCTGAAGTGTCCCCTCGATTTTCCGGCCCTTCATTGCGAGAACAAACGCTTCGGCGAGCTTTTCGTAATATCCTGCCTCGCTAACCTTGCCATATGACAGCGGCGTGCCCTCACTGTTGGTGGCGCGTACGAGATAGTGCAACTGCGGGGTGGTAAGCAGCTTGTAGTCGACATGGTCGGTGTTGGTCGCCTCGAGGGCATCGGCAAGGGCCGTGACCAGCTTGTGGCCTGAAGGCCGAGTATCACGACCGTAGATGACCTTAGCTGGAGTCTTGAGGTCGATCTTGAGGTCAGCGGCCAGCTTGTGGTAGATATTGACTAGCTCCTCGTCGCTGGCGGCGTTCACCAGGGCGGTAGCATAGCGCTCCCAATCCTGCTCGAGCATCTCGCCCATGGGGTCGACAATCTTGACGCCGTTGTCGGCAGCCGGATTGTGGCTGGCCGTGATCATGACGCCGATTGCCTGGCTGTTAAGCTTCCGGCTCCGCAGCGAGGCGAGCAGGCCCACACGGAAGGTGACGCCCTCGAGCAGGTCAGCCTTCATCCGGAATCCGGCGGTGCCATATTTGTACAGTTGACCCTTCTCGAGAGGGACAATCGGATGCTTGGCCGAGGCGGCTATGATCAGCTTATCGTCGTTTTCCATCTTCAGTCGGTAAGGTGGCGCGACGGGGTCAGGGTGGCTATCCCGGGGTCCGTTGCGGGGTAGTACGAGACTGAGATGAGGGAGGGGGTTGGAGAGGATGGAGAGGGTGGCAGGAAGAGTAGATGTTAAGGTACAAACCGGAAAATAAGTACCAACTCGTTATAGGTCAAGGTTTGCAGATACTCATTTCTTTTGAGGAAATGGAAAGAACCAGAGCGAGAGAAAGAGCTCAAGATGTGTCGGTGGGAGTGGCAGGCGGAGGTGGACAGCTCTCGCCAATTGCCCCACGTTCTCGTGCTAGCTGCTACGGTGGGGACCTTGCTGCACCATGAGGAGACTAACCATAACTGGCAAGCTTCCTCTCTGCTTCCTGCAACCACTTTAACTTAGAGTCTTTTGACAGTGGACAGTGGACAGTGACACAGGCAGCTGGCTGCTGACTGCCTGAAAACTCGCACAGTACGAATATATACAGTACGCTTCACGGCACTGCTGCACGGGGCTCGCGTTCGCGTTCGTGGTCGCTCCGGGACACGAGCAACCAAACTGGAAGTCAACAAAATGAGCGACTACAACACGTAATGCATCTTAAGACCACAACTTGACGGGTTGCTAAGGCGATCAACAATTGCATTTTCTCTGCTTGGACTTTCGCTTTTCTTTGCTCCTCTCTTCATTGCCTAATCCTCCCAATTTTTCTATTATTTTTCCTTGGGACTTTGATTGTTGATTTTCACATTGCTCCCTTTGCTCTGCTTCCCTTGAGAGAGCTCGCTTCAATGTCTGAGATTACATGCGCGAACCCATTGCTCCTCCAATGGGTCAAGGAATGGTGGGATAAAGCGCGGCAGCAGAATTCCAAAGGTGTTACGACCTACAAACATGCCTACGACTCGCTCAAGGCCTGTCCCATCACCTTCGAGCATCCCTCATCGCTGCAGCAGTTGAAAGGATTCGGGCCGAAACTCTGCGAGCGGCTTACTGAGAAACTGCGCGACTACTGCGAGGAGAATGGCCTGCCCATGCCGACACATCCAAACAGGAAAAAGCGAGCCAAAATATCAGCAGCTCTCCGTTTGAACGAGCAAGAGGATGACGAGCCTCCCCGGCCGGCTAAGAAGCCAAGAAAAGCAAAGGCATATGTGCCCGCCTATCGCACAGGAGCATATGCGATTGTATTCGCTCTCTCGGCCTTGGGGGAGAACAATGCCGGCCTGAGCAAAGCTGAGCTGATAGAGGCGGCTCAGCCGCACTGCGATGCGTCGTTCACAGCACCGTCGGATCCCACAAAGTTCTACACGGCCTGGGTATCGATGAAGACCCTGGAGCAGAAAGAGCTGGTGTATACTCGCGGCCGGCCCCTGAAGCGGTACTGTCTGACTGACGAGGGCTGGGAAGTCGCAAAGAGGATTCGGGAGACTCTTGCTTCTCAGACCGGAGATGCAAATCTGCGCACCGTAGCAGCAGCGGGGTCCGCAGCACCCAGCAGGGCAGCTCCATTGAGAGACGCGCCTGCTCTGCCCGCCGCCGGTTCGGTCATTGTCCTAGACGATGAAGATGACGAACCGGCCCCACGAGAAGCTAGCAAATCGGAGTTTAAGGACGTCGTGGCAGATGGCAACGTTGATGCGGACGATTCCAATCTCCCTTCATTCACTCCCATCACCTTGACTCCTGGCTCATTCACGGTCGAGCTACTTCTCGATAACCGGGAGATCAGGGCGAAGACGGATCGAGACTACATGCAGCAGGAGCTCGCGAAACGTGGAGTCACACCTACGGTGCGTTCTTTGGAGCTGGGTGACGCCCTGTGGGTCGCTAGATGCAAACGGCCTGGCTGGTTGGCCAGTCAGGGCGCAGAGGGCGACGAGGTGGTTCTCGACTGGATCGTTGAGCGTAAGAGATTGGATGACCTTCTCGGGTCGATCCGGGACGGCCGCTTCCACGAGCAGAAGTTTCGACTGCGGCGTTCGGGGGTGAAGAACGTCATTTACCTGGTCGAAGAAATCAGCATGGACGCGACATACTTTCAGAAGTGGGAAGAGTCAGTCCAATCGGCAATCGCGTCAATGCAAGTAGTTAACGGCTACTTTGTGAAGAGGACACAAAAAATGGATGACACCATCGCGTACCTGACGGCCATGACGAAGATGCTCAAGACGGTCTATGAGGGCAAGACATTGAGCGTGATCCCGACCAAGGTTCTGACGGCAAAGAATTATCTCCCTTTGATTAAGCATCTCCGGGAGACCCAGCCATCGTCAAGTCATCACATCAGCTATCCCGCCTTTGCATCCCTAGCCTCCAAGTCGGAGCTCATAACACTGCGAGACCTTTTCCTGAAATTCCTAATGTCGACAAAGGGAATCACGGGCGAGAAGGCCATCGAGATACAAAAGCTATGGAAGACTCCGAACGAGTTTGTCAAGGCTTTTGAGCGATGTGGCTCCGGCGAGGAGGGGAGAAGACGCAAGATTGATCTTGTTTCGTCTCACCTAGGCCACTTGGTTGGAAGAAATAAAATAACCAAGGCTGTCAGCCAGAAGCTGGCAGAGGTTTGGGGTGACGCATAGCGTATGGAGTACCGGTCCTGGGATGGGAAAGATTCTTAAGCTTAGATTCATGGCGCCAGCCCACGAACAGCCTTTATTACCCACCATCAGTTGAACATCTTTTCTGGACACTAAGCCGATCTCTTCGCGACAGCCGTTTCCACCATCTTCTGAAGCAAGGGAATAGCCCCTCCACTCTCCGCCCCCAATCCCGCCAAGTACCCCTGAAGGCTCTTCTCCACGTACTTGGCCGTCATGTCGACCTCGACATTGACCGTGTCCCCGACCTGCTTGGCCGCCGTCACGATGCGCTCCTGCGTGTAGGCAATGAGCATGACCTCCCACCAGCCCTCGTCGTCGTTGACGTGAGTCACGGTCAGGCTCGCTCCGTCCAGCGCGATGAAGCCCTTGTAGACGACGTAGCGCAGCACTTCTTTGCTGCGCGGCGCGAAGCGCATCGTCACGGCGTTGCCATCGGGCCGCCGGTCCACGATCTCGGCCGTCGTGTCCACGTGGCCCTGCACAAAATGGCCCCCCATGCGCGTGTCGGCGCGAACCGCCCGCTCAAGGTTGACCCGAGATTGGGGGGCCAGCGAGCCCAAGTTGGTCAGCCGCAGCGTCTCAGGGGCGATGCCCACTGTGAATTGTGGGGCCGACGCGGGGGTTGATGATGATGTGTTGTTGAAGGAGGTTACTGTCAGGCAGACCCCGTTGATGGCGATCGAGTCGCCCAAGTGTGCGTCTGAGAGCAGCGTGGAGTCGGGAGGGAGGGTGATGGTTAGGGAAGTGCCGCCTGTGGCGTCGGAGGGGTTGAGCTCGGCGACGACTGAGGTTTGAATGTTAGTGGGGGGTAAAATGGTCAGTCCAGTATGGTGAAGGTGGACATACCGCCTATCTCCTCGACTATGCCGGTAAACATTGTGGGATTCTTGCCCTAATTGGTGTGTTTCGGTCTTGAGTTGTGAGTGAGCTAGTGGTCGAGTGAGTTGAGTCGTGAGATGGTGAGTTCAGTCAACTTCAAGTCTTCGCTTCGATGAGTCGAGCTCAATGGTGGGGTCACTAAGCCGACAAGGTTCCTGGTTCCAAGTCGCACCTACGAATCACGGGATACAGTAACTTTAATTAGCTTGCATGTCAATCCTCTATGAAATGGCCTATCTGGCATCTTAGAGTATATGTTCTTTGAAGTTACCTTAAATGAAACTGCCAGTAATGGACTGAATATTCTTGTGTTATGCGCATACCCCTTGGATGGGGTTAGGGTTTCTGCTGCCCATAACACGGTTGGCGCTATGCTACAGTGCCGGCTATGTAGGCAAGAAAGTACACACTGTGCCAGCTGAACCCCTGCCAAGGCAACTTGAAGGCTGAATGTCCGTATTTAGGTAGATCATGATCAGCTGGCTTCAGCTTCCCTCACATCATAACAAAACCAAAAAAACGAGAAAAAACAAAAAAGAGGCGATGTCAGCAACAATATGTCTTGAGCGCCATCCATTCGCTTAATTGGTTTTTTAATGCCTGTATGATCTGGAAGTACATGCTACCTCGGCGGGCGCAGCGGAGGCGCTTAGTCCGAGTAGCACCTGTCTTTGGCTTCTTTTGGCTTCTCTACCTTTTCGCGGGCGAAATTGACGTGTCCGAGCCAGCAACGCGCTGGCCTGCCACTGATGGACAAGCCGATCCGTGCCGTCTTCACGGATGGAAATCCTTCAAGCCGGAATCCGCGGACACGCCGCGTAAGGTGTACGATCTGCTGATGATCAACACAGAACTCGACTGGCTCGAGATCCGCCTTAACAGCACCTGGGATGCGGTCGACTATTACGTCCTCGTCGAAGGCCGCATGACTTTTACCGGTCTTGACAAGCCCCTAACGCTCAGGGACAACATGTCCAAGTTTGAGCAGTATCAGTCTAAGATCATCTACCGCGAGATTGAGTATCCGCCTGACTTCGATCCTCATTACACCTGGGACATAGAGGACCACCAGCGCAATTCAATGTTCACACAAGTCTTTCCGCGTCTGACTGGCTCGCAAGCACCTAACCTGGGCGACGTCATTGTCGTGTCGGATGTAGACGAGATCCCACGCCCTTCTACTCTAGCCGTTCTACGCGAATGCCAGTTCCCCCGCCGCCTCACCCTGCGCAGCCGCTTTTACTATTATAGCTTCCAGTACCTGCACCGCGGCGTTGAGTGGGCGCACCCCCAGGCAACATACTACCAAGGACTCCGCGAGACGCTGCTACCTAACGACCTGCGACTTGGCATAGGCGGGATTTGGCCGTTCAAGGAGTGGGAGAAGGCCGATTTCTGGAACGCCAGCTGGCACTGCTCCTCGTGCTTCGAGACAATTGGGGAGCTGCTGACCAAGATGGGGTCGTTTTCACACATTTCGATGAATGCGGAACAATACCGGGACAGGGAGAGGATCGCGGACCGCGTACGGAACGGGAAGGATCTCTGGGACCGCGAGGGAGAGGTGTACGACCGGATCGAAAATAACCTGGATGTGCCGTCATTCTTGCTGCAAAACAAGGACCGGTTTCGGTACATGCTGAATCGAGACGGGCCGACAGCGGGGTTCACGGACTACGATGGGTAGGCGGAGCAAGGGCGTCCGGAGAGTGATCACACGCGGTTTGCCGTATATAGCACCGCAAACGCGAGGGAAGCGGGCACAGCATTAGGGTCGAATTATGTCCGACTCCGCGGCGGAGTTGCCAACCGAGACGTCACTCTCCGAAGATGCTAGTGCCACTAGCGCTGCCGATGTCAAAATGCAGGCGCGAAATATCGCCCGAGGTGCTGATAGTGCATCAAGATGGTTCAAACCGCCGGTGCAGGAATCGGATCCGCCTTTGGCCCGTTCCACAATCCGTGCCGGCCAGCCGGGTCCAGCTATGACGCGATGAGCCGCTTGCCATCCGATGAAGATTAGCTTTACACTGGATGAAAGTGGTCTTGCGAGTTGTCAACCGATCCGATCCATTAGCCTCAAGGACGACTTTTTGTAAGTTGAATCGTACCCGACTCTCGGAAGCTGTCAACAAAGGAAACTCGGGTCTCCAATCGCAGGCCGGAGCTGAATAACAGCGGTGGCTACGAGGAGCTCCCCCGCATCCGCCCTCCCCCACCACGCAACTGTGACCTCAGCCACCTTGTCGTGGTCCTCAACTGACCACCGTCTCCAGCTCCTCTCTTCTTAATAAGGAGCTCATCTTCCAACTAAGCCAGCCTTGCACCTGCTCAGCTCCGCACAAATCACAATCCATTTTCTCATCCATCCACGTTCACCATGGGCTCGGTCGACAAGGATTCGCGCCACCCGCCCATCAATGTGTTGATAACGGGCTTTGGAGTGAGTTGTCTACACCCCCCTCCCACCGCAACAGCAGTGATTCCCCCAACCTGTACAACCCTTGACGGCTGCAAGCAAGCAAATCAACCTTCTTGTTACCCGACATCTTGGCCAGCATGAAATCAGAACTCATCATCAAGGGACAAAATAACTAAACCCTCCCGTGCAGCCCTTCAAAAAGGACTACCCGGTCAACCCCTCCTGGGAAATCGCCCGCTCCCTCCCGGAGTGGCTGCCGCCGGTCCGGGCCAAGGACACCAGCGCACCGACCTCAGCGTCCCAACCACCGATCCCCCCGGTCCGCCTACTCGTCCACCCGGAGCCGGTACGGGTGAATTACGGCGTCGTGCGCCGGCTCGTCCCGCAACTCTGGAATCCGGAGTCACACCACCGTGATGATCAGCAACAGCATGAACAGCCTGAGCAGCAGCACGTTCTTTCTGATAGCAGCAGCAGCACCAGTAGTCGGCCGCGCATAGACTTGGCGATCCACATAGGAATGGCCGGGCCGCGGCTGTTCTACTCGATCGAGCGGCGCGGGCACAGGGATGGGTATGTGATGCGCGACGTGGATGGGCAGGTCCCTGGCCATGGTAGTGCTGTTGGCGGTGGCGGTGACGGTGATCACGATGGAGATGAGGCGGAGGGCGAGGTGGCCGAGGAGCTGCTGACTGATTTGGATGTCGAGGATGTACTCCTCCGGTGGAAGGGGCATAGTCCCGTGAGTTTCCCCCTTTCTTTCACCACTTGCTATTAGTCTTCGTGCGGCGATGAAGACAGTGAGAGTGCTGACACGGGGGCCGTGGGTGTAGAGACATGTAGATTTGAGAATATCAGAGGATGCGGGCCATTATCTGTGCGATTTCACCTATTTCTCGAGCCTGGCGTATCTGTACAGGATGGGGATGCGGCGTAGGGTGCTGTTTTTACACGTGCCTAGCGATGCCTCAGAGCACAGTGTTGCGCTCGGGAGGGAGCTGGTGCTGCAGTTGGTGAGGTCCATAGTGGAGAGTGAGTTGGCGAAGGGCGGGGGGTTCAAGGTGGAGGAGAAGGAATGCTGAGGGCGGGTGTTGTTTTCGAAGGGCGTTGAAGCGCTAGTGTACGGGCTTCTGCGGCTCATAAATGAGAGCATGCGGCGTCCGGAATTGGGTAGGAATTGGGTATTAGGTCTAGGTCATTGGTCTATACTAATGTAAGAACCATATCTACCTGTCTAAACTTGGCGAAATCGCCAGCTAACCGGACTCGCTTTCTACCATGAATGCCCAGAAAAGCAAACCTGAAAACCGCTCGATGAATCCTCTAGAACCGGTGGTACTGATGCGGTGTCGCAATCTTCACGCCCAGCTGCTTGGCCGTCTTGATCACAAACTCGGGCTCCCTCAAGAACTGCCTGGCGATCAGCACCAAGTCGGCCTTGGTCTTATCCCCAGCGTCCTGCACCACATCCCTGGCCGTTTCGGCATCGTCAATCATGCCCACGGCGCCAATGGCCATCTTCCCGCCCTTGCCAGCCTTGATAAGCGCCTCGCGGATGTGACCGGCCATGTCAATCTGGTAGTACTTGTAAATGTTGAGCTTCTGGGCCGGGTTGTTGGCGCCCGAGCTGACGTCGAGCAGATCGACGCCCTCGTCGGCGAGGAGCAGCGCCAGGCGCGTGGTCTCGTTCAGAGTCCACGAGGGCTGGCCCGTGTACTCCATCCATTCGGTCGCCGACACGCGCACTGAAAGGGGCATGTCGTCGGGGATAACAGCGCGGACCCCGCGGACAATGTCGAGCAGGACGCGGGTGCGGCCCTCGAAAGAGCCGCCGTAGGCGTCGGTCCGCTGGTTGGTGATGGGCGAGAGGAACTCGGATATGAGGTAGCCGTGCGCGCCGTGGATCTCGATAAAGTCCATGCCCGCCTGCACGGAGCGCTTGGCCGCGTCGACGAAGCTCTGCACTAACCCCTCAATCTGGGCGACTGTCATCTCCTTGGGCGTCGGGAACCCTTCGTCCCAGGCGATGGCGCTGGGGCCCCACAGGTTGTCGGGCCAGCCGCCCACCTCCGGGCCGGCCACCTTGTTGCCGTGCCACATGCCGAGGGTGCTGGCCTTGCGCCCGGCGTGGGCAAGCTGGATGCCGACCTTTTGGCCCTGCGAGTGGATGTAGTCGGCGATGCGCCGCAGTGGTGCTATTTGGCTGTCCTGCCACAGGCCCGAGTCCTCAGGGGAGATGCGCCCGTTGGGGGTCACCGCGGTAGCCTCAACAATGGTCAGGGCAGCGCCGCGCAGGGCGAAAGCGCCGAGGTGCACCAGGTGCCAGTCGGTCAGATGCCCGTCATCTGCCGAATACATGCACATGGGGCTAACAACGAAGCGGTTTTGCAGTGTCAGGCCCCGGAGCTTGATCGGAGTGAAAAGGGTAGGGACGTCCGGCCCGGGCTCGAGGGCCGTGCCGACGGGTGGGTCCTGCGCCGGCGTGTAGAAGGGAACACCCGGGGCCGGGGCGCTCGCTGTGAGTTTCTTGATGGTCATGGCGTCGCTGTATCTGTATCTGTCCAAGAAACGGAGAAGCCTCTGTCTAGGTTTTTAAGGAGCGTGGTGTCGGGGGAGAATTTCTGTTCGTCGTTTGTGAATTATGAAGATGGGTTGGAATAACGGACCTGTCCGCAAGGGGACGGGATGGACGCCGTCCCCCATGGGTACTTATAACGCGCCCATCTCTTGTTTCTAGAGCCCCGTCGAAGAGTCTTCATCTTCTCGGCTCTGTCAATCGCCGTGATGAATAATGCAAGCCCTTGAGGGTTCCCCACTATCCAAGTTTGAGGCGGGGCAAATATCTCCCGGGTATGGCGGGGGTCTCCTATCGGCTGTTTGACGGTGGTGCAATCGCCCCTGAAGGACCAGCCTTGACAGTTGACACTACGTACCCATCTGCTGAGTAATTAAGCCGGCGGAAACACGGCTCTTTTTCGGAGAGAGCCGAGGGGGACTCAAGGTCAGGCTCGTAGAGAAGTCTCCGGAATCCAGGGCGACAGAGAGAACAACGGTAACCTTGCCGAACACGATAGGCAGTGGTTGGCCGTGGAGGTTCGCCGTGGAGGTTTACCGTGAACAATAACGTCAGCCCTAGACGACCCGATGACAGCATTAATAAAGCTTTATAATCTGTAAATTCGGGGTTACACAGCCAGCGTGGTATGTCGGATGTAAGCGGGACTCGTACGTATATCCGTAGTACACGTGCAGTTTGTCCAGATAAGTTACACGAGTGCAGGACGGTCCTCATCCTAACCCCGACTCTGATGAGACAGAGGAGCGAGGCCTTTGAAGATGTGGGGTTGGAGGTCGACAGAGCGCGGCTTGCCACTTTTGTCAGAGATTCACAGAACAGCCCACTGCTGAATCATGAACGGTGGGGAAAGAAGGCTACTGTAAATTGACGCGGATATCCGTACCTTCGTAGAGCTTGGCTCCACGAGTAGATAAGGTACCTATGCAACTATTGATACTAGTGTAATGTAATGATGTATTATCTCGTAAGTCTTTACATACGATAAGAGATGATCACTCGAAATTACATGTATCCGTATTAGCCTGTTTGTAACGCTAACTTAACCTTATGCTGTATCCATACTTTTTACTGGGCCCATGCCAGCTGCTCACATAATTAGGTAATCAGCGATTGCGGTTGCCATCTCTCCAGTCTCCTCCAAGTTGGGACCGCGAAAGATGCATCGGCCGCGACGGGCAGTTGTCGCTTCGCGCTTCAAGAAAAATCCCCCTGGGCTACAAGTTAGAGATGATTCGCTACCATATGACAGTTTGATGGGATTACACCACAGTATAAACACATTGAGGTAACGTTGAGTGGAGCCGCAAGCTTCTTGAAATGTTCTCAATGCCCAGAATCAGGGGCTGGAAACCCTGACCCAGGGGCAGAGGAGTGCGGGTTAAAACGAAACACAGGGGTGCACCCGTGCAACTCGAAACATCGACTTGCCTTCGTTTCGCCAACGTGACCCGGTTGCTTATCCGTTTCTACACAAGCTCCAGAAACTCGAAGGTGCGAGGTTTGACCAGGTACGAGATGGGAACGCCCTGGTCAGACTGACAGCTTGGGGGCCTCGGGGGGTTCCTGGGGTGTAGCCACTGCGAAGGGTCATCGTGTATCAGGTATACATACCTATTGACGCTAGGAGGGCCACAGGGCTCAGCTTTCATCATTTGCACGTTCTTCTCGATTTTCTTCGTTTCTCTCGTCGCTGGCCGAATGTATTCCTTTCGCTGCTGAGCGGCACCAAAAGTCGCTGTCGCATCGTCACTAGGTTCGTCGCAAGACCCCAAAGATGCCGGTGAGGTGGAGCACCAAGAAATCAGTGGTCGGCTCGTAAGTAAAGATCAACTATTTTCTAAATCTCTGTGGCCTCTCCGGCTAATCAACTGTGAACGGCAGCCTGGAGGGGTGCGACGTCGTCAAAGTGCTAGTCGGCGAAGAACAGACCGAGTTCACGCTGCACCGCAAACTCCTGTGCGACAGCTGCAGCTTCTTCCGCACCAACATTGAAGCAATCCCGTCCCCGTCCCGGTCCTCAAATTCCGGCCATGGTGCAGAAGAAGCAGAGGACTCGGTCCTGTGGCTTCCGGGCGAGACGTCCGACATGTTTGAGCTCTTCGTACTATGGCTCTACCAACGTCAACGATTCCACTTCTTCCTCGACCGCGCCCTACAAGCGATATCCCCGGAAGAGCACCGCACCACGCGCACCAACCTGGTGCACCTGCACCTCTTCGCCGCCGTCATCGACCTGCCCTCGCTACAGGACACGGCCATGGACGCGCTGCAGGACATGTACCTGCGCTTCGACTGGGACATGTCCCCCCGGTTCATATCCTTCCTGTACAACGGGGACTACTGCGACGCGCAGCACGCCGTGCGGCTGCGCAAGTGGGCCGTGGCGATGCTGGCGTGGACGCTGCACGGCGCAGGCCCCACCGAGAAGCACCACGCGGCCCTCGCGGGCCAGGTCGACAAGCTGTTCGCCGCCTACCCGCCCCTCCGGGCAGACTACCTGCTCCATCTCGAAAAGATGGCCCAGAGCCGCGCCGACGTGCGCATCAAGAACCCGCAGCTGCGCCTCCCCGCCAACAAGCTCCTCAGTGGCGAGCGCTACTTTGGTTTCCGCCAGTGCACCTTCCACAGCCACCGCGCCTCGGTCGGCGAGGGCCCCTGTCCCTGGCTTGCCCACGGCCTGGCTGCCATGACGGCGGCCTACGGCGACGACGGAGAGGCGTCAGCGCCCGTGACGTCTACCACTGCCGGTGCCGGTTGGGGTAGGAGCTGTAGGAAACGGGATGCTGGGGGCACCGTGGCGAAGGACGGGGTCGAGCCATGTGAGCCCGAGGAGGTCTATCAGCAGATCATATCGCCTGTTGGAGATTTGAATGAGATTTCGTACCTGGATCTGTCATGAAGGATATGGTCAGGGCCGTAGGTATTAGGGGCTGAGATACCCAGGGGCTTCCGCTTGAGGCTGTATGTAGTGACGGGCTCCGTGGAGGGTTTAGACGCTAATTAGAACTGGCATCGAGCCATAATGATAATGATTGGCCTCTCTCGGAGCAGGGGGATTGCGCTTGGGTAGGGTTATGTCACAACTGCGCTCACTCGAGAGAGCCCATGGCTCGACGTCGCCCAGACAAAGAGCACTGAGCAGTAAGTGAGTTTTGCTTTGCTCTTTACCAAGGAGACGCTTGTCACAGCACAATGCCGTTGTCTAGCGAGTCTTTGTTTAGAGACCTGGAAGTCACTCTTCGCTAAACAGGTTCAATGGCAACGGCTTTTGCCTGTATGCAATGTGAGGTTTAAAAAGTGCTCCCTCCTAAGAGTGTCAGAGTTTCCTTTTCTCGTAAAGCATCGATTCCAACCATCCAGCCATATCATCGACAGCCTAGGTACTGGACTCATAGCATCTCATCAACACACATAGTCTAGTAAGACGAAACACTGACAGGACAGCATGGCCTTTACAGGAGTGGGCGGCTTGTCATTTGGGGTTGAGATAGAGCTCAACTTCTGGTTCAAGAACGGCACGAGTCCGTCTCATTACCACCAAGATGGCGCCATTCTCAGTCCCGAGGAGGACAGCATGCTTCCCCCGGCACTCACCCACCTCCGTGATGAGACTGTGTGGAAGGCCACATGGGCAGGGAGCTTGCTCAAAGACGCAATATTGAGCGTCGAGGGTGCGAAAATGAAAGATGAGCCCATGCTATCCGGCAAGCCAGACACGCTCAATTGGATCCGTGTCGTGGATGTGGACGGATGGACGATCAAGCAAGACGGCTCGGTAGTAGACGACTCCCGCATCCTGGAGGGCTATGACTATGCGCCTTTTGAAATTACCAGTCCCGCCTTGTGGGATGTGCCCGACAGTCTCAACCATGTAATGGAGGTTCTCCAAGCACTGACTTCGAGGTTTCGGTTGCGGGTAAATCCAGATACTGGCTTCCATTGCCACGTTGGTGCAGGTATAAAGGGACTCGGAGAAGGGGGTAAGAAGAAGCATTCCCTCCACGTTCTCAAGAGAGCTGCTGCGCTGACCTGGGCTGCTGATGGCTTCCTCTGCCACGCTCATCCGCCCGAGCGTGGTATAAATATCTGGGCAGGGCCAATCCGCCAATGCTCGAGCCTTGCGCATGGGGTTAAGGCCCCAAGTAACAGGTGGTATCCATGGCCCCTAAACCAGCCGCTGTCTGAGGACTCGGCTATGTCCATCCATGACATGGAGTTGCTCATGCAGAAAAGTGACGACGCTGGTCGTCGTAACTTCATTCGCCTGCACAAGGAACTTTTCCCAGCGCTGAGACCACACCAGCCCGACGAAGAGGCACAAAAGCGTTGTGATCCTGGTCGCCGGAAATACGATGACGACCCCGAACCTGCAAATGCCATTAAAACGGTTAGCCAAGGCGTATCATACATAATGAATTGCACAACCCGCAAGCAAGTGGGCGGGCTCCTTAGCCCAGCTCCTGGGCAGATTTCGACCCGGCTGAACTATAATTTCAATAAGTACCGTTCTGGCAGGGACGCTAGGGATACCTTCACCGTCGAGTTCCGTGAGGCAGCGGGTAGCGTAGACGGCATTTGGATTGCGTACTGGGCTAACATCTGCCTGGGCATTTTTCGCTTCGCGCGGGCGGCCTCAGACAAACGCTTCTGGGCCGTCACATCCAACCTGTCAAAGGCCGAAGCAGCTGCCATGGCAAACGAGCCGCATAGTTACGACATGATCTCGTTCCTGAACGACTTGGGCCTATTTGCTGAAGCGCTGTACCTTGAGCGCAGTTTGCGGCGGGATCAACTGGGCTTCTGGTATCCTTGCCGGCTGCTGAATGAATCCGGAGGTTCCATACGCTCACGATAATCAACAGTCCGATTTGCGCCGGACCCAGAGCCAAAGAACCGCTCTTCGACGGAGTCCCGGCGTAGGTTAAGGAGCCCTAGTCCTGAAAATACGCGGGCGAGACAAAGGGAGGAGGAGGTGGACAGCACCTGGTGAGGAGGAAGGAGGGCACCTTAACTCAGGTAGGTAGGTATCTAAGTATGTGTAGGAAGGAGCGTCGTAAGGTGTACTATGTGTACATGTAACCCCAGTGTTTAGGTGGTATTCAAAGTCCATATGAGACTTGGTATCTAAATATTTGGCGGATGGGCAGTTGAAAACTTCAACAAATCCAAGACCGTTTGCATTATAAATGAAGACTGCTGGGTGCACAAGTTGACGTGGTGACTAGGTACTTTTTGGCTATCCAAATAATAATCCAAGTAAGTTTGTGCACTCGGGATGGCCAGATTAGCAGGCCTCCTGTCCTTGTTTGACTACAAACAACTTTCGAACTATTTGGGTTCCATGAATCCTCTTTAAGGTGAATTACACGTCGCAAAAACATGAAGGTAGGTTTGGGTTCCTCGTGCGACGGCTTTAAGAAACAAGTGTATTGTACTGTACCAGGTCGCATGGTTGCCCTCAACATCATCCCATAATCCCCCTATTATATCGTGGTTTGGACTTTGACGCTTCGGCAGATACAGTACTTAAGTACTGACACTACCATGTTCTCAAGATTGCATTCTGCACTACCCCCATTAGCCCAGAGCCCAGAATTAGACTCAATTTTAGTCATGATTCTCAGTGTTGTCTGCAAAGCCTCAGCGGTTGATATCTGCTATGGTTACAAATCTCCTCCCTTATGTAAGTATCTAGTTCTTCTTAGCAGTAAGGAGAGCCCTGAGTATTCTGTCTTTGCTAAAAAAACAGAGCATTAACAAGCTCTGTATGTACGATGCTAGACATGACGTATAGCTGAGTCAAGTACAAGAAGACACGGGTACATTGATATGGTATAGGATATAGATAGGGCAGTCAAGTCGGAATGGCATCAACTCAAACCCCCGACTGTCAACACAGCGCCGTCTTGGTATGGTTTCCGGTGGCTAGGCGTCGGACATGCGTAGGTGGACGGCAGGGAGCTGAGCACGTGGACTGGGAGCACTGAGCGAGGGAGGTCACGGTATATAGCCCTCATTTCCTTCCCGGTCAAGCAAGTTAGACTCCGCCAGAGAATTTATTCTGTGGCCGAGTGGAGAATGCCAGCTAACTAGGAAATCGTTGCGCACGGTTTCGTAGGGCGGGAGGTCACCGGTTCGATTTCAGGTAGAACCAGTGGCGCTCCCGCCTGAGCTTTATGCCATTTTTTGTCCATTCTTCCATCCGATGTTGCCCTCAAGGTCGGATTCTCTTGCTGATAAAGTCCAGTCTAGATCCCCGCCCATCAACATTCCTACCGCTCTAATGAACCACCCCCTTAGCCTAGTGCAGATACACCAGTAGCGCCTCAGTTACCTTAATCTCCAGTGTAAGAACCGCCGTCAGTTTCTCGCAGTCTCCATTTCATGTAGATCTAGTACGGGAGGAACAATCTCGATCGTAGCTTCCAAATCCAAGCAGGACAGCAAGTGGATGGAACCTTCCCAGAAACACCAACGAGAGCAAAGCGCGTTACCTATAAACCCCCCCCCCCCTCTCTCTCTCATCCTCTCTCTTCCACCTTCACCCTCCGTCGACCATGAATCATCTATAGAAAGAACAAATCCCAAACGAGAGATAGTTGAATGCTCTCCCTGGGCTGGAACTTAGATGTCATACCTAGCTGGTCAACAGCAGTTCGCATCCGTTCAAGGTGCCCAGGAACTTAGGGAATTGCAGGCTGCCGCCCTACAAAACGATTATTTGATGTAAGAAGGGCGATGGTAATTTGATGAATGGAACTTGGAAGGAGCTCATCAAGGGAATGTCTGATTGCATTAGGTAAGGTCGTAGGTATTTAGATTAAGTCCTCCTTCTTACTTTCACCCCCCCCCCTGAGGAGAGCGTAACGGCTCCTACTCGGAGTCCCTTCAGCCCTGTCCACTGTGACTGAGGTGCCTAGTTCGATTTCTATTATTAACGGCCATGGTGCCCAACAGGGCGATCGTGTGATTGCGTTATGCGAATACACCGGGTTACAAATGTCATCGCAGCAGGTCTGGCAGCCCATCTTCATTGACAACCTGAAATGATGAATGGAAATGCAGCCCGATATGCCGGGCGAGACTGTCCCAATAAGCAAGAGCGAGCCCCAAGAGGCCGCCTCCGCTCTCCACAAGCACGTCACGGTCGAGTACTGGGGATACGCCATCTCCGAGGGAGGGAAAGGTCTTTCGCCCGGATCCTGACGATTCCCGTGTCATATTCAACAACACGTACAAGGCTCTGCGCATCATCAGTGGGGAGCACAACCTGTACTATGCGGTGTGGTGCAACAACGAGCACCGATGTATGGCTTGTCACGATTTGGACTTGAGGCTTAAAGCGGAAAACCATGGAGCAGAACGACCAAGGAATATGGTTGAAACCGGCCAGAAATACCGGCAGTCTAGAAGAGAGAGCGAGACCACGGAGCCGGGGAAACAACAGCTGCAAAACCCAAACTGCCTACAACCTGAGGGGGTAGGAGCGCCGATGTGCAGCTTGCCGTCGCTACTCCTTGGACCACAAAGACCCAGAGCGGCCGAAGGGGCATGTGGAGAGAGGCAAGCAGCAGAGAAAGATGGTTGCAAAAACCCACACTTTTTACAACCGGAGGCAGAAAACATTCGCTTTTTCGGCTTAGGGGAACAACGCCGCTGTAGCCCCTGCTATCGATCTCTACGATCTGATGGTTAGTACGACAGCATTCCCTGAGTTGATAATGGTCAGCGGCCAAGGATCTTACAAGCGGTCGAAGTGTTACAGGTTAAGGTTCAACCCAGCGACTTCTTGCCTGCTTCAGTTGACTGATTCAGGACGAGGTTGAAACAATAGATATACGGCGAGAACAAACTTTCAACGTCAGGTCGTCGAGGAACAACAGATCCAGATGAATATTGGTGTTTGACTCGTGGCCAGAAAGGAAAGAGCCCATTGGCGGGTCGGACCATTTGAGACGGGTGAAGTGTGTTAAGTGCAGGCTTGACCGTAATCCCCCAATGATACACTAGCTGAGCTCTACGACTTCGATTTCTTGCCCCTAGCAGGGGCACCGCTAGCTCTCTTCCTCTTGCCCTTTCCCTTCGCACTTACAACATCCGGATCCGCTTCACCCTCATCTCCTTCACCATTCTCGTTCTCCTCTTCCCTCTCCTCCTCGTCAGAAGCAGCAACCGTGCCCCTTGTTTTCCGTTTTCTCCTCACCTTCTCCGACTCCCCAGATGCTCCAACGGCGGATGAACCCCGGGCCCCCGCACCCTCGCCCGTCTTCGCCCGCAGCCTACTGACCGCGTCCGCCATCCTCTTACTCCCCTTAAGCCCCCTCTGCCGAGGCGCAAATGCCTCCTTTGCCCCTACCCCCACACTTCCCTGGAAGTACCTGGTAATATTACTCTGTGTCCCCTCCACCTCGCGGCGATTCATGTCCTTGATGACGGGCACGAGAACCTCATCCGTGCGTTCCTGGCTCCACCCGATGGTGGTCATGAGGAATTGTCTCAAACCTTCCAAATCCGGAACGCCCCACTGGAAAGGCTCAGGATCGCTGTCCACTTCAGGATGAAGGTAGGCATCAAACACGGCAGGACTGGGGAACCCTACGGGCAAGAACAGCTTCGTGGCATGGGCCTTGCGGAACTTTCTGCGGAACGGCGAGTCCGCGTCCGCCTCCTTAGGACGGCCGCGGTTCTGCACGTCTTGCCACCAGTCCTTGAAAGCGGCGAGGCCGTCTTTGCCGGGGAATTCCGACAAAATCTCCACGGCGGTAACAGGTCCCACGCCGGGGATGCCCTCGGTGTAATCGGATCCGAGCAGCTGGGCAAGAGAGATGAGCTGCTCTCGTGAGAGGGAGAGCTCAGTCTCGAGATCCTGGGCGAGGTAGCACTCGACAAACTTGTTGCTGTTGAACATGTTCTTATAGACGCGTGTGCCGCCAAAAAGGAAGATGTCAGAGTCGTCAGTGACAATGCCATCGACGAGGTTCAAGCGCACTAACTCGGCGCATTGTGCCTCGGCTTCCATGGGTGCCGTTATGTACGGAATGCCGAAGAGGCGCAGGAGAGCCTGGCACTCGCTTACCATGATCTGCGTGACCTCGTCGGCGTCACGGCGGTCTTTCTTTTGTTGGTTGCGAAGGGCGCGTAGTTCTTTCTCATAAGCGTCTTGATTCTCGCGTTGAGACTTATTGTTTAGTTGGCTCGCGAAACGGGCGTGTTCTTCGGCTTCTTCGGCCATCTGTGCCAGGAGTTCCTCTTCCTCTGGGTCGCTGAACTCATCAAATTCTTCGGGACCCGGGGCGTCCGGGTCGATAATCGAGTCTTCGTGGTGCATTGCAAACCCTTCGATTCTTGTCTGCTGCGCAGGTGGCGGTGTGCCGTCGCCGTAAAGCTCGGCCTCAATGCGAGCAGCTTCAGACATCTGTTCGCCATTGACAGCTTCTTCGGAGGCTCCGGTTTGAGCGGGCAGAACCACGTCCTCAAACTCCACATCTTCCTCCTCCATGTCTTCCGGACCCGGGTTCATTCCTACCGACTGACCCTTGAGTCCATTGGGTGTCTCTAGATCTAGAGATTTTTGAGCGGGCGTGCGTGGCTTGGTACTGATATCCATACCTCCGTCTGGGGTTTCGGTGACGACCGCCCTCGCTTGCTCCGGAGCGGGCTTGACGATATCGTCCTCCATAGAGGGAAGGCTGGCTCCTGGCCGTTCATTGGAGTGGGGCTTTGCTGCGGGAGGCGCGTCGATGATTTCAATATCGCTGTCGTCACCACTCTCCGACTCAATCTCGATAATGCCATCCTCTTGTCGCTGACCTAAGTGGAGATCCTCTCCCATAACCATCTCCTCATCCGCTTCGTTCATCAGCCTGTCTACCTCTTGTTGTTTCCTCACGGATTCCCGAATATCCGACGTGTCTGTTAGCCACGGCGGTAATGGGAGAGGTTTATCGTCTTTCTTTGGCAGATCATCAACCTCTGATTCTCTCACAAACCCGCCAGCCTCATCATCAGAGACAGCTTCTAGCTCACCGGTCTGGGCTTCCGGAGGGTTTTCTCGCCGCTCTGTTGTGGACGTTACCTTGCCACCAAACATGCCACGCCAGTCGAGCTTTTCAAACGGAAGCGGCCCGTCAAATGGATTCTTGACGTTGGCTTTGACGGATGCTGGTTGTGGTTTCGGCTGCTTCTTTCTAGCGGCCGCCAAAGCTGACTGAAAATCGACATCGCTGTCGCTGCTTTCACTATTCCGGCGCCTTGGCACAGCGGCATTTGCTCTGTTGTTTACGATATGCGCAACCATCCTCCCGCTAGCGCTAGTGATGGGCTTTGCAGCCTCCACAGCCTTCTGCCTCCACTTCGGCGTTGCTGCAGTGTCAGGTTCTTCTTCATCGTCGTTTCTATCTTGAAGCCCAACACCGTGCTGATTTTGTAGCGACAGTGCGATGGCGCGGTTCAAGTCCTCTCTTTCGTCGGCTTGGAGGGAATCGTCTTCCCCTTGAAGGTCAGTGTCGTTCTCATTCTCAACGAACAGCGACTCCTCTGGTGCATCTCCTTCCGTTTGCCGAGAATCGTAAAACTGCTGTCGGGCAGAGTCTAGGCCCTGTGCTTGTTGGTAGGCATTGTTGTTACCAAGACGGGGCTTTGGCAGCCTGTTCAAGCCCTCGATGGGGATGTCCTCAAACTCCTCGTCCTCCCACTCATCCTCGTCGTCCTTCCCTTGATATTGGAACTCGAGTGCGTCAACATCGATGGGCTTGTGTATCTGGCCCCTGTCCTTCTCCTTGCTGACAACACCGAGAGCCCAACCTCCTTCGGCGCCCTCATTCTTGACTAGGATATACTCCCGATCCCTTTCCCCGGCAACGCGGTTCACGCCAATTGTCAAGTCAGTGCCAGCCATTCCCATTTCATACATGAGACGCTGTGTCAGGTGATTTCTCTCCTTGACTCTCTCAATCTGGAACCTCGAGAAGGCCATACGGTCCGGAAACATATGGTCCAGCTGGTCTTTGCTCAGACCCATTCTCAGGCGGCTCCGCAACCTAGCAGCGTTCAGGATGTTGTAACGATCAGCGGGCGGTAGGCTCTTGAAGAATTCTCCATCAAAGTCAATCTTGCTAAAGTCGTAGAGATTAATGTCCTCGCCGTCGTTGAACTGTCTCGCGTATTCCTCGAGCTCATCAATGCTCATGATGCGAGGGTCATTTGGCTTGCCCATGGCTTCGATGCCATTTTCCAGCTCGGGCAGATGATAAGCATCTTGTTTGTGAAAACGCCGGCTCCTCTGGCGTTCCTGCTTTGACATGCCGAGCTCATCCGCATACACTATCTGATCCATGCTGGGTAAATCTTCCTGCTCCTCTTCGACTTCTCTTGCGGCGGCACTTGACGCAGCTTCCTCACGCCTCTTGCGCTTCTCTTCCTCCTCTTCGGCAATGCGCTGCATCTGGACGGCGAGAAGCTTTCCAGCGGTGCGCACGGCATCCTCACGGCGGCCCTCACGGCGTCTGCGGCGGCCTTGGAGCGTGGCGCGTTTCAAGGCGGGAGCACCACCGTCAAAGACGAAAACGGGGTTTACACCGTACCACAAGAGTTTGCAAATGCGGCGAAAGAAGCCGACAACATGGCTGTTGCGCAAGGCGTTGCCCTCTTTGTCGCGGACTGCCTTGAGGAACTGGTATATCCAGATGGAAGCATCAATGGCGAGGCGCTTGCGGTTCAGCGTTGATAGGTTTGTGGGCCGCGCACACGGCTGCACCACAGTCCAGAGCCCTTGGACACCCATTTTTACGGTTCCTCAGGTAATGAGTTAGAATCGCTGACGGTGACAGAGTGTGAGTGAGGATTGTCCAATGACTCAACGAGTCAAGGTACCCTGGTGAGGGTTGCCAAGTCAAGCACAAGCGGCTTCATTTGAAGACACCTTTGATTGGTATAGTGAGTTTATTGGTGAAGGAGAGCATAGGTGAGATGCTGTGAAGCCGAATGCGTCCTCTAAGTCGCGAGGAGAGCTGGGTGTGGCAACTTTGATGGCGGTGGAGGTTTATGGATGAAGTCGAATCGAGAGTCAGACACTTCGTACGAAGGTACCCGTACTGTGGATCCGCTATGCCACCCCTGCTGGGCTGCCACGGCCCACGGCTGTCTGCTGCCAAGCATCGTCACTGCCTTATCTGCTGCTTATCGATTGGTTGATTATTTCCCGGTCGTCTGGCTGCCAGCGCTGCTGCCAGAAAGCACCGTGGGGCAGTTGAACGGAAACATCCAACCTGATCGAGATTACGAATACACTTAAACAGCCTTGAATGCTTTTCGTGCAGTTGATTTCTTTGACCAAGTACAGACATCGCGATTAGCACTCTGATAGCAATCCATTTCCCAGCGCCATCCCGCTTATACATTCCAATAGTTGGACTTCTTGAATCTCACTTCACTAGTCTTAGCGCTCTGATTATGAGACTACCCAGATAACCTGTATTCTCTTTGATTTCTTAGGAAACGAAGAGACAAGAGCAGTCAACAGGCCGATATGGACAACGACTCCGGCTCCACACCCTCCTCGCCGCCACCAGTCCAAGATCAACAAGACCAACAGCAGCAGAAGCAAGCCGCTGCCGAATTTCTACAGTCCATCCTGAACAAGAATCTCCGTGTAACTACAACCGATACACGCATGTTCTGGGGCACATTCAAATGCACCGATTCAGTTCGTTCCCCCTCTCTCAAGATTCTAGCCTATCCATTTATTTTTGAAGACTAAACATTAAACACGGAAATCTCAACCTGCAAAATGAAAAGGAAAGCAACCTGGTCCTCCAACACACTTATGAATACCGTCACCCGACGCCCCAGCAAGTCTCAGCGGCGGCGGCAGCCGCAGGGACAGACCCAAGCACGGGCAAAGTCAAGATGGACATGACATCGCGCTACCTAGGACTAGTAGTGGTGCCGGGGCGGCATATTGTTCGCATTGAGGTGGAGGAGTTTGCGAGTCAGATGAGGGGCAGGCAAATGAAAGTTCAGGGGCTAGAGGAGCAGGGGATGGGGAAACCGGGGTCATCAGTACCTGACTTCACCTAGGTGACTGGTCGTGTATTAAACGCTATTCCGAGGTCCGCCGCCAGCCATTGCAAGATTGAAAGCAACACATTCATAGTACGGCAGAGGAACATGAGAATGAGCCGAACCAGAAAAGCTAATAAAACATATCATGTGCCAGAGGAAATCGACGTTAATAAGTAGTTACATTAAAATCATCCGTGTGGTTGTTGCCCCTTTGAACCCAAGTCGCCGATTGCCGTCTTCGTCCGAACCTTTACATTAAAGCTTCATTGCCAAACCGTACCAAACCGTCCATCTACCGATCCTGTTGTGCCATTCAGTCATTACCAATTATACTGCAATCGGTTCTCGCAGGAGAGAGCGGTCGCTGGCTCTGACTGAAATCGTAAAACACAAGCAAGCCGACTCCGCCGTGAGGGGTTTCTTTCCGACTGTGTGCGAGTGTGTGTCGTGGGTAGGTGCATGTGCGTGTGTGAAATCCCCGAAAACTCCAAGCCGAAAACCCTTATGAATTCCCGCTGTCGCTGCCGCTGTTCTCTGTCGTCAAATGGCACGCAGAACAACAGCTTGTCTCAAGACACCCAAAACCTTGGCTAGGCGTCAACCGGCTCCTGATTTCGCCCGCGGGTACCCTCGCCGTTCAAGCCCGACTCACTGCCCAGGACCGTATGACTCGGAGCGTCCAGGTCATTCTCCTCTTCCTCCTCGACCTCCTCTTCCCCCTCGTCAGCGTACCCCTCCTCCTTGTGGCGCACAGGCATCCAATGCTCCCTATCACTTAGTGGAGTGTCCTGCGTTGACAAGTCATGCCCGGCACCAGCCGGTACGCCGCCCTGGACCCTACCCTGGCCCTGGAGGAGATGCTGGCCCTCGGAGCGGGCTTTGATACCGTTCCGACGGCGCTGGGAGAGGGTGCGGGCACGGGTGGACAGCTTGGCGTTCACGGCGGCGTTCTGCGTGACCCAGTTTGTCAGGGCGTCCTCGCAGTCCTGGATAATGGCCTTGCTGGCCTCGTAGCCGTCGTAGGCGGCGCGCGTCTCACCCGGCGTGACGGGCGTGTCGTCGATCAGCTCAAGCAGGTGCTTGCCGTACCCCGCAATGATGGCTACCTTCTCGCAGTGCTCGCGCAGCGCGTCAAACTGGTAGCTGTATGCCGCCTTGATCTTCTCGCGCGTGATGTTGGACAGCTGTGCCTCGGCTACTAGCGACTCGGCTTCTGCGCGCACCAGCTCTTGCTCCAGGACGACGATGCGGGGTGAGTTCGGTTCCTTGTATTTCAGCTGCGCGATTTGGTCGGTTATTTTTTGCTTCCCTGTCCGTCGGGGCAAGATGTCAGCGTTTGGATCGAACTCTGTTTATGTGAAACTTGAAGTGGCTCGTACTGTCTCTGCTGGGCTGTACCGAAGCCTCTATATTCCTAATACTCTTCATGGTGATGCGGTACTGGTCGTATCTGTCAACGTATTGATCTTCGAGCTCGCCAATCTCATATAGTAGAACGCCTAATTTGTCTGTGACGTCCGAAACGTCCTCGTCGCAGGCCTCGCCCCAGATTGACAATTGTTGCTGAAGTGCAAAGTGTTAGCTATTGGTCGATAGCGACGGTCTTTGGGGACGTACAGCAACCTCCATGCGCTCCTTGGCCACCAGTTCTAAGCTCCGCATGACATTTTTCTCCATCTTGACAAGTTGTGAGAGCTTCTTCGCGAGGTCGGGTCCGAAGGCGCCGGCCGTGTTGCGTCGTAGAGCATGTCCTAAGCCTCCTGTTAACCCCCCAACAATGAGTGTGCCGATCTCAAGGAAGTCTGCAGTCACGACTGGGGTTCCGCTGGGGAAGGGGTCGGGCGCAGCTCACCGAGGCCACCTCGACCAAAGAGCCTATGCGACTTGGTGCTCGAGGGGGGAGGCGGTGGGTTCTAGGTCAAATTTGTTAGCGAGACCGTTGATCAGGGCCTGCGCAGTGGCAGTTCGGTCCCCAGCAGTACCTGGATCTGTGACGCAGTTGGCGCGCGCGTGGCGCGCATAGAATAAGTCCGATGCATTGCGACTGCTAGGCCAGTGGTAGCAGCGATGACGGTTTTGTTTTGTTTTGGCTTGGCGTAGATTAAGCCTGACTCCGGTGGTCAAGGAACAGTGGCGATTGCTTGTCCTCGCGGAATGGAAACTTCAATGGTCGGCGGAGCGAGATCGGGCAATAGCGCGAGGATGGTGGTGCAAAGGTCTGCGAGAACTTAGGTTCGTCGGGAGTTGTGAGACTAAGGGGTTGCGCGCGGTATAGAGGGAGCAGGCATCCAAGAGGAAATGGAACCAGGGCGTTCGTTTTTATGCGACGACGGTCGTGCGGCGGCGTCAGCGCAGCGAGATGACGTCGGTGTATACCGTAATGTACGACGCACTTAGGGACGGGTACTTCGAAGTTGGTAGGTGGGCTGTGGTAAGTGTGGAGGCAAACTGCCCACAAAATAACGTCCTACACGTGTCCAAGACCACCAATATGTTAGTAGATGATATACATAGCCCAATTGCACACCTGCAGTATGGTGGCCTACCTGCATTTACCATTTGTACCGAGAATTTATATCCACCTACTTGAATTTCAATTATTCTAGTATTGGCACCCTGTTTGACATTATATACAGAAGCTATCCATTTTCGCCTTGTCATATGGCCGAACCGGGCAGTCATCTATTTTGTAGCCTAGTAGTTAAGAGTGGGAAATTCAAACGTAGCGCTGGCAGACCAAGGCATATTGCGCTTGGTTCGCCAAAACGACAGCGAGGAATCCTAGAATCATTGCAGCTTGGGAAGTGTTTGAAAAAGGGGCAAGAGATGAACATTCAAAATGTCCTGTCCATCCCCGGCGTCTTGAATGCAGCATATCTTCTTACAATCGGGACCTAGATGAAGCCATTAGCATTCAGTGAGAAGATGAGGCAGGTTGACTCTGTGAGGGACTGTTGCGACTTACCTCGCGCTGTATGTCATTACCTACCTAAGGCATTGCTGCGTACAGTACAACGCCCTCATCAGTTCAGTTGTACTCGCTACAGAGTCACATTTACATGAGGCGTTTTCTTCCCCAGTATTTGTAGTCCATGACATGATAGATGTTTGCACGCACCTGTTGGCCCTGGTCAGGGGAAATAAAGGCAGGTTGGTCTGTGCACCCCCGTTTTCTTGGGCGCTGTGCTCAGTGTGCTGACTGCTGCAGTGTGGACTGTAGTCTGTGGAGCCAAGACGGATCGCAGCGCGTCTCTTCATCCACCGCGTCTCACCTGCCTTCATTTGAATATCTATCATGAGAACCACTCAGCAATCTACGCTGCCCAGCCGATTGTCAACATATTGATATCTCACTCAGTGACTGCGGAGTCGGTGTCATGTGTGAAGCAGCTGCTCATGCGGCATGAGCAATTGATTTTTTTTCTCCAAGCTGCACTGCTTAGTCTCTGTCATCGACACCCGTTTTCAAGGGCTCAGACGGCGGTTGCAAAAGACACATAGACGACACGGGTGACGGCAGGGTCCAGTCCAAGAGCATTGCGCCGCTTGATGCGCTATTCACGGGGCTTGTGGGTGGATTGAGAAAAGGGGACGGGGAACGGGCCAAAATGCCTTTCTTCGACGACAAGCATGTCGATCTCACGCGAGAACCCTTGCCCGACGGCGGCTTGACTTGCGACGAAGTTATAGTAGCGCCGCCCACGCCCATCATCTTTGGGAATAGTGACTCTATCCGTGCGCGGCAGCAGTCGCCGTCAGAGCGACGATCTCAGCAGCGAGCCTCGGCCCCGCACTCAAAGCCCGCCAGAGCGTCAACTCCTTTGCACAGGCCGACCCCTAACCCACCATCTGCCGCCAGACCCACCGCCCGAGCCGCTGATGGGAGTCACGGGACACCCTCTAGGTCCGCTCGAATGTCTGCTTTCTTCATCCGAGATGAGGTTCGGGACTCGCAGTCTCCTCCGCCCAGCAGCAACCACAGCGCTCAACAGCAACAACCGCATCCCACACCAGAGTCATCAACCAGGTCCCTCAGAAGCCGTCCGACACCTAACAATCAGACTCCCGAACGAATGCAATGGACGGTCGAAAAGGTTGCTACAGCGCTTGCCGCTCTTGCCGAGGAAGTCGGCCAGGGCCATGCCCGACTTGTAGAGTATGTGCTGGAGGAAGCCGACAAGAAGGCGCCCCAGCCAAGACACCTAAGCACGATAGACGTCTTTGCTGCTATGAAGTCCAAAGCCATCGATAACACCAGCGCCCAGCCTCCACCCGAAGAGACCATGGCGGTAAAGTTCAAGGCAAGCTGCCCCAGAGCCACACTCTCAGCGTTGCGACGAGCGCTAACACTCAGTGCAGCAGCACAATGGGGAATACGGCAAATCAAAAGGCAACGGGCGCCGCTTTTTCTACCCCGTTGTCTCCATCAAGCCAGATAGGGAGCCTGTCCCAGGATACCGCTTTCACCATGTCGAGATCCGCAAAAATGTCCTTGCACTCAATTCGATGCTGAACTTTGTTCCCCATCTCCGCGATGTAGATCCAAACTCGGCCGAGGAGAAGAAGTACAGCAACTGGCTCATTGACCTAGAGAACCTGGACAGCAAGTCTGGCTTCCAGACCCAGAATCGGCACCAGAAATTCATCAAGAGGGTTCAGAATGAGTACGCAGCAACGCTATCCACATACTTGGAGCCCTGGCTGCGCAAACTGGCCATTGATGGCTGCACAAAATCCGCTCTTATCCGCTACATGGCAACCCAGCCGCAAAGTGACAATGCCATCACACCCCAGCAAAAGTCCAGCCTGCTGGATACGCACACCGACGATGTTGGTTCGCCTCACGCGGCGAGGGGAGCCAAGGTTTTTACCCAAGCCTTTGACCGCGTCTTCAACAACGATTCACTCCTGTTAAGGCGCGTTAGCCTGCGCGACGTGCTGATGCTTGACAAGTCGGTCGAACCTATCCTAGACAACAAAAGGGCAAAAGATGCGCCAGGCACGCAAAAGCCTCGTGATCAGGCCCTGATGCAGAAAATCATCGAGTCATTGGGCAGTTACTCGACCCTCGGATGCCTGATTTGCTTCAGTCATGACTGTGAGCATGGGGAGATCGAGCGGGATAATCAGAAACGGTGCTTCTCTCTTGAAGAAATCGGAGGGCTTGCGCCGACATTACGACAGAAGTGGACAGCCCAGGTTGAGGCGCTGGGGAACGGCCAAATCGACGGCACCGTCAGCCGGCCAACACACCAGCCGTGCAGGAACCAGTGCTACCGTAGCTACGACACAGGCAGTTATAATCAGGCCGTTAAGCCCTGGTCTGAGAACGAGGTCGGCGTGCTTGAGTGGGTGTTTGCAACTATCGGCTATAGCTCGTCGCTGAAACCGCAATGCTTTGTGGGTGCAGTGCTGGGCCGTCCTTGCTGGGATGTCCATCGCAAGTTCAAGGAGTTGGACCTCTCGCTGCCTCCGGTCGAACCACGCGCCGAGCCCCCGAAACCGAAGCCTGTACCTTGGTACGACCGCAAGAAAAAGCAGCTGCTAGGTGACTGGCAAGATGCTACTATTACCCACGAACATGCCGTGCGTGAACTTTACGCTCCTTGCCACCACGACGGCCCCTGTACTGTGGCGAATAACTGCCCCTGCGCCTCGGCTGGCTCTCACCCCGTACTCTGCGAGCGCTTCTGTCGCTGCACGGCAGACGAGTGTGCGCTCAAATTCACAGGATGCGCTTGTCATTCATCTGGCAAAACATGTCTCCAGCGGCAAAAAGAAGGCAGGCCCTGCATCTGTGTGCAGCTAAACCGGGAGTGCGACCCTGTCCTTTGTAGAGGCTGCGGGGCCAAGGAGAGGGCGGACCCGGAGAATGCATACGACGAGCAGCTGCACTCCACTGGGTGCCAGAACGTTGCCTTGCAGCGCGGCGCTCCCAAGGCGGTTCTGTTGGGCAAGTCGCAGCTCGAGTGTTGCGGCTACGGCCTCTTCGCTGCTGAAGACATTGCCCAGGATGAATTCGTGATCGAATACACCGGCGAGCTTATAAGTCATGACGAAGGTGTTCGACGTGAGAATCGCCGCGGTGATGTCTTCGACGAAGAGAACAAGGTCTCGTACCTATTTACCTTGCTCGAGCAGGAGGGTATCTGGGTGGATGCTGCCATGTATGGCAACCTCAGTCGCTACATCAATCATGCATCCGACACGTGCAACATCATGCCAAAGATTATGTATGTGAACCACGAGTGGCGCATCAAGTTTACAGCACTCCGCGATATCAAGGCCGGGGAGGAGCTGTTCTTCAACTATGGCGACAATTTCCCCAACCTAACAAAGAAGCTCGTTGAGCGAAACGAGAAGGCGGGTGACGCCAACAACACTGTGCCGGGCCAGAAGCGCAAAGGGAGCGCCGCGCGCGGCACGGCACGCAAGACAACGTCCAAGGCGAATGGTGAAGGCATCGACTTTGCGCCCGATGAACGTGGTGACGAAGATCTCTGGCTGAATGATATTCCCATCATGGACGATGACGATTTGGGCGATGACTGGGATGACCACACTCCAAAACGCCGCAAGAAGCGTGGTGGCAAGCGACCAGGCGCGGGCCGCAAAAAGAAGCACCCCCACACGACGGCAGCCGAGATGGGCGACGAGGTCAGCCCGGGCTCACAGCTGCACGTCGAGCTCAGCGGTAATCAGCAACCAGGCCGAGGCATCACCAACCCTACGACTCCTACCCGAAACACCCTCAAGCGGTCGTATTCGAGTATGCAAAACCCTCAACAAAGCTTCTCTGGCTCTGAGGCCGGCGCGAGCAGCACACAGGCCACCACCGACGGTACAGGGCCCTTGGTTAAAAAGGTTTCAAAGCGAGGCGGCGCTCGCCCCGGCGCAGGACGCAAGCCTAAGCATCCTCGTCCTCCGGGGGCGGCCGGAAGGGCCAGCAAATCCACAACAACCGATCAGTCTGTCAGCTCTGCCTCTAAGAACGACGAGCCAGAGATACCCGGCAACCATCGCCAGAACTCGACTCACCGCTCTCCCAACTCCACAACTGCCCCCGGCGTACCAGCAGGAAGGAAACGCAAAGCCGCCGAGCTAGGCGACAACCGCCCCGAAGCAGGAGCAGACCGTCATGAGAATGACGGGATCAGCATAGCCGCCACCGCCACCGCCCCAAGTAATAATGATAATAGTAGTAGTAATAATAACAGCAACAACACCCACCCAACCACCGCAAGCTTCATGTTCTATAGGCAAGACATATTCCAGCCAATTCTCACCCCGTACGACACGCTATCCAACTCGTCTGTCAGCGCCACGACCACGACCACAACACAGACCTCCGGCCGGAGGCGACGGCACAGCAGCCACGGCCATAGCCGCGGAGGCAGTACCGCGTCTGGGTCGGGAATGATGGAGGGCGACGAGGCGGCCGAGGGCGTCGACCGCTCGGCCCGCAAGCGCCAGAAACCCCTGCGGTATAGGGACGAGGAGGAGTAGGTCTTTTGAACTTCGGTCCGCTATCCTTGCTTGGGGGTTTTGGTGGTGGGGGTCATAGTTCCGGGGGATGAGGATAGCTTGCTAGGTAGATGGAGTGCGGGTTTGTGAGGATTGGCAGGGGTGGAATGATCGAACCTTTTTCAGGCTCAGGGGAAAAGGGTGGTAAATCTTGTCTTGCTTCGTCGGCTGGTGTTCGGTGTTCGTGGGGTGGGCGTCAGCTACTTTAGTTTAGTGAACGACGCCCGAACCTAAGCAACATCCATGGACGAAGGGGGTTGTCAATTAACGTTAGCTGGGTAAGACCAGGGGAAGGGGGAAGTGGGTTAGGAAATGAACAGCAAAGCAATTTCAGTGATCTGTGCACAACGTACATACATAATCACTCTAGGCAATGTTTTCTTGCGGATTTGACCTCGGGTGGAGGGACTTGATGCGAGTAGTGTCTCGCAGAACTGGAGCAAAAAGGTTTGCTTCGAGAGGCAGCGAGGCAGCAGCATACACAGTAAGGTATGCACGAAACACGACGCATCGTCAACTGCTGCAGCATACACATCTATACAGATGTCCACTTTCACGGTGAGCCCACTGAACAATGTACAAGAATTGAAACCAAACCAAGACATTCCTCGTGATATTAGCGTGGGCTACCAACTATCTCAGAGCTCCCAAACCTAGCTGAGCCACTAAAGGCAAACAGGACTCGCAAAACCACATGACACCCCAAGAAGAGACGAGGTATCAGATGTGTTTGCGTGTAGAGAAAATCGTGTGATGCGATACGGGAAACTGTGCCGGCCTGTCATGTAAGCGGCAAAACCAACTCCTCTAACTCCGCGTGCTTTTATTTCCCACTTCCAGCCATTGCATCTTCTCTCCCTCCCCACTCTTTTTACAGATTGGGCCGGAGGATACCCCTATGGGCAACTGGCCATTATCTGCTTTTTCTGCCTCCTCCATATGCTGCCTTCTTCTTGACGTTCCATTTCAACAACCTTCACGTCGTATATGGAGAAGATGCATAATCTCCGCTTGAACGTAGTAGTCGCAAAACGAGGCCAATGAGATATCTCGGAACTCCATATTCTGTTGGCCGCAAGACCAGAGTCCCCCGTTAATAGGCATAGTGTCGCTGCGAATGTATGACCCAAGGCTTCCACTTGAGTACTCAGCCGAGTGGCATATTTCTTTCCCAAACCGGAATCGGTAGCTTCTCATCTCCGGGGATCGTCATGTTATGTGTTAAATTATTCGGGTTAAACAGGCTAGCAACCCCAAATCGGTTTGTTCTCACTGTCACGTGAGTTCATTCCTGGTATCTGGAGTAGCACCGTCCACTCCTAGACTTAGACCCTCGAATCGGAGTGTGTTGTGTTGTCCGTGCACGGAGCATGGATGGTGTCACCACTGAGCTTGAACTCAGGACGCCGTATTGAGAAAAAGGCATATCATTAGCGTCGGTCCATTAGACGCTCTGGGGGTAAACATTCGCGGGCTTTGATGCATTAGCTGCGAACAAACTTGTAACATATAGCGGGGAAAGGAGACGTACTGGACTGTTGAGTATCTGATTCCTCTTGTTTCTGCCCTTCTTGATGTGGTTCTTGAGAGCATTGGAATCCAGTGGCTTCAGGAGTTCAAAGCTGCAGAGAAGCTCTGTAGACACGGACATAACGGCGCCCCAATTGTCAAACTCTCCACAGTACTGAGCATCCGTTAGCAAAAGATTCTCAGGCCTAGAGCCGGAGAGAGGTTACTCACATTAGGTGCACTGAAGACAGTGACTAGGACACGATCGGTGAAAAACTCGTAGCCATCCTCGACAACCATGTGCGCTCGGCAAACAAGGTCGAAGTCGTTGGTTGCTAGGAAGTCCGTAATGACTTTTTTGCCGAAACAGTAGCTGACGCCTCGTTCGTTTGCCTCCCAGTCCTGTTCCATATCAGCAGGGTCGGACCAGAGTAGGTCGTTCAACAACCCGTAGTCAGGGACATCCGTTGGGCGTGCGATGTTCCGAATGTCGTCCATGTGACTAAGTGCCGGGGACAGGCCTCCATGAACACAAAAGATCTTCGCAGCGACAATGGCAGCAATTGGGAGCGTGTTGAACGTGTCGATGAAGGTTTTCCAGATCTTCACGTTACACCGCCGCTTGCATTCATCGTAGAAGCCGTAGACGCGCGTGACGTTGGCGCATTCATGGTTGCCACGGAGCAGGAAGAAATTCTCCGGGTACTTGAGCTTATAGCAGAGCAGAAGCAAAATTGTCTCCAGAGACTGTTTCCCACGGTCCACGTAGTCACCAAGGAACAAGTAATTGGTACTTGGCGGGAAGCCACACATCTCAAACATGCGGATGAGGTCCGTGTACTGACCGTGGACGTCCCCAACAATTTTGACAGGAGCATCCAATTCGAGAAGGGCTGGCTGGGAAAGGAAGCACTCCCGGGCACGATGGCAGATGGCTGTTATCTCGGCATTCTTGAGGCAGACACTCTTGGTGACCTTGCCGGCATAGGCAGCATCCAAGAGACGCTTGATGAAGTCGTCGAGGTCGATGTCCTTGATCTCACTCATCGCTATGCCAGAAGCAACTTCCTCCTTTACAGATTCCTGCGGTGACGTGTCCGAAACGAGGTTGACTGCATCCTCACGCTTCACGAGAATGCTTTGTCCCGGCTGCTGTGAAGACGGGTTGGAGTTAGCAGCGCCACTGGGCGGCTGGTCCGAAACGTGGTCTACTTCTCCGCTAGCCTGGGCGGCAGAGACATCACGATGCCCCGCCATGATGGAGGCCGATTGCACGGGAGATGGCGGAGGCGCATCATCCAGCTGAGGCGAGTTCAGGACGGCCGTGTCCACAGACGAAGGTGAGGTCGGTGACGAGAGTGAATCGGCGCGACTAGCGCGGGTCTGCGACGACCTACCGCTCCGCCCAGACCTGACTGACCCCGCATCCGACTTTTCAAGCGTCTCCCCGTTCGCAAGGATAGCAGAGCCCCTGGGACTGTCCGTCTTGCCCGAACCGGGAATTTTGGAGCGCAGAGAGCGGAACGAGCGCGAGGATTCTCTCGTGTCGGACCTGCTGAAGGATGGGTAGGATTGGAAATTCTCCTCGCCATTGCCGGCAGCTTTGGAAGAAGATGTGGCGCCGGCATCTTTGGAAGATTGGTTGCCCATGGTTTCCCAATGTCAGAGATTAGGTAACTCTGGTATGGAGAAGTCGAGGGGCTGGACGGCGTGCGCGCGTGAGGTTTGTGGTTCCGGCAGGGTCGCCTTTGAATGCCCACACAGCCTACCGCTACACCCGTCTAGAAGCGAGTTCTCTACCTGGCGTGCCCCAACCTTCTAGGGAGGGTGATAGAATCGCTCGAGGTCGGAAAGTAAGCTGATGGCGGTGGAAGACGAGCGCCCCGTTGATCGTTCCGTTTTTGATGACTTTCGATCGATCAAGCGGGAAGTAGCGCAATGTCAAGGGTTTCTGTACGTTGCGGCAGCTCGGGAGCTAGTCGGATTTAGGAGAAACGGACAAAGACCGATTGACGTCGGGGCGGATTTACGGAGCTCGGGGCGCTGACTCAACGAGCGCGATGATGTTAGTCGGGGCTTGCTTGGGGTTCCACCAGGAGTAACAACAAAACAGAATGATAGTCGGCACATCCACAACACTGGAGGAAAGGCGAGGGTCGAAGGCTCGGAATGAAGGCTAGGAGGTTGGAGGAGAAAAAAACAAGGAGAGAAATGTGGGGGTGCACGCGAGACGAAACGAAGGAAAGTGAACTAACCTACACCCGATGACAAGGAGCGCAACGCCAAGGCTGAAGATGTGCAAGGGGTTTGACCTGGCGCCTTGCACGGAGTAGCTCGACTTCAGTTGTCCTCGCTGCCTTGTCTAAGAAGCAGCAATTGAAATCGTGGGGTTGGGCAAGGTATTGTACGTAGCACTTGGGAAAAGCAGTTGGGCGGCGGGCGGAGTTGGATCCGGCGGGCAGGCGTGCAACAAGGCTTGCCACTCTGGTTATTGCCACGGGGTCAAGGAGCTCGGTCGGGTCGAGATCGAGGACAGAGATGTCACAGCGCTTTGTCGCCTGTAAGAAGAAAGTCGAGGGCAGCGGGATGCGGGGTTCAAAGTTGCAGACAGCGCGATCAAACCTGACAGGTGACGGATGATGGGCAATTTCTCAGGAAAGGTGCGGAAAAGGCTGATGATGACGATGCGGCTGACGGCGTACGAGGATTGATGCCTTGGCTGGGCATGGGCGGGCTGCCAGTGGAGACGAATTGGCCGCTCACGTCGGCGGGATGGTTATGTAACAGTGGTCACCGAGCAGAGGAAGGACAAGCGCAACACAGAGAAGTGAGATGGCAATTGTCTGGTGAAAGGGTTTGACAGATGCGGAACGATGTCGAGAAGACAACGGAAACTTTTTGTTACAAAATGTTTTGCGACTTTGTTGGCCGCCACCGAAAAAGATGGAATGAGAAGCCGCGAACGAATGGGCCTGAACAGACGGCACGTGCCTCATGTAGCCAGTGGGGCCAATCGTCGAGACGGGTTTGAGCGTCTGCATGGCGCACCTCCCGCGACAATGCGTCTTTGCACCTGCGGGGCCTTGCAGTTTCCAGCGCAGATCGCAGGTAGCGACTACCGCCCTTGCCGTCAACGTTGGTACTGTAAGGTAGGACTGTATCAATACCAAGGCACACTAGGTCGCTACGGGCAGGCATCCAGACCAAACCAAATATGCAAGAATCAGGCACGCACTTGCAATCAAGTTGCGGAAAGGCGTGTGTGCGCAGCACAGGATGCAGCCGCGAAACAATAAACGAAACTTGATTCTCTGTATCCCTTACGCCTTGGTCTACCCGTACCATAATGTGGCAAGTTACCTAACGTTGGAGCTCTCGGAGCTTGGCGGACACTGCCGGGTCTTGGTCCTGTTGTGGAAATCTCATAACCCGGGGCCCGGTAACCTCACTGCCCGATAGCCCGGAACAGTAGGTGTGGGGGAACGACACTGGGCTCATTCACGGATACGTATCCCGCAAAGACAGACGCGGATGCCATCATATCGGATAGCCGAGAGGCCAGTGATGAGAGGTACCAGCCGGCGGACACAGTGAGCGGAGCGACATCAAAGCCTGGAACGTGCAGTCGCCTGCAACGTTGAACCTGCATTTCCCTGCGTGAGCCGCATGTGGGCGACCACATGACCACAACACGCTATGATTTTGGGAAGCGGTGTAGTGATGCACAGTCGCTTGGCAGGGAAGAGATTTCAACCCGGGCATCCGTGATTCGGTACTATGTCCCGAAGGACAGCTGTCTCGGTTCCGGATTCGTGTGGGTGCAGCAACCCGGGGGGTTTCGGTGGGGGAACACAGGCTGCATCACATCAGAAACCAGAGGAGAGAACCCGGGGGTGGTTGTCGCAAGGGTTAGGTATGTTATCCCGGACGCATTGCGCTTGGATCCGTCTTGTCGGGCTCAGAGGAAAGATATCAGGTGCTGCAGCCGGGCATGGTCGGGTGCTGCCGAGTACTCGGGCCGAGATCAATCAACTCAATGTCATTGTCAGGCTCCCTGGCAGAACCTGACGTTGGGCTCGGCTTCGTGGTTTGAGAAGAAGTAAAGAGGCCCAAACCGGGGCCGTGGACGCGGGGGCTAGAGCTTCTCTTAAAGGCTCGGCCACCATGCCCGGTCCGACGACGGCCTTGGGGCCAGTGGAGAATGTTGAGTGGAGATGAATATCCGTACATAGTGTCAGGCATCCGGCGGAGCTGGGCAGGACCGGTCTTGGCGAATTCCGCTCACCGCTCACCGTCCCTTTCGGCTTCAAGCTTGGCAGGCGACCCGTCGTTGTGGAACCTGGAAACAGCGTGGGATTCCGGATTTACCTAAATTTAGAGCCCCCCGGAAAAACAGTGGCCGAGTGTTGCCCAGCCACCTCACCTGCACCAACGGGATCCCACGCCCCACAACCAGCCCCAGCCCCCAGCTCGACCCATCACCTGTCGAAATCTGGCTTGGAGAATTTGCTGGTTTGTCGATGTTCGATATCTTCGACTTACACGACTTCACTGAAAAACATTATGTCTTGTGATTTGAAGTTTGATTGCGAGCTCCGTGAGCAGTAGCAGCTTGCCTAGATGGACGCAACGAAGGGACTGCGCAGATTTTCTACTTCCAGTCTCCCTTTTAGTCAATCCCGACCACCAGCCCAGCCCTTAGCTTGGTTTCAAACTCAGCCCTCGCGCTGGCGTAATCCTACGCATTTGGACTTTTGGAGTAGTCACCCCACACTGCAGCTGTGTTCTGCGAGCAATGGGCAGAGGGACCAATTGACGATGTCTGCTGCTCGATTCTGGCATCACAAGGCATACTCGCGACATATCTGCAAGACGAGGCGCGTGGTTTGCTATGGATGCAGCTAAAGTCGTTACTTATCGTTGTGTATCAAACTACCAACCGGTCTGTGGGATATCGCACCTTTTTCAACGACCGTCATCAAATGTGGCTTCAGGCGCAAAGATCAGCCTGGCCTCAAGTGCCGCGTCTGCAATCTACACATCCTCCGTATGGAGTTCATGAGCTACACTGACTACATACCCACTTAGTGATGTGCGACGGCTACAGTCTCTCCCTGGTGGCGTTCACTGGATGTGTGTACGGAGCTCCGGATCGCGTCGCTGAACTTGTAAAGGACGGAGGCTCTCGGCTGGCTATGTAAACTTGAACAGATCAAACTTCACTACATGACGTTAGGAGATATATGCGCGCGAAGCATTGATTCATAACCATTACCCTACAGAGTGCCTAACGCGACTTGCTGTCGTGATGGTTGCCTTTTCCGGCTTTCTAGCCAGACACACCAAAACTAACGGGACGCTACTCCGTATACGGAGCTACGAAGTACTGTACTACCTAGTGCACTGGTTAACCCCATCGCGCTCGCGTACCTGCCCTGATAACACCCTCGCCCGTGGATTCGACCTCCTGTCGATCTGTCTCTCTGTTACGTCGTTGCCTGCGCAGTTTAGGCCCACTGCCAGGTTGCATTGGTGTTGGTTCCATTCTTCAATGATTGAAGAATCCATCTGATCAAACATGTTGCCAGATGTATTCTGCTTTTGGGCTGAAAATTCGCCTCACCGCGCAATTCAAGCAAACTTAACATCAATAGCGAACAAGACCTCTGTAAATACATATGTAACGTACAGTACGAAGTACAACACCCCAGAACACCCTAAACCAGACGTAGCAAAGGCTTGCTGTCCCCATTCTCGGGCTGGTAACTGTCCGTAAGTAGGCTGGAGGCCTGTATTGCCCGAAAGACCTGGCACACCTTATGCTACACAATTCTCGTTACAGCCGCAATCGTCGACAGCAAACGGACGGAACTGGTTGCCAGGCGAGCCAGGCCGGGACAATGAAGCGCTAACCCGCGTTAGTCTCCCGTTCGTCACCCGTGGATCCATGTCGCATTGGTCCAGGTGGGGCCACTGCAAGTCTGCGCCACTGGACGTTCGGGCACAGCCTGTTTGCTAGCTCCAACCACCCAGCTGAGAACCCTGCCAGACGTCAGCAGGGGTTCTGGGGACGTGTTTTGGCCCTTTGCGTACGCAACAAACTCGCCGCTTTATATTTATCGCTCGGCTCCCAATCCCATTGTTGACACTTACCTCCTCCATCTTCCCCTCGTTACACCGGATCACTGTGTTGTTTCGGATCATTTGGAACCTCACAGTCGCCTTACTAACCGAGGCATCAATCACTCGCTGGGGCATTCATTTGACACCCAGTCTACGACTTTACTCGACCCAGCCGCGAAGAAGGGCTGAAAAAAAAAACCTACTGATTATCAACACCCACGAGGCCGAACTCGAGGACGAAAGCACACGATGGCCAGCTTCGGGCGATTCGTGTGCGTGCTGCTGCCGTTCCTGCTGACGCTGGCATCGCTGGTTGCGATGCTGATAGCGGGTCTGGCGGGCGTAGCCGACAAATCGCTCTACATGTTCCAAGTGAACACGACCGACCTCTCAATATCACCCTTGTCGCTTGCGAATGTCCTCGATGCTGCGGGCGTCAACACGCGAAATGCCGAGGCCGATGTCGCCGACGCCGCCATTAGCAGCCGCCAGACCCCGAGCAACATCACGGCTGCCGACCTGGGCCTTCACAAGATTTACGACGTTGGCGTGTGGGCCTACTGCTACGTCCCGCAAAACGGCCCGCGCGAATGCACCAAGCCTGCCTTCGGCTGGGCCAACAACGTGCTCAATACGACAACGGGCAACCTCACTCAGTTGGCGACGGCTTCGGGCCAAACGGTGACGCTGCCCGAGGACATTACCAACTCGATGCAAGTGTTTAGCACCGTCTCCCGTTGGACGCAGATTGTCTTTGTCATCGCCTACGCGGCGCTCGCCCTGGAGCTGCTATTTGGCCTGCTCGCCAACTGCAGCCGCATCTTCTCGTGCATCACCTGGCTCATCGCGCTGGTCGCCGCAGCCGCCGTTTCCGCTGCGGCGGCGCTCTCCACGGCCACGTCGGTGGTGGTCGTCGGCGCCGTTGAGGCCACGGCCAAGTGGTACGGCGTGGGCGGCGAGCTTAACGTGCGCTTCCTCGCGGCCGTCTGGCTCGGCGCCGCGTTCGCCGTCGCCGCCGGCCTGTTCTGGCTCTTCACCATCTGCTGCTGCGCGCCCGACCACTCGTCGCGCCGCTCCCGCGGCTTCCGCGACCAGGGCGAGAAGTTCGCCCCGAGCGCCACCTCGTCGTACCAGCGCCTCGAGCCCAGCGGTGGTGCCTACGCCGCCGGCGGCTATGCCCAGCCTTACCCCCAGGCGTACGCCTCGCCGCAGCAGCACTCGGGCGCGTACGAGCCTTACTCGCATGCTCGTGTTTAAGGGATTGAGAGCGGTAAAACGGAGGTTTCAGCTGCAGTCTAACTGCTGGAGGTGATAGAGCGGACTTGTCGATAGACAGGGCAAGAGTTTGCCCTGTTGGGTGTGGAGCTCTTTGTTTTACTTCATTCCCTGCTGCATCTGTTCGGCGTTGGGGTTTCTTTTCTTTACCTTTTAAGGCTCTCGGAGGACGGCACTCGATTCCGAGTATGATATGATGGGCTTGAAACGTGCCAAGTGGCTGGGAGAAAATGATAGGGAGGATTGTTTTTCATGATACCCGATCGTGGGTGGTTGATGATGAATAGAGGGCAACGATACTTTCTCATCATGAGATTTTGATGTCTACATCACTTTGCTAAACACTTGTGACGATCCCTACCTGCCCCTTCTGTTTCTGGATAACTTTTGCATTGCCCTGACCGTGGTAGAAGCGACATGCGTTGTTCGGGTTACACGTGGCACATGCTGTTGTATGTGCCGTGCCGCATACGGGCAGCGAAGGGAATGTTTGAGGTGGTCTTGCAACTGCAACCTTCTCAGCCCGACCTGGCTGGCTGAGTGGAGGACACCCTTGATGGTGTAGGAACGTGTTTGCCGGCAAGTTCGGCGTTTGTTGGACCGAAACGTGTAAGCTAATGTCACTGCAAGGCGCGGGTTTGCCAACAAACATAGGATTACTCCGTACGAAGTATAGGATTGTTATGCATAGGCAACGGTTGATAGGGTTTCAGACGGCGGCTATTCGACAGAGCACAGTCCAGGGGAACGATGAATGTATGGAGACATATTGCCATTGAGGATGAGGCTTGAAGGGATACTGTACAAGTACATGAACCCCGCCATGATGTTGAAGATGGCTCATGGAGATATCTTAGGGTTGGGGTTAATGCTACGGTTCAACTCGCCATCAACTTTGGCCCAAGAAATTTCATTCAACAACTGAATGAGACATGAGCGAGAAAACGGATTCATGATACCTCCTAGAACCAAACGTCTTTACGACAAAGATATTCATGAGAAGTTCTATGGAAAAGTGACCGACGCTTTGCAATGGCTCAGAAGGTACAGACTCACCATACAACACAATCTTGTTGACATGTCGCAGTGACTCACTCACTGAGTCTCGGGCCCCTGATTCATCCTGATTCTGAGAACACTCATTAACACCGTCGACAGGCCCAAGCTGTAGCACGGCTGCAGCACCTCTACGCACTCAGTCCTATTACTGCCATTACTTTTCATACCACCAGCTCTGGTCGTATTCTTCTGCTTTCGGGTGAAGACACTTTTCTCAAAGTCTATGATGTCCAAACCACCCAGCTCCTCGGGCAGCTTAAAGTATTCTACTCGCAACCTGTTCATGGGATTTACGCTCTTTACCCAGATCAGGAATATTCAGATGACCGGGACGGAATTCTGATATGGGGCGGGCAGTCGGTGGCAGTTCTGTCTTGGACAGCTCTGGACGCACTCATTGACGGAGAGAAGACCCTTCAGCCACACCAGTTTGAAGCGCCAGATTGGATTTACGACGGCATCTTGATTGGCTCACAGTGTATACATGGTGCTCTCGTCACCGCTCACAACGAGATCCTCCCGTTTACGCTTGGCGTGGACAGGCAGTCTCTCACCTTCGGGCCCCTGACATCCCCATCACGGCCGATCCTATACTCGGCCAAGCTCTGTTTGCTATCATCTGGCGTTATCCTCGTTGCAGGGGGTACCGTATTTGGAGAGATCATTGTTTGGAAATATTACATCGACCCATCTAAACCCTCACGATGGGAAGTCCTCTACGTCTTTACCGGTCACGAAGGATCCATATTTGGGGTTGACATTTCCCCTGAAATATGCATTGCCCCTGACCTCAAAATCAGGCTCCTTGCCAGCTGCAGCGATGACAGGACCATCCGGGTCTGGGACATAACAGACCGTCCGCTTGCTGTTGGGGCCAAGGACGGGGACGAAATTGATTCCAAGACGCTTGCCGAGGCCCGAGAGACGGGATTCGGCGGCAACTCAGAGGCAAAGCAAGGGAACCGCAACGACTCTTCGAGATGCGTTGCCGTTGCCATGGGCCATGTCTCCAGGATATGGCATGTCAAGTTCGCCAATCGAACGAGCAGCTTCACAACCGTGGCCAACTCGATAGAGATGCACTCATTTGGAGAGGACTGCTCGCGTCAGAAGTGGGAGCTTGCTTTGGATCCGAAGCGTTGGCTGGGGACATGTGAGGGCCGCCCGGGCGGGACAGTAGGTACTCTCCGACATTGCACCACGGAGACTTGCCACAGCGGAAGGAACATATGGTCCGCTGCCGTTTTGACTAGGGAAGATCAAGAGCCTCTCATTGCCACAGGCGGTGCCGACGGGAAAATCATGGTTGCCGGAGGACTCGGGGTTGCAGGCCGTGTTTGTTCTCGGACATACGAGGATCTTGACCTTAGCCTGACCTTTGACGATGTTTTGCGAGACCTCCGGGGCACCACCCAGGCCCCAGTGGAGTCCCTGACCAAAAAGAACGCGAAGCATGCCTTCCAACGCTACGCTTTCTTGTCAGACCGCAAAGTCATGGCAACCAAGGCATCGGGCAGAGTTTTCGTGGCTACCATGGGAAAGCCTCTCGCCTGGAAAGAAGTGGTTCTTTCTGAAGCTATTATCTCCGACCTCGGGTCCTATCACGTTGTGAAAAGCCCTGCAAGGGATACCGCACTCATCGGCAGTACAACAGGAAAGCTCTACCTGTACCAGGAAGGACACCAGGTCTCCGAGCTAGCCCAGTTCCCTGCCAAAGTATCAGACATCATCCTGCTGGACAGCTCGCCTACGCACTCGCTCTCCGACGATGAGCATCCCCCTGGGCCCTGGTCCGTTATCATAACAGTCCTCGGCCTCGATCACGCTTTAATCCTCAGCTTCGATCCCTCAAGCAACATCTGCACCATTGACCCACGCAAAATCCTCCTCCCGGAGCACTACATCGTCACTTCCGCCGCATTTGTTTCCCAGACTCTCATCCTCGGCTCCCGCACCGGTTATGTGACCGTTTATACGACCGACCCGCAAACTGCCGACTTCACCCCGCTCACCTCCCGCAAAGACACCAAAACCAAAGACGCCATCACCTGCATCATAGCGCTCCCCGGGCAAACACCAACACCTCCACTACCGACAACAACAATCACACCACCTACCAACTCCAACCCCCATCCCCACGGTAACTTCTCATTCCTGACCACCTGCCGCGACGGTAAATATCGCATCTACACCCTCACCCTCACCCCTCACCCCTCATCCTCACAGACCCTGCCACAACTACACCTCCAGCACGAAATCGCCCCGCCGCTGGGGACCATCGAATCCGCCTTCTTCACCACCCCCACCACCCCCACCACCCCTTCCCCATCATCCCCATCCCCTCACAATTCCATCCCAACCACCACCACAAAGGCCAAGCACCAGCACCGACCGCACCTAATCCTGCACGGCTTCCGCAACAGGGACTTTGTCGCCCACGACGCCACGGCCCGCACCACGCTGGCCTCGGTCGAGTGCGGCGGCGCCCACAGGCCCTTTGCTGCCGTTTCGCCCCGGCACGATCCGGGACAGTTGAGGCTGGTGTTTTCGCGTGCTGATAGGTTAAGGGTGTATTCCCAGGGTGGTGCGGGACGGGTTGTGTTGGGGGGTGGTGGTGGTGGTGGAGGAGGAGGCGGGCATGGGAGGGAGATCAAGGCCGTTGCTGCAGCTGCTTCTTCTTTAACATCATCCTCCCCCTCGGGTGGGGGTGGTAGTAGCCGGGGACTGGTGGCAACCGGGGCGGAGGATACCGTCATTCGGATCTGGAGGGACCATACCGGAGGAGGGGGTGAGACCAAAGAGAGAATGGGCATGGGCATGGGCATGCAGTGCCTTGCTGTGATCGAGGGCCATTCAGCGGGCATCCAGGCGCTGAGGTGGTTCGGGGACACATACCTCCTCAGCAGCGCGGGGAGCGAGGAGTTGTTTGTCTGGCGTGTTACTGAGCTTAGCAGGTCGCTGTCGGAGGGGGATGACGGGGGATACGATGCGCTGGCGGTCGTGAGGGAGGCTGTCTGGGATGACAAGACGGCCGATGAGGACTTGAGGATCGTGGACTTTGATGTTGCTGAATGGGACGCGGGGAAGGTGCTCGTGACCATGGGCCTATCGGATTCAGCGGTGCGGAGCTATGTTTATTCTCCCGCCGATGGTACCAGTTCTGGGTCCAATCCGGGAGATCGAAGGACAGGCGGGGACTTCACGTTGCTGGCCAGCGGGCGGTATACTGGCGCGTGTCCAACCCAAGTCAGGCACCTACGGACAGGTGGAGGGGAGGTGCATGTTTTGATGGCCTATACCGACGGGCACATGGCTGTTTGGAGGACGCGACAACAGCCAGATGAGGGGGCAGAACACGGAGCATTTGAACTGTCCCTGGCCGTGAAGCTCCACCAGAGCAGCATAAAGGGTCTTGATCTCTCGACAGCCGCGGGTTCGGCGCGATGGCTCGTTGTCACGGGCGGCGATGACAACGCACTCGGCTTCATGAACCTGGCGTGGGATGGAGCTAAAAGTGAATATTCCGTTATCGGGAGATATAGGGTCAAGAATGCGCATGCGGCTGCCATTACAGGCCTTTGCATGGTAAGGCAGGATCCGGCGTGCACTGAGGTTGCGACCCTCAGCAATGACCAGCGCGTCAAACTTTGGAGAGTAAAAACGGATGGCACTGCCGAGGATATCCGGGTTTCACTACTGGATAGTCGGTATAGCTCGGTCGCCGACGCTGGTGATCTCGAGCTTGTTGCTCCCGGCAGGGTTATGATTGGGGGGGTTGGCCTGGAAGTGTGGAATGTGTCGGCAAGCGGGATAGAAGAGCACAGATAGAGCTAGAGAACAATATACCCCTTGTTCCCTTGTGCTTACAACTTCCCCGGCGGCAAATGGCCTGGTGGCCAAGCGTGGGCTGCCGACGAACAGGTGCCCGCAACTCATGCGCCGACTAGAAACTAATGTATCAAGATCCAAACAGTTCAGTCAGAAGATAATCGCAGCAAGCTAAATGAAACGTCGCGCTCACAGAGTTACCGGGCCTCAACAGCGGTCATCCTCCTCGCCGCACCCTTTGTTCTCCTCAGGATGTATATCCTCTCCGCCATCCCAGGTCCAACCCACCAGCCCCCAGTGAGGGCCCTTACCCTCCTCTTCCAGAGCGCTACCGTCTTTCCCGATCCCACAACTTGTGCCGCACTCTCCTCATCCTTGTCTCCCGGTCTGGCAACCTCAATTCCCGCATACCCTTTGACCACGCCCACAGTCTCCCACTCCCCACTCATCCCCCTGACCTTTTCCGGCTTCTCTACAAGCACATAGTTAAACTGCCTCCAGAAATCCAGCCTCGCCAACTCGACCTGATCCTCCGTCTTGTCCACCACAATCACTACCCCGCCGTCACGCCCCCCCGCGCGGCGCTGATTCACCAGGCCCCCGTCTCGGGATCCACTCAGAGGAACAGCAGCGACACTGGCAGCGGCGTTGGCTGTCGCCGTCCCGAACAGCGTCACCCCAGTCATGCAGGCCAGCACGTCAGCATGGACGAACACCAGCGCGCCCGACGAGTCACCGGCACCACCGTCCGCACCAACCACAGCAGAAGCAGCAGCAGGCACCTCTGCGCTCAAGATCGACTCCCGCACGTACGCAAGGGCCTCGCCGCCGGGGTAGTTCAGAGCCGAGAGGGCAAGCATAGCGGAGCTCGTCACGAAGGAGGCCAGGACGGACGCCACAAGGAGGGCGGCGCCCAGCGCAGCAACGACGCCCTTGCACCGCCGCCGGCGAAAGAGCAGGTCTGCCCCGAGCGCGGCAGCGGCAGTCAGCGGCGGGACAGCGTAGAAGATGAAGCGGGTTTCCTTGTGCGGCTGGAGGGAGTAGACGGCTATGAAGAGCAGGGAGGGGACGACAAGGCGGGCGGCGGCGGGTCGAAGGGCCGGGTGCCGCAGGGCGAGTGGGATCAGGACCGTGTAGGTTAGAGGGTTCACGAGGAGCCGGGGCAGTGCTGAGACAAAGTAGTAGTACCAGGGCGACACGCCCCATTGGGAGGCCGAGCCTTTGACTACGTTGTAATAGAATGCCCACAGCTCGGGCCACAGCGGGCGCTGCCAGAAATAGCTGTCGATGGGCACCGAGGTGGCCAGTGCGGTAAGAAAGGAGACGCAAAAGGGGAAGATGACGCGCTCCAGGGAGAGTGCGGGTAGGAGTATGAGGTAGAGGACGTTGGTGGCCAGCAGCAGGACGACTTCGGAGCGAAAGACGACGGCAGCGTAGACGAACATGGTTACGGCGAGGCGCTGGCGGGGGCCCGCGGATTTGGGTCTGGTGGGATGAGGAAGGAGGAAGGCGAAGGCCAGCGTTGCTTATCCCGTTTTAGCCTGTTGATGTCTTGAGAAAGGGGCGAATGTAGACACTCACTCAGTCCAAATGCAAACATGTTTGGCAGCGTCCGCGAGGCGTAGAAGATGATGTGAAACTGGCTGGCCTGAAGGACCAGATACCATCTTGCCACAGAGACTCCATATGCCTGCCTAAGATTCCGGGAAAAGACGAGGAGACATGTTGCGTTGAAGAGTCCCAAGACGGCTCTGACAACAAACTGGGCATGTTGGAACCCAACGAGGGCAATAATGGGCTGCGAAATCCCGGCCAGCAGCACGGGGCCTATGAATGTCCGAGGCACAGCACCCGGAAAGGTAAAGTGGTCGTAGTTGCTAGACAGCTTGTGGTAGATGTCCGACGTGGGCGTTCCGTAGACGAGAACATCGTGGGCGGCCTGAATATTAAATGACTCCTCGACCTTTGTGTAAGGGGCAACAATGAGATGGATGAGAACAAGTCCGGGTATCAAGAGCGAAAGAACGGCATCTGGTCGCTGTTAGCAATGTGAGGTATCATGAACGAAGTTAATTCATCCGAGTAAACGTGTTCCGCCCGCGACTCACCCAAGATATTCCATGTCTTTGGACTAGCAACGGTGCTATACGCAGCTACCGTTTTCCCGTCTTGTTGACCGGCATTTTCATCAGGAGATGAACCATTTTGAGATGCCATGAGAATAAATTTATAAAAGAACAAGATGAATGAAGACGGACAGACGGTTCATCCAAGGCATACTCCAGTTGTCAGATGGTGCTAACAGCAAGCTCCCGTTCCAGGGCGATTAGCGCAGTTCCCAGGTCCCACAGGCTGTCAGGCCCCTGCCAAGCTATACGTGCACGAGCCCCGGCAGCGGTGAACCCCGCCATGTCAATGGGGGACGGGAACTGCAACCGTGCAACACCCCGCGTCGAAACGTTGGAAACGACGACATCCGTTCTCCCAACTTCAACTTGTTGAGTCGAGTCTCCATCAGACAAGCAGCACAAAAGATGGCGAGTGGCGATCCCTACGACGCAGCGCTGTAAGTCATGATATATCCCATCCCCTACACGCGAAGCTCTCTTGTCCGAGGCGCCTTATTCCATAGACTCACCCCACCCAAAACCCAACCTGCTAACCCAACCCCTCGCCTGTCTCTAGAGACCTCCTCCGCCGGCTGAACCCCAAGCACGTGGCCGAGCATGTCGACAACATCATAACGCTGGTCCCGGAGCTGGCCGAGGACCTGCTCTCGTCGGTCGACCAACCGCTGACGCTGCGGCGGTGCAAGCAGACGGGGCGCGACTACCTGCTGTGCGACTACAACCGGGACGGCGACAGCTACCGCTCGCCCTGGAGCAACCAGTTCGACCCGCCGCTGGACGAGGCCGGGCTAGGCGGTGTTGGGGCCGGTGGCAACAGCGCGGGCGCGGGCGGCGGCGCGGTCCCCTCGGAGCGCGTCCGGAAGATGGAGATGAAGCTCAACGAGGCCTTTGACGTCTACCGGGAGCTGTACTTTGAGGGCGGCGTGTCGTCGGTGTACATGTGGAATCTGGACGACGGGTTTGCTGGCGTGGTGCTACTGAAGAAGGGTGAGTTTGGGGATAAATAAAGAAACACCTTCCCGGAATTTGTTCGTTTTTAACTGGTTCGCTTTTTACAAAATAGCCTCTGGCCCGAACGACGGCTCCTCCTCGGGGGTGTGGGACTCGATTCACGTCTTCGAGGCCAGCGAGCGCGGGCGGACATCCAACTACCGCCTTACCTCGACCGTACTCCTCTCGCTCGCGACCAAGGGCGCCTCGCTGGGCGAGGTAGATTTGAGCGGTAACATGACGCGCCAGGTTGAATACGACCTGCCCGTGGAGAACGACGAGAGCCACATTGTCAACGTGGGCCGCATGGTCGAGGACATGGAACTTAGCATGCGCAACCTGCTGCAGGAGGTCTACTTTGGCAAGGCCAAGGATGTCGTGGGCGACCTGCGCAGCATCGGCAGCCTGAGCGAGGGCCAGCGCGACCGCGATGCGCAGCGCGAGCTGATTGGTAGCATGCGGAGATGATCCGGGTTGGGCTACGGATGCAATGATGACTACGACCTTCTTTCGGGCGATGGGCATGACCTACGAAGCGTCCTGGCAAGAGCACTCGAAATGTGGAACAGCCCGCTTGTTGTTTCCTTGAGAGACGGTATTGCTGGCTTGCTGAAGGTCTGGGAATCCTACCATGAGTGTTCCAGTGCCATAGGAAGTGTCCCTTGGCAAGTTGATGCTCGCGGCTCAGTACCAGTAGCAGCGCAATGAAGATACCCTTTATGCCCTTGTTTCGAGACGGCTGACCCCTCTGCGCGGTAACGTTACGGCTCTCGTTGATAAGTTGTAGGCGTTGAAGAAGGCTTCAACCTAGGCCCGCTTCGTGAGTCGTTAAGTCAAATATAACCACCCAGCTGGCTTTGGGTCCAGACTGCCGGGAGCACCTCCCCGGGTTGACTTTTTCATCCGTTCTAATAGGCCGCCATGACAGATGTTCGATGTGGAAATGGCCTGTTCAGCCGGAATGTAGGAAACCATCCGGTAGCCCCTATTTCGCCAGGCGTTTGCGCTCTCGCCACCTGTGCTGCACGGCAAAGGGGGAGGAGAAGAATATTGACATAAGCGCGTGCTTGGTAGCGCAAACTGAGACACTCAGAATTGGCGATCGGCAAGCCTACGACGTACGAAGGGACTGACCAAGGAATGTGGCGGTTTGGTTCAAGATGCTCCCGAATTTAACCCTCGGCCGTGGCACCCGGGGTCGTAACGGTAACGAATCCAGCCAACCGGTGTCTGCCAGCTCCGCTCCCGATTCCCAACTGGGAAGCCTTCTAGAAGCACGGAATCGGCCTTCTGACACACGGGCGGAGAGGGGCCAAACCAGGTCCATTCTTGGCCCCGACGGGCCGACCCCGCGGCTCGTCAACCACATCCAAGTTGCCGGGCGAGCTGATCTCATTGAAAGTTACGTGGCATCAGCAAGGCTTCATCATCGGCTTGGCCCGGACATTTTCAGGGTTTTGGGTTCGCAGATTCCAGAAAGGCAATGTTGGGGAGCTCTTCGGTTTGCAGGGGTTCTACTGTGTAGTGTAATGCAGGAAGTCAAGGGGTGCAGCCTGCAGAAACGCAAACACACAGACCTTCCCCTGCAGCTTGATCGAATTTGGGTCCGCCTTGCACAGACAAAGGCGGGAGATCGTTATCGAAGAGAGTGTCGCTATCCGCAGCCACAAATTTGAGATGATGCTCAGGGGCAATCGCCTGGCTATCTCTTTCTTTTTCTTACTTCTTTTTTTCCTCAGATTGGATGTGGGTGGGCTAGGACGTTGGCTGTGGAACCTCCAAGTGCCGCCTACGTCTCGGCCTGCTGTCCGTCGCCGTGTCTCACCTGCAATTTTCTCCTTTTTCCTTTTTCGAGGACAGATGCTGACCGACGTTTCTGACGCCCGCTTGTATCGTGACTCCACGAATGGCGAATACGCTGTCAATGTTGCCAGTGGTTTCAAGGTCACCCCTATTTCAGAGGGAAGCGGTGACAAGAACCACTACTGTAACAGCAAAAGAGTCGGGCCTGACTCAGCCACCCAAACGGGCAATGCGGCCGAAAGGGAGGAGGAACCATGGCATAGCTCCGTGACGGAGCCCGGGTCCGGGTAGGCCGGAAGACTGCCAGCAGGAAAGCAATGATAAAATTAGCGGTTTGAGATGTAAATTGTACAGTAGACTTGCGCCAGATCAGTACGATAAAGCTACGTGTAGTTATTTCACATGTTGACTGCCTTCTGCCGAAAGGAAAGGAAATGCAGTTCCTCTGGTCAATCATCAATCGCCGCGAATCGGTCGCTGAGGTGTGCGATTCCATTCCAGGCTCACCTGGAGGCTTGCATGAAGACTCCACTGGCAGCCGCCGGGCATCTTTCTGTGCAGGAGCAGCCTTGGCAGATTCCTCAAACTTGGCGAGGTCGTGGTCTCCTGAGCCCTCACGCTTGAAATAAGAAGGCCTGCCCCAGGCAGCTTCCTGCAAAAGGGCTCCATCGCCATATCCATCGCCATTGGCAGTTGGCATTGGCAGCTATCAAACTGTGGGGAGAGCATCAGCTCTAGTAACAATCATTTCCTGCTCAAGAATTTTCGTCCGAAGAGGATCCTATTTCCCCGGGTTCTGCGGCAATCCAGGGTCTCGGGCATCACCTCCCGGGCCCCCCTTCGCGCAGGTTTTTGTTTGTGCCCTGCCCAGTTCCCTAGGCTCCAAAGGCTACCCGAAACACCTGCCCATCGGCCCCCCTGCGACAACCTTAATTTTCCATCCCGAACCCGAAGCTCGCGCATCCGTCCATCCAGACACAACGATCTTTGCAAGTTACGCCCGTCCGGTCTGAAGGCGCACCCAACTTCGCAATTTCGATTCCGCCAAGCCGCGATCCTTAGCCCCGCGCCGCCCGGATTTATCCCCGCTTCCCTTGAGTTTTCCTGAACGCCAGTCTGCCTAGGTAGGAGGAGTTCGGACGGGAGAGAACAACCATGGCTGAGAAGCCGTCGGTGTTGATCATCGGCGGGCTCGGGTACATCGGCCGCTTCCTGGCACTTCATCTCCACAAGAACGACCTTGCGTCCGAGGTGCGCATCGTCGACAAGGTGTTGCCGCAGCTCGCATGGCTGCCGCCAGAGTTTGAGGAGGCGTGCGCAGGGTCCAAGTTCGTGCAAGCAGATGCGAGCAGAGAGCGTATGGCATTTCTAGTTTTTAACCCTCTTTTAGGGGGGAGCATCTCGTAGCCCCACACCCCTTCTCTTCGGATGAGGCTAATGTCGTCCGCTTCGACAGAGTCTCTTGCGCGGATATTTGACAGAGCGGATGGGAAGCAATGGGACTATGTCTTCAATTGCGGTGGAGAGACCCGGTATTCCCAGGAAGATGAGGTATACAAGCTGAGGTCGCTTGGTTTGTCACTGGCCGTAGGAAGGGAGGCAGCCAAGCGCGGCGTAAAATGCTTCGTGGAGCTGAGCACGGGGATGGTGTATAAGCCCGACTCGGCACCGAGCAAAGAACAGGACAAGCTGAAGCCGTGGAGCAAGATCGCCGTCTTTAAACTGCAGGCCGAGGAGGAACTCGCTAAAATTGAAGGGTACGTACTGATCAAATCCGGATGCTCGCCAAGCGCATACTCACCGCTTGCAGGTTAAATCTTGTCGTTGTACGACTCGCCCATGTCTACGGTCCATATGCCTCTCAATGGGTCGCCACAGCTCTCTGCATGGCAAGGGTGTACAAGGCGCTGGAGTCCGAGATGAAGTGGCTGTGGACAAAAGACTTACGCCAGAACACTGTCCACATTCACGATGTGGTACGGGCGCTGTGGGCAGTCGCCGAATGGTACACGGCCGGCAAAAACAAGTGGGACGACAAGAGCATGGGCAAGGTGCCGACGTTCAACGTGGTCGATAAGGGCGTTACCACGCAGGGAACCATGGCAGACATCATTGGGCAGGTGTTCGAGATCGAGACCGGCTTCCAGGGGCAGCTCATCAGCACTTTTGCCAAGCTCAATCTCGACAGCGTAGTCGACGACGTCAACGACGAAACCCTGGGTCCATGGGCCGATCTTTTAGCCGAAGCCGGCATCACGAGGCCAGGCCCGCTGACCCCGTTCATGGAGAAGGAGTTGCTCAAGGACACGGATCTCAGCATGGATGGTTCGAGGTTAGAAGACGTGGTTGGCTTCACTTACGAGAAGCCCAAGATCTCCAAGGAGCTGATAGAGGAGGTCATTGAAAGTTACAAGAAGATGAATTGGTGGCCCTGATGAGCCGTCAATCGCTTGTGGAACGAGCAGAGAGTGGAACGGAAAGGGGTGGCGCAGACACATCATAGGAGATAACGCGGGCCGGGGATGACGATGCAATACTTAGAGGAATAATGTGGAAGGGTAAAGGCCTTGGTTTGCGGGGGGTTGAACGAGCGATGTAATAATAGGATATACGTCTTAAATAATAGTATGATTTCACGGTCAACGTTCCCTCAATGAGAAGCGGACGGCAGACTTGATTCTGCGGGAGCCTGTGCAAGAAAGGGGCCCGAATCAGGCTACCTACAGTCAAAGGGACCAAATTTGGAGCACTGTTGAGTGCATTGCATTTTCTAGATGCCAGAAGGTCGATCAGGTATGAAACTTGGCTACATGTGCAGCGTACCCGATCGTACATACATATATAGTCTACCCGCTTCCCGGCGCCCAGCTGGAGCTTCACATGCAAGCCTCGGAGGTTGGTTTGAGGTAGCGACCGAGAAGGTCGGCCAGTTACTGCTTCCCGGTCTCGGCCGGGAACGGGGACAACCAGACAGCCGGTAACCTAACGTTGTTGAGACAAAGATGCAGGGGTTGATGCATCAATGAGCCTGATGCAGGAGCATCGGCCGGCTAAGGCATGGGAATGGACTGGAGCTGACGCGGATAGCTCTGCGCAGGATATCTTCCTGACGGGTAAGGCAGAGTCGATGGGAGGTGAGGTCAATAACAGAGCAGGACATACATACAGCACGGCGCCTCGGGAAGGAGGAGTCCCGATGGAACCCGTCTTAGGACATGCCAGCTGGAGATGCTGATGTATGTATCCGTACCTTAGTATAAGTGTACAGTTCCCGCAACGATCACTTCAGTTGCAGTGGCCGGCTGCGTCATCCTGGGTCGTCGGGCTCTTGCTGGAAACGGAGTGAATCCGAACCATTCCCTCTATGGCAGGCTGGTCCCGGCGCACCTGTAGGCTGTGAAGCTTGGGTTGCAGTTTACCTCGGGACGTCCAGCGCGCTTCCCTTACACTGAACACAACTCCTGCTTCTTGTGACAGTCGTTCCCCACTGATTGGGTAAGGGACAACCGGGGACATATTTAAAGATCCCCAAGAGTGGACGCCTGTGATTTTGCACTCTGACTCGTACTTTTGCACTCTTTCAAACGCTTTTCATTCCCCAAGTTTCTGTTAGCTGCTTTGATACTATACCCCGCTTATAGACAGTTGTCCACCATGGCTGCCCCCGCAACCAAGAACATTGGAGACCTCAGCGGCAAGTGGGTCCTGGTATGTTGACTTCAACATCGTGAGCATCTCGGCGTAGCGGCGGGCTGATATGGCATTGCTCAGAACAAGAGCCAGTCCACCAACATCGAACCGGGGCTCGCTCTGCAGGGCGTTGGCTGGATGACCCGCAAGGCTATCAGCTTAGCAACCGTCACGCTCCATGTTAAGCAATTCGTGGCCCCGCCGTCGCCCCCGGCCGACCCCGCCAACCCGCCGGTCACGCACGTCGAGATCGAACAGACCGGGACAGGCGGTCTGAAGGGCTCTACTGAGAAGCGATGCCTCGATAATACCTTCCGCGACCATAGCGACTGGCTCTTTGGCCGTGTCAAGGGCCGGAGCTCGTGGATCGCCACGGCCGACATCTCGGACACCTTCCTCAAGTCGGACTGGTTGGAGGGCGATGAGGAGAAAGGCGGCCCCAACGGCGAGACGCACCTCCTCAGCCACGTCGAGAGCTACGATAATGGCTGGACCGCCACTCAGATCTGGGGCTTCAAGATGGTTGACGGTGTCCGGAAATACTGCCGAAACATCATCATCGCCAAGGGTGACGAGCGCGTCGAGCTTGCGCTCGTTTATGACTACCTCGAGTGATCGGGTGGCTCGCAGGTCATCTTCTGTCTTGTGTTGTCCCACTGGCGCATGATGAGAGGCGAGCCTCCAGCGTCGGAGCTTACCCGAATTGGAATTGCCCCAAGCTGACCAAGGATCGGAGGACACCCGAAGGCCCGGGGAGGCAGATGCTGAGGGGGCTTTACACCAAATGTGGGGCTTTAGGCATGGAATCAGTATTGGTGTTTTTGGAGCCGTGTCTTGCATTATGCATCTATAACGCCGTCAATGATCATGTTTCCCCCCAAATAACCCTGCTCCTTGCGCCTTTTCTGGTGAAGAACCCGCTCTGAGGGGAATCTGAGCCTTCTTCCGGCCAGCCGTTCTTGGGTATCGCGATCCGATCTTGGAATCCCAGTTCTCCATGTTGAATGCTCCTGCACCACGCCACCGGGATATGACAGTCATGACGCCGCCTGCCAGATCAACGCCGCTTGATACTTGACGGCCATAGAAATGTAAAAAGAGGGAAAGGATAAAGGAAAACGAGAAGAAGAGGAGAAGAAAGGCCGGGCCGTACACTTCTCCCCATCTCCCACATTATAACTGAACCGGTATCATGCAGAAGCATTTCCGCTCAAGCCGGCCGCCGTTTGACAAACTCCTCGAGATCCGCCCTCGTCGCAACGCCGAGCACGAAGCGCCTCCTCTCGTCCGTGATGACGGCAAACTCCTGCTTCTGCCCTCCCGTAGCGGCGCCCTCAAAGAAGGCCTCGAGCTCCTCGAGCGGCGTGTCCATGGTGATGACCTTGTACTTTGTGCCGCGGCGCTGAAAGCGTGTCATGGCGCTGCGCACCTCGTCCTCGGGCCGCACGCGGCCGGCCTCGAGCAGGGCCTGCAGGTGCGGAATGGACAGGTAGCCCAGCAGGGCGCGCGTGGCCGAGTCGACGACGGTCAGGTGCGTGTAGTCGCGCTCAAAGGCCGACATGAGCGCCACCGAGACCGTGTCCGAGGGGGTGAGCGACAGGGCGGCCGGGGGGTCGAGGTCTTCTACTGTTGCCTGTTTTGTTTTGATGTCATTAGAAAGAGGTGCCCCTTAATTTAGGAGGGTAACTCGGCGATTGCGGGTTGGAAGGTCAAGGGGAGGTTTTCTTTTTCTTGTCCACTTACCCCGCGATATCTTGATGCCCACTTGGAGACGAACGGTTGGGTGAACGGTTGTGCCTGTGATGATTGCGCCATTATATCGGTCATTTTGGGCGTTTGGCTTTCCGGTGTGGGCGATGGGTTGTTATTTGGTGTTGAGGTTTGGTCAGCCGGGATCATGATCTGTACTGCCGGCGGTTTGGAAGTTGAGGTCATCGCTTGAGCCGCTCTGGCCAATCACATGCTAAGTGCTTAACGGTCCCTGTGGGGCCGCCAAGTCCACCGTTTTAAGGGGCTTGTTGAAACTTGAAAGCCCTACCAACCTTTGGGTGCAAGTTCAACTTGAAGTTTGAACACTACTATATAACTGGTAGGTACTCCATATTTGCGCTGATTATCAACCACTATAGACCTGACCCCGGCATCTTCGAGCTCCCTCTATGCTTCTTATCGACATCACTAGCCGCCGGAACGTAACCGATGAGGTTCATCAATGTTATTAGCATGCGAAGCATGCTGAGGACGGCAGGGATCTGGAGTATTTTGACCAGAGCCTGGGGATCCGTGTCATTCAACACCATGGCCTGAGTAGCAACCCCTTGCTTGGGCACTGTCTGTGTGCCAGTGTCTTCCCTTCCATCATTGCTGCCGACGACCGTGTCCGCGTCGTCAACGCTTGCGGGAGGGGCACGGTGATGAGGCTGTCCATAGATGGGCTCAGGGTCTGAGAGATCCCGCATGATGCGCGCGAGGTTTTGGATTGTTGGCTCGTTATCGGTGTCCTGGTGGACCCAAGACGGCTGCTTCTGTTGGGTCGGGTTCTCCGGCAGCAAATGCTCGTTGAAGGTGCTATAGTCCTGGAGAGGTTGTGAGACTGCTGGCACGGGTCTCTGTGTGCTGCCAGCAACTGGTGCCGCAGTAATCGTGGCTTGGTCCTCGTTTGCGGTGCTGGTAGGATGTGATGCGATGTGAAAAGTCGTGTTCGTGACTGGTCTTGGGAAAACAGGTGCAACCTCCTCGAAGTTCTTCATCTGCATGGCCAGTGGTAAGCCACGGGCTATCTCGTCTAGACGTCGCTCGGATTTCAAGGAATTGGCAAAGTCCACCAGAGTGACAGCCTGGCTATCCCTGGCCTTATTCCCCATGTCCCCAAACCTCACTTTGGACATGATGTGTTTGTCCCATTTTTCGAGGCGCCCGTCCACGTCGACCTTCATGACAAAGGGTTTTCCGGAGTGTAGAAATGTGAATGCTGTATGTACTAAGTTGCTGTGGGAGGGCTGTTTCTCGAGCTCGTTCTCTACAATAACCCATCGTAGTTTCTTGTAAAGCCGCGTCTTCTTTCCGGGCAGGAGTTGGCCCTCGAACGACCAACGCATAGATTGCTGGAACGACGTCGAAGAGCCAGCGCCCACCCCACCCATACCGTACCCCAAGACGTTGGCTTCAGGGATGAATTGTTTGACCCGCATCTTGTTGGCGATTGTCTCGTGGCCCACAAGTTGCTTAGGGCCATACCAATCAGTAATTTGGACCGAGGCTTCCCCACGTTTGCCCGGTGGTGCAGCTTCAGACAATATAGGCCGGTTCAACAAGTAAGGGTCTTCGTCGTCTAGTGTGACCGTAACCGCGGCGCTCTTCAATTTGCAGCCTTGGGGCGGACTGAAGTTCAGATTCAGGTAGAGGATCCCGGCAGGGCACTTGTCGTCGCCCAGGACGCCCCATTGGGTTTGCTTGAAGAGAAATTGACAGTCAATGTTGATTTTGCCCACTGACCTGAAGGCAGCACTAGCATGTCCGGAAGGCAAGTTGCTGAGCTCTGTGAAGTTTTCGTATCGCCCAAATCTGCGAACGCGCCCGATCAGAAACCTCGGTTGAGCTGGAGCACTTTGCTCGCCTTCTCTAGCGCGGCTTGAAATCGTCGACATGTGAATATTGAATTTTATCTGGATCTGTCCTGGACTCGGTCGGCAGAGATGGTACTACAGAACTTGAGTGAAGTGGGAGAAGTTGCCAGAGGCATCGAAGCAGGCTGGAGCCAAAGCATGGCTGCTTGAAGGGTGACTGGAGGCAGCCGACCGGAGGCTGAGCTGGTAGGCCATCCGACGTATTTTCAAGTATAGTCCGGGTATTTGCCGGTCAGCAGTGCTAACTCCGAGTCCTCTATGCTTCTCTTCTAGATCCGAATCCTATGTCTAGCGATAGTGTTACAGAGAGTACTCGACAGCTATGATCTTAGCCAGGAGTACCACAACATCACCGTCCGGTCTAGCAGTATAAGGAAGCTTACTGACTAGGCTAATTGGCGCATGATCTATAACCAATTGCTCGCCCGGGGCCGTATTTGGGATTTCTCTGACCTCTTCGATGCCGCTATTGTATTGTGCGGCTTTGATGAGACTGTGGACGCCTTCCTTGGAGACCCGTACAACGACCGATCGACTCCCGTGATCGATGATATTGTCCATGACTGGACCGCTGATCCCCATGAGGCGGATGGGGCAACCCTACTGGCTATTCTCTTCATTCTCAGCCGCGTTGTCTTGTGGCACGAACCGTCCATGGCATCCGATCTCTCTGCCAGATCTTGTCTAAGGCACGCGGAGCATGTTGTCGAGGCCTTGGTGAAACGTTTCCCTGACAGTATCAGGAGTCGACCATATCTTACCCGGGTTCTCGCCAAAGTTGCTGTTTTGTCACGTACGGATAATTATAAGCAGAAGCCGATAGACCTATACGGCCTACAGCCCTACAGAGGCTCAATCATCTGGCTAAGACTCACAGACCGGGGCGCAAGACTAATACGCCTCCCTATCTACATCCCCATATGGCAGGAAAACCCGGGATGGAAAGTGCTAGATGTGCCATCTAGGCGTAAAGAGCACTTGGAGATGGTCCTCAGGGCCTCCAGAGAACTCCAGGACTTCAACGTTGAAGCAATCTGCCTTGCTGAGCTAATCCGTGAATCCGCAGATCCCTTGATGTACTTTGACCAATTGGCCACTCGCCGGAAGTCAACCGGAAAATATGATGGGCTACCTCGTTACAAGCTTATCAAAGTATCTGGTCTGCCAAGGTGAACAGGATAAAGCACGGCTACTTTCTGATCTGGCCAATCTCGGATTCTGGAGCGATCATGACGACCTTACCTTTCCTTTCGGTGCAGCCGCACGAGACATCATCCAGCAAGCGCTTTCCCCGCACAAGACAGGCTCCAAAAGCATCCACGCGGGCCTCAAGTACTACCATCTTGTCCGAAACAGCGTCCTTGGTCAGATCATCGATTATCATTGTCATGAGAAGCTGCCTGAGAAGCCACTGGTTGGAGGCGAGTCGCTCCCTACTGGGAAACGGGACAACAGCAACAACGATGAAGACGATGAAGGGAGTCCCAGTGCTTCAGACTCGGCTTCTGGGTATGCTCCTTGAATAAGGAGACCTCGTTTCGGCCTTTTGACTGAGCCATCCAAGGAATCATGAAGACGATCGCATGGAGCGGGGTACCTGGCTACATGATCTTTACCAATATACCTCATCCTGACACTTGCCAAGTACCTGGTGATAAGGGTGGTAGGTAAAGGTCAGCATGGCACCAGTGATGCCGTTCGAATCTTCACAGCTTTTCTTCCACCAATATTCCCGGCGAAAAGAGCTTGCTGCACCTAAGTACTACTTGGTTGGGTACTACTAGTACTAGGTAGTACTAGTCTTCCATTAATACTCCCGGCGAAAAGCGCTTGCTGCACCTAAGTACTTCTTGGTTGGGGTACTACTAGGTAGTACTAGGATTGTCATAGCAAAGTTGAGACGGAGTAGGGTATCTA